AGAAACTCTTGATTTCATTGACCCGGTATTAGGCCGAAAGAGTAGTGAGTTCGCATCGAGGTTAGTACTAATAAAGTCTTAAGTCGTAGAATTTAGGAGAGTTATGTAAACCCCGACTCATCTCCTGATCACAAAAGGATAGGAGTTTAATTATATATACAATAAGAACCTACTATTAGCCATCCCAGCTTATAAGCACCATATTTAACCCAAGCGTGACCCCAAATCCTCACCAAACTTCGCGCTTCGCAAAAGAAATCCCCCAGTTTATTTAGTTCCCGCAGCTATTAACAAGCATTTCAAACGGTTTGTACAATCCTTCCACTCAACGTCCTCAAAAAACTTATGCTGCATATCTAATTTTTAAATTACAAGCATCATCCTGTGCTTTTTATGATTACCATTACCTTTTTAGCTAGATCATTGTTTTGACCAAGTTTATATTAGCACAGTTTAGCTCCTCGGTAACACTCGAGTACTTGGTTCTTCAATTACACTCATATTTGCACGGAACGATCTAAAGTCTACTCCACTCTAGATTATCTCATGGCTCGGAGATTTCTTCGAGTGTTTGTAATTCTAGGGTACCGGTCTACTCCTAAGGCAACTAAACTAACCAGTTACAGATAAACTCAAAATAGATGAGATTTGGGTTCCGAACCGCGTCGGAGACTAGGACGGGGCTAGATCTACAAACTAATTCCTCTAGCCACCCTTCAGTAGATCTTGATTCAATTAAGAGTATTCTAATTTCTAAATCCTTTCCTTCGTAAAACTTTCCGTTACAGTTCTAGGAAGTTTGTACAGGGTTTTATTCTTGTATTATTAACACGATTACTACTGTCATCCTGCATCGGTATGAACTCTGAACCAGCACCCCAAAATTCCTTTAATCCTCATAAATCAACAGGAAATTTACTCTACTCAAAGCTCTTTGAACAAGCTGTTGTTGCATATCTACAATGCTTATTCTCCAGGCTTGATCCCTGAATAGGATATCAGTAGTCTTGATGTTAAAGTGGAAAATTGTACTTTAGGGTAAAACGGCAATTGTATTACATTGTTGAGCTACTACCCTAAGATAGAGACGTCTTGTATCAAATAAGACCATCTCGAGATTTACATTGAGAACTTCTTGTTGCACATCTACAATCTGGGTTTACAGGTCTGTTCCCTGCATAAATCACCAGTAGATATGAAGTCGTGCGGACTGCCAAACGGGAAAAGCAATTAGTGGAAAATCAACGGCTACTTGGATTCGCCCCTGCTGCCGACAATAGGTTAATTTGAATTGGTCTGTGTTATACTCATAGTGGAACTTTAATCCGTCACAAAGCATATTATGAGATAACAATGAGCGTAGTCTGCACATTATCTCTCTTGATCTTGAGAAAAGTCGAAGTGTTGTAATTATTTAAGCTTCGGACCAAAGTCGGCGAGAAATCGAATGAAAAGCTCATTGAAATGCACATTTCACAAAACCATCTTAATTTGCTTATATTGGTAAATTATGAATATTGTGGTATCCTCCTTGTGGTCTCAAATATCCCCAAGTATACAAGAAAACATGAACACAAGATTGATTGGAGAGAATTCAACGGTGGAGAGGCAAGGGATATAAAACTCGAGACTCAAATAACTAATTTAAAGAAAAACATCTCATGAAAAACTACGAACATTCATCTAAGATCTGTGAAAAGGAAATAAGAGAATACTTCCAATATTTACGCATGCAGCTAGCTACTAAAAATCATCAGCCATCAAATCCATCCCAATGTTCCGTAACATTCCCACAATATCCTTCAATATGGATGGGTAGATGAAACGGCCTCTCCCCGCCAGATTTACAGCGGCAGAAGCAAGTACCTCATCAACCAAACTCCAACCCCAGAACATCCATTAATCAGGATTAAGGATCTACACTTCACTAAAAGTGACATGGGTCCTGAGATATGCAACAAAATACACATACACTAACCAGAAATCAAGGATGGATCCTTCACTAAAAGTGACATCGGTCCTGCGATATGCAACAAAACACAAGTCAAGTACTTGTCAGTCAGCCTACTGAGATCTAGGCTGTGGTAGTAGTACCCAACTACTAAGACTAAGACTAAGACTAAGTCCTCGACTTAGCTTACAATGGACCATGGAATAGCGAGAGGCTAACTTAACATAAGATCCACCCACCAATTAAGTACATATCTACCACGAGTAAAACATACATGGGTATAGCGATATGCAACAAATCCCAATATTAATCATTTAAAAATTAGAACGGACTACTGAACCTGAACTATGCATGGGTCAAACGGGAGACAGACCAACGCCAGATAAGCATAAGACCAACATGTCACTAAAACATACAGGGATTAAGCGATTTGCAACAAAAACGTGACGGGACGAGATCACATAAGGGTTCGAAAAGCAGGGAGGAAGAGGAGAAAAGAGTGGGTTCAATCAGCTGATTAGAGCTAGGGTTGGGCGAATTCAATTCGCCGAGTTGTAATTAGAAAAAGCATAATAATCCAGCTCCTATAATTATATCCTATATTATTTTTAGGGTTTTATTAGTTGAATCGAGGTGCAACCCTATTGATTTTTATCTTATTATCATTCCTATTATATTATATAAATAGACAATCTCGATTTTAGACGAATATATTATTCATCAAAATGAATAACGTGGTTTATCAGTGGGTCGGCCACTTTTACCTCGATTTATTACTTCAAAGCTATATTATTCAAGAACAATTTAATGAATCGATTAAAACTGTTAAGAATCTAATAAACCAGGATCTATTATATCATTCTGACAAGTTCTTGAATTATGACCAGTCTTTCCACACTTGCTACAGCATCGACTAGTAGAAGATTCCCTATTAGAATTTCTCCCATTTTGATGCTTGTTGTGTCGAATCTGAACCTTTACCTTTTGTTGTGATAATATATCCTCAGTTTCCTGTCCAGTAAGTACTTCTCCATTCTATAGTTGAACTTTTTTAATATATCGATATTTGTTTAATGCTTTATTTGTCTTTTGAAGTATACAATTCTTTATATTTAAAAGTGTAACTTTATAAGCTAATTATTCTGTACTCTTAATCAAAGCAGTTACAGTCTCGAAAATAGGTATAAGAGAACTTGATTGATGTCGAGCAATTCGAGATCTTACTAAAGTCGATTGTAAAAGAGCTTCAGTTGGATTATGAGGTATTTGAGAGACCCAAGAATCGGCAGATTCCAAGGGAATAGGTAAAGGGGTAGGTGTATGAATTCGAATATCCAATTTCAAGAGTATAGCTTGAGGGTCGAATGATATTAGTCCTGTTCCTTGAAAGCCAGCTTTCATATTCTGAACTGTAATCGATTATTGATATACAGTTTTGAAAGCTATAAAGAATTCAACCTTAGAGATATAATTGATATAAGCCTTGATAAATCCTTCAATTTGTGAACCATATACTCGTTTTAATACACTAAAACATCCAATATCAAATAGTTGGGTTAGATGATTTGAATGCAATAATAACTTTACACATATAATATCATTTGATTTGCAATATGATTGAAAAGGTATTGATTCGTGACTTTTGTGTTTATCCAATATTAGTATTCGATATTTGCCCTTTCTTCAATAAATAGTATACTTATCGAAATGCTTTATCTAATCTAAACCTATCTCATTATTCGTTCATCCATTAGAAATAGATTTAATAACCTAATCTATAGGAAAATCGCTTTTTGTATACCAATTAAAGAGATGATATTATCCTTACATTATTAAAAATAATAATATAATCTAACCTTCTCTATTACTATATATAATCACTATAGTCCACTCTTGATTGCCTGGTTATATTGCTTTGCTTCTATCACATTGTTCAGTACTAGTTACAACCATTCCGGGGCATATTATGCCTATCATAAAACCGGTTTCGTCGAAGTTGTAGAAGTCGCAGTCCTGAATACTATATTTTGCCTATATATTCGATACCAATCAGAACCACTCTTCAATAAAATCTGGATTTTTGTAAAGAGCTTTTTGAAAGTCATAAACGCAATTAAAACATATCTTTAGTTTTGAACATTGTTTTACAAAGCAATGAGCCTAGAGTTTTCCAACCTTTTTCGTATCCTGCGATTCGAGTATATAATTTGCTATATCTTTTATATCACTTAATTTAGGAGTAAATCCTCTCTTATCCAGATCGAATATATATTGAATAAGAACCTCCTCTTCCAATTCAGTCAAATTATAGCTTTTTGATCGATTTTCAGCCATATTAGGTTTACCTTGAATTCTATTACCCAATGTAGATCGAGGCATACTATAGAGTTGAGCTATCTTCCGAATTGTTAATTTTGGATTTGATTCAATAGCCTTAATACCTAAGATTATTCGTGTTTCTTTAGAATGAATTTCCATAATTAATTATTAAGAAAACGTGTATTAAGTGTAGAATAATAAATCGAGGTAAAAGTGGCCGACCCACTGATAAACCACGTTATCGGAACACCTTCAAATAAATCCTGTGGATACTGTTTTGATTGGTTCATATGATGACTAAGATCTTATATAAAATCAAGCATATAATACTAATGTGATTATAGCTTTTCGTACCGAAGCTTTGCTTTACGTAAAGCGCCCGGCTCTAGCTAGAGTCTAGGGGCAATGGGCGTGGCTTTGATAATTTAAAAATATATATATATATGTATAAATAGGAGTGGCCTTGGCCAGTCTCAGAAGATAGGAAGGTCAACGATTAGTTATTTTAAAAGGCATTTGGAAGGAATGAGCACAAGATCTCATAACATACTCGTGAGAAACTCATATAATTCATATCATAATACTATGCATATTCGCCACATCATTCATTCATTCATTCATGAATAACCTACTATCGTATCATAGATGCCCAAACAGAGGTAAGAACCCCAACGCCAGATACATCATCATGACCGCATCCCCGATTCTCGTCATACATCCATTCATATTCTTAAGATTGGCCCGTGACCCTTCTAATACTTCTTCTAGGCCCCTCACCTAGAATCATCACTTTGCCCTCCAACTCCAACCCCCTGACCGCTTCTGCAAACTCTGCAGAGTCGACTTGCATACTACTCTGCTCCCCCAATTTCCTAACGACTTCCGTCCATCTAGCATTTCCCCCTGGGCCCGTCATCTCATCCACCACAGCCAGCACCGCAGTCTTCAAATCACCCTTTCTTCTTCTCTCACTAGCACTCGTGCCTTCGGTTAACAGACTCATATCAATCAATCCCGTTCTCGCATCCGTAGCCGCTTGTTTCAAAGCACTCTTGATCAATCTAACTGCCTCTTGCACATCCTCCTTCGTAACGGTTTCCGATAAGCGCATTTTGGCATGAGCTTCGGAAAGACGAATCATGGATTCGAGTTGACGAGTTGTGGCTGTAATTCGACGTTCGGCAGCTCGGATATCTTCACCGAGTTTTCGCATTTCGACGTAGGCGGAGACAAGCTCGGTAGAGGCTTCTTGACTGATTCGGGGTTGACAGTTGGCACGAGCGTAGGAGATGTAGGAAGTTAGGAACTCGATAGGCTATGTTTGTTAGCTGTATACGTTTGCGTGAATTGGTAAGAGATGCGCTTACCAAAATTTCCAATCCTCCTGAAGCACTCTGCGGCTTATCGTCTAGGTACATACTGAGAAGATGACGAGCCAATCTACGATCATTAGTCTCATCAATACGATCCAAGATCAAGTAGACGAGATCAAATCTTGAAAGTAGAGTAGGTGGAAGATCGATATTTTGCGGTACTGGTAAGTTCGGATTGTATTTACTTCCGATTGGATTTGCGGATGCAAGAATACTCGTTCGGGCATTTAAAGTTGTGATGATTCCAGCCTTGGCAATAGAGACAGTCTGCTGTTCCATAACTTCGTGTAAAACTGATCGAGTAGAATCGGACATTTTGTCAAATTCATCAATACAGCAGACACCTCCATCTGACAAGACGAGAGCTCCTGATTCGAGGACAAGCTGACGTGTTTCTGGGTCTCGAGTAACATATGCTGTCAAACCAACAGCCGAAGATCCTTTCCCACTGGTATATACACCACGAGGAGCAATCTTATGGACGTATTGCAAAATTTGAGATTTTGACGTAGAAGGATCACCGCAAAGTAGGATGTTGATGTCTCCTCTGTATCTTGGACTTCCTCCTTTTTCGAAAGACTTGTTTGTTCCTCCAAACAACTGAAGCAAGATACCCTTCTTAACATCGTCCATCTCAAAGATACTAGGTGCAAGGGAGCGAGATAGAAGTTCATAGATATCAGGTCTGGTGGCGGTTTCCTTGATCTTTTCTTCCTCCTCGTCTGAAACCTTCCTAGTCTCTTCAATATTGCCTGTCAATTGATCTGAGATTTCCTGTTCAACGGTCGAGGCATCAATTCCCATTCTTTTCTTGTCGACCTTCTGAATATGCAAAACATCGATGTAGGTCTTATAAATACTCTTGAGGGTTCGTTGACGGGGATTGACACGGACCGGGCTGGCCTTGAAGATACCAGTAATCTCAACCCTGTCACCAGCTTTACAAAGATCAACTAGTTCATCATATGCGCACATGGATACTGAATGTGGGGTCTGACCAGGAGGGACGGAATCCGGGGTCTCTTGAAGTTTGATAACTTGCTTATCCATGAATCCAGAACGATTGTGTACGATCTGCATGGAATTTGGAGAGCCGCAGACGGGACGAGGGCATTCGGTGGGTTCGGCAATCTTACCACGGTCAATATCAACCTTGACTGTATGATTGCACACAGAACACTTGAAGAAAGCATCTTTCATGTCCGGGATGATTGGCGTAGTTCGAATAACGAGGCCCTTGATAGCTACAATCTTGTCGACGTCGGATGGATTGAGATCTCTCATGTTGATAGTGTTATCCAGTCCAAAGGGTCGAACTCTATAGGATCTCTTCTGTACCTCCGCACACAAATCCACTTCATTAGAATCCTGTTCTCGTGGTGTTGCTACCTCTGCTTCGCTTCTCTCTGAACTTGGGACGGGGGGTTCTGAGCTCTGGACTCTGTCTCGTCCAGATGCTTGACCGGCGGAGCTTTGGGATTGCCTTTGAATTGCCATTTGGTTTTCTGCGATCTCATACATGACATCTTTGATGCCTTGATCCATAAGAGTAACGATATCTTGAGGGTAATCTTGCGCTTGCTGCCAAAGTTTCTTAGTGGGAGGGTAAGCCTTAAGATTGCGGAAATCTAAATTTAGACTCGTTATGCCGAGGGTCAGCATGTTTTGCATCATCTCCTGGTATTCCTTCGAATTTGACTCCGGATCGGCTTGGGTGTCTTCCTTTAACATGCCCTCGCCCCACATTCGGTATTTTTTGGTATAGTTTCGAAGGAAGTCCTTGAATGTGGACAACGTATCATTTATAGAAACGTTCGTACCCCAGATACAAAGTGTAGAATTGCCTCCCATTGATTGCGCGTCTGAAGTCGTTGGGTCGATGTTCGAGAATGAAGGAGCTTCCGCATCCTCAGGTGGAATGTCTCTTACTATTCGGCCACTTTCATCCATGAAAATACGTCTTCTCGCCCTCGGTGTGTTAAGATTATCAGATGTAATGTCCCCTCTTCGTGAATTGTTGACTGCAGACCCGGGACCTTGGGACCTAGAAGAACGAACAAAAAGGCCACTGCTATCACTTGGAATGTTGGTCTGGGGGTCATTGGCAAATCCTCTACCAGGACTAGAACTTGCTTCGTATCTGATCGGTGAGGAGTCTATCATTGTTAGTTGATACTGATTGGTATGCCAACATGTTACCTACCACCGATAAGAGCACTACCGCCTGCTCTTGGTGTACGATCGCCATCTTCTCGCGTTGACTGAGTGTTGGTCATTTGTCTCAGAGGTGAACTAATGTCTCGATTAAATCGAGCATTATCTGCTGGAGAAGATCGATAGTTCATTGGCGACGAAGATGGAACGATACCCCGCCGAGGAGTTCCTGTAGCGCCTTGCGACGAGGCTGCTTCATTTTGAAGTTGGGCAGCAGCGGGATCTGGTGGACTACTTGGTAAGGCTTGTGAATTTCTTGCTGATGTACGCCTAGGTGTCGCAGACTGAGAATTTCGCTGTCGACGGCCAGCAGGCGACGACATGTTGGGTTTTGGATGATGACGCTGTGGAATTCTAGTGTCAAAAGAATATGATTGTTGTGGTGGAGCTTCTGATTTTGATATCGCAAAGAAGTGTAAACACAATGGAGTAAAAAAGGTAAGTGGGTACAAGAGCCGCACGCACCGTGTCACGTCGCGTCGCGTGTTCTGTGGATTGGTTACGCGTAAAGTGGTTTTTTTAGGGGCTGAAGTAAGCGTGTCGAGTTTTCTTCGGATCTTTGACATAAGAGCTTATTACCTTAATCATCACACAAGGTTTGAAAATGTCCTCCTGTTTAATAATTCCCTCCCTCCTTACCATGTTGTAGTCCGAAAGATATGATTTTATAGATCTTCCACAAAAAGTGGAATTCATGCCCCTACAAACCAGCATGCTCGAAAGCAGATTTGCAACCATATCTCTTCCTACTCCAACTCCCCATCCATCCACCATATTATAATAAGTGTATCGAGAGGATATATTATCAACCCTATATTCCCTCTCCCTTCATCATTCTCCATTCAACTCCTACAAAACCAGCTTCAAGGCATAGCATACCTGCAAGCTTCGCATGAGAACTTGCAAGCCCTTAACGTATGTCACGTAACCGCGGTTGCTGCACAAACCATGAATTTTCTTTTTTAAAGCATTCGCTCTAGTTAAGGGCTCATCAATTGACCCAGAAGAATGCGGGACCATCTATGATGGGAGTATATGAATGCACACTGTGAGTAGAGATCGATGGATGAGTCTAACTTCGGATTGGGGTAAAGGCGTACCAGTATGTTTCATCCTTGGTGCACCCATCTGAGCTGGATGCTGGTGGTGGAAGGTATTGTAGTTCTTAGCACTAGGATATTAGAAGTGCTAAAATTATAGTCAAAGGTCTAGAGATATAACCTCGTCTACTAGAGCAGTTCAGACCTTGAGTTTGATATGCGAATTTGGCTGCTATGAAGCCGTTCATGACCAAGGTGGTCTTCATTTTTCAGGGTCAGTTCCATCCAGCTTTGGAAGAATCAGATGGTCAGGTGACTTTTGAGTATTATCTCATTTGAACTCATCTTGTGGTATTCGTGTTCGCTATTTCTCGCACAGAAGTCTACCGTTGGGTCTTGATCTAGCCGGAGATCTAAACGTCCCTATATCTCAATCTACACAACCAACCCCACAAACACCCATCCATCATCTCTCATCGAGTAATTCTTAGTACACCAGTGTACCATGCACACTACCACCTCACTCAATTCCCATAGTCCCCTTACTAGACAACGAAACCTCCTTCTCCGGCCTTACTTCCTCAATAAACTCAACCATTCTCTCCCCCACCATCACCCCCATCTCCTGATACCCAGCCTCAGTGAAATGCAGTCCATCATCCCATAGTCTTACTCGTCTATTTGGTTCCATGTTGTGATATGGCATTTTGCCGCGTAGGTCGAACGTACCCCTACGGTATGTGATGTTGGTTAGTACACCCTATACTTCATACTCGTCTTTTCTACATTTCTCCCATTCCAATTATTCTAATACTTCACCAAGGCAAATTGATTAGTAATAAAATACAGGGGAAAACATACACATTATCCTTCCTCCCCAAACTGTAAACCAACATATCATTCAGTTCCGCCCTCCTCTCATCCAACACTTTAGCCCTCACATGACATTCCGGAATGGTCATAATCAACACTTTTGAGGAGTTACTGAGAGGGGTGAAGATGAGGGTTTCGAAAACGGCGTAGAGGGTTTGGACGGGGCGATTGCAGGCTAGGTCGTTTGTTCCGCCAAGGAGGATCGTGTGGGTTATTGGGGGTGTGGAGGGGACTGTGTGGGTTTGAGGAGTCAGTGGCTTCATATGAAAATAGGGATAATAAAATCTTTGAGCGGGAAGTAAGTTTGAGTTGGGGGCTGAAAAGTGTGGAATGCAGGGCGAAAATGATTCTCGTGATATATGAGTGCATGGTAGTAGTAGTGGGCATCTCCACAACCAAGTTTGAATCAACCGGAAAACATCACTCGATGATCCAATTTCAATTTTCCATCACATCCAAATTTTAGTTTTGTTCTTTCCCGCTACTTGCAATTCGGAATTCGAAACCTACAGTGCCTATCCATTCTCCTCTTGAATCCTCCCGGTGGGGTAAGTAAATCCCCACTGATTCCATCCGTTATGACCTCAATTTCTCTATCCGGCCAATTTTTCTGTAGTACTTCTTTCATCCGTTTGCTATAGGGTGTAAATTTAGTGCCATAATTCGAATAACCTTCCGTGAGAGAGTCGCCCAAGCATAGGATTTTTAACGGTGAAAGCTGGCTAGTGGCTGTAGGGGCCTGGGATGGCTGTTTTGGGGAAGATTCTGACATGATCCAGGGAATAAGCTTGGTTATCTGGGAGAGATGCGAGAGGGGAGTTCCAAGATGGCGGAAAGAACAGTAAGTGGATTGTAGTGATGCTTCCTGCAGAAACGTGGGGTGCACATGTGGCGTGTGAGATGCTTTGTCAGCCAATGGCTTGATATGATTTGCGGAATGCGGGTAGATAATTCAAACAGTAAGAATGTCAAGGCTATCTTAGGCGGTAGTACATTGGCATTTTTAGATTTTACATTCTCGAGCCCAGTCTCATTAGGAACTTGATTACGAGAAGCCCTAGCCCTGGTTTTCTTGAAAGGAAAACAAACGTCCTGTACTTGAAGAACGCTATGAGTTTTGATCAAAGTTTAATCTGCCTTCCTTTAACATAAACTTCAACAATATTCCGATCATCACCACTCATCAAGAACTTCTCCAAAAGAACTTGTAGTGGATCCTTTTCGTCTACCATAGTCATTGCTCCATCTTTTTCCGTATCAATGATCAAAGCATCAAACTGTTTCCCATTTGAAAAGTCGCCGATTTCATGGTCTAGACAACAAACTCGAGCACCACCGAGTGTGGCGAGGTAGAAACATTCAGCGAGAGATAATCGCGGGTCAGCACCTTTAGTGAGGAAATCTTTCGCATTGGATACGATGAAAGCCTGCCGCATAGCATCCAACATTGAGGAAGAGAATCCACCACCACTGTCCGTGCCTAGTCCAACTTTGATACCGCGGCGAAGGTATTCACGAATGGGCGCTGCCATGAAGCCACCACCCACCGTAGTATTTGAGATTGGGCAATGTGCTACTCCACAATTGAGCGCAGCAATACGCTCTATTTCATAGTCCGTCATTATGGTGCAATGTGCAAGAATGGAACGTTCAGATAAAAGGTTGAAACTTTCGTAGAGATCCGCTTCGTTTGTGAATGATGGAAACAGAGATAGGGTAGTAGACTTCTCGGATTCTGCCTCGCAAAAATGGGTTTGGATGGGTAGGGTAGGATTGGCTTGCGCAATTTGACCGATGCCAGCAAGAAGTTCTTCAGTACAGGAAATTGCAAATCGAGGTGTAAGAACAGGTCTGACTAGATCAAAGTTGGGGTCGATGTGTCGCACGTGGGAAATGAACTTCTTCGTGACTTCAAGAGAGGACTCTGCGGACACATCTGTGTAATAGGCAGGGGAATTGCGGTTCATATTGCATTTTCCTACAAAAGCTCGTTGTCCTTTTTCAAAACAGATGTCTGCTAATATCTCTGTTGCTTCACCGTGTAAAGACCCATAATATGACACGGTCGTGATACCTTGCTTGATAAAACCGTCGACACAGGAACTGTACACACGTCGAGCATGATTTGGATATTCGAATTTCGCCTCATTTGGGAAGGTTACTTGGTCCAGCCAATCCAGAATTTCGAGCCCCCGTCCCAAGCCACGTTGAGCCCATTGGGGCGCGTGATTATGAGTATCAACGAAGCCGGGAATGACAAATTGGCCCTTCTTGAGGTAGCGAACACTAGGAAGAAGAGTTTTGAGGTCAAGACTTCCAAGAATGGTGGCAATATCCTCCTTTTTGATGTTCTTGCGATAGTGGATTACTTTGCCAGACTGAACAACTAGCAGGCCTTGTTCAACATACTCAAGAGTATCTACATTTGCTGACTGAATGATGGAACCATAAATCAACAAGGGCGTATTTGGGGCAGAAGTTGCCATGATGTAACAACCGAAGAAAGACTATATATATACTCGAGTATATCTATATCTCGCAATAATTTGATAAATTGAGGAGATGGAATTGATTAGGTAGATGAGATAATCACGTTACATAATCTTAATTTATGATTGGTCAATTGATTCCTTACCCCCCCCCCCCCCCCCCCTTCCATCATACCCATACTAGTAAGTACTTTACGGTACCAGTTACCGGTATCCGTCCTCATTCATTCACAGCTTCATTATTCATCGACTGCGACTGCGACTTTGCGACTGTCAACTGTCAACTGTCAACTTGTCAACTTGTCAACTTGTCAATTGTCAACTATCAACTTAATTCCTAATTGTTATAGTGACGACTTCTTGTTCCGTGTTCTTTTATTATCCTCGCTCATCCTTTTAAAATAATACTCAAGTTATTCACAGATTCTGTATGTAACCAACCAGCCAGGCCTGTCAGGTACCGGTATACCCTCTTCGAGAAGTCTTCATGCGCCCCCTGCCTATAATTAAATCTACCTCCACATTTATAGAAATACCAATCTCAATTCGCTCTTCACGCGCAGTCAAATTTAAAGCTTCTTCTCTCGTTGTAAATGCTGATTGTTCAGGATTTAAAAACAGATACTCGACGTTGGATATCGGAAACCAACCGTCCTCCAGGGAATTACAATTTTCCACCCGGAACCATCATCATGAAGTTTGGAGAACAACTCCGATCGAGTGTGATCAAAGAGTACCAATGGTACTATATTGCCTACGATGAGCTAAAAGAAAAGCTCAAGACTAATTATGTTACTCCTCCCACGAAAGGCAAGCCGGACCCTAAGAGAGACGATTGGACGGAAGCAAATGAAAGAGAGTTCATCGATCTTATAGAGGCAGAGCTTGATAAGGTGCATACCAAACAGAAACTGAAGGCTATCGAAATCAGTCGAAGAATTGCAAATGCGGATAGAGAGGTTAGTGAAGTTGTCGGGCGGCTAGATCCAAGAGAACTCGAACGTAGCAATGGATCAGTAGATTCCGATGCTCCTACCGAAGAAGATTTTATGATGTTGGAGGAAGACTTGAGCGACATTATCGCGGATGTACACGATTTGGCCAAATTCGTTCAATTGAACTATACGGGATTTCAAAAGATCATCAAGAAGCACGACGTAAGTTTTGTTGATTATATGCATGTCGCCCAGCTAACAAATGCTAGAAAACCACAAAATGGATGCTAAAACCTGTATTTGCTACAAGACTAAAGGCGAAACCTTTCTTCAAGGACAACTATGAAGCGGACATCATTAAGCTATCGAAATTATATGACTTGGTTAGAACAAGGGGGAATCCAGTACAGGGTGATAGTTCAGCAGGTGGAAGTCAAGCCAGTTTCATTCGACAAACAACTAAATATTGGGTGCATCCGGATAACATCACTGAGTTGAAGCTTATTATCCTGAAGGTAAAGTTATTCTGCTCATGCCCGTAGTAACCTCTGCTAATTTCGTTCAGCATTTACCCGTCCTTGTCTTCAATGCCAGTAAGGAGTTCGAAAAGAAAGATAATGCGATCACCTCGATTTATTATGACAACACCGAGACCTGGAATCTATACGAGGGTCGACTCAAGAAAAGCGAAGGGGCAGAGGCCATCCGTCTTAGATGGTACGGTGACGTCGACAATGAACACATATTTGTGGAAAGAAAAACACATCGTGAAGATTGGACAGGAGAGAAATCGATTAAAGCAAGATTTGCGATCAAAGAAAAGAATATTAATGCATACATGCGGGGAGAAATGTTACCTGCTGCTATATTTGAGAAGGCTCGCAAGGAGGGCAAAACACCTTTAAAGGCCATCGAGGAGGACGAGAGGCTTGCTAGGGAAGTTCAATACTCGGTTCTCAAAAAGGGCTATGTACCTGTCTGTCGATCGTTCTACAACCGTACAGCCTTTCAATTGCCGGCCGATGCAAGAGTTCGTATCTCTCTGGATACTGAATTGTCCATGGTCAGAGAAGATAACCTTGACGGAAGAAACCGTGCTGGCGACAACTGGAGAAGAATGGATATCGGTATCGATTATCCATTCAGTCAATTACCCGCAGAAGATATCGAACGATTTCCTTACGCAGTTCTGGAAATCAAGTTACAAACTCAGGCTGGTCAAGATCCACCAGAATGGGTACGAGAACTTGTATCTAGTCATCTTGTTGAAGCAATTCCTAAATTCTCGAAATTCATTCATGGTACCGCGACTCTTTTCCCAACTCGCATAAATCTCATACCATTTTGGATGCCACAAATGGATGTAGATATCCGAAAGCCGGTCACTCAACGTTTCGGCATCAGAAGGCCAGGCCACTCAAACCCAAGTTCTACTAGCGACGACGACGACGACGACGATGATGACTCCGACGATGAGGACATCAGTTCCAATCAACCTGGGACCATTGCCGCTGCTGCCGGGAATTTACGGCGACGCAACCATGAAGCACCAGGCAATAGTTTTGATATCGAAGAGGAAATTTCCAGTATGCCATTGGTGGAAGAGGACTACATTTATGATACTGATGACGAGGATTCCATCGATAATCGACCATTTGAGGAAGCTAGAAGGATTGGTGGTATAACCTATATCGTAGAAGGCGCCAAATACTACGTCAAATCAGCGGGCCATCACTTTGCTCGAGGGATTCATTCTATGAGCCCTACTCCAAGAGAAGCAATGGATAGTAACAATGCTACATTCACAGCTCTTCGAAATGGTGGGGGTAAAGTTGTGGCTAAGAAATTCAAGGCTCCGCCTGGAAAGAAAATCCACGTACCTGTTCGTGTCGAACCAAAGGTATATTTCGCCGCCGAGAGAACTTTCTTAACCTGGGTATGTAACTATTTCTTTACTATCTTCTTTTTCAACATCAAACCGGCCTACTAACACAGTTGTTTTGTAGCTCGAATTCTCCATCTACATTGGTACAATAGCTGCTACGCTCGTCAACTTCGGAACAAAGCCAACCGCGATATCATTCATAGCTGCCGGTGTCTTCTCAGTGGTCGCCATCATGAGTTTGTTGTATAGTGTGTGTATGTATTTATACAGGAGTCATAGTATTAGGGAGAGGAAGAATATCAAGTACTATGATGCTTGGGGACCGAGCATCTTGTGTTTCTCCCTGTTTGCGGCAGTGATGGTTAATGCGGGGTTTGAGTTGAATGCCAGAGGGTTGGCTTGAGTGAGGGGTGGAGAAGTAAAACTAATTGAGGTGTGAGATGTGAGGTGCGAGGTCTGAGTTGGAGAAAAGAGGGTGGGAAAAGAAAAGAAAGAAGAGTTAGAATGTATAAAAGTTTGTCTATATTATGTGGAGATTGATTGTATTGAAAAATGGGTCGGAGCTAGGAGTGGTAATGAAATTTCATTCGGGGGAATAAGGTTGTGTAAAAAAGCACTTTTGGAATTTGTATCTTATCTACAAGGACAATCATGTGAATATCGAGTTTGTTTGTGTATAACTGAGCTATCAACATACCTTTCTTGAACAGTATAATAGGAGCTAAATAAGAACCAAAAAGTGATTCTCACCATCCTATCCCATCCCATTACATTGCCTGTACCCTGGCGAAGGAACATAGATCTTTTACAAGATATCGTGAATAGAGGGGCAGAATGATAACGACCAAAGCATTTTTTCTCATTTTACATATCTTGCAATCTATCTATACACATTTTTCAATTCATCCTCTTGTCCCTAGGTATCTCATATTTTCCCAGGTTCCTTTCCATATAACACTCAAGCCTTCTTCCCCTTGATACTAACATTCAAAGTTCCCATAGCCCACACGGCGACGAATAAACTCAAGATACTGCAGAAGATAACGATGGGTTTGCGGAAGCCGGCAAAGAGTGGATAGGTATATGTAACGATAAGTTCGTGATCGCGGAGATCGTCGACGAGGTTGTGGGAGTGGATAGTGAGGGCTGTGCGGCCGATTGTATCCATGAAGGTTTTGTGAAGGGTGATAGTTGAGGATGTGGTAGGGACAAGGGTGGAGAATTGGACGTTCCTAGTTGGGGGGTTAGTTGATCGTAGTGGGAAGGGGAAACTGGAAAACGTACTCAGCTCCTTCGGGAAGAATGACACGAAGTTCGACGAACTCATATTCAACTCCCTCGGCTTGTTTTGGGCCTTCCAAGAATGGAACATTAAGAACATACTGCTCTCCTCCACTCAACTGTCTCAAGAATTTCTTGGCGTCCGCATCCCAACCTATACGGAAAGGATAATTCCAGCCTCCGAAGATTGGGTACCGGGGCTTAATTTCGAGGTTTGCTTCGCGTCTGTTGCTGCGGAAACGGGAGGTGGAGACGTTACCGATGACATCAGTGAAGTATGGTGTCAAACTTCCGACCCTCAAAGGGAATTTAAGCTCCTTGATGGCAGAAGTGGGAGTGGTGGCATAGTATGAGGCTTGATTCCAGAGAGTACGGGAGAATGGTTGAGAAAGGTTGGCGGCACGGTTGGTCATAGTGTAGCGTTCCTCGAAAGCAACATTTCCTCCCCAGTGGCTGACTTCAATGTCGCGCTCTAATCTGGAGATGTGGATGAGGGGTTTGGTGAACTCATATCGAACTCGAACTGGTTCTTTTGCTCCAGCTGGAACCTCTCCAAAAGAACCATATGTGTACTTGGAACCTTGTTTTTGTGGTGATTCGAGTGCGCCATTAGTTCCTGGAATAATGGTGTGCTCTGGAATATTCGTAGTTGGAAGTTTGACTTCAGTCTTTTGCTTCAAAGTGACGTATGACGACTGGGCATATGCGGAAAATTCATAAACGACATATTGGTTCTCGTTTTGTGCGATTGAATTCGGAAGAGGGTTCAAAGCTGAGAGGTAAGCATATGAAATGCCAATTGTTTGCTGTGCTTTGGGTGCGAGAGGTTGTGGTAGCTTGATCAGGTAGAATTGAGTATCACTTGTGAATAATTAGCTAATACTTCAAACATCAACCAGAACATGAATTACCTACCTCTCTGTGTCAAACTCTACTGCTCGTACTTGGAATAACCCCGAGTCGGCATCCTTTTTATCCTTAACCTCTAACGCTCCAATTGTCTCCATCTGCCTCGATGTGAATGGCAGGTAGTATTCATCCTGAGGCTCGTTTGCAACGTTCTCAATTACCACATTTATCGATTCTTTTGGATAACTCTTTTCGAGGTTGATATTGTGTACCAAATTGACATTTTTAAAGACTTGCGGAGGTTTGAAATTTGAAGGAAGGATGTGATTCGAGGTAAGTGGTTTCGTCAAGTTACTCTTGTCTGCCCCAAAAGCTGTAGATACAAGAGAAAGGACGGCGGTCGCAATCGCGAATGACTTCATTTTCAAGAATTATGGGAAGCCAGCCTGATAAACAACAAAATCAATTCTCACCTCAAGAAAATGAAATATGATCAAATCCGAGACTTGGTGTTGTTTGTTAATATATCTCAGATCAGATAACTAGGTAGCTTGTCCGTGAGTCCCCCGGTACCCATTGAAGCTTACGTTGCTCCAAAGTGTCCTGAACAATTTTAGACGCCATTTCGCGACATTTTCTAAATACACACCTCTAACTACACACCTCTCCTTCGCTTTGCTTACTAATCTCGCGTCTAATTCTAACTTATCTTATCATCCGCCGCTAGCTTATTAATCGGCTTAATTCTGGGTTATTAGAGCTGACCTGCTCCACTATGATGAAGTGACGGCGGGGAGTCGAGTAAAGGGTCAGCCCTTTCCCCTACCTAGTTTCACTCAACACAAACTCAATCTCTTTTTTAGAAAACTTTGTAAAATCATCGGCATCAACTTCTTTTTTTTTTGCTTCCGCACTGTTCAATATCCTCGATTAGATATCTAAGGACTTCAGATCTCTCAAATCTTCACTTATACCCTTTTTTTGACCAATCTATCTTTGAAAATCCTTCAACATGGTGGGGTTAGGTCCAAGAAAGCCTCCTTCCCGTAAGGGTATGTATAGCTTCACATTTTCCTCTGTTGATTCGATGTCGGTTTGATTCGGTTGATACGGTTGATATGTGATTCATATTCACTGTTGTTTGCGGCTGAGCAAGCTGTACAACCTGTATGGAAATCATTATCAGCTTGAAGTTAAAAAGATTGGGTCTTCAACCTCAACCTCAAATCACCCACAACCAAGAACTCAAACAAACATTTCACATCTACAAAGTTTTTGGATAGAACTGAAATATGTCGACAACTCCAACCCCACCCCCAGATCTTACTACCAAAAGGCCCAAAACACTATCAGGAAAAGGTTCATACCTCCTAAATCCCTGTATTCAACTTCACGGCCGCCGTTTGTTAGTTTAGTTTACTCGACAAGCGTGCGGCTTGGATCAAACTCAAATATTGGCATGTGCTTTTCAGGGTACCACCCGGATCTCGTGCTCTTACTCCTCATATGAAAGCACCAAAACCTAGCCCTTGGGCAAGCTTCCTTGAGATCTCCGAAGGCTCGAGGTCAATGCTGGTCACATGCCTCTTGTTTGCACATGTGCAGTCATAGTCTTTTGGACTTGGCTCCTTGATATGTGTTTCAACATGGCAGCCATAGCTTATTATCACGAGCCCATTTCCTACTATGATTCACTTCCAATTTACAGTTTTGTGGTTCTAAAATCCAGAATACATTTGCTAATCCATGAATTTCACATAGGATCGATGGCGGAGGTTCCAAAGAATTATTTGGAGCAAATCAAGGAGCTTGAGAGAATCTTCACTGTTGACACCGAGAAGCTCAAGCAGATTACTGAACACTTCGTATCTGAGCTTACAAAAGGTATATACTCCATGTCACTATAATGCGAACGTTCCGCTAACTTTAAGCCAGGTCTTACCGTGGAGGGTGGAAGTATTGTATGTTCTTCGGAGCCATATTAGGGTTCATGACTAATTCTTCTAACTAGCCAATGAACCCAACATGGTGCATGTCATTCCCAGATGGTTATGAAACTGGCACTTTCCTCGCTTTGGACATGGGAGGTACCAACTTGCGTGTCTGTGAGATTACCTTGACCGATGAAAAGTCTGAGTTTGACATTTTGCAATCAAAATACCGCATGCCGGAAGAACTCAAGACTGGCGATGCCGATGAACTCTGGGAGTACATTGCCGATTGTCTTCAGCAATTCATTGAATCCCACCACCACGGTGAAAAGCTTGATAAATTGAACCTCGGTTTTACCTTCTCCTATCCAGCTACCCAGCACTATATAGATCAGGGTATTCTGCAACGATGGACCAAGGGCTTCGATATTGCAGGTGTCGAAGGCGAGAACATTGTTCCAATGTTTGAGGCGGCCCTTGCTAAGAGAGTAAGTTGTCAATTACCATACGAAAGAATAATTTCGCTAAAATCCACCAGGGCGTACCAATTAAGCTCACGGCTTTGATCAATGATACCACTGGTACCTTGATTGCTTCTGCATATACTGATACTACCATGAAGATTGGATGTATCTTCGGGACTGGCTGCAACGCTGCGTACATGGAAAATTGTGGCTCCATTCCAAAATTGGCCCACATGAACCTCCCTCCTGACACACCAATGGCCATCAACTGCGAGTGGGGTGCTTTTGACAACGAACACAAAGTTCTCCCCCGTACTCCATATGACATTATTATTGATAAAGATTCTCCACGTCCCGGCCAGCAAGCATTTGAGAAGATGATCGCAGGTCTTTACCTTGGAGAACTTTTCAGATTGGTTCTTGTTGATCTTCACGATAACAAGCAAATCCACATGTTTGAAGGCCAGGATATCGAGAAGCTCCGAAAAGCTTATACTTTGGATTCCTCTTTCTTGTCCTCGGTTGAGGAGTAAGTTTCTATATATTCCTATATCTTTATGATTGATTTATTGACACTGTCTAGGGATCCATACGAGAACTTGTCTGAGACAGCTGATCTCTTCAAAGACAAGCTTAGCATTGCCACCACTGTTCCAGAACTCGAGCTTATCCGCCGTCTCGCTGAGTTGATTGGTACCCGTGCCGCCCGTCTTTCTGCATGTGGTGTTGCCGCCATCGCCAAGAAGAAGGATTACAAGACTTGTCACGTCGGAGCTGACGGATCGGTCTTCAACAAATACCCTCACTTCAAGGCTCGTGGTGCAGCAGCACTTCGTGAAATTCTTGACTGGCCTGCCAAGAAGAATCACAAGGATGAAGATCCTATTGAGATCTTGGCTGCTGAAGATGGATCTGGTGTCGGTGCGGCTTTGATTGCTGCTTTGACGCTCAAGCGTGTTAAAGCAGGCAACATGGCCGGTATCTTGCACCCAGAGAACTTCAAGTGAGCAAGCATATGACTTATTACAGGGAAGTCTCCAGGTTTTCGGAAGGTAGTAAGTGATGCGGATATGAATATTATGAACAGCATTTACAATCGACGTGTAAAGAGAATCAAATCATTTGGCATGGCATGGCATGTAGATAGATGATATATGCATGGCTTGTTTTTTGCTTCTGCCATGTTTTCGGCAAACCAACTATTAGCAAACACATACCAGACCAATAAATACAAGTTTGTTAACTGTTGGCTGCAATTGATATTCTATATCCTGGGTATCATTATAAATCTTCCGGCTATACTTTTCTCCTCTAACCCATAAATGTACAAACTGGCAGACGATATTTGTCTAGAACCCAATATCTCCTCCTCACACCTTTCCATTCTCCCTCTCCCTCTCCCCCAAGCTCCTCGACATCTACCTCCGTCCACTCAACATCAAGTCCTGCATCACAGAGATCAAGTTCTGAAACCTTCGTATATACATCATAGCAGACTTTTCTATCCGCTCCTAGACCGTTAAAGAAGCTGAACTTCCCATTTTCAGACAGGAGACCAATGACATATTCGGAGAAGAATTTCTTCAGCTCCATGTAAGATTCTCCAAATGTGTCAAAGTATATTACATCGAATTGGAGGTTTTCTTCGAGGAGAGTAGGTAGGATTTCTTGCCAGCGACCGGCGTGGATTTTGTAACTTCCTTCTTCGGGCGCGGATGCCTCCCATTCTTTTCCGAATTTGTGGCCCGGGGTTTGCAGATGTGCGAGGACATCGGGATGAGCTTCTATTATGTGATGGCTAGCAGGCGATGTGGATGCGAACATGGTGTCGATGATACCCATTCCGAAACCGATATTGAGGATCCGTAGAGGAGAGGACAAGGGAATGAGGAGATCGACGGTACGTTGCATGATGGATGTTTCCCAGGCCATCATCACACCGTTCGCATCGGCGTCGAGGAGCTTGTCGTCTGTAAATTCGAGTTTACTTCGCAGGTAGTCCGCTGAGTTGACATCTTTTGTTGGAGCTTTCGCTTCTTCTACTTCTTCCTCTTCTTCAGTTTCTTTTGTATGTCCACTTGCTTCCTCTTCTGCGGTGTCTTCTGCAATAACATTATCTCCTTCGACAACAATTTCAACATCCTCACCAATCTCTAATTCCTCTACCTCATCCTCCTCTTCATCTTCATCATCGTCACTCAACTCCTCATATCCGCCCATCAAATTCATCAATATTTCCGCCCTCACGCCGGCATCCACAATCAATTCATATAATTCCTTCCTACCCAATCTCCAAGCCAAACAACCGGGCGTCTCGTTATTCGCATCTAGATCATTCCATATAGCACCCGATAAAAATAATTCTTTTATGGTCGCTTTCGCGGCCTCTATATCTTCTGGAGAAGGAGAATCTTCGCAAGAAGCAATGACGGCATGGAGGGGTGTGAAACCTGTCTCGGGATCTTGCACGGAAGCGGCGCCGGGTACTCTGAGGAGAGGTTTGAGAGTGGGGAGGTCGTGGTTTGAGGCGGCGAAGAGGATAGTTTGGGTGGTTGTGTCGGTCTCGATCGCAAATGCCGGGTCGTTCATTTTAAGAATTGGGTATATCTAGATTGAACAGTTGAATTGGAAATGTTTATGATTTTGAAATGCTGGGGAGTTTTTTTTGGAGGGGTCGATGGACTTGGTGGGGAGAGAGCGGTGTGAAGAGGCAGATCGGTATCGCCAAGTTCCGATCCATTGCTTTTAATAAATGGTATGTCTCTACACACAAATTACAATGCATCTTATCCGAAAATAACGATAAATTCAAAGTATCCGAGGCGAACTAAGCTTCCCCTAAATCACATATTGATTCCAATCAAGATGAGCATATATGAGAACAAATTAGCAGTCGAAAAGGTACTGCTGGCAATCAGCATTTTAGCTTCGCGAACGGCCAAGGATCTACAAATGAGTATCACAAATGTAAATTTGGGGTCCCACACGAATCTATCGCGCATACACATTCATGACTAGGTGTCTCTGGAAATGAAGGCTGCGGTGGGTATGACTCTTATCTTCTTTTACATATATATATACCGTAGGTCAAATCTCTGTTGTGTCCCGATGTATTACAGATAGATAGGTTGCTTTGAGTTGTGTACTTGAGTATAAGTATCCCACAAGTGTTGCCGATATCGCTCTTGCTTGACACGAAGGACCAGAACATGTCGACGACGTTGAATACCACGCAAGGCATGAAGATGGATGTTGAGAGTCAATTGGAGTCGAGGATGCGGGAAGACTCACTTTCAATGATTGACCCTGAGATGGAGAGACGAGTTGTGCGGAAAATGGACAAACATTTGATGCCTTTAATCATTGGGCTATGTATGTATCTCTCAGAACTCTCCCGGGGTCAATGGCATTAAACTGACCGCTACCGAAAGATCTCTTAGCATATCTTGATCGTTCGAACATTGGCAATGCGAAAATTGCTGGTATGCAAGATGATTTGCATCTCGATTCTGATAGCTACGAATGGCTCCTCACCATATTTTACATATCATATATTATATTCGAACCATTGGTTCTGATGTGGAAGGTTATACCACCTCATATGTGGGGCGCTATAACTGTGGTGGGATGGGCATTATCTGCAACATTGCAAACGGCTGCATACAATTGGTCAGGAATGATGGCTGCTAGATTTTTCTTGGGAGCTTTCGAAGCTTCTTTTGCACCTGGCATCACATTCTTATTGTCTTTCTTCTATCTAAGAAACGAGCTTGGACTTCGATGCGGATTTTATCTTGGGGCAGCTCCTTTGGCAACGTGTTTTGCTGGTGCTCTAGCTTACGGCATCACTTCTGGCCATTTTCATAGCATTGCGGCCTGGCGTGTGCTTTTCCTTGTTGAAGGTCTACCCGCCATTCTTGCAGGTATTCTCACCTGGTTTCTCATGCCCGACAGCCCCGAGAAAGCCAAATTTTTGACTGAAGAGGAAGTTCTTGTTGCACAAGCTCGCAAATTTCGGCAAGTAGGTACAATTGATTCTGAGCGACCACACGGGATACAATGGAGCGAGGTAGGGGCCGCCTTCCTTGATCTCAAGAATTGGATAACGGCACTGATGTACTTCTCCTGCAATGTGTCATTTGCTTCTCTGCCAGTCTTCCTACCGACCATTCTTGCTGCGATGGGCTTCTCAAATATCAATGCACAAGGATTGTCTGCTCCACCCTACTTTCTCGCTTTCCTGGTCGTAATTCTTACAACATGGCTCGCAGACAAGTATTCTCAGCGTGGGTACACTATACTTGTGCTCTCACTCATTGGAGCAGCAGGATATATCATGCTTGCGGTATCTTCCAGTACAGGAGTAAGGTATGCTGGTGTATTTTTGGCAGCTTCTGGCATTTTCCCAGCTATTGGAAATATTCTTCCATGGGTGATGAACAATCAAGGTAGTGAGAGCAAAAGAGGCACGGGTATTGCAATTCTCAACGTTGTGGGACAATGCGGACCTCTCTTGGGGACGAGATTATATCCCAGTATCGAAGGGCCTTATTATAGTAAAGGAATGGTAAGTCCACACAGTATTCCTTGCATTTTGATTCTTTTTCACAAATCATTGTGCAATCCACTCGAAACCAGCATGAGAATATACTAATCATGATTCCCGTCTCATAGTGGGTATGCGCAGCCTTTATGCTCTTTAATGGAGCATTGGCCATGGCCTTACGTTTTCTACTTACATACGAAAACCGAAAATTGGATGAAAAGTATGAAGTTGTCGGCGATGACGTTAATGGGAGTTCCAAGGATTCAAGACATGGTGGAAATGAGAATGATGGACCTAATTTCAGGTATATTTTATGATGAAGCTTTGTTGGATGGGCATACGGTTTGTTTCGTATTTTTTGGTTATTGATTGTGTTACTGTAGAGTAGCTGTATGTTTTGGATATCATCATGCGGTTGAGAATAGAAAGTTCTCTCGATTTGGATGATATTTTCGTTTAATGAAATATTTTCACAGTTCCGGTTTTGCGTCTGCGTTTGAGACGGCTCTTAATATGCTGTGAATGTATAATGATATGAGGATAAACAGTGCAGCTTGATTTCATCTTCATCTTCACCAGCAATATATATTTTTTTCCCTGCCTAGGTTGCAACTTACAAAAAGAGTCTCTCCGAGTTTCGTTGCATGTCTGTAGTGCTATCCATCCATTCAACTCTTGCATTGGTTGTGAGATAGATGGATTTCCTGATGGTATAAGGTTTTGAGGGGGGGGTTGTGGATAGTTGTGGAAATGGAATGAATGGGGGTGGGGAATGTTTGGATGAGGGGGTTGATATGTGGGATTTATATGTGTTTATTTGTAGTTTGGGGGAGTGGGTAGTGAGAGGGATAGTGATAGTTTGGAGAGGTGTGAGGTGTGAGGTGTGATGGGATGGAATGGGATGGTGAATTCGGTTTGGTGGAGCAGGACAGAATGGAATGACTAATTTTCTATTTGGGTATAGTATAGTCCAGATTTCATATAGAGTAAGTATGAGTATATATAAGTGAAGTGAGGTGAGGTGAGTGAAGCTAAAAGACGATTTTTGGATTTGTAGATGTGCAACAAGAAAAGAACAGGATGATTATCCAATAAATTGATTGGGTAAATGATGAAGCTATCCAGACTTAGGTAGATGTATCAGTAGATAAAGCAACAAAAAAGATGATATAACAATTGGTGATTAAGTAGAGATTGCTTTGGTTTGGGAGTGAATATTGGGATGGAGATTGAAGATAAGATGAAGATGAGTAGGATGGGGGTAATTGAGCAGATAGATACTAGGTAATAAGCAGTACTGTATGATTCCGGTACTGTCGACGCAAGAAGGCACCTAGGTACGCTCAGTGTGATCAACCTTCCTCCTTTCTTCCTTTCGTTTTTGACCACCAGCAAACAGCCTCTCTCATTTACCCCATTCACCATACGCTTTAGAAATTGTGCATGAGAAGATTGCACAACGAGTACCCAGTGCCCACAAAGCTGATTATTGATCTGGTATTCGAGTAGATAACCTAAAGTTTCATATTTTTTAACCCTAAATTAATGATTTCAAATTTATCTATATTTACCAAAAGATCTTTTACTCATATTCTAATCCTTTATAGCTTTCACTCAACTTAAATGCCTTCCAGTTCAATAGTCAATAAATCAGTTTGAATGATTTCAAGTTCAATATTTATTAAGTCAGAATGAATAGTTTCAATGTTTCAATCGTTTATATACTGAGTAAACCATTAAGGGTTAGCGACGATAAGGGGTAGTTTCCACCATCTAGTAGTGGTGCTGCAATAATAAGGGTATGATTGTGAGAGTATTAAAAGGTTTAGAAAGGGTCTTAGAAAAAAGAAAAGGGAAAGGGAAAAAAAGGGAAAAGGAGAAGGTCTACGAGCCTGGAGGCCTGGGAATCCTAGGAAGAAGTAGCAATTGAGAAGCCCGGGAGGGGGTGGCTATCGATATCGAAGGATTAATTTAGTTTCAAATCTCAATACTCGAGTATATTGCCTTTGAATCTCAATACATGTACTCGTATTTCAAAAGGATGTAACAAAAAATGACCGATTTGCTTATTCTATCTATATGAGGTGCTGGTAGAAGAGGCAGTAAAGCATTATGACTAGCTTCTGTGTGTTGTTCTTGAATTCATCGATAGAAGAGGTTGTGTGTATAATAACTGCATATTTTTCCAATGATGCATGGATCCAATGATCTATAAAGCAAGAGAAGAAAATAGTGTAGGAGTAGAGAACAAAGAAAGGTTGTGATTTGTTCTATTCGAGTATTCTAATTCTTTCACGCACCCGCAGTCGCTATCGGCAGTCGCTGCCAATCATTCCATGTCCAAGATCATAGAGACTGTCCTGATCTGTTATTAGGCACAGGTAGACTGAGGTGGTGGAAACATACAGAACATATATCAAGCGGCACGATAGCTAGCTTTCGAAGAGTAGTGTTTTTCAGTCCCTATTATTAACAAGCCCGAGGAGGGTAAAAGCAGCATTCATATATCAGATCATAACTTAACCAAGATATGGCGATGGCTATAGCTATAACCCCTTTTACTATAGAATCTACGTCTAAATTCTGATGCTAGATTCATCTCATATACATAACAAACATGCCTAAAATACAGAACAGATCTAAACAACTAAATAGTCCAAAAAACCGTGCCGTCTGACCCATATAATCCTCTTAATCTTCCACTTTGACCCCGTCACATCCTCTATATATATTTTCTTTGTCTACGTGTACCTCAATACAATTCGGGCTTGTGGTTTAGTGGTATAATGTTCCTTTAGCATAGGAGAGGTCCGGCGTTCGATTCGCCGCTAGTCCATTGTGAATGAATATGTCATTCATTCAATTTCTTTTTTATTTTTTTATTTGTTTTTCTTTCTTGGCGGGACTTGAAGCAAGATAAGTGGAGTTTGGTGGTGTGGATGAACATTTGGCGATTCTACGATCACAGGTGTGAATAGGGAGGGAAAGAGAGGGAAAGAGAGGGATTATGGAGCAATGGAAAAGATGAAAAAAAGTTCCACTGAGGTAGAGAGAGCTGGAGAACTGGATAGAAAGTAGATGTAGTGTTTGTGTTTGGGTTGGAGAGAGGCGGCAGGGCCGTACCGGAAGAAGAGTCTTTTTTGGGGGACTGATAATCTTGTTATTGATACCTGCTCTTCAGAAATGAGATACTGTACCATCCCGTGGTAATTCATTCATTTTGAATAGAATAAAATATAATCAAACAATACTTTCCCTATACGGAGTATATCAGTAATCTATCACCTCTCCATCCACCCCACTTACTCCACTAAAAAGAAAATCTCCCAAAACCAATTCTTCCCCCTTTCTCTTCAAAAAGACATTTATCTTCTATTTCAGATAAAATCCAAAGCTATCACCGAGGGGGGGAAAAAAAGGCAAAAAAAGAAAGTCTCTCAGGCGCGAGTCGAACGCGCGACATCCAGATAACAATATACAATTACAGTCTGACGTCATAAACCAACTAGACGACCGAGAGTGGTTCGAGTAAGCTCGAATGGTCACAGTTTGTTCTGTTTGATAGAAAATGTGCGTGAATTTAGATCTATATAGGACTGTTATAGTGGGGTAGTGGAGTGAGTGTGGCTTGGTTGTGGCTGGTGAGGTTTATGGTTTATGCCACATACAGTACATATAGGATTGATCCGAAAATAGATGAACTTCCGTGAGATGGCTTTTAGCATATGGTGGCTTGATACACTTGTTTTCCTGGAGGAACTAGATCGCTCCTACAGAAGAACCACATATCTTTATTTGTACAGTGCTGCCACCAACTACAGTACCGAAACTCTATCGCTCATACTCAGTACTCTATCTCAGTCAAGTCTTTTGGGTACAATTATATCATATATTGTGGAAGAAAACTTTACACATCATGGGTCCTCACTGTTGGACATCGAAAACAGGCTCTTGATCCTCGATGAGTCTTGGTGAGACACGGTATTTGCAGGTTTTGTTGTCGGCTCTGTCATGGCATGGATGGATTGTTGATTGTTCAAGGAAGATTGTTTTCGCAAGATATGGCATGGTAATCAAGTGATATGAAGCCATTGTCAGATTGCAATACTTCAGTGAGTACCTTGTTGATCCAGAATATTGACTGTGCGTTTAGTATTCTTGGGGTAGTAACCTCCAGGTTCTGAGTACGATGACTAGAGCTTGTACAAGTCGCAGGAGTTTAGAATGATGAAGCTATGTCCTTTATTTTTGCGTTCAAAAATTGACAAATCAGATTATTTCTACCCAATTCTGCAGAATGGGCTGACTTGTTTGGTTGAAGCATGTATGGGGAGAAATGAATGCCGGAAAATATATATTCTTGTTACTTTCCGGGATTGAACTTCAGTCCAAATTGCCAACAGTCTATTTACAATCCAAATCTAATGAAAAAGGGGTCTAAGGAGAAAAGCAAAATCAACCACAAATCAAAACCAAAACGTCAAGCACAAAACAATCCCCATCCTCAAGCCCATACCCAATCAATGATCCTCATCAATCAATACCAGTCCCCGATAACTTTCTAATGCTGAATATCAATAGCAAAGAAGTGCACCTCACTCTTACTATTTCCCTGGTTATAATTACCAGCCTTGAAGTAACTCTTTGGGCTATCCAACTGATAAGTATCCAAAACCTTGGCCGAACCCCCATTAATAGCCACACTCAACTTACCCCCCTCATAAGCAATCTCATACGAGAACTTAGACCCCACCGCCACACTCCCCACTTGCGTCACAATCTCATTCCCGCCCTCTCTAGTTTGTTCGACCCCCATTGAGAGAACTCCCTTGGAGTTATAAAACAACTCGCACACCGGTTTGCTAGATACACTGTCATCGATATGGATTTGACCAACAACCGTTCCATGTGACGAATCATCGGCCGCAACCACCTGAAGCGTAGCACGGAGTTTATTGGTAGCAGCGCTAGGGCTCCACGAACTAGGACTAGCTTCACGCAGCTCAGTGCGGCAATGCTTGGAGTTGGGTGTGGTGACGCAGCCGGTGGATACGCCGCCCGGAACTTTCATCACGACGGATCCGTCGGTGGGAGAGGTGAAGAAATAATCGGCCTGCTTATAGCCGTCACAGCCCGAAAGCTTGGAGCCGCTGATGGACTCGGGATGCCCTGTGGTTCCGATGGGGAGCTGGAGTGTCCATTTTGAAAGATCGATGTTTCCGCCAGGAGCACATGTGGACTGCAATTTGCTAGAGGCAATACCAGTGCTGAGGGCGTCGGAGGTGGAGGTCGCGCTTGTGGTGGTAGACTTTTGAGCGGGCGCGGCGACAGCGAGGCCCAGAAAGGGAAGGATAACGAGGAGTTGGGGGATGGTGATTTTAGGAGACATTTCGATGATGATTTTTGTTTGGATTGATTCTTGGCGAAGGAAATCGTGGAGATAGTCAAGAAAGAAGTCAAGACTGAAATTTATAGAGAGTAAAAAAGAAACAGTAAAGTGTTAAAGATGATGAATTGATGTTGGATAATACTATTAAAATCATTTCGAACCCAAGAACTCATCATATATATATGTATATACCATCTTCAAATATTGTATACTAACACGAATCTGCTAACCTAGGTACTTCTCCTCATCCATCCCAATCACCTCGTGATCTCAAGATCTTCAAGATCTGAAGATCCCCCACACCCAAATAAATCCACAAACATCCAACAATAGAAACTCCGATCTAGTCTAGTCTAGTCTAGGCTAGTCCATCGCAACGAAACAAGGGTTCCAAAATTATGAGTACGCTACGAGAAGGAATTATCAATATCACACCGGTACTACTATACCAGCAGATTCTAATAAATCCTGGAAGGATTTTTTAAGGTTGATCGTCATGCCCATAACACACAACACCTAAGTACTTGATTAATTTTGCTGACAATCCCAACCGAAATCATTACCACGGATATTTAGTCATCGTGATAATTACTCGAGTGACCTTAGGCAGGATTCGACTAATTTCTAATTTCGCGCACAAGTAAGCGTACAGTAGTACTGTAAGCGCTGATGCGCATACGTGGATGGATAAGCGTGATAGTAAGCATGCGCATCCGCATCCGCATCGTATTTTGTTGTGGGATGGGATGGGTGGTACCGTAAGTACGATGCTAGTATTGTTTGATGGGGGATGAGGGGTGCGGATGAGAGAGTTGAGTGCCGAGTGGTGGGTATGGATGGATGGGGAGGCCCGGGAGAGTGATGGGTTGGGCGAAGGATGCGATGGGTGGTTACGAGGGGTTTGTTTGTGGTTAGAGTTGAGTTGAGTTGAGTTGCGTAGAGTTACGTAGTAAAGGATGAATTGGATGATCAGATTAGGTAGCTTTTGCGTTTATTTCATATCGAATGCCGGTAGTGTAGTAGTGTAGTAGTGGGAGATTGTTGAAGGATTGGAACATTGAACTTACTCATCAGCAGTAGTTTGGCAATCATTTAGATCCGGAATTTTAATCATCGGTTCCCGGTTATTAGTAAGTTTTTTTTAATTACAGTAAGTTGTGGTGAAAATCCTGCCACAGCTCAATTGGTATTCGAGGGCCATTGTAGTATATGTAAAGACATATGATTGGTGCCAGGCTGATGTTAGAAGTGTTTCTCGTATGAATCTTAAATGATGATCTTTGCCTGTTTTTGGGTGTTATTGAGTACCAATAACAAAATAGGGATACTGAAAGACGATTGATTGTGTTCAGATCCCAAGCAAGTTAACCTTCCCCTTAATTCACTCCAACAACTTTGCTAACTTGACTATAGCTTCCTCACAATTATTACCTTCGACCTCATTCACTCACACATTGAACATTCACCAATACTAAAGCTTCCTAAATCCTCATTCGCCAAAAGGGAAAAACCTCCCTCACCGCCCAACCCACCTCACCGTCCTCGCTTAACCCACTCATCAAAAGCCTCAAACACCCACGTACCAAAAGAAAGAAACCAAAAAATTTACCCTCCCCAAACAATGAATACACACGCAACAGCCCCTCCAAAAATTAAGCAAAAAATTGGTTGGTAGCCGCACCACCCAGGGACAAGCCGAGGACATACGGTGGATTGGCCAGGTGTTTAATGCTAGAGACGCTGAACGGTAGTCGGGAATCATAGGCAGCCTAAGTCATTAAAAACGCTTTTGTGATGGATTTTATATATGGTATTTATTGTCTTGCTGCTATATGAGTGGCTAGGGATATGATATGGATAACTTCATTTTCTCTGCCCTAAAATATATCTTATTTTGCTCTGTGAAATAATTAAATGCAACTGATTGATTTTTGACTTACTTGTATGAATATGTTTATTATAAAACTTCGAGCGCATCGCAGATGACCTTTTTTCTTGTGTCGCATACCACTTCTCTATCCAGAAAGTGTACAATGGGTTTCCAGCATAATAAATACTTTCCGACATAATCAACACACACATCCAAAGACGCGCATACAAAAATAAAAGATATTGCACCCATTAACCGCAGACTCCCCGACTTCCTGTAACTCAAAACAAACAAAATCATAATAACTCAACAGATCCTCGCACACAACCCAGAGAGTATCTTGGGTAACGTTAACCTCACTCACCATATCGATGAAAGACTTCGAGGCTGTCGACTACGGAGAGAGTACTCGGTCGCCAGAACCATTCGGCGCAAATAAGTTGAAGATATACGTTCAATCGATGCTCGGTAGCTATTTGCTACTCGCACAATATATATAGGATCCTCTAAGCTAGTAAATTCTCTCGTTGTTGCATGCGCAGATGAGTTGAGTTGATCTTATGGGCACGTTTGGGTATTGATGAAAGAGGAAGAGAAAGAGATTGCGTTAAGCTGGAAACTGGAAACTGAAAACTGGAAACTTGAAGATATTCAGATCGATATCAATGTGTCTCGATCTCTCAAGAGTCAAGAGTCAAGAGTCAAGAGTCAAGAGTCAAGAGTCATCAGGAAGATTCCGATATAGTCTATCGATCTATCATATTATTATTATATTCACTCAGCCAGAAGCCGGTCATGGAAACCCGAAATTTAAAACTGAAACTCGGAAGAATAGGAAATGGAAAGTGGTGTTCATATATCTGGCGCTTTTGTGAGCGCACCTCAGTTATAACATCGAGCTGTATTTTGTGGGTCGAAAAATCGAATCAATTGATGTGGAAACTCAAGGTATTGTTCCTTAAGAGGTGGAAAATTGGGAGATCAGAGATTTGTCAAGGGGATGGTTGTTCTAATGTAAGTTTGCGGGTGCATGTGGAGGACTGTAGTACGGAGATATTGGTACTTGCATATAGGTTCGTCAAAGTGCTAGATGTAGTGTCGAGAGAAGACTATGCATATGTTAAGTGGAAAGAGTCAGCCAGAGACCTAGAAGAAAGTAGTGTGGTCGGCTAAGGTGGCATCTGGGCTGCTATAGAGCTCGACTCATTGTTTACATCGACTAGATTGTCCTAATCCACCGCAATAGAAGAATGGAAACTCATATTATTGCCTGGGCGGTTCGTTAGTGAATGAGGGCACCTAAATAGCGGATATCTTGGGCCGTTGGACACATTATTCGAACCCTCGGAACCATTAGGTGATTAGTTTTCCATATAAAATGAATCCAATCTTGCCAGCCATGAACCTGTACTAAAATTTATCTCCCTTAGTCGCTGCTTATGCAAAATAAATACTAGATCTTCCGCTAGATTTAACAGTATATCATCTTGGACATCGGTGCCTAATTCCAAATATCTACACATTACTCAATAATCGTAATCAGTGAAGCATTTGATATATTGGCCTTTTCCCACCTAAATCAACCCACCAATTAATTAAACGATGGTCATGCGTTCTCGTGTGCATATCGCGTGTTTGCTGCCTATTCATGTTTCACCAACGCGTTTGCCGACCCGATGATATTGTGTTTGTACATTACGCTTCCTTCTGAGAATATATAAAGAGTCACAGAATCCCCTCTTGGTCGATCTTTTCTGTAGATAATAAAGATTAACGATTAGTTTTCTCGCAACTACCAATTCCTCAAATCGTTAATTTCGAGTCACCGATATGGGGTAAGGAAATGACGCTTCCATCCTCCAGTGTCCATTCCCTCTCCCCATTCAGGTTTATATAACATAACTCTTCATCCCTTCAACTTACCCAACAACACTAACCCATAATGTAATCAACCAGTTACAAACACTACTGGGGCGTCAAAAACCCAACCAAATGGTCCGAAATATGGCCCCAACTCATCTCAGACGCAAACCTCATCATCGAAACGCTCAAAGACCGGGCTCCGCTCATGGACGAAAAAGATAATTATCACCTCCCGACCATCGAACGCGGAATACACATCAATGGAAAAGACGCCCTTGAAGATTTTGTGTTGGAGGAACATGAGGGTCAGGGGTTTGACTTCTGCAAGACGGCTCGCAAAGAATATGATGTGATGGTTGCGACCATTCTGATTCGTGCGAAGATGTTGGCCGGAGATGCGTTTAGTTTTAGGTATGTGCTTTGCTTTGCTTTGGGCTCTGTGTTGTGATTCGTGTGGTCAGGATTATCTAATGTTTCGATAGCTCTGATGGGTGTTGGGATGAATATGAGTGGAAGGATGCCTTGGGTGTTTATCTTGGCTTGTGGCCAAATGAAAATTTGTCGATGAAGGAAATAATGGAAGCTTGATATCTGATTATGAATAGAATGATTTGGCCACAAAGGATTGGGACTGTCGAGTGTTACAGTGAGGATATGTATGTAGCTTTCGTGGCTGCTTGCTCGATGCACTAGACTAGACTTTGAAGCACAGAAAACTGATACTCCCTCCAAGCTGCTGTAGCAAATCTGAGAGTTCATTGTAAGTGAAATGATCTGGAGAAATAGAGAGCCCGTGTGACTTGAAATTTGTGTACGCGGCATGGTGGAAGTTGATACCAAACAATGTGTTAGCAAACCCTGATATATCCTGCAGGTAGAACTAAACAAAGCCTCGGATATAATTCAACGCAGGTAGAAAATAAAAATATCGATATGTTTGTCATTCCTAGTACTATAGAAATAAGATCTTGGTAAATAATTGACGAGTAATTGTCCCAGAGCTCTCAATTTATGGGTAGAAGCCTCTCAGCGGAATATACATACACATCTTGTTACATTAGTTGAGATTATCTTCGCCAAAACATTACCACTCAATGCCACGGGCTTATGCCTCAACCGACTTTTGGTTCATCCTTGAATTTTTAGTAATTCTTCAGAGCTAACCGATACTAAGTTCGAAGATTGCCCTTGGACAGCCGCGACCGACTCTATAGCCATACGTATTTGATCTTCGAGGTGATTCTAGTCAGTATTTCTTCGTCGCATTCTCAAAACTAACAGGACTTACCTCGCATTCCCGTCAAAGCTTCATTCGCCGTTGAGTAATTCTCCAAGGCATCTAGGATCAATCTGATACCCTCGTGTAACTGAAGCAACAATTTATCGGTTCTCTTCGAAAGTCCATCTTCAAACGGGCTAGCTTGCTTGATTGCAAGAGTCTTGTGGCAGAGCATAATCATCGCATAGCTACTTTGCATAGCACAGCATGCAAATATGGGAATCATGCGAGGTAGATTTGTCGCCTTTCCGGAGGTGGTCCAATAAGAAGGGTTTCCCGGATCATAAGGCCGTGGAAATGGCAAATCACGGAATGATTGGGCGATATTGAACGCGGACTGCATGCATACTTTTGAAGAAAACCGACCACTGAATGGCAAGATCGGAGAGTCAAACACAGAAACGTTGTCCGGGACTGGCGAATCAAAAATACCGGGGCTTAGTGATAAAGTAGCCGTGACTTGCTGTAAGTTGTTGCTGCAACCACAGGTAGTAGGTGGAAAGTGCTGCCCTGCAGCGGGGGTGGAGGACAAGTCGCAATGCTTCTTTGTAAATACTGGCATATCGGAGAACGCACAGTAACGATGAATTTTGATCCTCGCACTTCAAAGATGTCAGTGATAGCCTTTCTAGATAAAGAATGTGATTACCTATTAAGCTTGATACGCGTCATAATCCGCAGGCTTTTCGCGACGACCCCTTCCGAGGGATCCATCTCATCCACGTGTGCATAAGACCACCTTTCCGCTTCTTGTACTAGAGGCTCGATGGTCTTTTCCAGTTCGGCCATTGTCTTCCACAGAATGAGATCATGACAATCTGTTTTTAAGGATGATTCAAGATCAATCACGAATTGAGTTGCCGTGGCAATCACTCTTTGTGCTTCAAGAAAGACATCCCAAGCCTAGATCCGATACCTTAGCTTGTTTACTTTAACATTCACACAGGGGTATCTGCGCTTACATTCGAATCAGATGCAAAGGTAGGAAGTGGCGTCGTGAATCTTGGATCGGAAAGAAGAATGGACGGTGCCTGTTTAGCTTTGGTCAAAACATATAATGACAATTGCGTTAGAAGTAATGCATACCATGCAACTAAGGATGGAACCTTGACAAACGCAGACATACTGCCTAGTGATTAGTATTTAAGGATGGAGCTGAGCTAAACATGGATCACAAGTTGAAATCATACCGTCATCCACCATATTCGCCTATCTGACTCGGCATAATCATAATACTCCTTGCCTTTCGAATGCAATCCTAAGTCCATAGCAGATACTAAAGCTTGTCCGCATCTTTTGCGCATTTTCGAAATGTTTCCGCGTTGGGAATACTCATAAGTACATAGTAGCAGTAATGCGACTGTACTCTCAACTTCCAATTTTACTTGCGGGTGAATTTGTGTGCGATATATGTGAGTCTCTTGTGTGCTTAGAGCCTCCCCAGGGTCCATCATAGACTCTATCATTTCGTTCTCAGTTTCAACGCCATCAATTGCCAACTGAGCGAAGACTTGAGCCTGATTTCTCCGAATTAGAATAGATTCCGGAGACATGGGGTTCGAATCATCAGGATGGGGAATTAGTGCAAGGAGTGCGGAGATCGCAAGGGTCATCGGAGAAGTAAGTTGGAATTGTAGATTGTCCCTGCTTTGAGATAAAATGTCATTTGGTCCTCGTACTCCGGTTTCCAATCTATCAATTGCTTGATGCAATAGCGGAGGTGGAAGAACAGGAAAATATGGGTGAACATAAACATAGTAAGCGCTCAAACTAAAGCGTTCAATTTTGTCAGTCATGTTAATCAACAGTTTTACGTAGGGCAACTTGAACTTACATATCCTCATCGCTAGCATAAATCCTTACTATAGGGCTCTCTAGATTCATTTCAAAAGCATCCTCAACCATAGGTTGTGGCACGAAACCGTTATCTATCGCCAAAGGCTCCGAGTTTTCCAGGAAATTTGGGTCAAAAATAAAATCCATATCGAAGTCTAATTGCCCATCGTTTTGGAGAAGACCAGCGCCAGGAGTGGCCAGTGAAACCACCGGAGCTGGTCCAGTAACTAATGATATGTTAATACCATGTTTGGCAACTAATCTGTTGACATACGAAGCTCATTTGGCGGTGATTGTTCTACATGTCCTTCGGTATTGGTATATTTCTTGCGTCTTCTTGCACCACCTCTCTTACTCGTTGTATAGACGCAATCACAACCTCGATTGGTGCACTAATGGATTTGAGTGTTCTGTCATTAATGTTCCCGAGGATCACTCACATTTGCACAGGGAGTTTTACCATTGCATCGGGTGCGTGCAGCACGACTGCGTTATGTTGGTAAATATCTTCTAAAAATACTGATAAGAGTCAAATTACCACTCTAAGCATGCCACTTTCACAGGAGGTGCCAAGAATTTCCTGGTTGTGGGTTTATTCTGCCGTGAATCCATTGTGGTAGTAGAAATTATATCACATATTCGTCTCCGAAACCCCTTATTCAAATTGCAGGGGTTTTCCAAAATGATAATGAATCCGGACGACGATGTGGCCTCGTGGAGTCCGTCTTGATTGAAAGGTTTGTTCCGGTATATATGATGCTAATGATACTGAAGTCCTAAAAATGTTGAATGGAATCAGTTTGGTGATGATATCGATAATGGGTGATGAAGGAGGCGATGTTATAGCGAAAATTATATTATATCATACGATATCGGACACGTTTTGATTGGTGGATCCGTGCGCAAATAACTTTTTGGCTTATTAATACTCATCCGAAGATGAGCCAGCAGGCAAAAACATAGAACCACCAGAATTCACCTAGAAACACCCTCGAGACAGACAATTCTACTGAAGTACTCAAGTACACAAATATGAGAGGACTTTCTTTCCCTCAACGAGACAGCTTGTTAAAATAGATCTCAATCATGTTAAGGCATTGGGATCGGGATACGATTTTCCCTTCTCTCTTTAACCTTGAATATGAGGTCCTAAGTTTAGATAATATCATACCGTTCACTTCCTCACTTCCTCACTTGATGAAGTTAGCTGGTATGCACAAAGAAGCCATATGGACGTGATAGAGGTATAGAGAACTTTCCAGATTGATACAATTCGCACGTAAGGTTATTGGCCATTTATCCTTCAGACACGAGCTCAATACTCAAGTCTCCTCCAAGAGTGGGCTACTATCACCGATGTCTCCTGGATTATCATGTCCTATCTCTTACTATGCTTTTATTATCCATCCATATGCAAGATGGACAAGGCTTGCCTATTGACGGCGGTCCATCCCTTTGCACAGTTTTTAATCATGATAACTTACTCTGATACTTCCGGATAGGCCACACCTGACTACAACGTTACTTGACGATCCGCAATTCATACCGTGGTACTCAATATGTCACCGATTAAATTCTTCACCGACAGATATCTTTCACAGTTCGATCCACAATTTCGGAGCTACAACCTGAATGGGATCTCGACTGCGGATCGATGATGCAGACCTTTCGACCCCTCAGTCTACCCCGCGCGGCCTGATACCTCATGTGTAGCTACATTCCTTGAATGGCAGAGATATCCAGGATTTATATGTAGCATATCCCCACGGATAATTACCAATCCTTATGATTCTTTTCGAAATGGGTTTTCTCAAGGTTGCTACATTATTTCTCGTCGTCAGTACGACTGGTGCTCGGGCTGGCTCCTATGTTGGTACTCTATCACACAATGCCCAGGGACTCTTCAATGAATCCATGGATTATCTGGATAGGGCCTACGACGACTCAGCTGGTTATATCTATCAACTTAGTGGATCTGCAGCGCTGAGACACGACACCAGAAGTTCAGCGTGGTATGCCATTGGCCTTTTGGCAAGAAATCAAGGCTCGGATGTAAATGAAGCCGAGAAGATAATTTCAAACGTAATCAATGGTCAATTTAAAGACACTGAAGATCAGTGGTCAGTCTAATCATCGTCTGGCAGTGAAGCTAAGGACTGACATCTATAGGTATGGGGATTATCAGAAAGAATCTGAGGAGCCAGAAGTGGGAAGCTTGTGTTACGCACCAAATATATACAATTCCTGGGATCCAAATTGGCGTGGTTTCATAGGAACTGCATTTATTGTTGGCCTTGAAGAATTTGGTACCCTCATTTCTCCAGAAGTGACTAGCCTGATGCTGAGATCTTTGTATAACTCCACCGTGGGCGACAGCTATCGGGATGGTGGAGTAGATGGCGATAATTTGTATCCCGCTTATACTAATCCTGTAAGTGCCGTAGTCAGCCTCTGATACCCTCTATTAATGAAGCATCAGTCAATAATGCGTGCCTTTGTTGCTGGATGGACTGGTCGTCGACTGAATGAAAGCAACATGACAATATCTGGCGAGAACTATGCTCAGCAAATTATCGAATTGTTTGATCGAGCCAATACTCTTTCGGAGTTCAACAGTGGGACTTACACAGGCGTCTCTTTGTTTGCCATGACTTTGTGGGCTAAGTATTTGCCAGATGATTCAGTGATGAAGCAGAGAGGTGCATCGATGATCCGACATACTTGGGAAGCAGTATCAAACCTCTGGCACCCGCACCTTCTGAATGTCGCTGGTCCTTGGGATCGCTCATATGGCTTTGATATGACGAAATATCTTAGCTTACTGGCACTTCACATCTGGAACGCTGTGGGCAAATCGAAGTCCTCAATAATCGACAAGCCGTATATCATGTCTCATAATGCCGATTTTGCATATGGACCATTGTTCGCAATCTTGTCGGAGTTTCACAATAATTTGATACCAGCCAATGTGATGGATGCTCTTGAAAGCTTTAAAGGCGAGCATACATTCAGTTCTTCAACCTATTCACCACCCTTCGACCTCTACCCGCGCAATATTACAGCCTGGCTCGCAAACAATATTAGTATTGGCGCCGAAACATTTAATGAAAATGTCTTAGGTGGGCCTGCTAAGAATCAAGGCACATTTAATCCCGCTTTTATACAATGGAATACAGGCGATGGAATTGGATGGCTGACTCTCTATGCAACGGAAATGCATGTCATTGCCGAAGCTGGTGCCAGTTCGCTGAACTTGACTTATCCGGACGGAAATGACACTTCAATATTTACCTTTCTGGTCTCGCCATTCGCCGCAAAGAGGACCATTTCAAGCCTTGAGGATATTCAAGGTTTGAGTCTGCAGGTGTCTGGCACAATCGATATGAACTATACGTTGTCATATGCAGGAGAGTATGGCGGTGCGGATTCCACCATTAATGATTTTGAGTATTGGAATGTGACTTTTGCAATGCCGCCCGGGTCAACCGAAGCGCCTCATATTTTTCTCGAGGCTGACCTTTGGTGAGAAGACGTATTCGAGGTGTAGCGATATATTTACTGGGTGAGGTGATTAGACTGATCTAGGGTAGTTATCCGTTAGTGGAAGGAATATTCACAACGTATGCCGGTGAACAAAGGTGTGTACTATGAGTTGCTAGAATTCGTATTTAGACATTTAGGGAATGACCTTTTCGGCAACTCTTTCGTTACCTGGCACAGTATCATTCATTCTGTCCGAAAAACAAGGTCCAGACGGCAACAGCTCGATGAGGGTACCCCCTGTTGTCAACAGTTCTTTCTGACACCATTTATTTTGCTTAATTTCCCTGTGAGAATACGTTTTGATGGGGTGGGTCTGAGAGAATTATTTGAGCTGGGGGGATGGAGATGGAGATGGAGATGTGAAATTTATGATATAGGTTGGTCTTTTGATCTCTTTGTGTGTTGCCTTAGTGAGATACTGTGATATTAGTTTTAAAAATCAAGGGCATGCATGTATCTATGTAATCAAGACACTCCGGTTCAAATCAATTAGTAAACCTTTTTGTCAATATTCCAAACCCTGCAAATTCATAGACTCGAAGGGAGGAGATTCCAGGCACTCAATGAACGAACAAAGCAGTAAGGATAGACTCAGCGAATTATATTTGCAAGGCATCAAGCTATAAACATAATGAAGATGCACCCCTTTAACACCATCAAACCACCGCCCGCAGCAACAATTGCAAACCTCCTCACAATACATATCCTCACATCCTTCACTGATGAAACGATTTTCGAGGCCGTCCTCTAGAACGTTTAACCACATCAACATTCCGATCCGACGAAAATTGAGCTTCTAATACATCTTCATCTGCATCTCCAACCACGTTTCCCACCCGATTGTCAAAAGCAAAAGCCGAGTTCAGATGCGAGATCTGACCATTAACCATCTCCATTCCATTTTCTAGATAAAAAAATCTCTGTGCCACTTGATTATCCTCTCTATCCCTCTCGTTTACTCTCGCTTGCAACACTGGAATCTGACATTTGAGATTGGTGAGTTCCGGCTCACCTTGCTCGTCTTTCTTCTCTAGAGCTTGGATTCGGAGGATGAGATCTTTGATGACGGATTGATGGGTAGTGTTGACTTGTTGTTGGGTTCGGAGTTTGTTTTGTAGCATGGATATGGTGCGTTCATGGGTGATGTTTTCTTGTTCTAAGCCCTGCACGCGCACCTCTAATTCTTGCAGTTGAGAGAGGCGTCGTCCGTTTCGATAGGGTTCCTTGATGTAGATTCGGGGGTTAGGTGGAGTTACGCTGGGGCTATCTAGTTCGGATTCTCGTTGAGTGTTGGGTAGATTATCGGTTGGCATGGGAGATTGCTGATATTGGCTATCTGGTCGAAGCTGCTGGGGTATTCCTTTTAGAATCGATGCATTCCATGTGGCGCCTGGATGTTGCGGTGTTGAATTCGCTGGGACCGCCGGCTGTATTAGAGCTACAGGTCTAGGCTGCGATCTGCGGAACCTGTGTGGGGCAGTTGTTTTGGCAGCCCCGAGAGTTTCTCGTCTTTTCCTCACCTCATCCGTGAGACTTGCCTGACCTCCCGATTCAGCAATCCTTATCTCTACCCTATCGGCATGTACAGTCGATTTTGCATGCCACTCCATATTTGAAACATCACAATTTTGATAATGAATCTTGTAGAGCCGTTCTTTGCAGTCATGACACCTGATCTGAAGTAGATCGTTCTCGTAAACAAGTTCGTATTGATCGTCAGGGTATTTTTCACTCAATTCTTGAAGCCCTTGAGTTACCCAAGGAAGATTGGCAACCTGATGACGTTAGAGTGATGACTGAATAGCTCTAGGAGTACTTGCCTCACTTGCAAGCTTTTCAGCATTCAACCGAGTCTCATTCGAACTGGTAACATCGGAGATTCGTGACCATGATTCCCCCTGATAATGTCTAGGCGTTGTTGAAAGTATAGTTGACGATGGCGAGTTGACTTGATTCTCTTTCCCAGTGTTTAAGGACTTCGTAGCACTCGAATCTCCATTGACACCGGATATACGACGCCGTTTGTTACTTTTCATTTCGATGGAAGAGCCAAGAGTGTTTGTATTGACGGGGGAGAGCAGGCGTGAAGCATTTGGTTCCAGCTCACTCATGGAGACATATTCCCGACCTACGTTACTTGGTGTCGCAAGGCTTGAATCAAATACTATTTGATTAGGGCCGAATATTCCTGAGCTGAGTAGGTCATCACATGATTCGCCCGGTCTACAAGTTTCCCTCTCACATTTAGAGTCTAGAACGTAACTTTGCTCTATCGTTGCAGGTAAATTTCTGACGGACGGTGTATCCGTTCGAGATACTTTCACCAGCATATGGACCTATATTCTTAGATATGACATGAGTAACGAGCATAAGATATAACCATGCTCACCTCAATCATATGATCCAGCACCCTTCTCACATATTCTTCTTTCTGTAATTGAGCATATGATTGTGCTTTAGGTGACCATCGGTGCCGAAGACGGTAACATGAGATGATGACTTGCGGACACAAACCTTCTTTGGAGGCATTGGCTCGATGAAAACGTATAATACTTGCAATGCATCTTGATACTCTTATATACGTTGAAGAGTGAGTTTCAACGTTACTAGCCATGGTTTCTGTCACCTCCTCTCCATCGGCGAAACAGCAGGCCGAATGCGAGATTTCAAATGTTTTTTCTTCGTTGAGACTATAAATGATCTTAATTCGACCCGAACAAGTCTACCTATTCGCTTAAATTTGAAAGATAGGAGGAGAAGGCGATATCGGCATTTGGAGACGCGTCTGATTCGGGACGTGTCAGAATGAAGAAAGTATTGGCGTGATTCAGCCACCACACCACGTGATACAAAAAAAAAGAGATGAAAGTGGCGCATGTTCGTAGAAGACTAAATTCTTAATTCCAAGACTTGGAACGAGGATATAATTTTGGTAGGTGGTTGAGAAGCTTTAAATATTACTCGGCTCTCCTATTGATTGAGTTGGACTTATTCAATTACGGCGAGTCTAGATATATATGGTCCAATGGCAATGGCATATTTCTACTCCTTATATATTTTGAAACAAAATCGCTAGATATTCCTCGTTCAAACTTCGACGCCTTCCAAATACGATATACTGGTACCCTTCATTCTATGCCATCACACTCTCCATCCATGGATATACCGCCGAATTCGCCATTGGATAACCCATATGTAAAGCGCCAGGAAAGAAACTAGAACTCTTAGCAAAGAACTACCAGAAATAAGAATGGATTTTGACTTACCGAGCTTCTTTGGGTGTTCCATGTTCAAACAGTAATTGTGAGTCCTCAATTGGCATCAGTCCATCCAAAGTTCCCTGTTAGTCGAGCCATTAGGTTAGTGATGATGTAGATTATTAATTGAGAGGAGTTCCCATACATTGATGAGCAGTAATCTTGTCGAAGGTTTATCGATTATTCCAGTCTCCAGTAGGGAGAACTTCTTTTGTACGGTATCTCTGAATTCTTCGACGGACGTATAGCCATGCTTTAGTGCCATGGCCGGGCCGAGCCTAGAAAATGTCAGCATTGGATTGCTCGGCCTTTTATGGACTAAACACTTACTGGAAAGGATACTCATGTCCTTCAGCCTTCTCAAGCCAATCTTTGCCGAAGAAGTAATGAACTGCTGCCCCTTGTGCAACCACTCCTCTCAAGCGATCCTTATGTGTATGAGCAAGTCTTACAGCGTAATATCCACCAGCACTCAAGCCCCAGACCATCACATGGCTCATATCAAATAACTCTACTAATTTCATCCAGTTTAGAATGCTGGTCCACAATCTATCAGGAGATGAGGGGTCACTTGGATCAGAAGCGCAGTCAGCAGTTCCAGGGATCTCCGCAATCACACATGCCCATCCACGATTAATGAATTCATCGCTTCGAGCTGTATTATCCGGTCGATATCCATCAAGTCCGGTCAAAAGAAGCACCACGGGAACCTTCCGGCCTATAGCATCAGCAGGATATCTCACATACACTGGAATCTCAAGTTCATCTTGCCCCTCGGCACAACTATGCTTGATCGAAACTTCTTCGAATGGACAACTCCATTTCGTAGCAGCTTTCATGTAAACTTCCTTTTGAGCTTCCCACGCCTTCCATTTGACTTGAGAACTTATCTTGGGGAATTTGCCAATGTACGGAAATCGAGCGATTCGATAAACACAAGCAGCTCGTAGATAAAACTCGGATGCCAAGGTTTGATTGCCAGAAGTTACGGCTTCATCTCCATGCGTCGTGAGCTTCTCGGCAATTGCAAAAAAAGCTTCAGTGTACGCATCACCATACCCATCGTTTATGTTATTCTAAGAGCCGTTAATCACTGAAAGAGGGGCAAGGGGAACAAACTCACGGCAATTAGATGCTCAAATATGGGTTCGAAGTCTTCGAATTTTCCATCATGGAAAGGATATACACTTTTTGTGCACTGTAAAACATGATTATCATCGTTGCCCTCATACCTCATGTAGGGCTTAGTATGCACCTACGGGAAATTTCCATTTCGTCTCCCATAATGCCTTCACCCCCTCGTGATGAGGGGACTTCGCCTCAAATTTATCTCCTAATGTCCATGTTCTCCCGTTGCCTAGTTGCGTAACTTGAGATGACATCTCTGTCGCTTCCAAATGATATATGATGCTGGTGACGCTGATAGTGATGTTAATGTTAATGTTATTTAGTCTTTAGTATTGAATGCGCTGATAAATATTTCAATCTCGATGCAAGATACTTGAACAATGCACAGTTTTCGCTGTATTTAGCTTAAATTAACAGGAGGTCTTAGTAAACAATCAGTAACTGATATACAAGTTACTGGCAGTCGATCAACAACAAGAAACGTGCGGACAGGTTGATCATCATATGTCCGTTGGGGAAGTCCGTGAACAACTGGTCCTACACCAGATTATAAATGGCTCGACCGCAAATGAAGGGACATGATTGGTGCCTTTTCCAAACAACGGTTTCGGGATTAGGTTACACTGTTACAGTAATGTAATAAGGACAGGTTCGGGAGTCGGGACTTCCTATAAGTCCGATATGCGAGATACTACCATAGTCGTTTTTGAGGCTTGAGCAAGCTCTCGTCTGCCCCATTGGTCAATACGAGCGATTAGTCAATGGGATGTCCTATTCGAATAGCTCTTTGACGTCCCAATGGTTAATCGCTCGTATTGACCAATGGGGCAGACCAGCTCAAGCGACCCCCCGATTACTTTTCTCCTTTTGGAGGATTAGGAACGTTATTTAAATATCATCCCATTGGAAGATAATCCTGTTTTAATTTACAAAGTTATTTTTCAATTACTCGAGTATATTATACAAGTTCCATTCAAGTTTTCTCCAATCCTGTTTTCTCCATGCTGCAAGGAGTTGCAGTACCACATAGCACCATGTTCCACCTAGGAACAATTCCTCTCACAATATACTCGTACTGTACGGTGTTCAAATACGACGACTCAGATTTATATGAATCCAGTCTGCAATTGACATTGATCCTTCTTGAGATTCAGAATTCTATTGAAAATTTGAGACGCGGAAACTAGTTATGTATCTACTACAGATCTATCGATTTCAAATAAGATATCAATCCCTTTTTATACAAGATCTCATACAAGCCATTTAATATCTATAGTTCTTCAACACTGACATCTGGCATCTTACCGTAAGTTTAATATGTAGCAACTCGATTGGAAACAATAGAGTCCCGGGACGTCATGCTCTTTTTTCAATACATTACATGTCGAAGTACCAGATAGGTTTGCAAGATAATCAACTTGGGAGTCTACAGCATCGATTACCAAGCTGGTAACCGTTATGGCTAGGGTAAAGATGGAGTAGAGAGGGCCAATCGACACAATATCGAAGTTCTGTTTCCAAGTGTTAAGATAGGGTAATAAATACGTCTTGAGCTGAAATGCATAACTCTAAGTGAGCTTATCTCCATTTTCAAATGTGCTCTCTGGTATATATCTCAAGCCATCGCATCAAAAGGACCTCTCAGCATCTCAGCATAAGCTTTATAATAAACATCCGGATTCTTCCAAATCTGTCTCACCGACTCATTTCTCTCCTCCATATTTTCCCGCGCCACAACTCTTCGCTCTCCTTGTGCTCGAGCACCTGCTACTAATAGGGCTGTCTTAGGTTGTCTTAACCCTGCGAATTCGGCGAAGATTTTGGTTAGGTCTGTGGTTGAGAGATCGGAGCCGGCATCTGGGAGAAGTCGTTGGAGATGGTAGCAATCTTCCCTAGAAAGTTGTTAGTACAAATGTCTCGGTTGGCGCAAATGTGGAGTCCATTCTCAACATACATAGCTTGGTTAGCACCTTGACCCAAATGTGGACTTGTAGGATGTGCAGCATCACCGATAAGAATACATCTCCCATCATACCACTGTTCGGCTTTTAAGCCCGGCCTATCGAAGATTCCATATTTGAGTAATCTTTCTGCGCCACTAATGAGTTCTGCAGCTGGTGAAGCCCAATCTCCAAATTGTTTCAGGAGGTTGGCTTTTTGAGCGGCAAGTTGTTCGGGAGTTGCTAGAAGCCAGGTTTCTTGTTCTTCTTCACTTTGTCGCTGCGTAAATGCCCATGATGAATGGGTGGGAGAAATGGGGTAGTGAACCAAATGAGCGGAGGGTCCGAAAACACCTAGCATGGTGTTCTGGACAGATTTGGGTGTGGGTGAGAATCCACCAGTCTGAAAAATATTAGTGCCCTTAACTCAGAATGAAGCTGGGGCTATTACCTGTACTAATCCTGTATACGTAGCTTCAGGCTCATCGTATGCTTTTCGTTTGAGTAAGATATGTCTCGACGCAGCTTTGATACCATCACATCCAACGAGAAACGACCCTTCGATTCTCTGGCCATCCTCTGACACTGCTATTACACCAGTCTCACTTTCTTCAATATTGTCAAGTTTCCAGCCTGCGTGAAACTCAATTCCTGCATCCACGATTGCTTTTTCAAGAGCCAGATTGAACAAAGCTCTTTTGGTTCCACAAGCAGGTTGACCGTATGTTTCTTTGAGTGTCCCAAGGAAATTGCCACCTCCAAGAACTTCTCCTTCATGAGTCTTTTCCCACATTTGTTCCACCCATGGGGCGTTATCAGTTACTGTCGTGGCAAGACCGACTAAGTTGAGTACTTTGAGGCTATCACGTGATTAGCCTTTTCAGTCCGATGTAGATGGTTGCGGTGAAGAACATACCCGTTTGGTTGTAGATATAAAGATCCACCTGCTTCGCCCAGTTTCCTGACCTTTTCCAAGACAATAGGCGTATAACCCTTTTTCTGAAGTAGAATTGCAATCACTGGACCAGCAATACCGCAGCCAATGATAATGACTCTTTTAGAATTTGTTTGAGACATATTGATAAACTTTGAAATGGATGTGATGAATGTTGAATGTATCTTACCTTCAGGATGAGCATTTGATAGACATTTATATTCACTTCATCATCTTCTAATCCCCGCCCCGTCCTCGCATTCCACATTGGAGATCGGAGTGCCCATGGAGCGATGACTGTACCGGCCACAAGGCCCTCAGCCTCAGCCTGTAGGTTGCGCAATTTGCAGAACCATGCGATTTCTAATTGAGCTCGTTATGTTTTGAGGGGTAGTCGAAAACAATGCAAAGTATGTTTAGCAAGTAGTACTGTAGTTGTTCGAAGGAATAAAAATACTCAAATTCCACTACTCAGTTATTGATGTTGTGGTCAAGAATAAATACAACGTGTGATTGTGTAGTAGCCATGCATACTTAACTGCTTCCGTGCAGGATGCTATCAAACCAAAAACGGAATCTGCTCAATTTCCAGATGTAGTAACAGAATCGTAGTTGTAAGCTTATAAGTTAAGTAGGTATGGATATGGAGTAGATCCACTTGGAGTAGATCCACTTGTACTCACTCCACTAATAAACCCATAAACTCAAACAATCACAATATTAGAATATTAGGCGAGTACATGAAGCAAAAAGAAGAAACTCGGAACACCAAGAAAACAACTTTCATGTTTCCTTTCCTTTTGGCCTATTGGAGTTGCAAAAAAAACAAAAATCAGAAGATATCGACGCCGGCATGATTCGAACATGCGCCCCCGAAAGGAATTGATTTCTAGTCAATCACGTTAACCACTCCGTCACGGCGCCTTATTGGTTTGTATAAAAGTAGTGCTCAACTAGCGTATATAATTACTACTTTGCAATTTCTAAGAAATTAACAACAATGTACCCACAGCCGCCCAACCTCTGTTCCATATAACCAACCCTATTATATGATCTATAACACGACCTCAATTATATCAAATCGTGAAACATACATGTCTCGATTGAAGGTATCTTATTAGATCTTTCAAACTCCAAAATCATCCGAATCCGATCGCAAAATTCGCATCACAATAACCTTATCAATATTATGTTTTTTCCAGCCCCTTCATCTCATCGCCTAAATTATCGTGGAGAGTGCGAAAAGCGTTCTGTGTAAGCTTCTGTACTAAAAGTCGAAAAAGATGGTAAATGAAGCAACATTGAATTTCGTCTATGCTACAATCGCTATTTCCAATCTTGACTTCTTATCTATCTATTTATCGCCGTAATTCCTCTCTTCCTACACTCGAGTATGTGATGCTGCCCTCCCCGCCGCCCGAGGTTTTGGTACCGATGAATTTTCCAGCCTTTTGGTTCTGTTGAAGAGGTCCATGTGTATTTGTGTATTGAATAATCAATTCCAAATACTTGTAACTCCTGTATTCCAAAATGAAATTGTATTTGATCCCTCAACTTATATCCTGGCTTCAACCCTTTCAACCCACTCCTTTCCAACGCAATTACAGACAGTACCCATCAAATACCGGTATGTCCATATACAAGAATTCCATACCGGGGTATCATCGCATCCATACACCCATCCAAGCAACCCAAACTCCACCCAACAAAAGCACACCCGTAACTACCTACACCTTTGGCGCCACTGTCAAAACCACCCACCCTACTTTTCCCTCCATATCCTTACAAGGCGTAAAATGACAAACATATTGTTCCTCTGCCCTCTTCCACCCCTTCTCCTTATCCAGTACAACACCCCCGAAAATCCCTTGAGATTTCTTCACTTCCTCAGTTCCAGTTAGTAATCCCGTTTCAACTGATACCGCTTTGCCGGCTTTGATGCCTTCTTTAACTACGGTTTTGAAATTTCGTGGTATGGATGAAGGAGAGTGTTCGGTGAGAAATTTGAAGATGTCCTTATCGACTATGGGGGCTACGTCTCCGCTTGGGAGGTTGAGCCCAAGCATGTCGATTATTCCTGGGGAGTAGTATTTGACGATTAGATGTTGCGATTGAGGTTGGTAGGATAGGACGAAATACTATTTCTCGTGTTAGCAAATGCCGCTCACCGGTTCGGATATGTAAATGTACCTTTGAATAAGCTGTATAAAACTCCTCGACTTGCATTTTGAAGTCTAGCTTTCCAATCCTGTCTATTAATTCCCCCTCCATTCCAGCTTCCCCCCGAATTTTTATCGTATTCGCATGGTACTTCTTAAAGCTTTTAAAGAAGGAACTTTTCCCATTTTTACTTTGATTATTGGATTCCTTACTCCCCACGCTTGGGGTTTTCCTACTTCCCTCTGTAACACTTTCGTTATCCTCGTCATTTAGACTCAAAATCTTAAGAACATCGGTACGACTGTGGATAGTCGTACTGCAATTTATTTGTCCGCCGAGAAAGAATTTGACGTCTCCATTGCCGTCTGTTAATGGGGATACGTGTAGGAGATTCCAGAAAGGGTCGCCGTTTTTACGATAATTGAGAAGTAATTCAACTGTTTCTTCACAGTCTTCAATGGAGGCTCGTAGACGTTTGGTCGACTGGCGATCAGTATATGACCCTTGTAGGAAGCGACAGTTTCGAGAAATGATATCTGTTCGAGAGTATCCCGTGACGGACACGAAGCCATCGGAAGCAAATGCAATTGGATTATCGGCTTGTCTGAATTCCATCAGTTTCAAATCTAGGTGTCAATTCGTTTTGAATAGGGTATACCTTGGATCAGTTAAGCAAAAACAGTCACCTAAGCCAGGATATCTTTCCTTGTCATTTGCCAGTGCCATGGTTGCTGAAGCCGTCACTTGATGTTTCACAAAACGTGGGTACAAATCACTAGCCAACAGTTTCTCAATTGGTTCCTGAACTCCATTGAAGATGTCCTCCAGGCCGGGAAGAACATCATGTGTCGCGTTCTTGATATCATGTGATAATCGCTGGGCATGAGAACTAGAAACACTGATTTGCTTTGGTGCTTCTGATGAGAGGAAGGTTGAGTGTATAGTGGAAAGAAGACGAGTTGCTTCATCGATCAATCGATTGTACTCATCAATCTAGTTCATTTGTCTTAGCACTAGCATATATCTACGACGACAAGCCATCATTATCATACCTTTTGCAAAAATTCGAGGTCTTCCGAACAAGAACGACTTTGACAAAATCTTAAGAATCGATGCGCAGTTGTCGGATTGCGAAGCACAATATAAAAAACTTCAGAGCTAAAGAAGTCTGCAAAGTTTCCTGCTCCACTCAAACCTACACCATTCCTACTGCTGAGAGTTTCTTTGTCACTAGGACTCGTTCGCATCGAGCCTAGTGTGTTACTTTCAGCATCTTTCGAGTTCTTGATGCGGCGTGGGCTCTCGGATGCGGACTCGGTAGACTTGGGACTTATTGGAATAGGTTTAGAACTTGGAGTTTCGCATCTTTCTGTTAAGGTTGATAATGGAGGCAAAGGGGCGGTTCTGTTATAGCTATTTTTGTACTCATCGCGAAGAGTTTTTGATGGCGCTACATCCCTACTCTGAGAGTATTGGTCGATTTTGTTCGCCATTTCTCTGCCCAATCAGATAGATATTTGGAGCTCCAGTACAACCCCGTAGGAAAGAAACGCGTAGAAAGAAAAGCAAAAAATGCAATATATTACAAACCGGTGCCTACTAAGATAAAGTAAGAAATACTTTGTAGATAAAGCCACCTTTAGCGTGGCTCTAGAATCTTGATGACTTGGCAGTGCGGAGCGATCCGTGCTCAAGATTTCTCTTCTGGCCTGTAATCTCTCCTGGATGGTGGTGTTTAAGTGGACCGCTCCATAAAAATATCTACTGGTCGTGATAGAAAGCTGTTATACATCACTCTAGAATCGCTACAAGAAGTCATTTCAACCCCAGCTAGAACAACTCTACCACACTCCTCATATATCATTTCTCTGACTTATCCTCTATTACTCAATTGTTGCTTTCTAGGAAGTATCAATTCGATAATTTTCATTCTTATGAAGTTATAAGAAACGATTGTGAAGAGTTGATATTAAGAATCCTTAATTTTGGGTTCTATTCGATGATGTTTGCGATTCCACCAGATGAGTGACAGCAGTAAGTCATATCTGAACAAGGTTCGTATGATATGATCGTCCCCATGATGATATATATCTATCATTCGAAAGCGATCACAAATGCAAGCTTTAAAAGACGTTAGTAATCTATCTACGAGAAAAGTCACACAGATTATCTTTCTTCCAAATGCTATATCCGTATCAAATCCAAAGCATACCCATGTCAACATATTATTCCTTCTATCCCATCTGAAAACCGAGTCTTCTCCTTCTCCTACTTCTCTTTACACTCTGCGATCGAGTCGAAACAGCGGTTGATGCACTGGAAGCTGTACATTCGTCTGCACCACACTTCTGATAAAGTGTAATCGAAGCACCACCACCACATCTCTCGGCACTATTCCCATCGCATGGCATGATGCAATCACCTGGCATACCAGTCACGGGTACCCGGGTTGTAGATAAAGTTATGGCAACAATATTGAGATCAAAGCAGCAAATTTGCGTTTTAGGTGTCGGATTGTTCATAGAAGGTAAACGTTCCGCTTGGCCAGTCCCGTTAACATTGAGACAGTTATCGATCCTTTTGTGAGTATTGAAATATCCCAGCCATTGAATTTGGGTCAGCTTAGCTTGATGAGCTATCATGAGAGGTTAAATGGTGGAACACTTACAGAGTCACCGTGGAATCCATAACCTGTGGTGTCTCCAAAACCTCACAATACCTATCTATCTAATCTGCCACGAAAATCCTATTGGCACTATAGCACAATGACAAACAATATCTATGACTTTTGTTTTCCGTGAATGCATTTCTTGTTTTGTACACTGTGAGTCCCATCTTGCATTCAATGATACAGAAATCTGATAACAGGATCGCGGTTCTCATCAAAAACTATCGCATTTTCCCAGCTTAAGAGATGTAATGGAGAAGTAGGAAGATGAGACGGATTGATACTACTTACAAAGATAATGTACTCACTTGCGCTGGGCCGTAAGGCTGTACCCCTAAGTTACACTGCCGTCCGTAAGATCTCTTGGTGATGATTCGAAACCATGTTTTGGTTCGGGGTGGGTTAGGAGAGAGTAAGAGTGATTGGAGGGGAGACCTAGCAATCCGCGCCACGGCGGAATAGTTACTACTTGTCAGCGCAGACAATGGAAGAGATGGATGATTTTGTGCTTGCTAATATCAGCCCGGGCCGCCTCCTTTATTAAATTAGAAGTTTCTAAACGACGAATTCGTGCCAATAGTTCCTAGTATACGCCCCAATGATAGACCCCCCTTTTTAATATATCAACGTTCCCCCATGATAGACGAGATCCCCATCGGGCCTATCACAATGGCCAGCAGAGCGATCGTCACCACTAACAGCCATATCGAAATTCCCGATCTGAGATATTTCCAGATTGCCTTTAGATGATTGTTTTCCTTCTTATCCAGGCAGATGCTTCTTCCTAATACCAGACATCCCCTCCCTCCAGGCTTATTATCACACTCTTGATGCTCTCGCCGTCTCTTCATTAATAGGCTATGGACATCATTAGTCTTGACATCTTGATGATGGAGCTTAAAGATAAACTCACACAACACTTCCTCGACAAAACCTACGGTCACTACCCAATTCACATTTACTGTCATTTGGACAATCCAAATGTAGCCGTCGTCTCTGGATCAGCCACTCTATCTTCAAATGCAACCCAGTATATACAAAAGTGTAGAAATATCGATTGGTGTGCTTTAAGGAAAGCGCATCTGGATATATCAGATGAGATGTTATCAATAAATGAATTTCCTGTGGTAAATGCAGGAGGTTGAGTTTAGGAGTGCAAAGTTCCGTTGTGGTTGTGGAAGGAGTATGATTATCCATAGTAAGGTTAATAAGAAATGAAATGAAATGAAATGAGACGCTGGTATATGATTAGATGACTTCAGGAAGGGTAAAGAGATGTTGATATATTTCGTGCTGCCTGTTCCAAGGTGCAACTGGGTCGGAGAGTCATATCTCGTATTGAATATGGTATCTGAAACGTAGTGTTTTTGACCAGGCTGCCGCTTTTGGGGAGATGTGATTCGTTCTGGAGTCACAATAGATAATGAGTAAGTCGATATTATGCTTTGAGGAGAGTAACAATTGAAGGACTCAAATGGCTGGCAATAGGACTGGCAGCGAGACATTACGAGACACGGTGAATAGGAGGAGTATGTGAATATTTCGTATAAGAGATGCCCAAGGGCCGTGCACCGGAGCGGGGATTCTATAATCCGGGTATCTCCTACACTTATCAAAGACCCATATATATCTATCTAACCTTTCATATTATAAAACACTCTTATTTCGTATATGATCAATACACGACAACAAACATTTTTTGGAAAATTCATGTGCAATACCACATTCAATCTTCAATATTAATACACTTCTCATACTAATCGATAAAATGAAATCTGAAAAGATAATATTCAAAAATATCATTGAATATTTATGATTATCAAGCTAACAAGTCTCCGAAGGACGAGCTGCGATGTAGGAATCGAGGTGTCCTAAAAAACGATTCGAAAAGCGTAGCGAGGCGAATTGTTTTTCCGGCACCGAGGGGCCGAAGTCAAAGCTCGTTATATATATTATAGGAATATACCTGGACTATAGAACTCCCACTCCAGTACACAGCCCTTGGGCATCTTTTATACATGAGTTTCTACGGTACCTGTTTACCCCAGTCCCCCAAAATATATATTGTTTGAGCAAAATCAATCAAACCAATTGCAAGACGTTGATTGCGAGTTATCCTGCGGGCCGCACAAAGGACAGTCACGTGATACCCTACCGTCTGTCCCACAGTGGCAACGACGCGTCATAGATATGGCCAAATCTACCAAAGAAACACAAATGAATCGCACCAAATGAATCTATCGGCATGACTAGCCTTGCCACAGAAGAGGCAAAGCTGCCCCAGAACAATGGGGACAGTGATTATGGCTCAGACTTCTCACCTGAAGAATTCGAGATAGTAGAAAGATTGTTATCACCAGTACATTTATGTCGTGAAGCAACCGAGATTGAGGATAATCCTATAGTGAATAATATCGAGTATCATGAATCAGAATGCACTCTTCGCCTCCCTCGAGTTATTGGCAAGGAGCAGATATCGCCTCTGCTCCGGGCCATTCGTGATGCAGAGAGGGTTGCTGGGCAAATCAATAATTCAGTCGCGAAACGCGAGCACTATTCGGACTGTGAGTATATAGTCTTATCACCATCGTTGTATTTCTGACTTACGCATTAGAAAGTGAGCAATCGATTACCCGAACCGGTGTCAGTTACGGCCGACGCAATACCCATAACAGAATTTGAGGCAAAGCCTGCAGAATCCGCAGAGCCCGCGCCTCCCGACTCACGATCGCCCCTCGAACGATTTCGTACCGCACCGAAGAAGCCCCTCTCGGTGACAGATCTCGTGTCGCCAGCATGGTGCGAGCTACAGTACTGGTATACATTGACGAAAGGCAAGAGGAAACGAACATCAGCTATGAAGCAAGGTAGTGCTGTACACCAAGTTTTGGAAGATCAGGTACATAGGACTATTCGAATCGATATTCAAACGAAGGAAGATGCCTGGGGCCTACGAATTTGGAATGTGATACAAGGGCTACGAACACTACGAGAAACGGGACGAACGAGGGAACTGGAAATATGGGGTACTATTGATGGATTGGTTGTCAATGGAGTTGTTGATGAGTTGAGCTACATCTGTCCGGATTCTGAATTAGAAGAATCGCTACAGAAGAAGACTGAAAAGGAGAAGGATTTGCCACCTGCAAATCAAACGTCTATTTCTAATCTCTTTAAAGGTAAAGCAGTGGATGGTTCATCCTTTGCCGATGCGAAACGGACAAGAGGACGGGCCAAGTCGAACAAATTATATATTTGCGATGTTAAAACTAGAGGTGTGCGCACGCTGCCGAACGCCGCTGCGTTTCGCCCTACTGAAGTACAACTCATGCTATATCACCATCTTCTGTCCGCTCTTGCCACAAATACTGTCGATTTTTCTGCATTGGCAGCTCGCTATAGGTTGGATACAACCAAGATCTTTTCGGATACATTCATTGCTCAAGTAGGTAGCATGAATGATGATTCTCTCGAGGAGCAGGATGATTTGGCGCCCAATTCTAGCCAAGATTCTATGAGTATTCTCCTCGCCCACAATAATCTTAATGCTCTCTGGTCACTTATGATTTCCGAATTCCAGATCACTCTCCCTAATGGTGCCGGATCATTGGGAGGAGTATTGAAGGCAGAGTATCGATCGCGGGATGATGGAGAAATAGTTGGGATTAAGACTATTCCTATGGATAATCAAGAATTGAATTCATATTTAGAGGAAGAATTGCGTTGGTGGAAAGGAGAGAGAGAAGCGAAGGGTGTGAAAGTAGAGGAGGCATTCAAATGCAGAAGTTGCGATTTTGCAGAAGGATGTGAATGGAGGTTATACAAAGTTGAGGAGGCAACTGAGAAGGCTCGGTTGAAAAAGGGAAGGAAGCCCAGTGCTGTCTAGTTGCCATCATGCATTCTTATGGCGTTTACTGTGGTACGTATGTTTCGAACTCACGACCTTTTACACTACCTATGATATATATTTCAACATAATACTAGATATTATACATTTTTCCCAATGCATCCATTGTGTGTCTAGTTGATCATGTTTTACATTCAGTGATTTAAAGTAGACCATCGATATTCATTTGATAATGTGCAAGTGCACCTATCTTAAAAAATCTCATTCCAATAGACGCCTATACGGAAGCCAAAAGGGTGGCCAAAATTGGCATATCCTGATGATCTAGCATTGCTTTCTTTCAATTATTTCACAATGAAAAGGTTGAATCAGCTCCAATTGACTTGATTATTGATAGTCCATTGCATATATTTAGTCGGAACATTAATCATTCATGATTTAAATTCAATTGGAGCAGTATGTCAGGCTTCATGAGCATCACTTCCGGCTACTATTCTCGCTCTATTAGTAGACGGGTTAATATGCAAGAGATCCTATATGCTTCTCTCTGAGCTTTCCTGGTCATTTGATGCTCGGAAATATCATCCATGAGATGTGCAGCGAATCTTTCAAGGTTTGAAGCTAATGATCTTGCGATGTCGGGTAAGTTTCTGGGGTGATGTGGTTGTATTATAGATATCATTTCAATACTCTCCTTGCATCTAACAAAGATGGGATCCCTCGAAGCGAGAAGTCGAGCTGAGCTGGTGGCTTTCTTTGGTATAGTATGGTATGGTATGGCGTGGTATGGCATAGTGTGGTATGGTGGCTGGGATAAATTAAATGTGATTGTGAAGTTTGGGATGGGGGGATAAGGTTTCTAACTACTATTGAAGAGGGGGGTAAGATACATCATTCCGAGAACTTTGATTTGATGAGTGTGTTTTGGGACGAAAGTATGATTTTCGGATGAGACTTTGGGGTTTTTTGTTGGGTGATTGAGATGGAGAATATGATGATGATCAAGAGAGAACTTTTGAGGATTAGATACTGGTACAGAGGAATAACACGATTTATGAACCATGATTGGCAGGTATACCAAACATGATGCCATTGCAAGCCATACATGTCAGAAAAGCTAGCATCTGATCCATCAATCTCTCATTAAATTACATTCATGAATTTCACAGCACCCTCTTCCTCCAATTTCCCCTCCACCCGCGTAGTTACTCTCCCACTCTCCCACTCTCCCATCCTCATCAACCTCCCCCCCTTCCCCCTTCTCCTGCATCCCATAACTTTCAAACATTCCTCTCCCACTCTCCTCTATCTCTACCTCAATTACCCCCTTAACTTCCCAAGGTAAATCAAGGTAAACCGACATCTTTCTCTTTTCTTTCGCCATATCCGTATTCACCTCACCTAAATGAATCGCCAATATAATTGGAGCTAGAGCCTCGGCACCCTTTGCAGCTTTTGTCCTGTAGAGTTCGGCAGATAGATGCTATATAAATTGAAGGGTGAGATGGAAAATCTGCTTGTGAGATTGGAAAGTAAAGTAAAGTAATTTTATTAAAAGGGAGAATTGTTGAGTAGGAAGTCACATACACGCAATCCCATATTGAGCGCAACTTTACTCGTAGAGGCAGCATATCATATGATTTGCGGGGAACCCGTCTTCGAACGAGCGGAAATTTGCGGCGGAGCTGGAGTCGGAGGATATGATAAAAATGCGATTGTGGAGATGTGGGAGCGAGGTATGGATAGATTTTGATAGAAGGTGTTTGGCGGTAAGGAGTGTTCCAATGGTGTTAGTTTGGAAGTGGTGATTAGATTGTATGACTGATGTGTTCTAGTAGAATGACAGCAATGCCCGTTAATATTACAAGCTCGTCTTCATAACTCGAATATTGAGGAATAGTCATGAGATTTTCCTCGATACATTATCTGGTGGTTACGAACTCGCTCATGTGTATGGTATGGTTGAGATGTTGATACAAGCTACATAGAGCACATATAACGAAAGACTTCTCGATCTCAATGAGTACACAAAAAGAAACCACAAACGCAGAACAGACAATCCATCGATATTATACTCGAGTAGTAATAACTTACTTACCCTCCAAGCACTCTACTCAGTATTTGGCCGCTCCAAAACCCCCGCATTAATAATAACCGCTTCAATATTCTTCTCCAGTAAAGTCGGGATAGCGAGACACAGATTTTCAATACTCTGTTCATCCGTAACATCACACCTCACTGTCCATAATCTCGGCGACATGTGGACTTTCTTGTCCAGTTCATCCAGTTCATATAAAGTGTGTATGTAGTGTTTCGGTAGATCGATGAGTGACGATGACGATATTGGTGGGTGATGCTAAGAGCAATTGGCGTGTGAACTCGAGACTGATGCCTCGACTGGCACCTATTACCACATAGTAGTTTGAAATTAAAGGAGAAGGCATTTTTTGTTGAATTCAAGTGTAGAGATGAGGTCTGGCGACGTGCCCAGGTAAGACGTGGTGGGGACGGGGGGATACACGGCTAATTTCATATGGTTCGTTGCCGCTTTACAGCAAAGGTTATGAGATAAAAACTCGTGATACCGGCCTCGAGGATATATGTAATAGTAAGAAGAGATGGAAGGAAAATCTTGCTACCAGTGATTTGACCATCATATCGATTGATAGTCTAGTCTTTCCTTGTTGAAGAAGTTTCGAATTGATTCTGCCTCGAGAAGGAAAAGGTCACACGGACGAGAATCCAATTTAGATATACCTAGTATTTTGCCTCAACGGATTTGTCGGTCCGGGTAAGTAAGATATTTTGATTGCTATAGAACGTTGAAAATACTTAAGATGGCATGCAATCTCAAATCCGCTCATCGCCTTTTGTGATTCTGGATTGTAAAAAGTCGAAAAGAAAAAGAACAAACGTCCAATATGCATTTTAGCAATCCGTTCCGAGCGACTCTGCTCATAGCAGCAGGAATTCAAGGGGTTTATTCACAACAGACTGCTTGGGGCCAGTGTAAGTCAGGCTTGTGAAGGAGAAAGAGAGATATCCTTTGCATAGCTAATATCATTGAGAGGCTAGGCGGAGGAACAGGTTGGACTGGCGCGACGACTTGTGTATCGGGTTATGTGTGTACTTATTCCAAGTAAGACTTCCTTTTGTATCACCTTATTTGTACCCCTTTCCACAAGCTAATTCACTGCAATGAACACCTCGCCTCTTGCTTGCGCTAATTATCCAAGCAGTCCATGTGCGTAATAAACTCTCCTCCACATTATAGCTTCCGCTAACCATTCCATTCAAAAGACTATTCCCAATGTCTGCCAGGCACCGCATCATCCTCGACCGGTGCAACGACACCTGGCACAATAGCTCCAGGCACGCCGACGACCACAGTCTCCGCAACTACTACTGGTGTAGCCTCGTACCCCGGATCGACTCTCCAAAGTGGCTATTATTGGGTTCGCGCCGTTGAATCTCCGAATTTCCAGTCAGTATTTTCAATCGTCGTGGCCCCTTCACAATATTGGATGTCCAAATGAAAGTAACACGAATTTTGACCTGCCCTCACCCCATAGTTCTTACCTCCAAGCCTCATCAACTGCCAAACCTGGCACCGCACTCCTAGCCGACAGATCCACCGCCGGCCAATATCAAATCGTATCCGGCCAACTAGTCGAGTTAATCGCACCTAATAATTTCCTCTACGCCAACGTCCAGCCACCTGCCAATTCCTCCGCCGTGAAACTCTCCATGACATTTAATACCACCCAAAACACGTTCGGTACATTTGCATTTAGTGGAGATGCAGTGACGTGGAGTGTGGCTAGCATTAGTCGACCGAATTTGAGTGCATGGTTGGTTTGTGGTGCCCAAGAGTTGTGGATCAATTTGGGGAGCTATGCGTATTTGACGCCGGCGGGATGTGTGGATGAGACGATTCATTATTTTAATGGAGCGACTGTAGATTAAGGTGCAATGACGCACAAGCGAGGAATCGTGAAGGAGGGGTCCGCCGAAATCTTTTTATATTATGGTTGTACATACCTTAATGGATGGTAAATACATGAACATCTCAAAACCGGACTGAAACCCTAGACCCAAATTTTTGATATACAAGATACTATACAGAACTGGGAATTTGCTTCTTTCCAGCTCGCTTCAATAAGCAGTGGCTTCCCCATCTTCTACGAAACTTTTCTGAAATGAAGGGTAGATCTGGCAACCATATGGTTCGACCAAGAATATGAGTCTGTGATGCGTCAAGGAATGGCACGCATTTCACCGACTCCCAAATCTCGGCATCGGTAATGTAGTGGGGCTCAAGCTCGGAGGCTACGGAACCGGGGTAGTAGGTGTCGACCAAAAAGTTGCAAGTTTTGAGGTCAACCTGATGACAACATTAGTTCGACGCCCAAATATGACGGGGAAAGATTTGCTTACATATTTGCTCATGTCTTCAAGATTCTGGTCATTCATACCTGAAGGTACAAGCCATGCTCCTGACCAAATCCCGAATCCCTCACTAGCTTCGGAAAACTCTCCCGGAAGCAGACCATCGAACTCGCTCTTCACAAATTTTGCTTTCATGCCGTTTGGCAAATGGTAAGAGCTGGGAAATCTGTACCATTCTTTGCCGAAGCAGATCGAGTCTCCTCGTGATCCAAGGGTACCATTTTGGAGAGGGCTATATATCTTCAAGGGCGCCGAGTATGCTGTATAGATTCCATAAATTCTTGCGACGCCAATGTCTACGGATCCGATAATGAAGAAGCTGACAAGCAAAAGTTTCAATTTGGCTGGAATCTTACCGACCAAGGTCCTGGGATCCGAATGGCCAAAAGCCGCCAGAAGAATGTGGAGTGACATGGCCGCATTAAGTGCCAGGGATGGGTAGGCAGGATACATAAAGCGCTCTTCCTTATGTGGCTGGAAGCTGAAGATTGCAAGCCATACGTAGAAGGGTGCCACAAAGACGATGCTGCGAAGAGCTGTTGTAGTACCACCTTCTCGTGACCCGAATAGCTTTTGAAGTATGAAAAGAGGAAGGGCTGAAATTGCAAGCACAAACCAAATATTGAAATTGAGAAGCAGATTACGAATGTAGAAATGCCATGGTTCAGTACCATATATTTCAGGACCTCTTCCCTCGCCAGCGAAGATATTATAAAGAACAATATTCAGAGGGACGACCACTAATCGTCTGTAGAAAAAGCCAGAAACAAGGAATTCAAAAAGCTTGGTTCATCGTTAGCAATTTTTAATGGAGAGGTCTAGATAAATCTCACCAGAACAATCAGTCCCCCGACGACTCCTCTAAGAAATCGCATTACGGTATCGATGATGGCATTTTTATCGCTCAGACTGGCGAAAATGACTTCTTCAATCAAGAAAGGGGCAGACAAGGCCATGGAGAATGGCCAACCGAGAACTCCTCCCACTGCAAACCAAAATATACCTTGTGCAGTCTTTAGGCCCCCTCTCCAGTTCATAAAAGCAGCCATTCCAAGCATAGTTGTGTACATAGCGAAGCTCGAGGGCAAGAAAGAGGCCGAGGCATGAAAGAATCCCGGACTGAAAATATTTGCCATCATGAAGAACATGGCGACTCGTGGATTCAAGGTTCCGTTGATGACTCGGAACATTTGAGTTTGGCAAAGAGCGCATATAAATGCAAGGCCATATCGAATGAAATAGAACTCGCCAAGCTACATTTCGATTAAAAACTTGTATGCCATATATCTTTGGAGCTCTCTGTACCTTCGTGGGAAATGGGAGTAGCCTTCTGAAGTTTCCGATCAAGGCATGGATAGTGATGTATAACCAACTTCGAATCGCATAGTCCGGGGAATATTCCCATGTCTGTAATCCATAGCCATGACTGATATAATGTGTAGGTTCCCAGTAATTGAAGGTCTCGTCGCAATCCTGTATAGGGGCATATAAAGCAGCTAAAATGTTTGCCCCAAGGAATACGTAAAATGCGCTGATGGGTTGGACTGCAAATGGGGTGGCAGGCCTATCGAAGCTTGATCAGTGAACGCTTTGTACATGGGAATTCTGAATACCTACTTCATCTTTTTTGGATGTGAAGCTGTAGAAGCTTCTTCTCCTCGTGCCGAACTTGAGTTTACTGGCTGCGGAGGAGCCATTGTTGTGTTTGACTTGAATTTAGATTTTCAATGTCCGTCGCAAACTTTCAAACAATAAAAAAATAACTACTAGATACCCATCCCAACCGGTACTTTAATGACATCGTGTTCCAGCACAATATTTGCATAAATCACACACACACTGCCACACATATTTATGCATATTGATAAGAGTTCTTACTCCCGACGCTAAGATTAGGTAGACCCCCCTGTCAATCGGGGGATCCGAGCTTCGAGAAATATTTTTGGAAATTTTGAAATCAAAACTTTCTTGTCAATAACATCTCAGTATTGGATAGGAACCATTTTGTATTTATAACTTCTTTTGATACCCACATTCATATTGAACTTTATAATATTGTATTGATACCACTCATATTACACATTGGCATTGAGACAGCTTGATAATCCTGCTATCAAATATACTCCAACACAACGCGCTCCTCATCGAGTCCTTGATACACCCTACCATAGTTCCTTTCGATTTCGACAGAAACCATGAATAATTCTGACGCCATTTCATTAATTTCTCCAGAAGGAGAGCATTCTCCACCCCAAAGGGGAAATGAAGAATCTGCCTCATCTTCATCAACCTTTTCTGGTATACCTGGATTGGGACGACTTGGAAATGCGCCGAAGTCTGAAAGTCCAAAACCACCTGTGGAGAGCGACGCTGCACAAACCCATTTACACGAACCGACTGTATTTCAGGAGAAGATGGTAGAAAGCACTATTGATCACTCCCAAGTAGATTCTACAATGGCAGACGCCGAACCTTTGATGCAAGAATCTGCGACTGCTACAATCAATGATGCGATTTCAGCGACACCCACTGGAATAAAAGACGAGATTCTGCCAGTGGTAGAGATTGAGTCAGTCCAAACAACTAGTCAAAATGACTCTGAAATGCGACAAGCCCCCCAAGGAGAAGAAGAAGAAGCCAAAATCAACACACAGGATAGCAACAGCAATGCGATGGACGTTGAGATATTACAAGCTACCCTAGAACTCCATGTCGAACAAGAAATAGAGGTGCCAGCAGCCGATTTGTTTGAAGCTCAGCCTAGTTCAAGTGACATGCAAGTACCGGAGAGCCACGCTAGTCCACCTGAATTGACGCATGCTTTGGAGGCGATGCTGGGAGGTCTATTGCAATCTGCTGCTGTGAATGCGGATGTTACCACCCTGGTCAGCGCACCTGAAGCACAAGCCACAGAAGCAGAACACCCAGAATGGGAGGTTGACTCATCTCCATGTGAATCATCGTCAGACGACTCAAGTGATAGTTCATCTGACGACGACAGCGAGGATGAGGATGGAGATAATACATATAAACTTTTGAGCCCAGAAGAGCAAGCTAGAATCCTGATGGAAGGTGACGGCGGTTCAGACGACGAGGGAGCCTCCAAAGGTGCAAAGGGTGCCGGAGCTCAGCTACGGACGAAGAATGAAGTGCCAGAAGAAGTCATTCCCAAGCCAGATGTTACAATTACACCGGAAATGCCCATTGCAAGATTGGGTGATGTGGAAGGAATTGTGGACAATATCATTCTCATCAAAGCTTTCACGACTGGGGAGTATCAAGTTTTAAGAGAAGAATCCGTGCTATGTTTACAGGATCGAAGTGTTATAGGTGTGGTGTCGGAAACATTGGGCAGAGTAGAACAGCCATTGTATTGTGTTAGATTTACGAATGCTGCAGCAATTACCGAAGCAGGACTGTCCGTCGGAACTACTCTTTACTACTCCGAACAGCATTCAACATATGTCTTTACACAAGCTTTGAAAGCATACAAAGGCACCGATGCTTCCAACTTGTATGACGAAGAGATTGGCGACGAGGAAATGGAATTCTCGGATGATGAAAAGGAGGCCGAGCATAAACGGAAGGTAAAACAAAGGAAGGCCGAAAAAAGAGGCGGTAAGACACAACAGAACGGTGGTGGCCACTCACATGTTGGATACTCGTCGCAACAACCGTATACCCCTAGTAACACTGGCGCTGGGTTGAATTATGACGAAGTCGAGGATGGTCCCTACAAACCCCTCACTCGACCAACTGGATTTACTGGTGGTGCAAGTGGTGCCGAAGCTCCTCAAGAGGGCTCCCATTACAACAGACCGAGTCATCGTGGCGAGCATGGAGGTAGAGCCAGAGGAAGGGGTCGTGGAGACAGAGCGAGAGGAGATAGGGGACGAGGACGTGGACGAGGTGGCGGGAATAATGATCGGAATAATAGCCAATCTGGTGGTGCCCCATCGCAATTGAACATGAACACCAATTTTGTCCCACCCCATCCAAGCCCTGGAGTATTCAACCCTCAGCCAGCTTCCTTACCGCAAAAGCCTAACTTTCCACCTCCGCCGCCTGCTTCAAATATATACCACAATCCAAATCAGCCACAACAATATACACCTCAACAACCACAATATCCATCCCAGCAACCTCCAGTATGGCCAATGTATCCGCAAGGTTATCAGCAGCCATATCAGCAACCTCAACAACCTTTCCCGCATGCACAAACTAATTGGTCAGCTATGCCTCCTCCAACCATACCAGCGGGAGCGTTCATAAACCCGGCTTTCTTCAACCAGCAAAATGGAGCTAACCAAAACGGAGGAAACCAATGGACTCATCCAGGACAGCAGAATGGAAATGGAGAAAGCAGATAATGCATGATGGGCTACGTATAATTATCGTATTTTAGAATGAAAATATCACCAGACACTTTCGGACTTTTATGATATTGAGCTACGTTCATATTGATGATGCTTATATATACAAAAATTCGCGATCATAATTTCTTCAACTCCAAATCACAAGTAAGTGCCGAAACAATTTCCGATGTTTCCAAACCGCCTCAGACATGACCAAGTGGCTCTCTGCTAGCAAATCATTAAGTAATCGAACGGAAGGGGCTTTTCACGTTCACGATTAAGGTCGTGCCATATCAATCTATTGCCATCAAGTGATTCAAATTAAGAGTTTTATACATGCCTGATGGGGTGTTTGTACGCCGTCGTGCTGTTGACGATGATAATCCATACCCGAAAAGGAAAAAAAGTCCCTCGCGATAAGAACAAATATGGCGGGGTTCTGCCCCGCGAAAGATCTTATCGTCCACTCCCTGGTTCACGATGCACACATAAATACATGTTTGTATGAAGGCTATTAATATGTCGTTCTTCACACGTCAATTCATGGACTGACTCCTAGATTTCCATATCTCCCAAACTCTAATTTGTAAAATCGTGAAAATGGGTGAGACGAAGTTGGAAGTTTTTCAAATATGGACCAGATCTACATGTGAGCGGCTCAAACCCTCGGAAGCCGCTCAAATGGCTATCGGCAACCCAAAGATGCTGTTTTATGGAGCCGGTTTAGTCTGTCTTGCAGCATGGCTGTTGATACGGTCAGCGGCGATGTTCAAGAAACCGAGACATGCCAGACCGAGAACTCCGGATCTGGAGAAGCCGACATCTAAGAACGGAAAGGCACAGAGACCGTTGGGAGGTTGGTATTGATTATGACCATTGCTTGGCGAACGACAGCTGATTTCTTCATAGTGTGGGAGCCCATGCAATTCACACGCCCGACGGCAGTTCCCTCTCCAAACTGGGATGTACACAAAACGAAACCGAACGCATACCGGCCATTTCGCCATGGACCTTATCACATCACCATGGGATTACGAAATATGGATTGGAATGAATGGATAGGTACATAATCTCCCGCTCAGGTGAAAGGCTGCGTGGCTAACGTTTCGAAGAATTGGACAATCATTACATGAAGTACCATGACGACAAAGCCAAACGTATTATCGACCGTGGCGCCAGATCTTGCTACACCGATCCTTCGGCGTTTGATGGTGCCGTTGAGCTGCTCGAAGAACTTTGCGCGTATCTCCCAGAACGTTACCCTACTCTTTACAAACGCACACCTGTAGGTATGGATAACCTGCTCACTAACGAATCATTCAACATCATCGAACGGCCACTTGCAGAGGATCCAATGCAAATGGCAGCTCGCTTCACGCAAGATGATCTGGCCATCATGTTTGAGAAAGAAGATGGCCAATACTACCTTCTTGCCGGAGCAATTTTACTCGCTGGATTCTGGCGTTTGGAAGATAAATTAGGCATGCCGTTGAGTGAGATCCACACGGCTGCTGACGTGCCAGGCTACAAATCAAAGCTGGAGAAAGGGATGATGAATTTTTTCCGAAGAGTGCAGCCCAACGGGCCCGTGCAACGTGTAAGCATCCCTAACGTGCGCGGTTATGGCTACCTGCATACTAACCGATGTTTCAGAACAACTATTTCATCCAAGTAGACGATCAACTAGCATGGTCATCAAGCATTGGACCCGAAGAAGGGGAACCCGGGACCGTGAGTTGGGATACGGCGGAGAAGAATAAAGCGGTTGAACATCATTGGTTTCGGTCGGAACGACAGTCGTTGAGAAGACTGCCGAGATCTGGCGGCGTGGTGTTCACGATTAGAACATACTTCCACCCGATCACGGAAATATGCGAGGAGCCGTATGTACCTGGTAGATTGGCAAGCGCGGTGAGGAGTTGGGGTGATGATGTGGCTACATATAAGGGGAAGGAAAAGTATGGTGAGGTTCTATTGGAGTATCTGGACAAGAAACATAATGAGCAAGTTGAAGCGGGGCTTGATTTGGAAAATGAGGACGAGGTCAGAGCGTATCCGTACTAGAGCACTTGTTTGGAATGTGGAGAATCTGGAGATGCCTGAAATAATGCGCACTTCTGGAAGCTGAATGTTGGGCTTTTGTATGCTACTGGCGCGCAGAGCATCGAGCCGGAAACAGCCGAGTAGGATTTGATTCTCAATACCATTTTACATTTCTCTAAAGGTTACATGGCAAGTGTAATTCCACGCCCCCTTCAGTTCAAGTCGATTGTACCTACGAATCGACCTTGCCACTGGAATCTTGCATCTTCTCACGCAAATTCTTTTGTGGACTTCTTGAAATGAAGTATTTCTGAGATTGCAAGTGATTCGTGTCTCGGTGAGAAGCACACTGCCTAGGGTTTTCATCGGCTCCTAATATAAACGTTATGGAAATGCAAACGGAGCAAGAGAAAATGGCGGTTAAGATTGGGACATTTACTCTCTGTTCCCGCTCGAAATAATATCTTTTCTCTTCCTCACGCTGGTCGTGAATTCCTTTCTTTCTTAAGTTCTTACTTTGGCGCGGGTCGCCCTTTTCAACGTTGGATGTCGGTGGTTTGGGTGGTGCAGTTGAGCTTTGCTGTATCACTTCACTATCGACCTAAGACTCTATTTTGTTGTGTTTATCTTCCATTTAATGTTATAATTTTATAACTTTTACACCACAGTTCTTTCTGATGATTAACAGTCATGGCTCCTCTGGGCAATGGGCCAAATGTTGTGGCTAAGAACTTCCTTTAGAGTTTATTATGCCATTCCATATCATACGCATAATAAAATAAAGGCACAGCTGTGTTACCTGTGCACTCTGACCATTTTTGCTTTCTACATACATTCAGTAGCATACTGTAAGTCAGTATACTCCGTCTTACACCACTTGTCGCCGACAAAGATATAGTTGGAGTAGAGAGAGTCACAAAGCTAGGATGTGAATTGAACAACCACCGAGCCACGTGTTACAGCAGCAACTCCAGGACAAGAACAGAACAGGGAGTTGATGTATCCGGACAAGCACCACCGATCGTCGAACCATAGCTTGAGGAGTAGGTGGTGGATGTTGTGAACCTGTGGACTGATGTACGCCTTTAGGTGGCGTGTGTCTAGGGAGAACTATGGAGAGGTAGTCAGCTTTTCAGAAAAAATCACTGGGATCTCGTTGCCTCTCGGCCCTCAAAGCATCTTTTGGCGCAAATGACCATGCCAGAATCAATCTCTGCGCTCAAAATTTCGAAACATGCTCTGGACTTCCGTATGTTACCTGTCCAGTCTTGTATTTATATGTGACTAACATTCTCAGGGGTTTGCATCAGCATTCATTGGTGCGATATTCGTGCGAAAAAACGACATTCATACGCCCCGTACCGTTCACAGATTCGGATGCCATCATTACCATACTATCTACACCAGAATGCCAATCGGGGAGGCCCAAATCGTTGCTTCGAGTCTCAGCCAATAAATCGTCTCGACGACTAAGTTTCCCAGTGTTTCCCCAGCCCTCCATCGGTACGCAAGCGGGTCTTCAACGAAACCCAAACAACTCTGTAAACAGCTTTCGCTGCCAAAGTTTCTCAAGTTCCTCAGAGATGGGTCTTCGCTGTATGGAGCGCGATGTTTTTATCATTGACGAAGACGGATCCTCGATATAGTGGTAGTTGAACATTGGATAATGGTATTAGAGGTCTGATAAGATCTTGGAAAATGACAAAGAAATATCGACGAAGATGTGGACAATTCTAAGATTTCACCACCCATCAGCCATCCGCATTCGACGGTCCTCAACCCATGTCAATATTGTGGAAGTAAAAAACCAGTGCCGTGTCTGTTCTTCTCGGTATTGGTACTTTGCCACATGTTCACAACACTCAATATGGCCAATAAGACGATACATCATTACGGAAGTACAGTTTCACCCATGTTAAGAGCTCGAAAAGCGGATGCCGCCTCTCCAAATGGATTCAATCGATCTCTTCAAGGTTTCCCTAAGGTCGAATGGCAGTCAAAGAGAAACATACCGAGACGCCAAGGATGCCAAAACATTTGGAGTGGCTGTGAGAAAGAACATGCGACGTTCCTATTAAACGAACGGAAACATCGCTACCAGTAGCTGCACCATTATCCCTACCACGAGTATCACAAGAACAAAGTGTCAATCTGATATTGGCCGAGAGTCTTGAGTGTACTATGGTGTGGGAACGAAGCAAGATTACAATAGCGAGGAGCAAGACAACTGTCTAGCGGAGAAAGGCAGGGTATGTCTAGCCTAAAGTCGAACAATCGATATGGGACGAAATAATGATAGGTGGAACAATGTCATTGAATCCCAGAATGGGAAGAGAGGCACAAAGCTACTACTATTTCTATTCCGATAAACCATGGCGGTCTCCATCTCCTTCATCACGCTCGTTGCAAATGTTTGGATCTCTTGATGATGACGATATCAGGCCACTAGAAAATTTCCTTCCATCACGTCCTACCATACAGCTTGTCCCTGGTGAGGGGATTCCGAGAATTTTAGAGGCGACAGATATACGCAACACCCCATGTTTGTATCCTACTGCCACCAATAACAGTACACCAATGAAGGGAGTAACCAACGCAAAATATCATAACCCCCATCCGCAGAGGCAGTTTTTGATCCCCCCGGGATCGAAATTCTCCACGACATCTTTGAGCTCCACGCAGTGTACACGAAGACCTGCCTGGTCTCGGTCACGTTTAGCAAAGTCCAGTCACAGTTCCATCTTCTAGCCTCGAGCATGCGGACTCAAGAGTCTACACCGTTCACAAGATTAAGAATGAAATACCTTGGCTATCTTTTGATACTTCATTGCGAATGGTTACAGATGTTGATATACTATTATTCATCATAGTATCAGCATTGTCTTGGATTTGAAGAGAATCTTTGAGATATTCTTGTCAGGTTACTTGTTTTGGTGGAGATGCATGACGAAATGGGGGAGTATGCAGGATATCATCATTATAAATGGAGATGTGAAGGGCACTTGGTGTTTCTATACGTATATGCACTATTGTTGAAGGGTGACTTGAAAGACAAAGGATATCATTGCCTTGGAGTTATGTGAATAGTTGTGTATTGTCCCAAATATTATAAGCATTGGGAGCATGTTTGCTCAATAAGTTCAGCAGATTGTCTCGACATCTGTTGAACATGAGAAGGAAGTGAAACCCTTTGTAATGTAATGAGAATACTACAACTACAGCTTTTAATTGTCCTGTACACCAAAGATATCATACCTTATTCAAGATAAGAATTCCTGTCTCATACTCGTACTGATACACCCACAGTTTACTTACCTCGTTCGGCCTATTTCTCTTCTCACGAGTCATCTCAGTGATCACAGACCTTGTGCCACATTCTAGGTATAAAACTTATCCCTTATATCCCTAAATTTATCCTCCTTCTAATCGCATCCGATCTTGAACCTAACTCCCACATCCTCACATCCTCAGATTCACTCTTCATCTTCTTATTCCTCCTTCAAGTTCCCCCGAGTCCCTCTCCATGTTCGCCTGCATCAACATATATATCCAAGTCTCAAAGTTTAAAATTCGCGGATGTAAGTTATAGGGAGGTAGACAATACTTCCAATTTGTCCCAAACTTCCAATTAGCTCCTTTGAGTTTCTCTTGATCGTCCGCGTTCAGTATAGGAAGTCTGAGAATGGAACATCAGTCTCTATCTTAGCCTTTCTAGCTTTTTTTCCAATTTATTTTTATTCTTTTGAGTTTTATGTTTTATGTTTTTCTCTTGATTTTCCTCAGCTCTTCTCTTTTTCAAGTAGTACTTGTAGATTCAAACAATGGAGGTTGTTACAGATATGTTTGCTAAAATAACTGAGGACCGGGCTGTATGTCAAATATAGGAGAGATATGTATCTAGTCTATAAGATACCAAAAATCTCATACTATAAAGTCTTTTCACCTACCAACCTAAATTAATAACGAATCTCTGCACCGTGTAGCCAGCTGTATCCAAACCCCAAACATGGACAGGTTTGTGTATCGGCTGAGGACTACTATTAGGAGGAAAGCAAGAAGTAAGTGCTTGTTACAGTGTATCTACATACATACATACATACATACATACATACATATAATATAGTATTTCAAGTTCCTAACCATATTTTCGAGTCTAGTCGGGCACTAAGTAGCGAGAAAAGTGCCACCGCATATAATTCGTACACTCACTACAGAAGGGGTATAATATAATATACCAAATATAATCTACTCACGAGTAGAAGAATGAAGATGAAGAAAGGAGATGAATGTGTATGTTGCAGTTTGTATACAAGACGGTAGGTATATCTATATATACATCAGACTCTAAACAAGAGAGAGGTATTTTGATACCGCTTAACCATAGTATTACTAGGTATGATTATAACGAACGAGAGAGAGGAGAGTGGGGAATATTCATCGCCACTTAATAAATGGAAAAGAGTCGTCTGAAGACTGTTCAATGATAGATATTTATTCTCTTACTCGAGTACATTAGGACATCAAGCTTTGATCTGAAACTCTTAGCGGGTTATTGATTGATTGTACTCGTGTTCAATGTTCGGGATACGATTGTGTATTGAAGGATATCGTCTGAAGACTATCAGAAGTGGATGGATTTACCGTTTTATTGAATTCGAACATTCTCGAGGTCTGATCTAGAAGTCTCTGTGGACTACTAATGTTCCTGTACCAGGATGAACATATGATCTTCGGAGGAGAAATCGGCAATGATCATTATTGGCCTAAAACATGAATGCAGAGGAATGAAACCGTCATTTTCTAGATGGATTTGAATCCAATATTCAAGATACTCGCTGAGGGACCATTCTCCCTTCTCTATATGTAGTACCCATGCCGTTTATATCTAACCCAATGCCCGTTGCGCCACTAACCCAAAAGTTCTGGTATAATGTCTATGTCCTGCCCATCCGATTTCCAAAAAAACACACCCCAAATACAATATTTACACGCTCCGTCTAAGCCTCGTCGGCAGTCTCTGCCTCAACTGCAATCTCTCTTGGCACCATCGCCGTGGAAGCGGTGATGATTTCCTTCGGTATATCCCCAATATTCCCGGCCATCTCACCCTCCACTCTCTTATTCAAAAAACTCAAATATGTCTGCCACCCAATCGCAATGACTCCCGCAAAGATACTTCGATGTTCTTGTGGTATCCATGCGAAACTGATTGCTGTAATTGCGGGCCATAATTTAATACTGTTCATCATACTGGCCGGGACAGTTCTCTTGACACGCTCGATGACGTCAGGTATGCTATCTCCTGAGAGTAACGATTGCATGCCGAAGAACCAGGTATTTAAGAGAGGAGCGAAGAATATTTGGTTGACGCCGACTTTCGTAGCGAGGGAGAGGACTTTCGAAGAGTAGTTGAAGTTATTGGAAAGAAACATGAACCTTTGATTTGTTAGTCCATTGCTCTTCCGGCTTCCACTGCAAAAGAGGTGAATAGGGGGACAAACCATTTGTAAGTTGGAACACTACTCCCCATACTGATAATCAATGCTCTCGTGGTACGCTTCCAATCGTAATCATCCCCGCTGATACTTTGCGCCGATAGATCTCCCAGAAGATATATCACCAGCGAACTGCAGAATTGTGTAGTGTAAGGACGCTTCCGTTGCGACCGGCCGTAGGCCTGAAAAGATCGAGTCAAAGGACCAAGACGTTGCCATAATGGCAGAATTGCGATAGTGGCAGGAATTGGAATCGCAGTGCCATTCGCGGAGTGTTCTGGCGAAGGGTTGGAACGAGGTGTGGGAGCGGTATTGTTAGAGGTGTGTCTTTTCGAAGTGAGATTTGTTTGTTTCCGATGAGTTGGAAAATGTGAACGTCGCAGTACTGCTCGACCGGTTGTCTGAATTTGTGTAGTGAAAATAGCCATGATATAAATAAAAGTAGTTATCGTATGAACATGTTGTTGAATATATTTTTATACTCGAAGATATTGGAAGGTGTTTTGGATTTATGAGTTGTCTCTTTGCCCATAAGAATCTTCTACGATTACCGGTAGATGGGTCCGTGAACATGGGTAAAACGGATAACGGTAATAATACGGAAACGGGTAAGGCTAGAGCTAAAATCTATTTTAGGAACAAATACTCTTGGAATCTTTAGGGATCTCAACGACGACATTGAATAACCATAGAAATGGTTGATTTGGAACTAATTCGCCTGTTTTCTTACAAATTTTCGCAGCAATAATCCGAGAAGAGCCTCTTAATACTCTGGATGCCTTACATGTCAATTCCTGCATGGTTCACCGAACAAGAACAGAAGAAGTACGTGTCCCCGGAACGGAAAAACAATTATGCTCGTGGTACTTGCAGCTGTAATGCTTTAATTGTCACGGCAATGAACATTGTATCGAGACACAATGCATCCTATCCATCGCCGAATATCGTTGCTTCCTATTATACTCTGATACATGGGCCTCAAGTAATTTACATGATTATACATTTACCGAGATCATATTATGAGTTAGACGTTTTAGTATCAACAGTGACAGTTCGTGACATTTATTGATATCTCAACTATCCGGATGCGTCAGAGCCGACGAACCATTATTCTCCTCAAAAAGATTCATTTTACCACCGAAAATATTAGTTTAGTAGAAAGAATATTGGGAAATCTCATTGGGAAAAAAATCCTCAGATATCTAGTGTGAATACTGGTAATACTGGTAATAATCAATCTCACTTTGAATCATAGTATTGAAAGAAGGCCCAGGGGGGAGATCTCTCAGTCTTGGGTTCTGATTAGCCCTACGGGCATCTCATATAGGTAGTTCCCCTACGTATAGGGAATTATCACACTAAATCACAAAATGAAGTGTATTGAAATGCATTGAGATCTTGTATCAAGAAATAAAATCACGGTTTAAACCTAACTGGCTGGATATACCTCAATCTTTTCACACCAAATCAGTGATTTCAAATTCATCATATCTACTGAAGTCTTTCAATCATATTCCTTTACAACTTAAATTCAGGTCAGCTTGAAAGCTATCGATGCTTCAATATTTAGTAAGTCAAAATGGTTTCAATATTTCCATATTCAGTAAGTCAGAATGGTTTCAAAGCTTCAGTCATTTATATAAACGATCAAGGGTTGGCGATGACAAGGGTGCGATGACGAGGTTCAAATTATAAGGTGTAGAATTCATAATAAGGGAAGGGAAGGGAAGGGAAAAAAAGGAGGAGAGGGCTCGGAAGGCTAGGGAGGTTAGAGGTCCGGGAGTGAGGGGGCAGCAATTGAGAGACCCGGGAAGCATCAACATCAGAGAGTTTTAGTGTTAAATGGATATGCATAATGGTCTACAGTTTTCGATGGTGGTTTTGTAAAGTCCTCAACGGTTTGGCAATGAATATCTAAATTACAATCCGATCAAAACGAGTCGGTAATAGAAAACCCGCGAGTTTACAAGTCATCAGCCATGTACTTTACTGGCTACTCCTGCCGTCAACGCTGAAAACTTCCTAAATTGGCGAGTTGAAAAGCTTGACGAATCTGTACTGGTAGTACTATATAGAGCGTCACTACATATGATTGACCAATGGTTATTTGTACTTTGATAATTATAAGGTCATTTTCATTACATAATAGAGCGAAAACTTTTCTGAATCATATAATAATTGGCGTCGTTCATCGAGTCATTGTCTCCGAGGATCTCGATGTAATTTGCACACAAATAAGTGAATACGTGGATTGAGAAAAGACTGAATGCAATGATACTTTTCAAGGTGACTTTGCTCAATGCTAAACTCTGGTGTCAAGAACACGATGCAAGAGTACAATGATAATTATGTAGAGTAAATGTTGGTTTGGCTTGATGACATTGCGTCGTTGCATGTAGAGTGACTGACATTGAAGACTTGGGTTGCATTGTGACGATTTATTTGACTGATACCTATCTCCGAATTCATTTGTAGCCATAACTGCATGAATTTGTTCTAGGGGATGGGAGGTATGGTGGAAAATGCTATAGAGACACTCGCTCCTGATCACACACAACGTAATACGTGAATTTGCGGAAGGGATGAAATATATTGTAGAAAATGCTAAGGCAATACTCGCTCCTGATATCAATTGGAAATGGCAATGAATACAGTTATCATGGGTATACTTAGACATCAAGATGGGTATGAATGCTATGAGCTGAAAGAGTAAGCGGTACGAAATTACATACTGTAGACTTGAATATCAAGCAAACTGAGGCCATATTCTGATCTCAGAACGGGAGAAATGGAGAGTTAGTCAGCTGTAGTAGACTAGTACAAAAACAAGTATGGAGGAAAGTTAGTCTCGATTCGATCATTCTTAGGACTTACTCGTTTATCATTCGTCAATTTTGTTGCACAAAAAGATGTTAATTCTAGATCACCAAGCCTTCATCACTTAAGGACCTCTTTCCTCCCACTCTTCTGCTTAGATTTTCATTCAGATCATCTCATCTCATCTCACAGTGTAACATTCGGGACGACACGAGCGAACGAACGAGCGAACGAACTAACTAACGAGTGAGTGAACAAGTGAACGATGCGAGCGAACGATAAGAGCGAGCGCGTGAACGATCGAACGAATAAACAAAAGAGCAAATCCCCGCTTGGAGCGATTCCAATATTATAGAGATTATTTTTGTTCCTATAAGCCGAGGGTTTGACACCCCTTGGCAAACTCATGAACGCTGGGCTTTTCGCTCAGTGTTCATGGAGCTTGGACTTTTCTGGCATTACACTGTCGCCAGATAGGGTCTCATTGTATTCCTGGCTAGTCTGGGGTATGAAGAGGTTTTTCCTAGCTCATTCAATAAACTTTGTGGAATGGTGTGCATTGTGGGGTCTTTCGCATTATTTATATTCATCTTGCTCATTAGAAATAGACTTTCGGCTATATGTATGACTAATAGACTCTTTATTTCGGTCTATTCTTGTTGTATATGAATATTCTCGTATCAGATCTCTATTAAATCTCTAGTTGCCGAATAAATGGAGCTTCATATCATACTAGTTCTAACTTAAAATCTTTCTTTACACTTAACAAGTCTGATCAATCATCTCCACATTTCCGATTTTCAGTTATAGTGTATTTGATGAGGAATAACTTAAAGACAGTACCCACTTCCGGAGTAGGTGGGCAAATCATAATAGCGTAAACTCAAACAGCAGGTGAAGTCTCGTCTTCCGTTCACGTTTACTCACATAATCTTATACCGTAAACTTTTGATTTTATCTCCATCGAAATAGTTTTCTATAATACCTTTTTACAATCCATGATACATCAAATCGTTGTAATAGTTGACGAAGTTATCAGATTTTTTTGGGGTTGATGGGATATCTTAATATGATCGATATTCAGCACTTCTGCAGTGACTTGTGCACAATGGTACGTACAATTAATACAGTAAGTGGAGTATAAAACGGTTCCCTAAACTCCTTTCGGCTGGCTCTCAAGAGTATTTTGATATGTTTTGTTTTGTTGCATGTCTGGATGCTACTTAATCAAGTTAGGGTCAATGAAATGATCAACTCAAAGCACTAGCTCTAAGAGTATTTTAATATATTATGATTGCATGTCTGGATCCTACTTAATCAAGTTTAGTGCCATGAACTAATCAACTCGAAGTTCTGGGATGAGTGAGAGGATCTTTAGAAAAGGTTTCGTGGATCTGCATTATTCTAGGACGCTAGGCAAACCCATTCTCTTGTATTCATCAGGTATCCGCCGGACCTTCGCCACTTCGTCAAGACTCAAGAATCAAGATGCATGTATGTACTTTTCGTTGGGTTCCTTTCACTCGTGAGATTCAATTCCTGGGATGCTTACAATGAGCACCCGTGCCAGTACAGCTATATTAAATGCTTTCATGTTTCCATACCGTTACTTAACCATTCGATTTCAAACTCCAGCTCGAAGGGCTCACTGATATTGTTCTGCACGTACTGGACTATGAAGAACAATGCATAAAATCATTCATTTTCGATTAAATTATTCCATACGCAAGAATCCCTCAATGCTGTCTCCGCTTGTACCTCTAGTTTCGAATCGGCAAGCAAATGCTTTGTTTTGATTCTGGGCAAGATGGAGTATCTCGATTTGGCCAAGCTCATGCTAGATTATGCGGCATAATGGTTAATATATCGACGTATGTCCGTGGGTCAGGCACGATGTTATGCTTGCAGAATAAAATGATTTGGTTGAATCGTCGATCCACTATATTACATGATTCAATACTTTAATCCACGTACTAGGAACTAGCTTCACTACTGAAAAAGATTTCGGCTTTCTCGCATGACTGGTTGAATGAAACTAATAGTAGTGTATGTTAGAAAGGGTATAAGGACCCCTTCCATTCCCCCATCCTTCATTTGCTTCTCTTCATCTTCGTACTCTTCTCTTTACTGAACTTTGAATTTCTCTCTTATTTAATGGATACCCTGGCCTCTCTATCCAAACTCTTCAAGGACATTGGATCTTCTTATCCCTTCATACTTTCTTTAGATTGCGGAAACACACTTCTCCTCACTCTTTGAGGATTATGGTCAACGAATTTCTGCCCACTTCTTTTCATTGCATTAGCTTACTTGTTTAGCAGTGCGAAGAAGAGGAGTCTCCGGAATCATCCATGAGACATTTCAATCCGGTATCGCGAAAAGTCTTGATCGTCCAAATCATGATATCATGATGCTATACCTCTACATTAAGATGACCAATCCAATGTCCCGAGTTAGATAACTCAGGCAGACCAACCGTAATAAAAAGGTTTTAAATTTCCAGCCTCGGGAGAATTAAAATGTTTTGGGCCAAAGAAAACGAGGAATTCTATGATTTAATCTTTCCACTGAACGGTCGAAGTTTATAAATGAGGCTTCCTAGGCCCTGGTAGCGTGAAGCTAGTTCAACGTTGATCAGATGACCTGAGTCGCTAGTTGTCACGCTAAAATAGGAGATTTTCGCGTAATTTTCTTCCAGTATCCTAACTGCATTGAAACACCGAACTTAAGTAACAACTATCAAACGCGACTGTTGGGTTGGTCAGATAGTACTCCTCGGTGGGGAACTGGGAGAATATAATTGGATCGATCGAATCGAACAACGGTCCATATAATTCTGCGATCGACAGTTTGCAATGCGCTACGAATAAAGCGCGTCACGGTGGTAGAAGCTTCATTCTAAATCACGAGATATTCTGAGAGGAGAAAGGATTGGCCATTAGCAAATCGTTGTTGAACTATCGAGGCGGTCAATTGTACTCGCCACACTCTTAGTTGAGATACGATGGCAATTGTTGGAGGGAGACCCGCACTATCTTCAAAGGCAAGGGCTGTTTGCTGGCGGCTTGCAGGACTGTGGGCGCTATAAAAAATTGAAGCCTAAGTGGGCACAGCTTTACTTGCGTTACAGCTCCCTTCCGTTCTCTATAAGAAACTTGTATACTGCTCGATTTATACTGCGAGAAATCCCGAGTGGCCCAACTGAAATACGTCACACGGGTTACAGTTGCCGGCAATCGGAAAAGGTTCTGCCGATTACTTATGGTAATCTTCGTTAGTGGCCTCTGAAGAAATTAGCCGACAGGGAGTGGGGTTTGTTACGATCAAGGTCGCCTCATTAAATTTCTTCATGCGCATAGTTTATGACGACACGATTAAGAGATCACCCAGAGAAACCATGTCTTGGCATTTGTTTCGGCATATGACTACCCGGATCTTCCAGCCAGTTGAAAAAGGGAGATTAATATCACTATATGATATCAAGAGTTATTTCAGTCGTAAAATCGTACGGGGGCAAAACAAATCGCAAATAATTCATGGTCTAATACCTCTAAATGAGGGAATAGCCAAGAGACCGCATCCAAGAATTCAGCGGGAAAATTGAGAAGAGTACACATTATTCTCTGATTTACGACACGGTAATCAGCTCAAAGAGTCAAAGTGGTAGATTATGGACATATTGAAATTCCAAAGGGTTTCCAGAGATGGGCTTTGTACCGAACTTGTATAAATTGTCATTTCGGAGAAATTCTGATTGGTACAAAACTATCACTGTGGATATGAATTTGGATCATATTTGCACTTACGAGTCCATTGGCTGACTTCTTGGACTTGCTGTTTTGCGCTCACGATTCTACTGGTTCTTCTTGTGTGATGACGTCAAATTCAAGATGGATCAGATATGCAACATATTCAGATTCAAAGATCTAGGCAGAGGTCTAGATGGGTCCAGAACTGGATTGATACAGATATAGCAAAGGGACGAAATATCGCCAAGTCTTCGTGTAGGGACGGATACCGGTATGTGAATATGGGGCTGGCGAAATTGATAGTCGGTGGGTTGGGTTCCGACCGGCACGGTCTGTTGATGTAGCTACAGGGCCAATATCTCGTCTAATCATTGCGCTTTGCGGCGAGCATTGCTAGTGTAAGTAAAACTACAAATGCACAGTGCATATCTTTCCGCCGCTCACAAAATCACTGTTTGAATCTTTGCCAGAGCTTTCAAATTCTAAATGGTAGCGGGGATGATCTGGAACTTGGTTCAAAATCGAGGATGAACACGATATACATATCTTTAACCTCAGGCAGTTTATTAATGGAATTGCCAAATACCTAATTTGTGCTACAATATTGAAACTGCGATTTAAGGATTAAAACAGAGGAGGAAGTAGTCGTTCGACGGTGGTGTGGGCAAATCTCAAAAAAGCTTCACTTGAATCACTTCAAAAGTGTAAAAAAGTCGATATCGGTGTCTGTATCGCTCCTGCGCAATTGATCTATTTCAGTCTCTTAGTATTTGCAAGACCCGGGCGTTTTGCATCGGTGAAAACTCTACCACCAAAGTAATCTTTTGGTTTTCAAAACTATTTGGTTTGAAATACTCTTTCTATTTGGATACGAATAACTCTGTTGTAATGACTACCTTGATGTAGATCCGATCACATTTGAAACAAAAAGAGCAGAAGCCTACAACGGTGGCGGGAACTGTAAGTGGCTAGGCAGTTTGGGGTATCCATGAACTAAAAAAAATACTCCATAGTCTAGACTTTAACTTGGGATTTGTTGCATGACTGCGATCTCGAATTTGACGTAATCATACTAGAATAACCAATGATGTTCCGAGCGCAAAGAGACATTCTGTGCTATAGATAGGATCTGCGTTTTAGATCCAATCAAACTAGAACGTCTAGATTATGAAAAAGACTCCTATGGGATACCTCATACAAACCTTTTCCTTGTATACAAGGAATTATTCGCCTAAAAAAGGTATTGAGATGTATTGAGATTATAAATCACGTTTTTTTCCTAAATAGACATAGCTTTGTTTTTTTATACTAATTAGTTGAATGATTTCCAATTTGTTTGTATTTTTCGAAAACTTTCAATTATATTCCATTCCCTAACATTTTGAATGATTTCAACGGTTGAACGGTTTCAATAATCGAATAATAATCAAAACAAAAAAGAAAGATTAATCGTTTGTATGAATGGTTAAGGGTTAGCGACGGCAAGGGTGCGACGACGAGGGTGTGATAAAGAGAGAATAAGAAGGGGCGTGAAGGAAAGGAAGGGTACTCAGGGGAAGGGAAGAGAAAGGGGGGGAGAGAGGGAGAGGGCCCGGGAGATCGAGAGGCCCAGGATATTTTAAGGCAAGGGGTGGCTACCGGTACTAATTTTACAAGAATGGCAATCTTGCCGAATATCAGAAATTCGAAAAGCCTACTAATCATGAAAAGAAAACCTTCGTGCGAGAATGTATACCAGTATCTTCTTCACGCTTGTCTTGAAGTCGCATAGGAGACAAGACAGGGGTATAATTTAGCGCGTTTGGCGCCGCTCATCCGCAGATTTCACACGATTACCAATCTATCAAGCTCCAACCCCACATTCTCAGTAATCATCCATAATCGTCGGGTAGTTAAGCCTACTACCGGACGATTATGCGACAGCTTGATAACCCAGAGCTCAACATATATATATTGCTCTACAACCCTTTTGCTAAATATTGATATCTGCCAATCTAACTTCAAGGATTTCTTTAGGTACACCATTCTACACCTCATGCGCTTCCATCATCAAGCTACAACTCTTCTGAACGCTGTCTGCCACCAATACAGTAATATATTTCAACCCACCTGTCCAACCTCAATCTCCTCATTCACAAGCATGTCAACCTCAATCCCAAATTCCCTCGCTCCAGTCGTAGCTGTCTGCCACGGTGGTGGTCCTATGCCCATCATCAACGATCCTGGCCATGCCGAGCTCATAAAGTCCATGAGCACGCGTGTTCCCGAAATACTCGGCATCTCTTCAAATTCATCTTCCACCTCGCCTCCCCCCAAGGCTATTGTATTGGTTACTGCACATTGGGCCGAGACACGTCCTCACATAAGCAGCGCTCAGCACCACGATTTATTATATGATTATTCTGGATTCCCACCTGAAACATACAAATTGAAGTACTCTGCGCCCGGAAGTCCAGAAGTAGCCAAGGAGATCTTTGAGCTATTGGATGGGGCGGGTTTCGACCCAGTGTTGGATGAGAAGAGAGGTTTGATTTCTAATTTCCATTGTTTTGATTTATATTACTGACTACAATCATTTACAAAAGGCTGGGACCATGGCGTATTTGTTCCACTCCTTCTCATTTCTCCCGCAGCGCAGATCCCCGTTATTCAAGTATCTGTCCTACAATCCAACTCTCCCGCCCAACATTATGCCATGGGTCAAGCCCTTGCGCCTCTGCGATCCCGCGGCATTGCCATTATCGGTAGCGGCATGCCAACATTTCACAATCTCCGTCTCATGTTCTCTGGTCTCGGAAATACCCCCGCATACGTAGCTCGCAACAAAGAGTGGTCAAATCGCTTGACGGAAACACTAAAGATATCCGATGCTGAAGAACGGGGTAAACGACTAGAGAATTGGAGGGATTGGATTGGGGCTGAGGATGCGCATCCTCAGAGAGGTCAGGAGCATTTCTTGCCACTTATTGTATGCGCGGGCGCTGGAGGTAATAAGCCGGTAAAGGGGTGGGAGGATGAAGTTATGGGGTCACCGCAATGGACATATTATTGGGATTAAGGATTTAGATCTTGACCATTCGATAACATGACGGAACAATCAATTTGAGGCAGTAGCGTCACATCGTTCTTCCGTATGATAAATGGTGCTTGAGCACTCAATTTTTTAAACCTTCAGAATCCACCGAACTATGGAATTCCCAATAACAGCATTTGGGAGCGAGAAGGAATAAAACGATAACAGTATATCTTCCCCCGTCACAATTTCAGCTTCCCTTCTTTATACTGCTCGACATGCACATAACTTCAAGGGATCGTCTTCCCATATACTATCCCAAATATTGTACCGCCAAGTGCCTCCAATTTTCTACTTAAAATGATGGAAAGAGTAATGATAAGATCGGTGAGGGAAATAAATTCGGAAATTGTAGGAGGCCTAAGACAGAGCCTGAAAGTCAAACAAGGATGAAATAGCAGAGGGTTACCAAAGTCAGCAGAGAGAAGGGTTAAGGATTGATACTGGTCAAAGGAGGAATAGGACGGATTATTAAGAGACGCACGATATTTCAAAGAACTTGTTAGGCAAAGAATCAATACCACCCACCTCGATGCGAATTAGCTCTCGTGCCTCGGAATGAAGGACCTATCTAAGACATATTCATCAACCCGAGCCACTGCATGAATACGTAGGCGCACCAGCAGATGATATTTCATGTTCAACACACTTCTTCTGCCAAATGGTCGTCTGTCCCGAAGCATGCCACTCATACGGGTTTCTCGCATCCACCGTCATATTTTCAAACTTCCACTTCGAAATGGCCGCGCATCCTTTGAGCTGATGCATAATTCTACTGCCATGAAGGTAAACCGCCGCCATCAAGTTCACTCAGATCCCATTTGGAGCCCCAGATTTCAAATGTGTCGAAGAGGGCTTCGTATTGCGTATTGGCAGCTCTCGAGCGTGATTGGAGTTACGAATGTAGGCGTTGGAAGTGTGCTGATTGTATATTTTGTAGTGGGCGTGGCAAGTGATGAGCTGGATTCGTCGGTCCCAATCGTACTATCAATTTCAATATGCCAGCCATCATTACAGGTGCAGTACGGTGTTGCGGAAATAGTTTCTAGGGGGTTTATTATAGCTCTTGCAGTGGCTGTGGTACAAGAGATTATTGGTGGGTTTGGGATCTAAGAGGCTTTGCTAGGCATTTGAGTATATGGTGTTGAAGCCAAAAATCTGGATGTGACATCCGATGAATTTGACGCCCAGAAAGTGGGGAAAGATGCCTGGATCAACGGAATGATGGACGGCGAGGCCATTTGTGGAGTAAAAGACAAACCTGTGGCTGCCAATTTGAGCCATTAAAACTGCTGGTTGATGATGGGAATAGGATACGTAGACTTCGTCAAAAGACCATGTGACATGTTGGTCGGTAGTATCAGCCATGGCCACAGAGAGTTACTGTTACTGTTACTGTTACTGTATAGACTGCTGCATGTCGTACCAGGAAGTATCGGCAGTATTTCTTTCACCCAAGAAAATTGTTCCCGGTTTCGGAAGCAGTAATCAGTAGATTACCAAATTCCTAACTCGCACCCGAAGTCGATGAACTTAATGCGATGCTAGCTGGTAAAACCGTTGACAATTTTGTGGTGCCCTTAGAGGTGGCAGTACTTGTTTTCATCCGTTCTGTCGCACTAGACGATGACTGGGAGGAAGATAGCGTCGAGCTTGACCATGATTCGGGCAACGAGGACATGGTGACTAATGATACAGATGACGACCTAGGCCGCGATAGCCCGATCCGGTCCCGATGGAAAGGGTTGAAAAGGGCCTGGTATCTATTCCCAACGAGGGAGTTAATTCAAGGCATTTACGGCTTTAAGCTGAAGTGCTGAAGGTGATGGGACTTCCTAAAGCATCGTCCACCGTATACTCCAGGTCCCAGCAAGTCAAGATGAGTGTCTCACTTCGAATCTCCAGTGACGAGAACTTGAATAGATCCATCACTCATTGGTAGAGCCCTTTTATTCAAAGATCTATATCTCTATAGCTGATCGGGTGGAGTTTCGTCTGGTTGTCCATCCTTGCTGTTAAACGCCAAGACTGAAGCAAAGTTACTGGCAGTTGGTATTAGTAGGATCAGGCTTGCCATCTGTCAATCCATGAGAGAATAGAAATTAATGAGTTCTTTCTGTGCGTTCAGGTCCCCCGTACCTTCAGAGCGGAGACAGCTGAAGATATTGCTCCTGATTAGACGAGATCGAATGTGCTGCCCAATCCTGAAAATATCGTGTCTCCATGAATATCGCAAGAGTAATCTAAGATATAGCCAAGGCTAGTGCCTAAAGTGTTTGAAAGAAGGGCGAGGGTCGTAGTGGGCTTCGTGGTCAAATGAGAGTGGTCAAGCTTGAAATACTAAAAGAAAATCCGGTCCTGCCTCTCGAGGCACTCGGGTAGTACTGAGTTATTGAAGGCAGAAAGACGAAGATCTCTCTGAAAGTTAACGTCATGTTTGTATGAAAGGCTGCAATACTAAGTATATATGCCCAAATATTCGTTTTGTTACCCTGCTACATCTGTCGAATCAATCAATAAGCACGAGGCATCACTGACATTCGTTTTGGTACACAACTGAGTATTCCAACTTTTCCAATACTCTAGGATGTCCATTCGAAATCCTTGGACGATAGGTTATGAAACAAACAGCTGAAATATCGACATCAAGAAAAGATGGTAATGCGGGCGGTCCAGCGAGCATTCATTGTCATCTTGTAAGTTCATTCACTCATCTGAACTCGGTGACGATAACTCGTTGGACAGCATGAGTGGTATGAGAAATCGATCCCACTCCTAAATATGTTTTCACAGTGTGTATATGGACTTATCTAACAGTAGCAGTGTATAGCAAGTGATAAGCAGAAAAAATAAAGGATTTGAAGGACGTTAAATGAACTCTCGTATGTGATATTTCAACATGAACAACCATTGCCATCACCATAATCCACCAAGTTCAACATTAGCCTCATCATCAAATCACACGTGAATGAGATTGAATCCGCATATCAATCATGACCAAATGTGGTAACGCAGAAAACATTAAAGACACAACAAAAGAGCGCAAAATAAAAGCACCTCATCTCTTGCCACGAAACCTTCCTCGTTCTTTGAAGCTGCGCATATCCCTAAGACTTCTCTTCCTCTTCCATTCGTTATCAACCCTACGCTAGTTAGCATTCACACATATAAATAAGCACAAGAAATTATCAATCCTAGTTTTAACTTCGCAGCTTCGCAGCTTCGCACTCTTGATATTATACAATTTGTATACAACACTGTATAGGAAAACTAATGTAAGAAACATTCTTCGAGTTATAACGAGAGCGATGATCTAGAGACGCTGCTCCGGAAATATAAAATAGGGGAAATAAGATTGTTTATTTCTGCAATGTATCAACGACAACTCAGCTATCAGTGTTTGATTTTGAGTTTGAGTTTGTGGAGCTTTCGGGTTGACATGTTAGCCATTAATAGCTATTAGTTTATTAAATAACAGTGTTAAAGGAGAGACGCTACCTTATCCTTCTTAACCGGCTTGCTGAGTTCATCATATCCCTCTCATCATTTAGTAAGATACACTTGGAATATCCTATTCCCCTCAACATCCTCCCACATTTCACACCTCCTCTCCTCTCCTCTCCTCACTCCCCCCCATGCAATTCAGAACCTCAAGCTCTAATACCTGTCACAATCAACATCATACGAACACCTAGTATCCCATCCCACTCCATCCCATCCCATCCCATTCATGCTACTCTCTCCTCTCCTCTCCTCTCCTCTCCTCTCCTCTCCTCTCCTAGTTCCCAAACCCCATCCATCAATCCATATATCCATATATCCATATATCCATCAATCCGTCACCCCATTCACCCAGATAATCTATTGCCAACTCCTGTCAGCCCACCTATTCTATTCACATCCTCTTTTCTTCTCTCTCATTCCCTTTCTACATGACATATTGTTACTTACAGATGCAATACCGGTACTTCACGTCCTTATCTGCTTTTCACACAATTGCATTTTTTATCCTTCTTTATTTATCTTCATTTCATCTTCATCTTCATCCCCATCTCACCTCATCTCACCTCATCATCATCATCCTAGCTCTCTCTACTCTACTCTACTCTACTCTACTCTACTCGAGTACACTCACTCTCTACCGTTCCCATTCCTACTCCCATCCCCACTCCCAGTTCCTCTCCCATCCATCCATCCATCCACCCCCAATACCCCTCTCCCCTCCTCATATCTTCAAAATCGGTCCAAGCCCACATCACCCACCCGAGCCAAATCAATACCACATCCATATTTCCACCAATTTATAAAGATTGATTACCTATTCTCGACCACCTACCTCACCACCCACTTTCCGCGTAACATGTCATACACCCTCCATCTCCCACCCAGCCCCAATTTCAGCACTCACCTCCCATCCTCCCATCCATCCCATCTCCAAACCATTCATTACCCAAGAACTTTTTTTCACCATATACACAATCTATACAAACAACCCACCTACTCACTAATTCCTCAATTACTCACTCACTTACTCACTCACCAATTTCTCACTCGTTGCATTTATAAACCTTTCTTTTCTTTTCTTTCTTGTATTGTATCTCATGGTATTGTACTCGAGTAGAGTATCTGTCTTACAGACCGTAATTTCCCACGACGTTCTGCTATAATCCCCCAATCCCTTCTCTCAGCGTCCTTTGTGTAAAGACGGATAATGGTAATCCCTAGTTTCCTATTCTTAGGTGTTCTTTTATGATTCCTCAATCGACTCTCTACCCATTTCATTTGATTTCAATCCACTTTCCAATTGCCCTCTCAATTCTCAGCCCTTCTTTCTTCCAATATACAAAGCTTCTAATCATACAACAATAATAATATTCCTTCCATCCCATCCAATCCAATCCAATCCAATAATAATGCCAGGAAGATTTTCTTAGGTATTCGCGTAACGCCAAACTCCACATCATTCATATAATCCCATCCCATTCCATCGTATGTATCCCTATCTAGACGAAAGCGCCCTTTTCTCCCAACGCATCACCTTTTCTGGGAGGGGAACGATTTCTCCTATATCCCTTGTTCTCCGAACTCCATGGTTCAACTTCATCGTCATCGTCAAACGAAGGGGCACTAGAAGTACCGGATGGACTTTGAGTTCTCGTATCGCCTTTGACGAGGCCAAGTCTTTCTTCTTCAGTGGCGCCCTTGATTACTTCATCGCTTCCGTGTCGGGAACCGATACGCTTTCGATCGGGTGGCGAGCGGACTTCTTGTGGTGGTCCATCGTTTTGTTGGGATCCCCCACCCTTTCTGAACACATTTTGAAATGAGAATTGTCTTTTGGCAGAGTGAGGTGGAGGGGTGGGTGGAACTAGGTTGCTAGCTCTGGAAATCGGACGACGTGGATCCTCGGCGATGGTAACATGTCTGCCACCTGGACCAGTGTATTCAGTCTTCTGATCGCGCAAAGCAGCTGGTAAGCCGAAAGTATGGTTATCATGAATGTAGTAAGCCTCTTCGCTATGCTCGAATTTGAAGGCATCGCCATCAGCTCGGTAGGTTGGAATATCGGCCAAGGGAACGGCATGCGTGGGGCTGTGTACGTTGATGGCGGGGTTCGTGCCTGCTGACAGTGATTTACCGCGAGTTACACGGTTGCGGATGGTGCCGAATATTGAAGAACTAAGGCCTGTACCTGGCCGGTCTTCTTCATCGTGATCGGAGTCCGGATCAGGGAAATGGGACATTCCGAGAGGCGGGTGGGCGATAGCTGTTCGAGGAAGAGTCGTCCGGGGGGTTGGTGTATGGCGCATAGATTCGGGTAAATGTGGTAAGTTTGAGTCGGCACGAGACCTCATGCTCATGCTATAGTTGGAGGAGCCAACAGTAGTTCTGCGTCTTCGAAGACCATCCCACTCAACAACATCATCCTCACCAAGTGGCTCCAAGATGGACTCCTGATGGAGCCTCCTAGCCTCTTCCAATTCCATCTTTTGTCTAGCGGAAGAGAATTTTCGAACAATAGCCGCTGCTCCTCGAATTGCATCTGCTTTTGGTTCGGTTTCTGGCTGTTCCTGTTCGGCGATGATGCGCATTTGGTCGAGATCGCCTGCAAAGATCGCAGCATCGGGGACATCTTTGGCGGACTTTGAAAGCTGGAGGAGGACAACCCCAGAACAAATAACGAAGAAACCCATGACGACCGTGATGATAGAGGTTGGGGTTCCTTTGAACCCTCTAAACAAAATCGCGGAGGTGATGATCGTAGAGCTCGTAAATAAAACATAATATGTAGGAGTAACCAAGGCCGCATTGAAAAGGTTAAGTGCCTTGTTCAAATATATGATCTCCGTCATAAGTGTTCCGATGACGAAGACGAATAGGACGTAAAGAAACCACTGATTATACTGTTTCGTACCACCGATTTGCGTAACAATTGCAGCCCCAAGTCCTTGTGTCGCAACCACACTAAGTCCTCCAATCAAACTACAGATTGTCAAATACACAAGCATAGTCTTCTTTCCATATCGTGGGCCAGCCCATAGTGCAAGAAAGATACAACCGATGATGATGACACCGGCGTAACTCAGAAAACCCGGTGCGATAACAAATATTTGCATTTCCTGAATTGTCGCTGCAGAAGCCTCTGCCGGCGCATTCATTACAATAACCACGGATCCAATGATACATAAAAAGCATCCAACTTTTCCAACCATACTGAGTCGTTCCTTGAGAAAGATTGCAGATAAGATGGTGGTAATGACAACACTGAGTGCGCCAAGGGGAGTAACCAAAATTGCATCAACAAATGCATATGCCACAAAGTTGCAAATTTCTCCAATAATCATAAGTGTCATTCCAGCCCACCAAAAGCCATTCTTAAGGTAGGCGTATCCTTCTCCAGCTACTTCATTGTATTTCTCATTGGCTTTCAACAATCCAATCTTCTTCATGACAAAAGATATTCCAATGAATACTCCTGAAGCCACTGCCAATGAAATTCCAATCGCTTTATAAATAGGTGGTCGAACGACTGTATCCGCATTTGTTGAAGAGGTTGTGCCATTCGTGGTATTTGCTCTGGCGTATATGAGGTTTGCAGCCAGGAGAGCATGCCCGGCTTGATCCATGATGGGGGATAGGTTGGCAGAAACCGCCTAGAAAAGGATATGGGTAATCGAAGTTCGTAAGTCGGTCAATCGAGATCTTCGTGATTTATTGAGTATTGGAAAAGGTAAATCGATGGGTGATATTCCTGGACAATTGAGGAATTGTTTTGTTTTGAGAGCCTCGAAGCTATTGTTGAGATTGCATGTATTTGAGCGAGAAGATGTTTTGGGATAAGGTAGGTAGGTAGGTAGGTAGGTAGGTAGGTGAGGTGATAGGTTGATTTCGAGATTGGCTAATCTTTATATCAGATCGCATTAATCTTAGTAAAGTTGTTAAACTCTCAGTACAATATTAGAGAACTCTTTTTGGGCGTATAGAAGGATGATTGATGTCTTCGATGTGATTGTACTCGTATTGTGTTTTGTTATCTGAGCTGTTGCTGACGGAAGATCCGCAAGAAGAGCCAAAAATGTGGCGTATTGTATGGTCGAATTGAGTAATAAAAGTTATTGATTCTAAAAAACAATATACACTGAATCATATCATATCAAATGAATAATTGAAAGGAAGTTATCGTCTCGTTTTCTTGCAGTTCTTTAAATTCTCTTGATCTTCGAATCCTCAATTAAAAGAATAATAACGAAGAAGCAGAAAGCAGGAAAGCAGGAAGCATGAAGAGAGAGAAAACACAAAGTGGATTTGATGATGTCCTTGGATTCGAATTATACACAATATGAAGATGATGAACTGCAGTCGTCTGCAAAGGAGAGGATCAAGCTTATGAAACTGTCTAGTGGATAAGGCTGTTCGAGAAGTTAATTTAGTAAATTTTAGTAAAATCTTAGTTTTATTTTATTTTATTTTAGTCTTATAAATGTCAAATGGCTGGACTAGATTCAACGTTAGAATTAGTAGGTTTTTTTTTTGCTTTTCGCTATAGTACGAATCAACTAAATAGAAAGGAGGCTATGCTAGGATTACGACAGTTACAGAAACAGTATGAAAGTAGAAAATAGTGGAATATTTTGTATTATATTATACGAGAATTAGAAATGTATGTACTTGAGTATGACAGTGTCATCATTATTGAAACTCTCTCCCTCTCTCTCTCTCTTCTCTTCTTTCTCTCTCTCTCACTCTCTCTCTTCTCTTCTCTCTCTCTCACTCTTTAATTGATCAACGACAATCCTCATCTTCAGTAGGTATTGCCCCTTTTATCGGCTATGTATGTTTCATTCATGAGAATTAATCAAATTTGATTGGATGAATCATATCAAAATACTGTATTTAACATTCCCTGGTTTAGGTACTATTGATATTTGTTGCTGCTGCGACTTTTCTTGATGCATCCTACAAGAGAGTAGATACCTATCACAGCATACAGTAAACAGCAACATTATCCATTCAATACGAAAAACTTACCTAACTTAGTTTCAATAACACCACTCAAAATACGTGGTATCACTCCATACTCCGTACAATCGATCAAAATTCGTACCTTAGCTCGAATGCGCCATCCATCGTGGCATCATCCACTTACCTAGATACTCGTACGACGTACATTATACAAACCCATAACTTACACCCCATCAATTCCTATCCAAGAACCGTCCCTTTCCCCCCCAATGAAAATCTCTGCACCTAAACGCGCAATCCCCAATCCGCAATGATCAAACTTGCATGCCCCCCTCCCCCCCATCCTTTTTATTTCTGGGCAAGTTGCAACTAACCCATGCATGGTTGTAACTTCAACTTGTAGGCTGTGTGAAAATAAGAGAGCCAAGTAAACCCAACCCCATATTCTTAAACACATCTGTGATCTGTAAGGGTCTTGAGGTCTTGAGGTCTGGAAATCTGGAGGTCAGAAGATCTTGAACTTATCGTTGAATGTTCTTGAGTGCGAACGATTGATTGATTGATTGTGATTGATTGATTGTCGCAGCATGGCCAACTCAATAACCGCCTGTATCACTTATGGTAACTCGCAATTTATGAAGTCGGTGGCTGTTCAGAGCAACAAGGGAGCTTTATTTGATATACGAGTATTTGGTACGTACTCGAGTACCTAATAATAAGCTGAGTGGTATGATAAGATGTGTTTCTTCTGCGGGAAAAGCTTTTTTATATCAATTACAAGCAAGCCTTTCGCACAGATTCACAATCGGAAGTGTCAATATTCAGCCAATTGAAGGCATTCACAACTGCCAAGATTCAAAATAACTCGACGTCACGTGGTAATTGACATCAAGTGATTGGTCCTGTGCGAGATGCTCAACTTTTGGATTCGAATACATCTATCTACCTTTCCCCCAGAAAAAAGCTTGGAACATCTCCTTAAATTTGCTATATTATTTGTAGAGAAAAGACATCTTGAGAATTTGATTTGGTGCGATAAGGATAACCTTAGTCTCTGACATTGGATTTACTAAACACTATCATTCATTTCCTTGCCAGTGTCTGTGTGAGAATAAGAAATGGGACTCATTTACTCACGCACTCTAGATATGAAGTTATCGAGGGCATGGAAACCGGGGTTATCATTATAGTATGGGGTGTGTATTACTATGGGAATATGCAAGAAAAGCGATGAAGGAAGATAGAAAATGGGATAGCGTGAGGAATGGAAAGAGGGAATAGGAAACGGAGTGAGGTTGTTGCTTTGAGTGGGCATCGTTTATTACAAGATTGGAATTATTGACTGTGCTAGATGAGATGGACTTATATCAAAGGAAAAGGCATATGTCACTGAAAAGACATATGAATGAAAATGTCACTAAAAGGGCATGTAACTAGGAAAGGAACATTTTTACAAGAATGAAGGTCGTTATAATAATTCAGGTTACTATAAGAAAGATCACCACTTACTCTGGGTGTGAGCTTGTCCTTAGTAAGGGAATATGGCCGGAAAGGCACATCACTGGAGATGGCTATGAATGGGAAGAACATGTCACTGGGGCTTGTGGGCTCTTCACTGGGCTCATCACTGCACACACAAGAAAAGAAAAAAGGAAAAGAAAATCTCGGAAAGCGAACATGAGAGTTGATATACACATCCGGAAATGTAGTAAGCCCGGTTCAGTCCGAAAATCTACTACTGCTACTACTACTACTACTACTACTACTACTACTACTACTACTAGTATCCGTACTAATATCATCATAACATCATACTATACTCTGAGTAATCGAGATGAAGATCTAGTGCAATTAACTAGCTACATAGTTATTCGTAGTTTGGAAGAACATTAATTAGCTTTTGAGGCGATTTCAAACTAGACGGTAAACCCAACTCTATTGTACTCGAGTACAAGTAGTAATTTTAGCTTTGAGATTTATCGTTAATAGCTTGATAGCTTGATATTATCTAGGTACTCGTAGTGCTTGCTTTTTTAGTACCCATCGGAATACAAGAGATTATACTACACTACACTACACTAAATTCAAACTACACCACCAAACCAAACCCAAACCCAAATCCAAACCTCACAGAAACAACCCTCACAGAAAAAACCCACACCCTTTCAATCTCCAAAACCTCACAAAATCTATTACTACTCGAGTACGGTACTCAAGTATTGCACATCCACTTCCACATCTCATATACACCCCCTCCGCCCCCCGCTCACCCGCGATGATCTATCTAGTTTCGTGTAGTTTCGTATAAGGACAAAAAGTTTTTCACGCCGACCAGAGGGTACTTTACTTTACCTTACTTTACTTGCTGCATATCCCATATCTCCCATAATCCTATTGCTATTGCTATTGCTATTGCTACAAATGGTGAGACTGAGATTTTGTTGTGATTTTGATTATGGTCCTCATGTGATATCGATGTTGATGTTGGTGAAGAGAAGCAAGCAAGTACAGTAAGCAAGTAGTCGAGTTACTATCTATCAGTGGGAATAAAATTACATGTCTGTCAAGACTACACACACACACACACACACAATATGACTACGAGTAATGTAAACATGCTAGTGGAGTGGATATTGTATACCGGTAGTTTTTTTATTAATTTGATTTGTTAATATAATATCGAATAGTATCAATACAGTACAATACTCATTTATCAACCTCTCTGAATAACTAGAAGATGATACCGACCGAGTCCTATCAATACTTGTCCACAGACGTCTGACTTCCACGAATAATAAGATCTGAGAATCCTATCAATGCAAACATGTTACCAAATATGTTTGGTGTAAGAGTCGTTTAAGAATGTCATAACAATCTCTTCATTCCAAGCTTTCATCTGTCTTTCGTGCCGCGACCTCCTTGTGAGATTCACCATTTCGCTTCCAGCTCACTCTTTTGGCGAGCCCCTCACCCATTCCCCATATTCCTCTGGTGGGGCTTCCCAGTGGCAAAGTCGGCATGGCCACAACCTTGGAGCATGTGTATTCTTCCCAGTGCGCGCGATAGTAAGCGGCACCACGACCCGAAACCCCCTGTGGCAACATCCTTCTCGTTCCATGGAAATCAATTTGACCATCATTCTTATCAGGCATCCCACCAAACACGCCTTCCAATGTCCTGCCGCCTCGTGTTTTGATAGTGATCATGCCGATGCCTGTCTCGGAGAATCCAGAGAAAGTTCCTCGCCCGTACCATGTGAATTTCATTGGGCGGCAGTGTGCTAGACCTTCCAGACTGACATCAAGACTAAGAAAGCCATCGACTATACCGATGTCAAAGTATCCAAAGACCTTTCCTTGTTGCTGGTCTACGTGAAGACGAACCATCAAACCTCTCGACTTGGAAGACCAATCTTCTTCTATCTCCCTGCTGGTAATATCGTAAATACCCGTAATCATTTCTACGAAATTCTGTTGATCCTGTTCTGTCCATTCTTCAAGCCGAGATGCGATATGCTCTGCCGAAGGCGGTGTCGAACCGGCACCATCGTGAGGCTTTTCCATCGTAGACCTTGGAGTCGGTGTTCGTGGAAGTTCATCCTCCTCAATCTCAGCGTATCCGTTCCATTTGTCAATAAACTCCTGGATAGACATGTCCACAAGACAGGGCCCGTGAGGTATCTTGCCATGAAACTCACAACGACCACCCCGAAAGCCAACACCCGACATTGCTTCAAAGTGCCCCCAAATCTTGCCGTTACCAAATCGAATTTTGCCGACAGTCAATGCGGAGTTGAAGGGCTTGTGAGGTATCCTTGCATTTATTCCACGCCATTTGAAACGATACTCCCGAGTCGCAGCAATCTCATCGTCTCCATCGTCTTCGTCATCGTCATCGTTATCACCCCCGGACTCTTCACTTGATTCTTTGTCTTTCGCCCGGGCCTCATGGAATTTCGAGTACTCAATATCAGCTCTGAAGTGGTCTTGGTCTGGACCAGGGTCAATGACTAAGGAACCCTTGAAGACATCCATGTCAAATGTACCCAAGAGGCGATTATGGTCCCAGATCAGCCGAATGCGAGAACTGTATCCTAAGCCGGAAGAATCATCCTGCTTAACTTTGTACGTGGCCTGGATGTTTCGCATTCGATCGCGATAGTATTCATCGTGAAATACCATCGCATTGATGTGTTCGTTCTCGCGTTTGCTTTTGTTGGCAGCTGCGCACTTGATCATATTAGGGATATCGATTTTACCAGACGGTTGGGCATCTCCAGTTTTCTTTTTTCCGATTCCTTTACTAAGAAACATGATGCCTGCCTTCGTTATTGGTGAGGTATTGATCGAAATGCGAGTTGAACGTATTTGGAGGTGCGGGAGATGATGGTTGTTTACTTGAAGTAAACAGGTACCTACTTAATATAATGGACATATGCTGAAAGTGGCAGCGACACCTGATAAATTGCCTATGTTCGCGACTGCCATACTTAGGAATGGAAGTTAAGACTTCCAGAAGTATGCCTTCCTGGTGATAACCGATGAGTTTGTGGTTATATTCCATAATTCGTCATCAACGTTGTTTAGCTCTAGTTGATCATGAATCTAGATCTAGATTTTCAAAATGGTCCTGGACGCCTAAGACGCCGAGTGCATAATGAATTCTCTCATGGGTGCCAATTACCAATTTCTGTTCAGTGGCTTTTTGCTCTCGTACAACTCTTTCAACATTTCGTGTAAAATTCCACATTTGTGGTGCTACTCGCTCATCCCTCGTTCTTTCGTATGGTGGACCTCTCCCCATCTCTCCAGCTTTGACCCAAGATGTCTCACAGCCGGTTGCAACTAAAGAGTGGTCAGAGTTTGAAGAGATCTCATTAGATTCACAAGAGATAAAGAGTTCAAAGAGTTCACATACTTGCAAGTGCTGTTTCCCAGCCCGTCAGACGAGCCACATCTTTAAGCCGGCATATTAGCCACGTCCTCTGATCTACATTTTGATACTACACGCGGTCAGCACGAGAAGACGACACTTAAAGATTGCGAACTCACTTGGACACCCGACAGAAATAGGCAGGTAGAACTTTCCATAAGTGCTGCACCAACGCCTGGATTGACTTGAGTTGTCATGCTTAGGTCTGGTGCAATACCGGCGGCGATTCGCCCGATTTCATTCGCGAAAAACGCTGTCTTACGAGCCGCCATACCTGCAGCTACCATTGCTGCAGGTGGCATAGAAGGATGAGACCGGTGACAAGAAATGAGACCCATGTAATAGTTCATCCAGATGCCAGAAATGCCATAAGTTCGGTACTGCAGAGCTGGACCGAAGGGGGTTTGCGCTGGCGTTGAGAATTCTTCACCCAAAGGTTGAAAGTCTTCACCAAAGTGATCTTCAAGTACACTAAAGGCATTGCGAATATCTTGCCATTCATCTTCAGCTTCGAGCCGTCGAGCTTCAAGATCCACATCGTCTGCTTCTGAGCTTTGAGGAGAGACACTATATGTTGGTGAGAACCCCATGGGAAGCGTTGGCTCTTTGACATTTGGTACCATGCCTGCAAAATTTGGCATTTGATTACTTATGGGGTTATTAGCAGCCTTCATGGCTCGTGTCTTCCTTTTCAAGTCTTTTGAAGCGAAATCTGCAAGTCGTCCCATTAAAAGAATGAGATGATCAAACGTGCCGTATACTGCATCTCTTCGTCCAAGGGGAGCACGCGGGGGGCAAAGACTCCACCGGTCATATTCCGTGAAGAGTTTTCCGCCACCTAATATACTTTGGTAAACGTCTTGTTTGAAGTACCACCACACAAGATCGCGTTGCATTTCATAAGTTTCAATATCCTTAGGGCTGTAAACTCTGTCTTCGGTGTGATCCGAAACATCGTCGATTATATGTCCATACTCATCATAACGCAGTCTTCGACCCATCAAAACCCCAACAATGTTTTCGTCCACATCTTCCAATGAAGCTGCAAATCTGCGTTTGTCTTCAAAATATGTTGTACCCATGTGTATCTGCTCTTCACGATAGCGAGCGCGGTCTTCGTTACGCAACTGTGCCCTCATTATCTTCAGATGATGAGTCATGCCAGTAAAATCAATGTCTCTTACAAGAGTTCTCGTCCCAAGTAGATGGTTACTCCACTTTTGATGGTCAGCACACCAGCACTCGTAGAATGAGAGCAACATTGTTGCAGCCAAAATAGCAGGTTGTTCTCGGCGCCCAGGTATGTTGACGCTCTTTGCAATCCTTCGTAAAGCAATTGCGTAGTGCTTCAAAGATGCAGTTATGTGGGAGTTTTGCAGCTTCGCAATATGAAGACTGGCTATGGCGAGTATTGCGTGAAGAAGTGCTTCATTCTTCAAAGCAAGCATTGGAACTGTGTAAGTCCAGATGTGTTGCTGAGAAGATGGTATGGATTTCCCCTGAAATATTAAAGAGGGATTGGCGGGATTTCGCTCGAACATCGATATACTGGGTCCAGTCACGTTGATGAAATGACAAAATATTCTAGCCGTCATACTGTCATTTAGCGGAGACAGTCGGAGGGAAGGATTGTAAGCCGATAACATGTCGGATCGATTTATCAGCGAGGTGAAAGAACGAAGGTTTTGATCCTGCCTATTCTGTCGAGCTTGAAGTGCAATCACCGGCCCAATGCCATGGTGCATGTTGTTACCCTCGAAAGTATCATGTTCCAAGTCATCTGTTGCATAATCATCCATGCTCATTTCATCATCATCGAACAATCGTTCATTTCGGTATCTCTCTTCGGGAAAATTACTGTCGTTGACGGTGTTTTGATTTGCACTGGCATGAGATGAAGAGTTCCCTTCCGATGCTTGACTGAAGTTATGCGGCATCTCAAGGTGAGGTGTATAAGCTGGTTCCATACTGTGTGTCACTTGGGTTGTAATCGGGATGTAAGATATGCTTGAGCTTATCTCGGGTGGATGAGAAAAAGCGGGTTTCTGCCAGCTTGAATCGCTGAGAGTGGTCACCGTGGGTGGTGTGGGAAGCGTAAATTGTGTATTGGGATTATGGGCATCTTCTTGAGGAGGATAGGAATGAGATTCACTATTTTGATTGGCAATCCATTTCAACGGACTAAGTCCCGTAACGGGTATTTGATGTCCCTCGGGCGGCGACTGCTGCTCAAAAATAGCATTGAAATCATAATGAGTTGGTCCGGGATTTGGGGGTGATCTGTCTTCGGGACTCGGTAGGTATGAACGATCTACGGTATCGCTGTAGCTCGACGTCACCTCTGGAATTTCTTGAGAAGTGCTCCCTTTGATACCCAAAGTATGATTCGGGCGACCAGAAAAGACATGTATGCTTTGCTCAAAGCCAGGATTTGTCTCGTTGACAGACCTGGGTGGGGGTTTATTACATATACCCGAATCACCTGGTCTTGGTGCAAGATTCGCTAATTGCCCCTGCGCCAGAGTAGCGGAATTCGAAGCTTCAACACCACGTTGATTTGTACGGCCAGATCCCGATGATGAGAAATTGACCTGGGATGAATTGGCGAATGGCCCTCGGGTTGCACTCAAAGGGTCCTTGAATACAAGTCTCTGATTGTAGCCCTCACAGTGCCTTTTGGACTTGGAACAGTTTTGACATGTTGGTTTCTCCTCCCCGCATTTGATACGGCGTTTTCGGCATGCTAAGAGCCAAGTCGATATATTAGTCACTTGATGGGCACACGCCAGATGCTGTACCCGTAAACTCACTTGCACATCCTGTTTTCGTTCTTTTCCTACCCTGAGCCTTAGAACCAGGTTTTCTTATACCGGCGAGTTTTTCCTCCTTTTTATCATTTTCAATAGCATGTAGCTTCCTTGAAGCCATCTTGAAATTGACCATGGACGTCGACTCAATGAAAGATATATCTCCCCTCTTCAAATCTCATGATTCGTCTTTGGTAGTACCCGTGAAACTTTGCGAAACGTCAAGTCTCGGTAGCTTTACTTGTGAGCTTGGAAGACCAGATTATATACTACAACGATTGGAACAGGTCGGTGAGATTGGGGCAATGGCGTGCGCAGTTGCCACCACGAAGGAGTATCAACAACAGGTAACTAGTTTGTGTCTCCTAAGGGGTAAGGGTCATTGCAAATTTGTAACTTCAGTTCAAATACAAAATGTGTCATGCCTAATGAAGTATAGCCGGTTATGCGTGGACGTTGGTAGTGTATGCGATTGCAGGTGATAAGTTTTCTATGGGGTGGTACCGGTACAGTACCGGTACTGTACCTAAGTGGGATCTGACTAGGATTTGATAATAGCTGGATAAGAAGGTTCTGAAAATGGTTTGGTTGCTCAGCTAGGTAAGGTTGAGGATGTAGTGGCAATGATAAGAGTGAAAACGATGGCGATGGCGATGGCGATAGCAAAAGGCAAACTGAGGAAAGGCGTTGAAAAGGTTATTTGAAGGAAAAGATGCATCCAGTTCTTCACTTCATAGATCTCACTTCATCAATGTTGTGTTTTGCCAGTGGGGTCCGTGATTTCCCTGCGGTTGAGGCATATTTGGTGGGACCAAGCTTAACCTAAACTAGAGTAGATCTTCTGAGTGGTGATCTCTTAGACATCTTAGTGGCTGTCAGGCGAAAAAGGATGCCCAAAATATCTTCAAATTCAGGGCCATGTGGGATGGGATACCATTGGCTAGAGCTTATGAAGATCAATAAACTTAGGCTTATGGGCTTGAAGAAGGGCTTGTCATCAAACTTAGGCACCCGAATAAAACTGTTGATACTACATCTCTCGCATTTCGAAGTAGAAAACTTGAAAGAGAACTACAGTATTTATTGGCGGTTGAGATACTCGAGTAGATCAATACCCGGTACCGGTACTGTCAACTTACCAGTAGTTGATAGTTGAAGTATAAAATAGACAACAGATGTTGCTAGATACAGCCTTACAGTATAACTCTACGCGCTTTGTCAATCTGCCATACCGTACTTAAACCTTCTTTTCTATTGTGTAGGTTATCCCCGGAGAAAGCTTACAACCAAAGGCTGGGGGCTAACTGCGGATATCACCATCCAGACCATGCTTGTAACCGATACTGAACCTTTTGCGGCTTCAATACTTTAGTCCTGGTATGTATATCAGGAGATTATGAGATGTTTCAAAGCCCCTCTACAAGTTTTCTCCAAGACTCCAACACATATTAAGGATGACAAGCCGAGGATACTAATGTGTATCTATTCACATCCATATGGGCAAAAGCCACTACCGAAATCGCCCCTTGTCCGACTGACCCAAAGACAATTCGGCTCGCCCGCCCGTCAGCCTGGTAATAGCTGACCGTTTCATCCTCCCGTTATGATCTACAGCTATAGTGGTTCTATTTTAGATCAGCACTACACAAGAGGTTCTTACATAGTGAGCACTGAGCATTCGCCATCAGATATTAGGATGTCACCTGGGCAGGTATCAATGTGTAGATTTCCTTACCTTTATCCAGGCCACCAGTGGTCTCCGGGACAAGCATACATCCTCGGTCAACCAGGATATCATTGCCAAATGAATGTCACCGCAAGTGACAAGAAATGAAAGGGATCGGATAGCGAGAAGCCCACAACACAAAAATTATGGTATCAAAAGGAAGAAGTCAAGACCAATTGACATCAAAATGACATATCAACAACCAGAGATGCTGAAATCAGAAAGTAAATGCTTTCCGAGGTTGATTCTGTCAATCGATCACCACCATTCGGTTCGGTTAATTAGATTCCGGCACTAATGAGCTAGAGTAGAAATGTGGGGTAAAAAATCTATGGTTGTTATCAAGTTTATCGCGAAGAAAAAAAAGTCCAGAATATCTGAATATCTTGTTGATCTACGACTATCAACTTTGACAACATCAAGTGTTTGATATTTTAAGACAATGTTTGCAGTTCCAGGATGGTCAGTCTCATCGAGTCTGCTGAAAACACAGACCACAGCGCCTGTTGCTACAATATCAAAAGCTGAGGAGGAAGGAGTGTCTGTTGAGACGAAATCCAGCAAGAAACGTAAACGCGCAAAGAATCCCGATGTGAACGCAGCGAACTTGTCGGAATTATGGGAATCGGTCATTGAAGGCAAGCCAAAGGCAAAGAAAGTAAAGAACGTTGAGAAGGATGGTGAAAAGAAGGAGAAGAAAGAGAAGATAGCCAAGGTAACCGGCGCAGACGAAATTGAGAATGGATCAACAGAACCTGCGAACGAAGCGATAGAAGCTTCAGAATCCAAGATTGATAAGAAACAAAAGAAGAAGGATAAGGACTCGAAGCCATCCGACAATAATCAACCCACGAAAGTCGATACTCCCAATGCTGCCTCGATCAAACCTCCCCAACCCCCCAAGCCTGTTGCAAAATTAACACCGCTCCAAACTTCCATGCGACAAAAGCTCATCTCCGCTCGCTTCCGTCACCTTAATCAATCTCTTTATACTACACCGTCCACCGAATCTCTTGCCACCTTCCAACAAAACCCCGAAATGTTCACCGAATACCACGAAGGTTTCCGCCGTCAAGTAGAAGTCTGGCCTGAAAATCCCGTCGACGGTTACGCTCTCCAAATCTGCCAGCGCGGGAAACTTAGACGAGACATGCGAGGCCAGCCGGCTCAGGAGAAAACCGATCTCACGCCATTACCAAGAACAGACGGCACATGTCGCATTGCTGATCTCGGGTGCGGCGACGCAACTCTCTCTACTGGTCTTCAAAAAGACCTCAAGAAACTCAACCTCAAAGTTCACAGTTTTGATCTCCAAAGTCCGAGTGCCCTCGTCACCCGTGCCGATATTGCGAATCTCCCCCTCGCAGATGAAAGTATCGATATTGCGATTTTCTGTCTCGCGCTCATGGGCACCAACTGGATAGACTTCATCGAAGAAGCCTTCCGCATTCTCCGCTGGAAAGGCGAACTCTGGATCGCCGAGATCAAGTCCCGATTCGGCCGCGTCGGAGGAAACAATAAGAAAGTCGTTGAGCACAGCGTAGGCCACCGCAAAAAGAACCAACCCATCAATAAAAAGGCCGTGAAAGCCGCCGACGACGAAGCAAATGCGGCAGATCTCATAGTCCACGTCGATGGCCAAGAAGACTCCAAGCAAGAAACCGACGTATCTGCTTTCGTGGAGGTCCTCAGCAAACGAGGATTTGTCCTGCAGACTGAAAAATCGGTAGATCTAAGTAACAAGATGTTTGTCAAGATGCATTTTGTCAAGGGTTCAACGCCCATCAAGGGAAAATGTGTACCGGTTCCCAAGGGTATGCCAGAGAAAGAATCATGGAAGAAGAAGCCCAAGACCAAGTTTTTGGAGGAGCCCGAGGAGGTGCATGTTGTGAGCGAGGCGGCGGTTTTGAAACCTTGTGTCTATAAATTAAGATGAGGAAAGACACCGGTTTGGAGGATAGAAGTGCCATTACTGCGGGCAAATGCATGCGTCATGAATCCCATGTATTAGCACATGTGTACGAACCGCATTTGCCTAATTTGTAACAGCACATCACACACATATAGAGCATATATAGAACAAGGAAGAAAAATTACTTGCACCCAGCCACATGTTTGCTATGCTAACGCCAGCTTACTATTGAATATTGATCGCCAGACCACATCATCAAAAGATCAAGTCCTATGTCCCCTGACTCTTCTCCTTTCTGACTGCCATGCTTTCCTTTCGCTATGTTACGCCTTACTAACCATACATAGAGCGTATTTTCTTTCTTATAAACCCACCCCCTATCCCATCCGTCCCTTCCTCACACCCCCTATTATATCCTATCCTTGAAATAGAAGACCAGCCGCATATTGAACATCACCCCCACAAGCCGCCAGTGCATTGATGGCTTCATCGCGCGAGAATCCCAATGCCACCAATTGATCTATACTCTCTGCTGGAAATGACGGCTGCTGCTGCTGCTGCTGTTGTTGTTGCTGTTGTTGCTGTTGTGGTGGAGCGGGTGGAGCAGAAGAAATGGCTGGTGTTTGTGCCGCGGCCGGTGGTGCTTGTTGCTCGTTCGATGGTCCCGAAACCGCGCCAGTTTTTGCTCCAATGGTCGTGCCTCCCGGTCCTGCAAGTTGTGGTTCCTCAGCCCTCTCATCCTCCATATTTTTTGGAATGTCCGCCTCTCCCAAGAAGCTAACCTCTACCCCCTGGATGATGAGTTTATCCTTCGACAGATCTATGCAAGCTTGATGCCTCTTCAACATATCCAAGCCTAAGAGTAAATCGACGTCTTTCCCTTCCATAACCGTGAAGCTGCAAGGTAGGAACATACTGTCGATTTTAATCTGAGCAGAGTGTACCCGTCCGAGAATGGCGGCGGTTCCGACTCCACGGGCTATTCCTGCGAACCGTTTGTCGACGAGTCGCATTATACCGCAATCTTCGGCACATTTGGGGGACATGATCGTAGCTTGGGCACCGGAGTCGACGAATGCTTTGACTTTATGCCCATTGACCTCGACATTGATGTATAACATATGGACACGACCGAATACTATTGATTGATCGGGTTAGGATCTTAGCGCATGTAGCATGGGATGCGAAACCTACCTTCGGGATTATGTTCAATAGCATTCTGTAAATTCTCCTGTACACGCTCCTCACGTATCATCTCCGCAATCCTCATCTGCGCATCAATATCAAAGGGATCAGCATTCAAATCCGCAATCTGCTGTCTCCGCCTAGCTTGATCCTCCGCTTCTTGATTCCGCATCTGATTGAGTATTGCTGCAAATCTCTCTGGGTTCTCCGCGGCAGCCGCCAATTCTGGGTTCTGATGAGTGAGCTGTTGTCTCATTTCCGGATTTCCCAATAATTGTAATCGAATTGTCTCTGGATCTGGTTGGGGTGCTTGACCTCCTCTTCCTTGGGGTTGTGCACGAGCAGGGTGTTGCGAAGCTCGTGGAGCTGAGGCAGCGGGAGGATCCCTATATTCCCGAACATGTAGAGCAAGCATCTCTCCATCGCCGATCTGTAGTTGTTCCATGGTTTTGTTATCATCATTGAGCAGTTGTCCATTATGATATAGATGTTGATCTCTTTTAGGGATGCGAGATTCGGCTTGGACAGATTCCTTTAAAGTGCCTACTGTGGTGTCTTGGGGTATTTCGAGAGATATGAGATCCGCATCGTCATCTGTAGGAGCGTTGATGGTCAAAGTGATGCGCCTAATTGTAACAGATCAGCTTCAGCTTACAATATAAACACTCTTAGAAATCTTGAACGAACATATTGAGGATTATTGTGACGTAAAGGTAAAGATTGAACTTCTGCGGCGGTATTATGTGTACTTTTTGATATTGAGAGATCTTAGAAGGTGGAAATTGGTGTGAAGATTCTGGTTCTTGATCTGAAAAAGGTAAAAATGTAAGTCTTACTTAAATATATGGAAAGATTGATGTTTGAAGTTGAGATGGTAGAGGGGTTTTTTACTTTTTTGGTCTGAGCTTGGTTTCCACGTTCTGGTATCTACCTAGGTAACTATCTATCTAGGTGTTCTAGGTAGGTATGACGAGAAGGAGGCTGACAACCACAGTACGGAGTACCGGTACCGGGGTATCGCTTGAGATAGAAGCGGACGGGATATAAATGGGGAAATTTTATTAATGTACATGGCAAACTCTGTGTAGTATACCTATACGAACTGCAGAAAGTTCCATAATCATTTGTTTGCCCTTTCTGCTTGCTTTCATGAGCGATGACCAAGTCGTCGGCAGCAGGAAGGCTTGGTGAGTGATTCGTATTCTTTTTTTGGTGGCAGTGCATATCATAAAGCTTTGATGGGTTTGTTATGTGAAATTGATCAGAATCATCCAAAATAGATGAGATAACCTAGGTATTGACTAGCTACTGATTTGGCTGGCTGATACTTGGTTACTTCAACGCATCATACCCGTATCCGACGACGAAACTCATGGACATGGGCTGATGAAAGAGGATAATTTGGGAGATCCACGTTAGTTCTTAGTAATGAAGTTGCTTCAAAGGTTGGTACAATTTCCCTCGTTTCTTAGCTAATTTTCTACCCAACTTAGGGATTTAAAATGTATCATTGTGGAGATCTGATAGGGGACATTTGAAAACCTAGTTTTTGTTATCTTAAAAGGGCAGACTACGTGACAAGATATCAAAAGAATGAGTTGTTAAAATTGAGGTTATTCACAACCCCTATTTATGGGGGTAGGTCAATTTGTCGGAATACAAAAGATTTGGCGAGAAAATAGGGAGTCACTCGATTTGTTCGTACGCTCGTTCGCGTTCGCATACTAGAGTACAATTGTCTCATTCAGATTTAAATCTACTACCCTTCTTCTGCTTCTAAATCTAAGCCTCAAGATTATCAAGTCGATAAAGTCTTCGCCCGCGTCAGGAACGCCCGCTTGATCTTGAGCAATAACATTCCACTTTTGACAGATGATGAGGAGAAGCCATACTGCATCTGGTATCCACACGTTGCAATTTTTGACGTACATCGTGAGCTGGTTCAGAGATATCCTGACATGCGGTACAACGTTGGTCAAGCATGTGCAGTTGGCGGCTATGTTGACTTTTACCGCGAACTGAATTTACTTTCGGATATCTTATTGCTAATAAGCATAGAGTGTTGTCGGTTCGAAGGAGATCTTTGAACTCATCACGTGTGAACCGACACGTTGCGGCGCTGTCTTGACAATTATACGCGCTTGGTTAATTGGGAAGCTCCACGCATAGCAATAACGACACAGCAGTGCTCTCGTCGTCGTCGTTAAATGTGACGATCGAAGTTTGGAATGAGTGATGGACAGCGACATCGCATTATTTCAATATCACCGAAGATTATAGCTTCGGCGACACCTCTTCTCCTCATATTCATAGCCTTCCCCTGGCACAGAACATTTCGCCATCGTAACAGCCATTTTAGCTTGCTTCATCATGGTCAACGACTTGTCACGATTTACCACTACTACAACCATAACGCCTAAACCGTCCATGCCCTTTATGATTTGATGCCCCCCCCCCCGCAAGAGGCAACACTGCGCGAATTAGCTCGCCAATACCCTGACATGCGGCTTCAGGTCGCTATGGCTTGTATAGCTGCAGACTGTAGGCTGCTATGGGATGAGCTTACACTAGACCTGCACACGCTGTTTTGGCAGCAATCGGCGCAGCGCGAAGTGGTGGGCTCGACCATAAATAAGAACTACTATGTCGAAAATCTGGAGCGCCGAACAGCCAAAAAGGGTATCGATCTGCGTGCTTATGTGGGCCACGAGTGATACGAGTACTATGAGTGCGCAAGGCGAGACAAGGAGCTGACTACCATTTTACTGCAGTCGGTTATCCAGGCTGGTAAGCATGTCCTGATAGACTTTCATACTGACAATGTCTACCCTGATGAGTTGGAACTGTGCATTGTGGGCGATGGTCTTGAACAGGCACGGATTAAGGATTGTATTTACTTGTATGAGACTGTATAAGACTGTGTATGAGTAGTAATCGAGAAATACATCTGGAAAATAAAATAAAAATAGTTAAGTCTGAAAGAATCGAGATTCTAGACAACTGAACTTTTAACAATAGTTATATACATCATTGTACTCGAGTAATGTCTTCATTCGTCAAAAAGAATCGTTATATTTTTAAACTAAAGATTGAGGATGAGGGTAGTATTGAGAACTATATATATTATATCTAGATACTCGAGTACTATTATATATAATACAAATACAAAGGTACTTAAATACCGTAGGTGTAGTCTTATTTGTAGAATCAAAGCACATGATCACATCAAAACAAGGCTATTTCTGTTTGTTCTCTGTTGCCTTTAGTTTGCATATACCTGCTTATTTCCTTTCTGACTTTGACTCGGCTTCACTTCCATCAGAATTCATTTCAATCAATCATTAATCAACCATTCAATCATTCAATCAAAATGAAGTGAATGGACGCTCACGCAACCCTCAAATCTTATCAAGCATATCCATATCCATATCCATATGCGTGATTCGGACCAGTCGGACTTCACCATTCACACTTAGGTAATCATTCGAATCTAGAACCATTTACAATTTCACAATTTCTGTCTATAACTACCTAGTAGCCATCCTACGGGTTCCCCGTCATAGCCTAGGTAGAAGCAAAAATTATGTCGGAAATTGACCAATGTGAAGGTACACCTCAAACACCTATTTTGTCCGAGAGTCCTAATCCTGTCACACCACAAGAAGCTCAAAGAGGTTTTGTAATTATACCTGACGATCAACAAAACAAATCCTTCCATATGTTTCTCAATTCTCATCGGGATATTCATCCCTACACTCGACCTCTTACCACCTCCGATTTGGAGTCTGTTTTGACCCTCGAGAATACCGCTTTCTTAGACCCAAATGAAAGGGCATCTAGAGAAAAGGTTGGTCATTCACTTCATTCACATCATAATTCTTCCTACTTTGAGAATCTTGACGTGGCTAACCTCCAAGCAGCTGAGATATAGACTAAACAGATGTGGTGAGCTATGTCTGGGTATTTTCTGCACCATGGCACCTGGCTCTGATCCCAAAATCGAGACTCTTGCCACAGGTCATCCTGTTGAAACAAGTCGACAGAATGGAGCAATTAGTGTTCTCATCGGCCATGTCATCGCAACCAAGACACATGACTTGACAGCTTCGGATGCATCCATGGGTGTTCCGGAAGGCTGGGAGGCTTCCAAACCGCCACGTACGAAATTGGGCCACCAAGAATATGGACGAACGATTGTCCTCCACTCGGTTGCTATTTTACCCGCTTTCCAAGGACGAGGACTGGGGAAGATACTCATGGCTGCGTATATGCAGCAAATGAACGGTGCTGGAATTGCTGATAGGCTAGTTCTCATTGCACATGATGTAAGTTGGCTGCTCTGATCACAATGTTTATATCTAGGTGTAACATTATTTACTAACCTTCATCCAGCACAAAGTGAATTTCTACAAGATGCTTGGCTTCACGGAGAAAGGGAAGAGCGAGGCTCAATTTGGTGGTGGCGGCTGGTATGATATGGTAAGTCACATATTCTCGAAAGCCTTGAATATATATTTGCTGACATGTAACAAGGTTTATAATCTTAAGACCCCTGAAGCACGAACGGCTTATGGTTAGAGAGATATACCCTTTACAAATTTATTTGGTTCACACGCGTTTGCCATTGTTACCTGATAATAAAATAGCACAAAGTAGTTTAAAAGCTTGGCGAATTGGTATATTCACGGCTATCTTGGTTAATGAACAGGGTTTTAGATATATCAATCGCTGGCCTTGTACTTAGCCCTATACTCTTCCATATTCTTGATATCTTCCTCCGAAGCAATGCCTTTGAGACCTCCAATGATATCGTCCAATGTCAAAATAGACAGAACCGGAATCCCATATTCTTTTCTGATCTCCCCAATCGCACTTGGCATTGGGGCACTATCGTCTCCGCTTGGCGATGGTAATTTCTCCATCCGGTCCAATGCGACCAAAATACCAGCCACAATGCCACCTTCCTTGCGAATCTTATCAATAGCCTCCCTCTTCGCGGTCCCAGCAGTCACAACATCATCCACAATTAAGACCCTCTTTCCCTTCAACGGAGCGCCCACAATATTTCCTCCCTCCCCATGATCCTTTGCTTCCTTTCTATCAAACGAATAGCACATGGTATTGTATTTTGGGTCCAAATCAGCCAACTTGTCCACCGTGGCTGTCGCCAGAGGAATGCCCTTGTATGCAGGTCCAAACACAATATCGAAATCAAGAACCTTTGCCTCCTGTGCTTCGATAATAGTCTTTGCATATGCGGTGGAGATTGCGCGGAGAAGATCAGCGCGGTAGAAATCGCCGGCGTTGAAAAAGTAGGGGGAGATTCGTTTGGATTTTAATTCGAAGCTGCCAAACTTTAGGACCCCGCCATCGATTGCGGCTTTGAGGAATTCCGCTTTGTAGGGGGAGAGAGAGGGGTTGGACATGACGGATGTGTGTAAGGTGAGAAATAAATGAGTGGGGTGCGAGAGTTCTTGTGCGAGTGGAACTTAAGGAGTTCTTTTGTGTCGTCTGAAGAGAGGTGAAATGTGTTGATTGTCTATGTCATGGAGGGGAAATTAATTTTTCGTCCCCCTCATTGGATGCACCTAAGAAGTATTATGGTGGGGAATAGGTGGCTGTGAGGGAAATGTACAATCAGTACCATATAGCCTTTTTTAGAGAATTCAATATCAAATTGATCGAGTATCAATCTTACTTCAATATTTCAATGAGAATGTTATGAACTGTAAATATACAATTGGCTTCAATTGTACGAAGATTGAAATATCAAATTTAATTCTAATTGAAAAAGTTTAAGGATTAATCCTGTACTCGAGTATGCTTACAAGTTACCTCTTATCCTACATGGATAGGTCGACGCCGCAATATCTTCTGAGCCACACCACATGAAGATAATTGTGTACTTTCTCTTCCAATATAACTCAAACATCGATGATTGAGATTGCGTATAAGCAGGCATACATGTACAACAGTTTCCTGTACATCTTCCCCAATTTTTTATATTTCAATCTCAACAGCGCAAGTTGTTCTGATAGGGTTGGAGTGAAAACTCATAATGTAGTTGTAACATGGATAGAATTGGATAAAGTCACACCATTATAACTCTAAATATGATGTTCTCGGCTAGCGATAAGATACACTAGTGTGGTTATTTTTCTGAGGCACTAAGCAAAAAAATTTATCCAAATTCTTATCGAGAGAACGAACTTCAAACCGAAGTTTGAACAACCCCATCAATACTTCCATTTCTTCATTGATACCATTTGCCCATCATGAAGACCACCTGGAAGGATATTCAACCGGTTCCCACCTCCCAGGAGTTCCTCGATATTGTGTTGAGCAGAACACAGAGACGATTGCCCACACAAATTCGTTCAGGATTTCAAATTACCAGAATTAGAGGTACAAAATCAATTTGCCTCCGCGACGAGATTTTCAACTAACTAACTTGTGTCAGGTTTCTATACCAGAAAGGTAAAATTCACAGCAGAGACTTTCTCCGAGAAGCTCTCTCTCATTTTGGACGGATTCCCACGATTACAAGATATCCACCCGTTCCACAAAGATCTTCTCAACACTCTCTACGATGCCGACCATTTCCGAATTGCTCTAGGACAATTGTCGACCGCTAAACATCTCATTGAGATCGTTTCTCGCGATTATGTTCGACTTCTCAAATATGGTCAATCCCTTTTCCAATGTAAGCAGCTTAAGCGTGCTGCATTGGGACGAATGGCCACCATTTGCAAAAGATTGAAGGATCCTCTCCTGTATCTCGACCAAGTTCGTCAGCATCTCGGTCGTCTTCCATCGATCGACCCAAATACGAGAACGCTTTTGATCTGTGGTTATCCCAACGTCGGAAAGTCTAGTTTCTTGAAGAGTGTCACCAGGGCCGATGTCGATGTTCAGCCATATGCTTTCACCACCAAGAGTTTGTTCGTCGGTCATTTCGATTACAAATATTTAAGATTCCAAGCAATTGATACGCCCGGTATATTGGATCATCCTTTGGAAGAGATGAACACAATTGAAATGCAATCTATCACTGCCATTGCGCATTTGAGATCTGCCATTCTTTACTTCATGGATTTGTCTGAACAGTGTGGCTATACCGTTCAAGCGCAAATGCAGCTTTTCTTGAGTATCAAACCTCTTTTCGCCAACAAACTCGTTTTTATTGTCATCAACAAGATTGATGTCACACGCCCCGAAGACTTGGACCCAGAAACTCAGGCTCAACTTCAGGACCTTCTTAAGCCTGGAGATGTTGAGATGCTGCAACTCTCTTGCACAACTGCTGAGGGAGTTCAAGAAGTAAAGAACGCCGCATGCGAGCGTCTGATCGCGGATCGTGTTGCTCAAAAGCTCAAGGCTGGTACCAACAGCAGTGGTGCTGTTGGCGGAAGGTTAGGTGATGTTCTTGCAAGAATTCACGTTGCGAGACCTATGGATGGTATTGTCCGAGAACATTCCATTCCAGAAGCTGCCTTGGCCAAGAAGAAGTATGACAGAAGCGATCCAGAGCGCATTAAGCTTGCTCGTGATCTCGAGGAAGAGAATGGTGGAGCTGGAGTTTACAATGTAGATTTGAAGGATAAGTACATGCTCGAGAATGATGAGTGGAAGCATGACAAGATCCCCGAAATCTTCGACGGAAAGAACGTTTACGATTTCGTGGACCCCGATATCGAGGCCAAATTGGCCAGCTTAGAGGAGGAAGAAGAGAAACTCGAAGCAGAAGGATACTACGACTCCGACGACGACCTCGAGGATGCCGAAGACGCCGAGATCCGTATGAAGGCCGACCTTATCCGCGAGAAACGCGAACTCATCAAGAACGATGCTAAGATGAAGAAATCCCTCAAGAACCGTGCCCTCATTCCCCGCTCCGCCACTCGCAAGAAGCTCTCCGAGATGGAAGACCATCTCGACTCTCTCGGTCACGACACCACATCTCTTGTCGCCCGTGCCCGCTCCCAATCTAGAGGCCGCAGTCAAGTACGCAGCCGTGCACAAACTGAAGATGCTATGGATGTTGATGATCCTGCATATGAGGCTAAGATGCGCGCCAAGAGTAGGGCCAGAAGTCAGGCAAACAGAAGAGATGATGGTGTCGCAGGAAACGAGGAGTCCAAGACAAAGGCTGAGCGTGCCCAGAAACTCGGCCAGAGAAAGATGAATCGTATGGCGAGACAAGGTGAAGCTGATAGGCATGTTGCTGGTGTCAGACCTAAGCATTTGGTATGTCTAATCCCCCTCACTCTCCTCATTGTGTCTCAAAACGGCATCTCAAACATCTTGACAAGAACTGTGCTAACGTGTGTACAATTAGTTCTCCGGCAAACGCAGCATCGGCAAAACAGACAGTCGTTAGAATACCCACTGACTTTCAGGGCACAATTCTATTTCAAGCTTACTATAATGGAATTATGCGTGGCGTTTTGGAGATTTTCGGGGAGGGTTTTCTTTCGTCATTCACGGCATAATGTATTCAGATCCAGTATCAGGTGTCGCGTACCAAAAGCAAAAGGGAAGAATGATGCATCGAGATGAATATGATTTTCTTTTGCAACTTGAACAACATAAATTTCCACGTCTCCATAACAATCCCAGGGCCAAAGTGTAAATCAGTAAATGAGGGGACACCTAGGATTACACTGTGGGACATGAATTATTAATAATTGGCATTATCAACCAATACAACCTATAAGGTTCAGAGGATTCTGCACTATTGAACAATCCCATGGATGAAATCCCTTCGCGGAGGTCAAGTCCGATGTGTCACCCCCCTTTCCACATGCATCCCAAGAAAGCTTCGTGCCAAGCCCCCAAAACCCAGATATTTGATTCTCACCAGTGGATCCCCACGGCCACAACTTCCGAAGCCACAAACGTAACTGATTGTGAGCTGGTAAAGCAACCCACAAATTATTACAACGTATAATAGGAGACTGCCGCCCAGAACAACCGTTTTAAGTCTTGGGCGTATTCTCGTCCCGTCGTTATGGTCCGTCGAGTCCCACCACCTACCTCCACTGCCGAATACGCGTCTCATGATCCGAGATGGGTTCAAACTACCGCACCGCCGGTTCAATAACGCATATAAAGGGCTGCATCAACACTCCCTTCGAAAAGAGACCAAATTACTCGGTCGCGAAGCACAGGGCCTAGCGACGAAAAAAATCTCATTTAAAATTTTCATCACTCAACAGCCCACTCAACAGCCCCCAGCTAGCTTTTCAGTCCGATGCTTCTTCACGATGCTGCCGTAGGATATCCTCCGGCGGCAAAACCCTAAACTTACATAAAATTTGAGCCAATAGAGCTATTCCATTTGTCAAGCGCATTAGATTTTCAAAAACCTTGGATTTAAGAATTACCCGCTTGAGGATTTCGGGATTTAATCTTAAGTTTGAGGTCTGATGAGCGTGCTAAGCTTCAGTTCCTGGACGGATCATCCGAGGCCCATTGTTTCAGGACGCCACAGAGATGCATGGGAGCGAAGTACCGGTCATCCGAGCGCATATCATGGTCGTATGATGGCGGCAAAACAAGTAAGGCTAACTGTGTCTTCATAGTGGGTCGACTACCGTTCGTTGGGCTGCTCAATGAGTTCGACAGGTGATAGTTGTGCCATCAATGAACCATAAAACTTCAAGTATGGGAATTCCCCTGGTCGACCTTTCCTGACTAGGTGGTAGATTCGTGGTTCCCGTTCACCACCATCCAGTAAGCTTATGATACGTCTCTCCAGTATAGCTCTTGTAAACCATGAACGTACACTGCTCTCTCTCGTAATTTGGTGCATTGATTGGGATGTTGGAGGGGTGTCGTTCCAATGAGCCGGTTTGTTTGTCTGGCTCCACTCCAGCATACTCGATGTATGTTGTAGCTTGGCTATCCAACAGGGTGAATGATTAGCTGAAGATCTGTGCTGTTAGTTCAAAAATCAGCGGCCCGAGCCAGAATAAGTTTTAGTTCTTGGTATTGCTAGTATCATGTCTAACATAGCATACAACAACGGGTCTCCTAAATTTGAACATCCAGTCAGCAGGACATCATGTTATCTTGTTTACTGGATCGTCTGTAGGTCATAACCTCATATGAAAGAAACGGGGGCTGCTGCTGTGAACATTCAACCACAGGTCAGGGTTCTTATATACCTCATGCTTGTCTCGAATCCTAAAGCCATAACCCCATGGCTTCACAATTTGGATACCAAAGCCGCAATCAGCAACCATCGGCTTGGCATTTCCGCAACTCAAACTTATGCTGGTGTGACGAACGAGCTCCAAGAGGTTGCGCCTGGTCTTTTGACACCCGTCCGTGGTACATCATGGCCTGGTTTTGTTTGTCGCTATGAAAAAACTATTCGGGATTCTATGGGAATGGCCAAATGTCGGTTTAGTACAGCTTAGCCCCGGCTTGTTAGCCAGTAGTAGCATTTAAAGCCGGCTGCGGTGCTTGAAAAGACAATGTGCTAGTCAAAGCAAATTTGAACACTTTCTAGCCCCGCTTCTAGTTGATTGGTAAGTTTGAGAAGCCGTAGAAGAGCCAACCACGTCGGATTTTCATATTTGATTCCTATTAACGTGGGAATAAAAGAAACGTACTAGTGCTCAACCTTGCAGAGTGTAAGAATCAACCGATAGACGTTCTATGTTGAAGCCCGATAAATTAGACCAACAAAATTTGACAGGCACAAGCGCGCTATTTTATTCGACTACATGATCAGTTCGATGAAGTTCTCATGGGAATCGCTTTCTGTGGATATTGTCTATTGTTGTAAACTGCCATTTTCACTCTTGATATGTGCCATACACCATAGAGTTCCTACTATTCGTGGAGGAACGAATACAGGCCATGTAGGGCCTACGAAATTTGGAGTTTCCAAACCGCTTATGCTCGTACCACACCAGGTTTTGAAAGAGTTGACGAATAGTCGATGTAGATGCATGGGTGCTTCTGCAGGGAGAATACCCCATATTGAGAATCATGGTTGCTAGGAAGTATTGTGTGGATCGCTAATTGTTTGAGAGACTACTCTAAATATCGAACCTTGATAACATAAAATGTGCGAGTTTTAACCCCCACCAACTGTCTCGAAGCAGACTTTTCAGAACAACGACTACACGACTCTGGGTAATTAGACTTTAAAAAAAAAAGTCAAAATGGCGAGGTAGGTTTACTATACTATATAGCCCCTGAAAACAAATCGCTAAGGGAAAAACTTTTTACCCAGTCATCCCGAATCTCAAACAGTCGAAGTGGATAACACCTATTTCGAAACGGTCACATATTACAATCGGGACTTCCAGCAGTATGCCATAACGAACTTAACTTACTTCCAGCCTGTCGATGAGGTAACAGATCCAGTCAGCATATACTATCTGGGAAGATTCAGCTAAGATATCGATGCAGGACGAACTGGAAAGACTGCGTGTTTGGCATGCTGTCTTGAACAGAGTATTCGACAATCGTCTGCTGTTTCCGAGTTTGAGCAGACCCAGAAGAATTTTGGACTGTGGCTATGGAACAGGCAGCTGGGCTATCGACGTTGCAATACAGAATCCTGGATGCGAGGTTCCCCCCCCCATCCCCTTCACTCCCAAGCATAGTCAAGATTCGACATAACCTGTCCCGGACCCAAAAAGAAGTGGAAAATAAAAAACTTGTGCAGGATGTTGATCAGGCAGAGAACTGAGCTTCTTAGAGATATGAAAACGATGCGAGTGATCGAGTGCTGATGTCCGTGTAGGTTATAGCGATCGATATATACCCGTTCCAACCAGAAAGTGTGCCGGCAAACTTGTATTTGCAAGTTGACGATCTCAACAATCAGTTCGTCCTGGAAGATATCAAAAGCTAGGATAGATCTAACATCATGAAATAGATTCACTTTTCAAGCTCACAACTTCGATCTCGTCCACAGTCGATTGATGGCTGGAGGTATACACGCGAACAGATGGGATGGGTACCTTCGCGATATGTGTCGAGTGCTTCGACCTGGAGGGTGGTGCCAGCTGGTGGAGCTATATCACAATGCCCAATCAGACAATGGAAGTTTAACAGATGGTAAGTTGTCTCCAGTATGTAAAATCTTAAAACGTCGTATCTGATCTACCCAAACAATAAGCCCACGCACTCAGGCAGTGGAGCACTAGGTACCTCGAGAGCTTGAACGGTGTGAAAAATCTTCGTATCCCACTCCGACTTCCAGATATGCTGAGAGCTGCAGGATTTGTCGACATTGAACATAGAATGATTCCCCTCCACACTTGTGGCGTAAGCTTCTAATTTTATATTGTTCGAAATTCCAGGCACTATGGGACAGTCTCTCAATTAATGCGCTCTCATATCTCCACGGAGAAATAATGAATTGTTTCATAGGTTTTACAGCTTATGCGTAGTGATTGAATACCCTACTGACTTAAAAAAATTTCAGTGGTCAAGCGGTCAGTAAACAACGATTTAGCAGGAAAGCTCCCCAATAACAAATTTGTACAACAGACCCCAGGACTTGTAATATTGGTACTGCCAATAGAGAGAATGTGCAACAGTTTTTAGGCTCCATTGCGGTGTACCCATTCACGGAGAGACTAGGGCAATTTATTTCTGTCCCACTACCGCTGTTCAATCTAACAAAGTCTAGAATGTCGATCCAAGACGTACATCTCCTTGTAGCACAAGCTCGAAGAGAGGCTGATGATCCATCATTGAAGGTGAAAGCGAGCTCCAGATATTCCGAAAGATGACGGCTAACATCTTCCTTCGTAGGCGTATTTCCCGTTGTATGTGTGCATCGGACGGAAACCGCGCTCGCGTCGATAGGCCGTAGGCGTCTCTGTACACCTATAGACACATATAAGCACTTATGTAGTCTGAGACGCTCAGGAACTACGTAGTTCAAACTGAAATGTCAGCAGGAGAAGGGGGACAGTTGATAATTTTCAAGAGGCTCAAGAATTGAATTGGAAGAATTACTACTTCCCAGAGATGGTAAATTTCAGCATGAAAATTGAACATACCTGATCAATTCTTACACCAGCCGTTCCAGTGGCAGGCTTTATTATGAAAGAAAAGAAAAGGGATTGTGGGATGTTTGTAGTGTGAAGTTGTTGGTTTTGTGAGGGCTGTGAGGTCTTTAGTTTTTTTCCTTATCGTGTCGCAAGTCGTCCCTCGTTCCTTCCATACTGAGATGTAAGCAGTGAAACTGCATTCTCATTGGTCATTCTTCCTCTGATCATATTTTCAAAATGGACGTCAAATATAATCAATTTGTAAAGTTCACCCTGGGCTATATGTGATATAAGCAGCTGAGTATAAGATCCACTTGAGCCTGATGTTCAATATGATTGGGTAAATTGGCAAGTGCTTTGAAGTTTGACCGAAGTACAGTAGCGTTTATAGCTCCAAATTCTTGAAGGGATACCGCTGCAATAAAGGTCGAGATTCGGGAACAGCTTTTTTTTCTTTTCTTCAAAAGTCTCTTACTACATTATGAGTACCGGTACATATACTTTTTAATCAATCATTCGCTACCAACACATCGGAATCTTACAATGACACCCTCGGTCAGAGTAGCCAGGTAGGAAGCAAGAGAATACCGGTTGTCTAGGAATATCAACAGACTACAACCAACAGCTGCTGCAGTAGCGGTTGACCTTCTTTCACAAGCTTATCCTATATTACTCGAGTACAAACCTACAATGATAGGGAGGGAGTAGCTTCGAATGGGGAAATACCATCCCCGCTTTGATATCTCGGCCCCCCTTCTTTACAGATCCGAAAGGGATCTATGAGTGACCCTTCATTCGAAATGTCAATCAGACAAATTATACAATTCCGCAACAACAGAATATCCCGTCTAGCCTAAAGAAACATATAAGAGTGGGCCAATGAATTGGACTAATTAGGTTACACGGGCGGCGCCGCGGCAGAGATAGAGTAAGACATTAGGGGTCAAGGGACCATATCCTAGTCAGCTTGCGCATAGCCCTTCCAATCAGATAGCCATGTGCCAAGATGTTGTGCATGAAAATGTAACTTAATTGCCAAATACCCGGATTTAGATAATTAGAGTGGGATATTTGAATACATGAAATAACCTGGGAAATAGCGCTATATATGGTTTGAACTAGGTAGGACTGAGCAAAACAACCGTCAAGATGAAAGATACGTGTATGTTTACATGAGCCTTACACAAACGGCTTCCCCATATTATCTAAGGCGTTCAAAACACCGAAGGGTATTTATTATACATCAAGGATTTTCCCGAGGAGGTGTTGATGGCGCCCCACTACCCCAAACATTCTCAAAAGCCTCTCCATCAACTCCGTACTTGGGCTTCAAAAATACGCTCGCCTGTCGAGCTTCGTTCCAATGACGCGATTCTTCTGAATCATCCCGAGCACTATCATGATTATTATCACCATCGACTGCAAACTCGGCATCAAGGCCTGGTTTGGGATCAACAGCTTCTACGTCATCAGTGGGCTCGAATCCTTCCCGCATATCCTCGCCCGCGCCGTCTCCGTATGTGCGTCTTCAACAATTAGTCTGGAAAATGCATTCTGATGGGAGGATAAACTTACACATAGCGTCGAGGCTCGGTTTTATTCCAACCCGCACTTCCTTCTTTTCGAGCGCGAACTCTTTCCGTTTCCTCCGCAGCAGTATCTTCGACGATGACATCGACTAACTGGCTTCTATTTGATTTGGCTGAGCTGGAGGTAGATGAGTGTTGTCGCAACATGCCTTTGAGCATTGGTGCTCTTCCTTCTTCATTGAGCGGGGAATTTTCCTTGTTCTTGCCTCTGGAATCCCTGATACGACTATTTCTTACAGACTTTTTCTTATTTCGTTTGGTGACATCCTCAACTGTTTCTCTAATATTACTAGCCCTTCGGATACGGTTGTCGTCAGTAGGCTGAAGAAGATTGCGGTTTACCGAAGTAGTCAAAAGTTCGGGCTGCCCACTAAGCCATCTCTCTCTTGACGGTTCGTGAGCGGTGATTACATGATACTACCAATGATCAGTTAGCAGTGAGCAAGTAGAAGGCCAAAACCACTTACGTTCCAATCTCCGAATTCAAGTTGTCTAGCTCTTTCGTAAAGACCTTCTTCTTCAGGATCAAGGCCTTGCTGCTCCACTACACCATCTCCCCACCCCATATAGTCAGAATCGCCATCATGGGATTGTGTAGGGGACTGGGTTCCAGGAGATCCAACGTTGTTCCCAAGCAACGGCGTTCTCGCATTTGCTTCACCAGGTTTTGGGATCCAATACTTTCCCTTTCCACCACGCTCGTATCGCATACCCTCCATCATTCTAGCTACCCTTGATGAGGATCCTTCATGGGCCAAGACGTTATCTCCCGAATCAAATAGTCGGTATTCATATTTCTTCCCACTAAATGTTTCTTTCGTGTCCTCAATAAGATCACGAATACCAAAAGCATCTCGAATGGCGTAGCGAACTGGCATCCTAGCTGCAGAAATAGTGATATCTGCATAGTCATGCCATGAAAAGGCATACCAATGCCCGATTGCAAAAATTGGCATCTCGATACAGATCAGTGCATCCTGTATCGCCGCAGCGAGACTATCGGCTGTATAATCCTCCACATTGTCTGGAATTGCTCCAAGAAATACCAAGATGGAAAGAAGAAATCCTTGCCAGTATGAGGCAAATATGATGAGCTTTATACACAAGAATTTCGGCACAGGACGAAAAGGTTGTAAATCCTTAGACATAATAACCCAAAACATCCCAAGAGAGTACAGACTCAATGTGACACTCATATTGTAGATAATACCACTCCACATATAACCGGAGCTTAGAGCAATGGTACCCTCTTTATAAACACCCGTAGCTTTCATAATGATAGCTGACAGTCCAAGAAGAGGTTTCAACCAAGCATATTGTAGAATTCCACGTTTAATGGCCAAGAATGTGTGGGGGTCTGATATATCGACCTTGGGGAAGACATGGTTCAATGGCCAGAGGTGATGAGCCGGTTCTCGTCCATGCATCATGATAATCAGAGCTCGTTCACCTCCAAGAAAATTGATAAGGAGTTGGAAGAATGTGTAAATTGTGAACGCCTGCCAATAATCAGTTCCAGTATCATTATCATCTTAGTAGACCAACCCACCTCATATACATCACGAATAGGATCGAGAAAAAGTGCTGCCTCTCTCGATACCAAACTGGTCCATGAAGAGATTGAGTATATCGGCACCCTAAAGAATTATATCAGAACAGGGACATCGAGTGTCGTTGGCGATTTCATCCACGTACATAAGCAGGATTCGAATGACATATCGTTGGAGAAGAGGTTTCCGATAGTTTTTCCTATACATGTTTAGATATGCGATTTGATTTGTATCATAGCGACAATACGACGTACGTTTGTAACCAGACCGACCTGTTAAGGGGATGTTAGCTTCTAAGCAAATGAACATGCCACTGGCAAACATACACGATGGATAATATAGACGCCAGTAATGCAGCAGAACCAGCTATCACTATTGTTGCATTTGTCAATTTCTCCCCAGTACCACCGGAGAGATCACTGGTTCCTGCCATCATGTTGGAAGGTCAAATGGTATCAATGGAGTTGGCGCGTTCTCCTGGTCAAGATAATCTGTGGCAAGTGAATTGAGCTTTGGAGTCTTAGATTATGCGATTAACATGATCTGTAAAGCTCTCCTTCATACTGTTACTGTAAAAAACGAGTGAAAAGTCAACTAGTGAAGGATTTTATAATCTCTTGCAACTTGACTGCTTCAGAGATGTCTAATAATAAGCATCGAAATTGGCAGGCAGGAAGGTAATGTTGATCTCCATGGCCCATGGTTTTGTCAATGGGAGGCGAAGCGTGCGTAATTATGTAATTATGCCAAGGCGGTGGGATCCTAAAGTTCCCATAGCTGCCAATGCGGCCGATCGGCCCCTATGGACCTTCACTTCCACTTCGTCAACTATTCAACTACTGTTTAACGAAAGAAATTCATGCGATATTTACCACTTCGCCTACCAAGTCTCTGGCTATATGCTATATGATTCGTTGGGAATTCAAGGGAAAATTTGAAGATATTTGAGAGACCATAGTATGCAACGTGTAGCATGGAGGCCGGAATCTTTGCGGTCATGAGCATTTCAGTCGGAGTTGCATAGGACTTTACTTCACACAACAAATAACAATAATCGAAGAATGGCGGGGAGTAGTGGCTTGACAGCCTCCCCTTTGCGGGCGGATCTGGCCTTCAATTGGTATTTCCTCGAATTTCTGGCGCATGAAAAAATTAGCTAATGGTTTAGGGTTTTCCTCATCGAGTTGATAGTCTGCGGGATTGTGTAGGTCTTATGTTGAGATTTGGCGTCGCATAGCTAAATTTCTGTATAGTACACTATTCTTCCTTTTCTATTTCAATCGCGTCTTCGCCGCGCTCGTATCATATGGCATTCGAGCCTGGACATGGCATCAATACCGAGTTTATGTCGACATTCAAGCTTTACAAATTTCCCTCCTGGGAGGACGAGTGTTTTTGAAAGGTGTCAGATATCATGGCAACAATGAAACTATATTGATACAAAATGGTTATATTACATGGGCATATTGGCTGCGCAATGTGAGAGAATTGGATTTTGGGAATGGTGATCCTACTAAGGAGCAGGAGTTGACTGTTAATACGGGTGTTGATGGGGAAGAAGGGCCAAAAGCAAAGAAGAAATTACCGTGTCGAATCAACGTCGTCTTGAATGGAGTGGAATGGTTTGTATACAACCGAAGTGCAGCATATGATGCTATTATCTCTGGAATTGCTGGAGAGGGTGATGAGCCAAAGCATGTCGCGCATAGCCATGGAGATGATTCCTCACAGCATGTGAGGTTAAGAAAGAAAGGTGTCCTAGACGATTTTGGGAATGCGCGAGATTTGTCCAAAGAATCAACGAGCAATTCTCAAAATGTGCCCTCTCATATCGAAGAACAAGCTAAGGTTGGAGCACATGATGTAGAAGGTAAATCTGGTAAATCTTCCGCGCATTCCCAGGCAGCCTATGCAGCTGTGGAAAGTGACGAATCACATGCGACTGTCGAATCGACTTTTTTACTTAGGTTCCTTCCCGTCCACGTTGAATGTTCCAAAGCTGCATTGGTGCTTGGCAATGAAAATACCAAGACCGTCCTCATCGCTAAAATGGACAAGGCGGAAGGAGAGCTGGACGCTTCGGCGTCAACCGAACTGGATCAATATAAGCAGCTCATAAACTTTCGTTTCGAGCATCCCGTCATACAAATGCAACCGAATGATGACTACAAGGAGGATCAAACTACGACTGCCAGCCGAATTAAGCGTGGTGTTCCGGATCAGTCAGACCCGAGCGCACGCCGCGCCCATTCTCACACCTTTTTCCATCGACAGCGCAAGCGAGCATGGCATACTATTCAAGACCTCGTGCCTTACTTTAGAAGTTCTGTAGAGTCTTTTTCGTCTAGTCATGACAGCCGCTTAAATTCACCGACCCATGGAGGCCCTAATTCCAGCAGCTGGCAGGGGCTTTCGAGATATTTAGATGAGAGTGAGCAGGATGACAAGGGGCGGTGGTCATCTAACGAATACGCAACAGTTACCACTATTGCTGATAGCCCTAGTGCCACCATGAGCTTTTATTGGGACGTCCCAGGCAAGGTTCCACGACATCGTGAAGTGTCAAAAACAACGTGCAATAATATCAATGGTGATGTTCCTCCTGAATGGGGAATTGATCTTTCAATAGAGGGGGCAATTATTAATTACGGCCCTTGGGCAGATAGGCAGCGTGCGGATATCCAGCGAGTCTTCTTTCCAAGTCTGTGTAAGGATGCCTCTCCCGCCAGAGTGATTGAACCTGGTCAATACAGAGTGCCAACACAGTTCAAACTCTACATTGAACTTGACCACGAGACAACGCTTCGGGTGCCCATCAGAGAGGAATCAAAGAACTGGAAATGGACAAAGCAGGCAGATATCACCGGCGCCCGCCAGAGCGAGCGAAAGCGAACCAGTAACATGGGTCGCAGGAGAAAAGATGATAAAGGAGCCCCAGGGCCCGAGGTTCGCCCTTTTGGGTGGCTTGACATCAAAGTTGGTGCGAATGCAACAGTTCGATACGTTATGGATATGGTAGCAGGGGAGTCTGGATTCTCAAACAAACTTCAGTTGGATTTGCCCAACACGGAGATCACTACTAGTGTTAACCACGGCCTACTATGGAGATCCACAGGGAATGTTATAAGTTGCGACATGTCAAGTCCTCTGCAATGGAATGGCTTCCGAACATGGAACTTCGATATTGGTAGTCGTGGGTTGGAACTTTTCATTTTGAGAGAGCATGTCTTTCTCCTCACAGATCTCGTTGGTGACTGGGCTAGTGGGCCGCCACCGGAATATCTCACATTTACCCCATTCCGGTACTTGGTAAATCTTAACCTTCAGGGGTTTAAACTCTACCTCAACGTCAACGACTCTAATATAATTAACAATCCTGCCGATTTTGATGACAATACTTTCATCATAATTTTTGGGGAGTCACTAATCGCAGATATTTGCATTCCCATCGATACCTTTCGACCACACCGGAACGACATATCATTTGACGTTTTAGCCAAGCACGGTGGATTGAATTTGCATGTACCTCCATGGAATACGCAAGCCACCTTTCTCAATTTCACAGAAATTGCCCAGCTTGATACTTTGAAGCTTGGAGGGAAATATCAATACTGCGCAACCACTTCGTCCATTAATACTGATACACTAATACTTGAAGTATATGGCAATGGAGCTACCGCTCAATTCTACGGATTCGTCGTCCGATATTACCTCAAGGTGAAAGACAATTACTTCGGCGATGACATTCATTTTAGAACCTTGGAGGAACACCAAGACGCTATACGTGTAAAAACCGCTAGCAGCCAAGAAGACACCAATGTTCAGCCTCACAAGAAGAGTAATGATCTTGATGTAATCTTAAGCATATCTGCCGACGAATCTAGTGTGATTTTGCCCGCGAATCTGTATTCCGCAAAGGATCATGTTCGCATCGAGCTTGCGACACTGGCTGCCGATCTTCGATTCACTAACTACTACATGGACTTGGACGTAGAGCTAGGCACATTGGCCTTCTCTTTGGGTACCGAGAACGATGATAGAATGTCTCTTCTAAGCGCCACGTCTGGTACCCAACTCTTCGTGGACGGTCTCAACATCTCGGGCAACCGCCTTTTTGGTTTACCTCCTACTGAGCCAACTTATGTCTGCAATTGGGATTTTGGGGTAGGTGCAATCACCGGTGAGTGTACAACTGAATTCTTCGTACGATTACTTGGAGGCGCCAAAGCGCTTGCGTTTTCCTTTGATGATGATGAGAACGCCCTGCAACCAACTATTGAGCTATTGTTGCACGATGTAACTTTTCTTCGCGCCTCAGTAGACTCTATTCGCATTTGGATACATGTCGAAGAGGCAGCCTTTCTTTTCTCTACCTCTAAGATCACTCTGAATTTTGATGATTGGGCTGGATCTCATTACTCCAAAAAATTGGATCTTCAAATACCAGACTTAAACTTTGGTTGCGTTGATGCGGAGTCAGCGTCAAGGCACAGGTCGAGAACACAACATCCCGTCCAGACTCACGGTCTTGTTCAGACAACGATATCCTTTGGGATGATCCAGAAGAAATTAGCCTTTATGGAAGACCGTCGATTGCAGCAAGAACACCTGAGGCGCCATGATCAGAGAACGCACAGAACCGATTTCCTATTACACGATTATATTGCGACAGATATAAATCGAGATAATGTTGATCCACCTGCCATGTGTGTTCCACCAATGCCACCTCCAATCTCCTACAATGATGGAATTGTTCAAGACAGGTCATCTGCTTCTAAAATTTCCTCTAAAGTGTCGTCAGTGCGAAGGAATCGGCCTCAGACCGGGCGTAAGAGCTCATTCCTGACCGCCTCCAGTTCAAGCTTCAAAAGCGATCGGAGCATTCTTCGACCTCATTCGTTCAATCGTGAGGGAACATCTACTTCGGCTTCGCGCTCCAGAAGTATTCAAGCTGGCCAGTCCCATCTCAGAGATCTTTCCGTCTCAACTGGTCGTCAATCCTCATTCTACAGTGCTGTTGGCGAGCCCAGAGGCCTGCCACCTTCTAGTGTTACCTTTTCAAGCTCCTACATGGCACCTTATTTTCCCCTTGAAGCTGTGGAGCCTGACACAAAGGATCTTCCCGTCCTAGATTCCGAAGCCCAGAACGAAAATACCACGCGATCATCTCGCATGAACCTGGGAGATATTCAGCCAGATCGTGTTGGTGATAATGCGACGCACGTCAGCTTTATTGTGGAAATGCCCTATGGTGTCAAGGCAGTGCTCAGCCCGAAGGCTGTGGCAGCCGTTGCGGACCTACTTTCTGCAATACAATCTGCGGACCCTGTTGACATGATAGACGATCTTCAGATAAGTTCGATGGGCGAGATATTTGGCATGGACAAAAAAGACAAAACGAATGGCGAGGTTTTGGATATAGCTGTGCGAACTCCAAGCATATGTCTTCGCTTCTTGAATTCACAAGATGCGCATGATCTGAACAGTGGTGGGAGTGAAACGCATGATCAGTACGATCTTTCCGTTTCACAGCTTGCTGTTACTTCGAGGAGTGAAACAACTGGAACATCGAATGTCGTCGCTGCCCAACCTGACAGGCAATATTCTTTGGTCCATTTGTCCGTTGGATCTGCTGTTATGGCTGCCAAAGAACGTTTAGGCGCTCTAGAAGACCCACAAGCAGCCGTAAATGCCATTCTTGAGGATGTCGTATTCTGGGTTGCTTCTGGCAAGAAAACATCAGTAAATTTAATATTCAAAACTGTTGAAGCCAATACGGCTAGCAGTAAGATAGAATATCTGGCCTCATTGGTTCATCGCACCAACGTTCTCGCTGATCGTGTAGGAGAGACTTTTGCAGCTAGATTTAGCCAGCAACGAAATCGTGTCCAGCTTTTTACATACCTTGTAGCAACTGCAGGAGAGCATGCCACAGATCCATTGTTTTTGACAAGACCGGCATACGTCCTCCGAAGTGCACAAAAACACCTAAGGACTCATGATTCCTGGAAAGTCATTTCTCGACTTCGACATATGTATTCAATTCTTGGTACATCTGCACAGCTCGATATCATGAGCCGCTGCGCGAATAATGCGGAAAGTGTTCCCGAAGACGCTGCACAAAGGGTCCTTGCCAGCTTTGCTCAATGGAGGAGCTGGGACCTTAATAATCTTGGCACTTGTGTCGTAATGAGCAATGTTTTTGGTCTCGCCAATGATGATTCCACCATAGCCGCATCAGAAGCACCAAACATAAGTATATCATTTCGAACAGAACTCGTGAGGCTTACAATCGATCCAGGTCCAAAGCAAAATGAGATTTCACTGTCTTCTTTAACGGCTAGTGCCTCGGTCATAACCACATTTTCTCCTATCGCATCTCCAGTATCTGTATCACAGCATGACTCGGACCCAGAAACGACCCAGAACACTGTTCTACACATGTCCTGCGAAGACGTATCAGTCAATCTAAATTGGGAACTATGTGAACTTGCACAAGATATCTTGAGATTGTATCAACAGAGCGAGGCGAACATGACAGTACCAGAAAGACCTTCGCCAATCACGCTAGCTCACCCAAAGCTAAAACCCAAGCAAAATCTTCAAGTCATAATTATAACAGAGAAAGGTTCTATCTCGCTTGATACAGTTAACCTTAGAGCTGTTTCCATCAGCAAGGGATTAAAAGCTTCTGTTGTCATGACAGAAGGAACTGCCACTACAACCATGTTCAATGTTATGCTCGCCGCAGAAGCTGCCACCTCGAAAATTCAAAGCCATTCACAGCCTTTAAGTCTGTATCAATTGCGAAACCCAAGTGTCTATTTCTCACATGAAAGTTCGACTGTCAATGAAATTCCTACAAACGTTTTCAAGATTGCTGCCAATTCACAGGAGCTGTCGTTTGTAGTTCAGCAAGATATTGTGGCACTCATCGAAGTCTTAGACCTAGTTATTGGAGATGAAGTCGCGCAGCTTCATAGCCTGGCAACGAGATTTCCGACAGCCAAACGGTTAACGCTACCACCGAATGTCTCACCGTCCAGCGTTCAAGAATCAAAGTCGATCAACAAGATCCATTTGGCATTATTCCTCGATATGTATCAAATCAGCATACCTCTAATACAATCGTTGACATACACCATTTCAGGCGTTATCGCTAGGGCCTCCTTAGCAGCTCAATTTGGGTCCGAAATTGTCTTCGACTTCGACATCAAGGAACACTCACACGATGTTCAGACAACCCAAAACGATAAGCAGCAAAGTATCTCGTTGTTACAAATGCCACCGACAAATGGCCGTGTCATTAGCAGTATATCCGAGGAAGAAAATAAAATTTCAGTCTTCGCTTCAGTAGAACCTGTAGAGCTCGATGCAGCTGCTGTTCATAGTCTTTTGACTGCTCTAAATCGGCCAGAAATCTCCAGCGTCGTCTCTGATATTCATGACGATATAAAAGCAATACAGGCACATGTTGAGGAAATATTTGGTCCGGGCGGCAGTCCAGTGCCAGCTTCACCACCAAAAGCTGGCCCTACTTTGATTTACGACGCTCACCTAACCTTCGCGGGTTTGGATATTTATGCAAATGCGGAGCCGTCGCAAGATGGTAAAACCACAGCAAGACTTGAATTTAATGTTGGATGCGTGCAACTCCTGGTTGCTAATCGGCTAGAACCCTATGGGCCAACATATGAATTCCCAGAGATTCATATAAGCTTGCACCGGATAATGTTCGAGTTATCACGCCTAAATAACGGGACTATGGAGCCTTGCGGAAACCTTGCATTTGCTGCCTTCCTGACTGCCACGAGTAAGAAGAACGAAATGGGAGACGATGTGAGATCATTCAATCTGACGAGCAATGGCCTCGGAATTAACCTTTTCGCCGAAACTGCATCATCCGTGGTAGACGTCATGGGTCATTTGCAGCATAAAATCAAAGATATCGACTTCACCCGGGAGAGACAATATTTTAAGAAATTTCGCAAGTCTAAACCAAGGATCGCAGTCAACGACGAGCCCAAAGACCAGGATAGTATTGCCTGCTCAAACTCAACTGTTATGTTCGCCTCGATGTACACTCTTGAACTGCTCAATATTCAGATTAGTTGGCTGGTTGGCAATGCAGAAAATGAATCTGCCTCACACTCCGAAAAGGAAAATTTGGTTCTGTCGTTGAAGTGTATTCATCTATCGACACGGAAGGAGAACTCGGCTCGACTGACCATTGAAGATCTGCAGCTGCAAATTGTACCCTCTTCGCATGACAAAATCCAACGGTCACTCAATTCAGCTCTATTACCAGAGGTTATCTTTAATGTTGGTTATATTTCTGGCCAGAATACTCGCAGATTGGCATTTCAAGCGGCAGGAAAATCCCTTGATTTGCGACTAACTTCTCAATTCATCATACCTGCCGCTAAGCTTCAACGATCAATAGGATCTGCTGCTGAAATGGTGCGAGTAGCATCAGCTACCTGGAGTACAAGTCCATCACTGACACTACCATCTCCAACGCCAGCTAACAAGCGGCAACCCTTCTTTGGGAAGAAGCGAATGGAGTCATTACTGGTGGATGCCGACTTTGCTGGAGCCGTTGTATATCTGTCGGGTAAGAATCTAGCAGATACTACACAGTCAAATCAAGCAGCCATTGTGGGCCGCGTGCCCCAGACCGGAAGGTACGGGCAATTTAGTCATACAGATACAGGCAGCAGCACAGTGCTACGCGCTCCTGGCCTTGCTTGGAAGGTTGAGTACAAAGACAATGGTCTGGATGACCCATCTTTGAATGTTGAGGTGAAAGTGGATGCTTCGACAAATATACTGTACCCGTCAGTTGTACCTCTTATCCTAGAGATATCAGCCTCAGTCAAAGACATTGTAAGCGAGGATGGTAAGGATAAGAAGTCTGTGCCCAAATCATCGTCTCAAAAGTTTAAGAGCTCCGAAGACGATAACATCTTGGCAGCCGATCCTAGTGCTGTCCTTGGCCGCACCCGACTCAATTTGGGCCTAAGAATCTGTAAGCAAGAATTCACTCTTAGCTGTCAGCCTATAGCACGTGTCGCTGCCAGTGCTCGTTTTGATGAGATTTACATGACAATTAATACGGTCCGCTCAACCGAGCATGGCCATTTCTTTGCTGTATCTGTTGCTTTCTCGAGGCTGCAGGCTTCAGTACAGCATGTCTATTCCAGGGAATCAACTGGAAGTTTTGACGTAGAATCAATCTTCCTGTCTCTCATGAATAGTAAGCATGTGAGTGGCACCAGTGGGATGTCTGCAATATTGAAGATCAGTCCCATGAAAGTCTTAATCAACGCCAAGCAGTTACAAGACTTCCTACTCTTCAGGGAGATCTGGGTGCCTCCAGAGATGCGTGAGAGTTCTACTGCTCCAGTATCATCACCTGACAATACACAATCGTCAACTTTTCTCGTGCAGAGATACCAGCAAGTTGCAGCGACCGGCGCCTTCCCTTGGAACGCTACAGTATCTATTGCCGAGCTGGATGTCCAATTGGATCTCGGCCAGGCTATTGGCAAATCTGCCTTTATCATATCCAACTTTTGGATCTCGTCAAAGAAGAACTCGGACTGGGAGCAGAATTTGTGTCTTGGCTTTGATAAGGTTGGGGTTGACAGCTCTGGCAGAATGAGTGGGTTTGTGGCGCTGCAGGATTTCAAAATACGTACCTCGATTCAATGGCCAGCACGCGAGAAAGCATTGAATCAAACTCCACTGGTTCAAGGCTCTTTAGGTTTCAGTCAATTACGAGTCAAGGCAGCGTTTGACTATCAGGCCTTCTTAGTTGCTGATATTATATCTTTCGAATTTCTCATGTATAATGTTCGCAATGGCTCCCAAGCTAAGGGAGATCGACTGGTTGCCATCTTAGATGGGGAAGCCGTACAGATATTCTGTACCGCAACGACCGCATCTCAAGCCCTCGCGGTCTATCAAGCATTCTTGCGACTTGCTCAAGAAAAAAAGAGTAATTACGAAACGTCCCTTTCGGAAATTGAAAAATATATGAAGCGCAAATCAGTTTCGCAGCCAATGTCACCTCCTCCCAAAGCCTCTTTGATGATTCCAAAATCTGAAAAGTCTGAATCACCGGTCTCGCTGCACACTGATGTGATCGTCACACTGAAGGCGTTAAATGTAGGGGCATTTCCAAGCACATTCTCAGATCATCAAGTCTTCAAGATCGAGGCACTCAATGCACAGGCTCGATTTGCGGTAACAATGGATCAAGGGAAGATTCATAGTGTCTTGGCTCTCACTCTTGGTCAGCTTCGTATCGGACTAGCTGGAGTGAAGCAAGTTGAGGCGCCAAAGTCTGTTAGTGACCTTTCTGTGGAAGATGTGGTTGATAGTGTCACGGGGTCTCGGGGAGGTACTATATTGAAAGTTCCCCAGGTCGAAGCTACAATGCAAACATGGCAGGTTCCCGGCTCTAACCATATCGATTTTATATTCAAAAGTTCCTTCGAAGGGAAGGTTGAGGTTGGATGGAATTATTCCCGCGTAAGCTACATTCGCAGCATGTATGCTACACATACAAAAGCACTCGCGCAAAGACTAGGGAAGCCATTACCGCCTTCAGCCCTTAAAATTACGGGTGTACCAAATGCAGAAGATCCACAGAGTAAGGAAGGCGAGCAGCAGAAGATCACAGCCGAAGTCAACGTTCCTCTATCGAAATACGAGTATACGGCCTTGGAACCTCCTATCATCGAGACACCTCTTCTTCAAAGTCTGGGTGAAGCAACGCCACCATTGGAATTCTTTGGTTTGCATCGAGATCGACTTCCAAATCTTACACATCAAATAGTAATTGTGGCATTATTGGAATTGGCTGGGGAGGTAGAGGATGCTTATGCAAAGATATTGGGATCCTCTTAATTACGCATCTTTCCTGTAAAATCCCGTTTTCATGCATCTTCTTTACAAATGATAGCCACTGTGTTGAGGAAATAGGGTCCTAATACTAGATTTTGGTTGGTTCCCAAGGTGGTTGAGCGTACATATACATAAATAGGGCCATTAATAGTAATTTAAATAATGTACATAAATATTGACTTTACCTAGGAGGTATCGATCGCCCTTGATGTTAATTACTTGTTGATTTAACTGCCCGGATTTGTCATGCGGGCGACGGGCGGTGAGTGAGTGAGTGAGTGAGTGAGTGAGTGAGTCAGAAGGAGGGGTTTTTCAATAGATTATTGATCGCTATTTGCGTCTGTGTCTGTATGTTTGATATAAGTAATAAGAATGAACCAATAGATATGTATGTAGCAGGAAATGGCTTTTATATATAATAATACATGTATGATGTACTCTACATATATATACACCTAAGTGCTCGAGTATATCAACAATCCAGTTCATACATGCATCGTCAATCAAGTAAGGGACATACCTTATTTATCTCTGCTTACTTTACCTAGTATTTAATTTTTTGATGCTTAGCCCTAATCCTCCTAACCCTTTTCAGGCATGAATTATGGTTGCCTAGCCACAATGAAAAAAAAAATTCCAATTACAGATTAGAACCCCGCCACTTTTATGCCCCACCCGAGTATCTTTTCCTGCCAAACTCATTCTTGCCCACCCACCTTTTTCTCTCTCTTCCCCTCTCCTTCTTCCTCTTGTTCTACATCGAAAGTATCACCAATTCTTTCTTTGTATTTTCTCTCTATCCCATAACTTTGGGTCTGTAGCAGGTATCTACAATTATTTACGATACTTCAAGTGGTCCAATAAACCACTTCAGTATCTAATCGTTCGAGCGTGCGTCGAACGACAAATCAATACATACTCTTTAATCGGCTTATTCAAGCACTACCGCCAACATGGTCAAGTAAGTGTATATCCTTTCAATATCATCCATGGCAGATACAAAGAGGAACTGTTTGATTGTTTTGATGGCAATTCATCAAAGTACCTTGCAGTTCTTCGCTTTAGTAAAACAAGAATTCTCATCAAATGATAGCCTCGAGATGGAGGATTCGGAGATAAGCTCATGTTTTTGACAATGGATTGATCGTTTACTAATAACTGCTCTCTGAATATAGCTTCACCATTGAGGAGGTCCGCGCCTTGATGGACAAGGCTACGAATGTTCGTAACATGTCCGTCATTGCCCACGTCGATCACGGAAAATCTACTCTTACCGATTCCTTGCTCTCGAAGGCTGGTATCATCTCCGCCGCAAAGGCTGGTGATGCCAGAGCTACCGACACTCGTGCCGATGAACAAGAACGTGGTATCACTATCAAGTCTACCGCCATCTCTTTGTATGGTAACCTCCCAGACGATGACGACTTGAAGGATATTGTTGGTCAAAAGACCGACGGAAGAGATTTCTTGATCAACTTGATCGATTCACCCGGTCACGTTGATTTCTCCTCTGAAGTCACTGCTGCTCTCCGTGTCACTGATGGTGCTCTCGTTGTCGTCGACACCATTGAAGGTGTTTGTGTGCAAACCGAGACTGTCCTTCGTCAGGCTCTCGGTGAGCGTATCAAGCCTGTTGTTATCATCAACAAGGTTGATCGTGCTCTTCTCGAATTGCAAGTTTCCAAGGAAGATCTTTACCAATCTTTCTCGAGAACCATCGAGTCCGTCAACGTCGTTATCTCCACCTACTTCGACAAAACTTTGGGAGATGTTCAAGTCTATCCAGGTAAGGGAACGGTTGCCTTCGGTTCCGGTCTTCACGGCTGGGCTTTCACCATCAGACAATTTGCTCAAAGATACGCCAAGAAATTCGGTGTTGATAGAAACAAGATGATGGAGCGTCTTTGGGGCGACAACTACTTCAACCCTTACACCAAGAAGTGGACTACCAAGTCTACTCACGAAGGTAAGGAGTTGGAGAGAGCTTTCAACCAGTTCATCCTCGACCCCATCTTCCGCATCTTTGCTGCCGTCATGAACTTCAAGAAGGACGAGATCCCAACTCTCCTTGAGAAGCTCAACATTAAGCTTTCTCCTGAAGACAGAGAAAGGGAAGGCAAACAACTTCTCAAGGTTGTTATGCGCACTTTCTTGCCAGCTGCTGATGCCCTTTTGGAGATGTTGATTCTCCATCTCCCATCCCCAGTTACCGCCCAAAAGTACCGTGCCGAGACCTTGTACGAGGGTCCTCCAGATGATGAGGCCTGTATTGGTATCCGGGACTGTGACCCCAAGGCTCCTCTCATGTTGTACGTCTCCAAGATGGTACCAACAACTGATAAGGGTCGTTTCTACGCTTTCGGTCGTGTCTTCGCCGGTACCGTCCGTTCCGGCTTGAAGGTCCGCATCCAAGGTCCTAACTACACTCCTGGCAAGAAGGATGACTTGTTCATCAAGGCCATTCAACGTGTCGTTCTCATGATGGGTGGTAAGGTCGATCCTATTGATGATGTCCCAGCCGGTAACATTCTCGGATTGGTTGGTATTGATCAATTCTTGTTGAAGTCTGGTACTCTCACCACCAGTGATACCGCCCACAACTTGAAGGTCATGAAGTTCTCTGTCTCCCCTGTCGTCCAACGTTCAGTCGAGGTTAAGAACGCTCAAGATCTCCCCAAGCTTGTCGAAGGTCTCAAGCGTCTCTCCAAGTCCGATCCTTGTGTCTTGACTTTCATCTCCGAATCCGGTGAGCACGTCGTTGCTGGTGCTGGTGAGTTGCATTTGGAGATCTGCTTGAAGGATCTCGAGGAGGACCACGCTGGTGTACCTCTCCGTATCTCCGACCCCGTCGTTCCATACCGTGAGACCGTCACTGCCAAGTCCAGCATTACTGCTCTCTCCAAATCCCCCAATAAGCACAACCGTCTTTACATGATTGCCGAGCCCCTTGACGAGGAGGTCTCCAAGGCCATTGAGGCTGGAAAGATCGGTCCCCGTGATGATATCAAGGCTCGTGCCCGTATCTTGGCTGATGAGCACGGATGGGATGTCACTGATGCCCGTAAGATTTGGTGTTTCGGTCCAGATACCAACGGTGCCAACTTGTTGGTTGATCAAACCAAGGCTGTCCAATACTTGAATGAAATCAAGGATTCCGTTGTCTCTGGTTTCCAATGGGCTTCAAGAGAAGGTCCAATTGCTGAAGAGCCAATGAGATCTTGCAGATTCAACATTATGGATGTCACTCTCCACGCTGATGCTATCCATCGTGGTTCCGGACAAGTCATGCCAACTACTCGTCGTGTCTTATACGCTTCAGCTCTCTTGGCCGAGCCAAACCTTCTCGAGCCAGTCTTTTTGGTCGAGATTCAAGTACCAGAATCTGCCATGGGTGGTGTTTACGGTGTCCTTACCAGAAGAAGAGGTCACGTCTTCGCTGAGGAGCAACGTCCTGGAACCCCTCTTTTCACAATTAAGGCATACTTGCCAGTCGGTGAATCTTTCGGTTTCAACGCTGATTTGCGTTCGCACACCTCTGGTCAAGCTTTCCCTCAATCCATCTTCGATCATTGGCAAATTCTCCCAGGTGGATCGCCACTTGATGCCACCTCAAAAACCGGAGTCATCGTACAAGAGCTCCGTAAACGCAAGGGTATCAAGGTCGATGTTCCAAGTTACGAGAACGTAAGTTTAAACCATCCTTATGCAAAACAAACTTTGACTAATCAATTCAACAGTACTATGACAAACTATAAAGAGCGAATCTCCAAAATAAAAGATATCGTCCTTTTCATATTCCACTGCACATTCACATCAAGATTATCTCCAGCTCCGGCGCTTTCATGAATTTCCGAAGGAATACTCATCGACCATTTCGACTTTATGGCTGAATTGGTATAAAAAGCAAGCCGCGCGCCATGTGATAGACAGATGAGCTTTTCCACGCCTCTCGGGCTGCTGTTTTCAATTTGAGTCTTCATGTATTTAGCTGCGTGGGGAAATGAAGGATTTCAAAACATGATTTATGACCTCCATTAGTGATGGTTTCTTGCGAAGCAGTGAAACTTGTGCAAGAAGTGAACGTGAATGATTCGACAATCCTATAACCTCAGGGCTAAAGAGTAAAATATATCATCAAAACAATGACTTATGTAAATGATCGCCTACAACACAGTAGATAGTGTCCCAGCAACCAAGACAGATGCTATATATCCCTCGCCTCTTAGCACATCAATAATCTTACGTTTCCTCGACAAGGGAGCGAGAAATGAAAGATGAAAATCAAGATGGTTGCCTTTTTTCCAAACCCAATCCATATTCAATCCTCTTTCCTCCCGATCCTTCACATCAGCCTACATACAGGCTAGCCAGACCACTCACTCCAACTAATCTCTAAATCCGACCATAACCATCTTAATCACCGGTCCGTATTGCATTCTCTCAGACTGTCTCTCTCACACACACTCACATTGATGAGATCAACCAAACCAAACCAAACCAAACCCAAAAAAATAATAGAATCGCCTCGGGAGGGGCTTGAACCCTCAACCTTGGGCTTGTAATTTTAGGAGATTTATCTTCTTAAAAGGCCCACGCGCTAACCAATTGTGCCACCGGGGCGTTGTCTTATCATGTGATGCGTTGTTTTGTCGCATTTGATGGGGCGGGATGGGTTGTTTGGGGTTAGATATGGTAGGTTTATTGATGTAATGGGATGTAATGTGGTGAGAGAGGAACTCGCTCTTTGGGTGGGTTGGTAAATTAATTGCATGTGGTGATCGTGAAATGTTGGTTGTATACAAGTTGAGGTTTCCCGTACACGTCTGATATTCCATTTCATCTTCATTGTGTGAGCCGACCAGGACTATTTTGCCTTTGATATATCCATGCCTAATAAACTCCTGTCTGTATACATGCTCCATTCTCAATGATGGGAATAAACTCCTGATATCATGGCATAATAATAATCAATAGTTCAGCGCTTTGTGTAGTAGATTCCAAGATATCTCATCCGTGAGACTCTCGAGTGAGATTTCTTCTCAAGTCGTCAATAGATCTACCGCCAACTTGGCGTATCCATGCTCATCGATAAAGAAAATCAGATGGTGTTTCTCTGCAGATAACATCAACGCAACTCCCAGCCTGTCGAATACTACTTTATTTCTACTCCGGACACAGCTTTCATCTTCCCCTTACTGCCCTCCTTATCATCAATCGCAATCCTATGCGCTCGACTTCTACTTCTTGTCCTGTGTCTTCGTCGTGGAACATCTGTTTCAGCCGAGTGACCTTTGCTACGAGAGCGGGAGGGAGACTGACTTCTTCGAGTCTTTGAGCGAGGAGAATAGACTAGGAGAGAGGATGCGGGCGAAGGATTAGTGGGTGATGCTGTGGAGTGAGTCTTTTGGTATTTGGTATGAGGGGCAGTGGCTGCAAGCATTGTTGTAGTAGTGTTTGTTACTTTGGGCTTGAAAGTTGAAGATAATGGCAGCAGTGAGGAGTTAAATGGATGAGAAGTCTGAGGTGATCGATGTCGGACTCGGCCGCGGAAATTAGTAGATGTGCTGGTTGTTGCGGGTGGTGGAGAAGCAACGGACGATCGACGGCGTTTACGACCGCGTTGGGGAGAGGAATCGTTGGAAAGTGCGTGAGTTGCGATGGGAGAGGCAGTGAGTGTCATTGTTGGAGTATGATAATGGAGAACCGTGGTGCATCTGTGAAGTTTGTTGTTTGTCTCAAAAAGCTCTGGTGGACCAGCTTGAGGATTCTGAATCTCAATGATGAAGTCGTATGGTGCTGGGTATCTGATAGTCAACCAACTTTGATATCGTATACGTTTGTTTCCTCATATGTTTTCCGGTAAGTTAATTCACAGAAATCGACGGAACACGAAGAATGATATTGCTAGGACTGGTCATAGGACTTTTATAGAGCCAGAAGACGATAGTGAATGGTGCCAGCGAATGTCAAAGTATTAGTGTTTTAATGTCGATCCTTTTGTGGCACAGTGCCAAGAAAGTATATATTGGAGTGTATAGAGATAGGATCAGAGGGGAGGTGAGAAGAGGGTTTTGATATTAAAGTGGTGGTGAGACGGTGTGCCTTGAGGAAGGGGTTGTATGCATGGAATCAAATCTGGACACTTTGAGTTGAGAAAAGATTAAGATTATGCAAGAACAAACAAACAGAAGACCAACGACCGCTTTGTAGAAACTTGATATGTTTGATGGAATTTCTTGTTTGCTTGATGTACCGGTACGAGTATATATACGAGTGCAAGTTGAACCTTCCATTTCCTCGACTGGGTGAGAGTGCGGGGAAATTGACGATCTCCCATATGTGTGGGCATGGACGAATGAAAGGACTACCTAGTACCTTTGGTTCTATATTTGGATTTGTACTGATATGTTCCAAACAAAGATGTAACATAGATAAGGTAAGTTCATAGCTGTATTTGTTAATGATAAATAAAAGTTACACATTATATATGTTGTGCGCGATACAATTGACGTAGGTGGTCTAACGAAATGTTGTTGTTGTTGTGTGATATTACGGTGGCCTTCATCAAAAGTACGAAAATAACCTCCAATCGTTAGAAGAAAACCTACGTTGCGTTGCGCAGACTCCCTGTATCAAATCGTCGAATCCTAAAGTCCCTCGCCATCCTCAACAATGTTTTCACGACCTGCTGTTAAAGCTTCACGGCTCTACTGCCGCTGCTATGCAAGCGTTGCCAAGACCTCTCCGCCTATGCTCTCGAAGATCAGGTCAGTACTCACTGCATATCGGCAATCATTCCATTCTCTTGTATTTATATTGATGTTTGTTCTCTCTATAGGGCTGATATAAAGACTGCCATGGTAAATAAAGATACCACTCGACGTGATATCCTTCGATCGCTCCTCAACGACACACTCATGACCTTAAAATCAAACTCACCTATTACTACCGATGTGCAAATGTTAGCCCTCATCCGCAAATCTACAACTGCAAGCCGAGGAGCGAGAGACCAATTCAAAGCGGCAGGTAGAGAAGATCTAGTTGGAAGGGAAGAAGAACAATTGAAAGTCTTGGATGAATATGCTAGTGGTGTGGAGATGGTTGGCGAGGATGAGATCAGAAATACAGTCAAGGAACTTGTGAATAGCATGAAGGACGAGAATGAAGAGATACAGATGGGAAACGTACTGAAAAGAGTATTTGCACCCGAAGTACTGGGAGAAAAGAATGTAGAGAGGGGAGAGGTCGCGAAAATAGTGAAGGAAGTTATGGCCGAAAAATAAGTATACCTAGGTATATCAATTGTATAAAAAGAACATACCTAACTAAGTATTAAAGAACCAATTTAATTCAACTCAATCTACAGTACCGGTAGTTAACTCTGCCTTGCCTTTATATATAATATAGGATTCCAATTCAATCCAATTCAACTTTCTTTGATCTCGATAAACGTTCAGCCTTGTCCGGAGCCTTTTAATTGGTAGCCCGGTTTGAGTGACGCGACCCCGGACTACCTGGCATGTTGTGAACCTGGAGCTTGTACTCGTAACATAGCTCCATGAAATGCCTCATAACTATCAATAATTCTACCTCATGGCGACTTGAATAATAACAATTCAATCACATACATAATATGCCGAGATCTCGACCAGCTACCACGGGTTATGCCCAGATTGCCCAAGCAGAGGAGTTCAGCGATGACGAAGATGAGGATGAGGACCCCCTCGCTGCTAGCCATACCTCCTTACAACCAGCATCCGCCCCACGATATGCCTCTATTTCACAGCCTCGACCACATGGTGGAATGTATACAGATGGTAATAGTTCGCCAACAAATAATCGAAAATCTGGACATAAGAGAAGAAGAAGTCGTATGGGAAGCAATGCCTCTGGAGTGGACATCAAAGCTATAAATGCTAGGTTGGAACGATGGGCTGACGAGATAGCATCCAAATTTAAGATAAATAAGGTTAAGGGGAAATCATTACAGGAGGAAAAACTGGAAATCCAGCATTCCGTATTCCAGGCACCGGATGGCATACGACCTGTCACTGCCGATACTTTGGCTTCGGAACCCAACCTTGGACGAATGACGAAGCTGGAGTTTGATGATGTTGTCGAAAGTGTTCGAGTTGCAATTGAGCAGGGCATGCATCCGAAAATGATAACTCAAGGGAGTTCTGGAAGTTACTTTGCGCGAAATAGTGATGGCAAAGTAGTCGGTGTGTTCAAACCCAAGGATGAGGAACCGTACGCTGCAGGAAACCCAAAATGGAACAAATGGATACATCGCAATTTATTCCCATGTTTCTTTGGCAGAGCATGTCTGATTCCCAACTTGAGTTATGTCTCTGAAGCTGCGGCATATACGCTCGACTGTAGATTACGAACCAACCTTGTACCATACACCGACATAGTCCACTTGTCCTCGAAATCGTTCCATTATGACTTCTGGGATCGCAGAAAGTTTTACAGAAGTAAGAAGCCTCTACCACCAAAGGTTGGTAGTTTCCAAGTCTTTCTTAAAGGCTTCAAGGATGCGAATATCTTCCTTCGTGAAAACCCTTGGCCAGATCATGCAAATGGAGCATTCCGAATGAATGACCCCCACAGAAACAAAAGAGGATGGAAAGAGACTTGCCGCCCAAGCTCATCGAAGTCAGATGAGGGTAATGAAGGGGTGGGAGCTAGTAGTCCTACCGGATCTGGAGATGATAACCAAAATCGACGTTTCGTTTGGACAGATACATTAAAACAGTCATTTCGAGAGGAGTTGGAGAAATTGGTCATATTGGATTATATAATGCGAAATACGGACAGAGGTCTCGACAATTGGATGATCAAAATTGATTGGGAGAATCAGGGTGTTTCCATAGTTTCAGACCCTCCACAAATGAGGAACAATCCAGACTCCGACCAGTCACCACGGGTGGTTTCTACCTCAGATAACATTAGTATGTCGCATCTACCGGCATACCCTTACCGTACCCAAGAGCCTATGGAAGCTACGAGTAAATCAACCACACCGTCTAGAATGGCGGCACCAACCATTTCCATTGGTGCGATCGATAATAGTTTGTCGTGGCCTTGGAAGCATCCTGATGCTTGGCGAAGTTTTCCCTTCGGATGGTTGTTCTTACCTGTATCACTGATCGGACAACCATTCTCTCAAAAGACTCGGGAACACTTTCTTCCCCTGCTGACTTCGAAACAATGGTGGAGCGAGACTCAACTTGAGCTGAGGAAAGTCTTCAGCCAGGATGCTGATTTTCAAGAGCGTATGTTCGCTAGACAGATTGCTGTCATGAAAGGACAAGCCTGGAATGTCGTCGAAACTCTCAAAATGATAGATCATGGTCCTTTGGAGTTGACTCGGAGAGCAAGAGTTTGTGTCTGGGATGATCTTGTTGATATACCTGTTGCGGTCCCTATGAGAGTGCCTTCTGCAGAGATGCGAAGGCGTAATGAGATTCGCAACAGCCTTGATGAAGAGATGGATATTAGTGCCGCAAATGCAACAGCACCACAACCAGATCTTCTTGGACTTGCGAGTCCATCCGCGGAGTTACCAAATCCGAATCGATTCGAATTAGCTAGTCCGCGACTTAGTGAAGATACTTCCCCGGACTTTGAGTCTCCTCATCCGCCAATGACATTTGAAAATTCTGGATTCTCAAAAGATAATAGCTCAAAGGATGGAGTGAGGTTTTCGGACCGACCAAATCTTCCGCACCCTGGAAATCGTATGAGTTATGATGGGCCTGCACGGTCACCAAACAGGAACCGTTATGAAGCGAGAAGGTTTTCATTTGGATCAAGGAGTCGTGGAGCAGTTCAGACATTGTACGACGGTGATGATCATGAAGGTGACTTGGGATATGCAGCGGCGGAAGGGATGGAAGGGCATCAAAGAAAGGTTATAGTAGAAAGACTCGAAACAGTCAAGAGCAAAAACCCCGTCTTTACCTGGTGTTAATGGGAAATGGGAAATTGAAATCACGCGGGAAGGAATAAATGAGTATGTATATGTATATTGTATCTCGGAAGGCGGCGCATGATTTTATAAATGGGCGTCAAAATGCTTTCAAGATATAGATCTTCTGGGACAGAAATCATATGAGGAGAAAGGAGTAGCATGATTTTCTGAAATTAGTTTCTATGCCTTCACTTTACAACGAAATGAAATATATTATGAAATATAAGACTTTCTCGAAATTATGGATGATTGTACAAAGTCTCACCAGATCTGATGAGATTTGTTGTCAGTCCTCCTTTTATATAATAAGCCCATAAGCTGATTGGGCTAGCTAAAAGGAAGACTGCCCGATGAGATGGATCTTACTGTGTTGGTGAACAATTGATTGTATTTCTCCTCGGTCGTATTGGAATTGTGTACAGTAAGAAATGATGAACAATTCTCTTACACAATTACTACTTACTGTACTTCAACTATACATCATTTTCTCCGGATGATTCAATATTATATTACCTAGTAAATTGGGACTTTTAAGAACTCCTTAACTCCTACTAGTAAAAGTACCGCCTACCCGGTACCTAATAAGCAAGCTTATTAATGCGCTTTCTATTCAGAAATTAGAACTTACTGTGGTATAATATAGGTAATGGACATAATATAACTCGAGTAGTATAATATTAATAAGGAAGGGTCTGTAATAAATACCTACCTAGTAGGTCTAGTTAAACCTGGTAAACCTAATAAACTCAATAAACCTGGTACTAAATTTGAATGTACCGTTACCTACCTAGGTACAAAGTATACACGGAACTTTTCTATCGCATCTATTCTGTCCTGTGCCTTTTCTATAATACAAAAATAAATATTTCTATCTATCTAGGTACCGGTAGTCTACCAAATGATCACTTTAATTTGATCTCCAATGCTTCTAGTTTCATCTACTTTTTCTTTTCTTTTTCTTTTTCCTTTTCCTACTTACTTCTAATTATTGCCCCTCCCTTCAGCTTGTGATTCTTCGGCTCAATCTCTACTACAACCAACTACCCATCACAACCCCAAGACCACACACAACCCAAAACCACAACCACATCCACAACCACAACCACAATACCACAAATAGTACATACGACACACAACTTATGCATGCGTCCGTGAACCGTGACGTGCAAACATTCGAGGTCTTCTGCCATAAAGGTCAAAATATGGCTTCAATGAACAACAACTTTTCTGGTAAATTCCCAATCTTCGCAAACGGAGAATCCCTAAATGCACACCAAGGGAAACTATCTGGAAGTTCAGACTTACGCCCGGAATACCCTGCCGATTTTGATAAACATGTTACTTACAAACACTCTGTCGCACAAGGTCAATCCCCCCCAAGATCGAGGCCGAATCAACAAGAAAACAATCCCGATACATCACTTTCGAACGATCATGCCACTAATGCCCAGAATTGGACTCCCGCTCAATTACTGAATCCTCGAAGCATTAATCAGACCTCGCACGCATTGCCACCAAATTCACCACCAAATTCACCACCAAAAATTGCACGACCAGCACCTTCTCCTCAGCCTATCTTCCAGTTTAATACCCCAGGTGGATCATATACTCCTACACCTCCCTCGAACCCGAACGCGAACTCAAACTCGAATGGTCAAAATGGCTTTGCATCATATGCAAATACGAATGGGCAGATGCCGGGAATGGGAAGTTTTGTGGATCGCATGCATAATGTCACAGATCGCGACATGGTGCCTCAAAAGCGCCGGAGAATAGAAGAACTAACGGGAGAGGGCAGCAGAGCACAATTTAATGGAAGTTCTAGTGGGGGTGCCTACGGACAATACGTGAAAGGCAAGAGAGTGCAAGGTCAGAAGGAGTCTTGTGCCAAACAAGTGCTTGACTTATCTACAGTCGACGATGATGACGACGTGGTGGTTGTCGGGGACGAGCAGGATAGGGAAGTTTGTTACGGACGCATCGAAGGTTCTCAACTCAACGCTCATCGAATACCAACACCAAGACCTGGAGCCCAAGTGCTTATCCCTGAAAATTGGCCGCAGATAAAGATTGTGCTTAGAAGGAAGGAAGGCGATAAGACGAACAATATCCACGCTCTCGATTGTACTCGGGAAATTATTGGCTGCGTCGATGTGAACACTGCAATTGGACTTACACCTCTTCTCGACTCCCCAACGATTAGTGTCAGGACGGCTGCACGTATACTTACAAGAAAAAGAACGGCCGAGGATCAGTCAGCAGGCTCTCCATGCTCTGTTCGTTTTAATCTGGATTTGAACATTTACGGGAAGAAAAAGCACGCTCTTCAAATTGGTCGGTTCTTGTCTCAGAAGCAACTATGGCTACGGACACCACTATCTGTCGAAGCTGGTATCGAATTATATAATCCTCATGCTATAGAAAAGCCATTCAGAAACCTACAGCCCGCTTCCAATACATACTCGTCCTACGCATCGCGTTCTCAAGCCCCTGTTCGGACGACGGAGGAAATCCGGAATGATGTTTTGGGAGTTTTCGACTCATTGCCGAGATCTGAGAACCTACCGGAGATGGAACCAAATTCTTTAATCACAACGGAATTACTCAAGCATCAGAAACAAGGTCTTCATTTCATGACGAACAGGGAGAAGGAACGAAATTACGAGATGCAGGACAAGTGCGATTTGTGGAAGCTTAGCCACGGAAATAATGGTCAGAAAATATATTACAATGTCATCACTGGCGACCAGGAACGCAAAAGTCCACCACAAGTTCTTGGTGGCATTCTTGCTGATATGATGGGACTTGGCAAAACTCTTAGCATTCTCTCCTTGGTAGTTACGACGCTTGATGATGCCAAAGATTGGGCGGAGCGAAAACCATCCCAATCCGATCAAAGAGAGCAGCCAGTCGCCAAATCGGGCAAAGCAGTGTCACAACCCAAAGTCGAGCCCACAACTCTCGCTCTGAATTGCAAAACTACCCTTCTAGTTGCCCCACTGAGTGTTATATCAAATTGGGAAGATCAGATTAAGGCACATGTCCAACCCGGTGCCCTGAAATACTACATCTATCACGGCGCCAACCGCATCAAGGATGTCAAGAAATTATCAGAATACGATGTTGTCATAACTACTTATGGTTCTGTAGCCAGCGAATGCAACAACAGGAACAAAAAGAAAGATGGGAAGTATCCTCTCGAAGAGATGAATTGGTTCCGAATTGTACTTGATGAAGCTCATATGATTCGAGAACAATCAACTTTGCAGTTCAAAGCCATTTGTCGACTTTCAGCACAGCGTCGATGGGCATGCACGGGTACGCCAGTTCAGAATCGACTCGAGGACTTGGGTGCCCTGATGAATTTTCTTCGCGTCAAACCCTTTGACGGAAGCGGATTCGCGCAACATATTCTATCTCCCTTCAAAATTTGCGACCCTGAGATCATTCCCAAACTTCGGTTACTTGTTGATAGCATTACTCTTCGTCGACTGAAGGACAAAATTGATCTTCCCAAGCGTCATGATCAAATTGCCAGGCTCGACTTCAGTGATGAAGAGCGAATGATCTATGACATATTTGAAAAAAATGCGACAGATAGGCTTAAAGTCATCACTAGTCAGGGAGAGAGTGCTTTGGGTGGCAAGACCTTTCACCATATTCTTCAATCAATATTGCGTCTTCGTCAAGTCTGTGCTCATGGCAAGGACCTATTGAGTGCTGAGGATCTGAAGATAATGAACGGCCTTAGTAAGGACTCCGCTATCGACCTCGATAGCGAAGAATATGAAGATCGTGATGGAATGACACCCAAGCAAGCGTATGATATGTTCAAGTTGATGAAGGAAACTGGTTCTGATAGTTGCTTGATGTGCAATCGAAAGATTGGTCCTCAGGATGTTGTTGATTCTGATGGCGATTCTAAAGATGAGGTTATTGGTTACATGACACCTTGTTTCCATATTATTTGTGGTTTTTGTATTGGTACCTACAAATTCCAATTGGAGGAGATGGCTTTTGGGGGTTCTTTGGTCGGATGTCCTACCTGCCATCAGCAAATCTCTCCTTCTATATTTCCTCTCAAGCAAGAAGAAGTAGACAAGGAAGAGGAATCACGACTGAAGACCAAGGAGTGCGCAAAAGCAGGCAAGGATCTATCAAATTATGGTGGGCCTCATACTAAAACAATAGCTTTACTTCATGATCTTCTGGAATCCAGAAGGGATTCAGAGGCAAACCCTGACGAACCACCGATTAAAAGTGTTGTCTTCTCCGGTTGGACAACTCATCTAGACCTCATTCAATTCGCCTTGCAGGAGAACAATATTTCTTACACTCGTCTCGATGGCAAGATGTCCCGCGTGGCCCGCTCAGTCGCCATGGAGAAGTTTCGCGAAGATCCAATGATCGTTGTTATCCTAGTGTCAATCGCTGCCGGTGGCCTTGGTCTCAATCTCACCACAGCTAATAAGGTCTATGTCATGGAACCTCAATTCAACCCCGCAGCGGAAGCTCAAGCTATTGATCGTGTGCATAGACTGGGTCAAAAGAGAGAAGTACAGACAGTACGGTTCATTATGAATAACAGCTTCGAGGAAAAAATGTTGCAAATTCAAGACAAGAAACAAAAGTTGGCGAGCTTGAGCATGGACTCTCAGAAGGGAAAGTTAGACAAGAAGGAGGCGTCAGTTAGGAGATTGGAAGAGCTAAAGGATTTGTTTAGGAAGTAGATCCTAGTGAAGATGGTAGTATATTGGGGGAGCCGAGGGATTCGGGTTTCTGGTGTTATTGGCAGGTTGGAAGGGCGAACGTCGGATGTTCAAGATCAGGTTCTTGGAAGTAAACGGTACTTTGGTTCCTTGTGGATGGATGGACTTCGGGATCATGCATAGTTTCTCTGACCATAGATCAGACACTAGATTCCCCTTTCAATTTTTTCTTGTGGCTCGATATCATCACTATTTACATTTCCTTAAGAGGGCGTTTGGATGCAAGGGTGGTTTTCAAGGAGAATCAATACACTCACTCTTATTTGACTTGATTTTGGGGGAAAGGGAGTTAGTTGTCAACTCGAACTTTACTCATTAGAATATACTTAGAGGACTCGATATGATACCACGCTTACATATCTGGAAAATGGCGGAGATTGGCTGGGCTGTACTGTACTGTATCTAGTACGTATGTATAAGGAGAGAGAGAATATTGAGGGGGTGAGACTTGTCACTTGGAGATGCAGTAAGTAGATTTAAATAATTGATAATTTTTCGTGGATAATTTTTCTTGGATACTCGGAGTCGAGTTTGCATTGTGTTCTAGATGTGATGCGATGTGATGTGATTGCTGTAGGCTAAAGTAATATGTATGTATAGGGCGAAGAAGAAGTGAAAAAGAGGTGAAGTGAGGTAGGTATAGCATACCTGGTAGCCTGTATTCGTCGCTTAGTAGTGATGTTTCTCCACATACAGTATCATCCTTCTATTCTTGAAAGTTTCTTGCTTTGCTTTGTTTTCTTTTAATAGATATTTAGTATATTCGAGTATAATCCTCGAAACGCTACAACTCCACCAAAAAGAAAATTAGGTATACTGAGTAGTAGTAGTAGTAGTAGTAGTAAAATCATAATCGATTCCATCCTATCTAATGACTATGGACCATGCGACAATCCCATCATTTAATCTATACATTTTGGTACAGAGAGAGAAAACTTTACGGATGAGACAAGGCCCAAAACTCCCTTTTCCCTCACTCCGTTCGTGGGGATATCGGCCACTTCCCTTGGGTTCCTTTGTCCCTCTTCGTAGAAGAGTCCATGAGATAATTCCGTATCGTCAAAATTAACCTTCCTCATCAACCCGGCGAACCCTCCAAATACCCTACGTATGTTGCTCTGTTTGCCTCCTCTTCTGTCTTGAAAAGTAGGTATAGGCCGCTTAGAATTCCCGGCTTGAGCTTTATGAAGATGCCAGCTAGCCGGTATTTATTCATTGTATTGTGGAAAGCCAAGTTCTTCTGGTCTTGTTGTTGTTGTTGTTGTTGTTGTTGTTGTTGTTGTTGTTGTTGTTGTTGTTGTTGTTGTTGTTGTTGTTGTTGTTCTTGCCGGGAATTTGATACTGGGCTGTTCTCTCCCTATATGTGTTTCTCAGGGCGATTATATGTCTGTCTGTCTGTCTGTCTGTGTCTGGCAAAGTGTGCAGCGCAGCAATGCAGTGGTTATTTGGAAATAGGAGCTAGAGCTCTCGCTATTGGACTTGATGGGATAACTTAGGAATGGCAGGATTGTGTGGAGTTGTTTACTTTGTGATATTCTTTGGGTGGTGGTGTGATGGTGTGATGGTGTGGTGGATTATGGGGGTTTATTTATTTATTATATTTATCTGTGCCGGATTCGAATCTCGATCTTCTGGTTGCTAGGAATTGGGTTGGGGATAATAGGTGATATCTGTGTCTTGATTGCTTGTTTGTGCTAGTGCTAGCTTTTGATATTGTTGGTATGGCTTGTTAGTTTCAGTCTGGCATCTTTGGGTGAAGAGGAGGGAATCTTGTCTTCGGTTTCGTACTCGTCTGATATATTTGAGACTTATGACTGACTGAACAGGATGAGATGGGATGGGATAGAAAGAATTGGATTGATGATTGATCGGATGCATTGATGTTGAGTTGGTCTTTTCAAATTGCACTGTTGGATCATATCATATCATATGCATGTCAATGTGATTTTCATTTTGATCCGCACTGTATATGATATGTGATTTTCGAACAAAAGAACGACAATTGTGCTTTCCATGAAATTGGTACATGCATTCTAACTAGATCAAACATTATTAATTTCCAAGTAAGCAGTTACAGTAGCAGTGCTGAGCCAACAGCTTTCACGCACAATCAGCAACACCGGACTACGGGATGAATGCCTGTAAGGGACTATTTAAAAAGTACGCAACTTTGCCGCCCCTATTCGACAATATCCATGCTGTCATGATGCTAATCGTATTGATCGGTTCCCTGACTCGGAATCAAGTTGATGGGGAATAGATTAGAAGTAACCACTTGGTTGTGAGATTATCGTGTCTTACACATAGATACACACGACATCGGCATAGCCTTTTCTTCTAGTAGTACGAAAGATCTTCAGAACTCAAGGTCGATTGGATTGGCAATATGCTATGCTATGTCTTCCCATGCCAAATAGACACCAGAAGTTGGGGTGTCCAAAGTAGGAGCTGTCTGCTCGCCCGCAAGAAATCTGGTTGACTATGATGCCAGCGAAGATGCTGCAGGCAGAACATTCATACGTTCACACCACTCACTGTTCACCTCTCAAGTTTTCTCGTATTTTGCGTGGGATTTGAGGCCATGGGCGATATGATAGCGTGATTCTTATACCGGGAGGTTCAAGTTGATCTGGAGGATTTCACCCACCACAGATGTGGTTGGAATGATGACGATATAAATGACTATTTCTCCTCAAAGCCACTGACCAAAAGCAAATATAATCCACCACTTGAGACTAAAAGATTTTAAAGGAAAACTGTAAATCATTGGATAAACCGTTAGTCCAGTACCAATGTTCTGGGCGTATCTGATATACAGTACCAAACACAAAGAGCCCCAAATAGGTCGAATGCTCCAAGTACCGATAGATTCAAATATTATAGCTTATAAGTGATTCGGTATGTCAAAAGATTTGGAAATCTCGTACTTAAGCTATAGTCGGGGCGTTGAAATGTGATACACTTGATACACTTGATACACTTGATCCGTCTGAATTTAGAGTCAAATCCAGTGTTCAGTGCAGGAAATTTGCCAACATATCGAGTTGTCACCCTCCTTCGACCCGAAAATCCCATCAACTAAATTTTAAATTCCTCCATGTAATCCTGTTCCCTTGAAAAGTCCAATCTAGTTATTTTGATAGCTATCATTTGTAAAAGAGTGACGAAGTTAATTAGAACAACGTGTGGATGATTATGAGTTGATGTCTACAATGAATTTTCGCAGTCCTCGTATATAATATTTGCGGTATAGACTTCGCTCCTCCTCTTAAATCACCGCAATAATCAACCACTCATTCTATCAACTCCAGATACTCTGATATCGAATTCTAATTTTTACCGCTTCTTGGGACTACTGTTCATTAATAACAGCATTAAACAATACTTACGTAGGTTGCAAATCATCCAACACCTACAGTCACCCCACTATGATCTTGCTTTATATACCAGCGCAGTCATGAGTTGTGCATCAAACAACCACATGGTGAGATGGCCGAGTTGGTCTAAGGCGCCAGGTTAAGGTTATTTATTAACCGCTTCAAAACGGTTAATTCCAATCTCCTGGTCTGGAAACAGGCGTGGGTTCAAATCCCACTCTCATCAATGACTTTTTTGCAATTTTTTCCCCCCTTCCTTTTAGAAGCCGTTTCAGACAGCGCTTTTGGATGTGTTTTTTTGAATCGAGAATAAAATAATCTGGGGGAGTGAGGGAAGTGATTGGATAAGATTTCTCCACTTGTTTCTTTGTGGTTGGAGAAATTAGTAGTGCCGCTTTTGGTGAGAGGGATTTACAAATTTGGACAAGGCAATATTCTGAGGTTTAATGATATGAAAGTTTCTATCTACAGATCGAAACGTTATCCTCAAATTTATTATGTTTGTGGCAAAAATGATATATGTATTTTGATTCGGGTTCGGATTTGGTATCGGATTATTCTGGAAGAATTATAAATATATAGTATATTATTGCGAGGCTTAGAAGCTATTTGTTGTTGTCCTATACTCGTATGTAGTCTTTTGCGAGTTTAATATTAGATGAAAATGTGCTCAAGAATGGGCTTGTTGGTCTCGCTGGTAGTTGGTTGATATCATTGGGAGGTGGAGAGATCGATCATTCTGATTCACATATCCAAACACAATACCGCTATTGCGTTTTTTTATGAACTACCTAGTATAGGGCCATATTATAAGTCTTACATATACTTCTCCATTATGATATTCTAAACCAGATGTAATCTAAAAATCGCAACGCCGCAAATGCAATAGATGGTATCACAAAGAAGTATCCTGACCCTTTTCCCCCATTATAAACGAAAACTCAAAGAGCCAAACCAAACCAGACCAAACTTATCAGACCGAACCAGCCATACCTCCAGATTCCAACCGAATATCTTACCATCGAAACCATATTTATACAATCGCTCCACCCCAATTTATCTCACCCTCTAAAAAGCAATCCCCACACTATCCCTCTCATACCCGTAAGCCATACTCCACCTCGCCTCCTCGCTCTTCTCACTCCCTCCAAAAGTTCTCGCTCCATCTCTACTGGGTGGCGCTACCTGCAACCTCTTACTACCCGCACTAGTTCTCACTCCATACCCCAACGCATTCGCATGTCTATCTCCATGTCCAATACTTGGGCTCTCGCTCCAACTAGTCGCTTCATAGTCTTCATTGCCATCAATCTCGCTTTCAATACTACTTACACTACTCACACTCAGCAGATTATCGATTTCTTTCACTTCGATACATTGGTAGAAGCCTTCTCGTGACGTCATGGGTTTGGGGGTATTGGTGACGAAGTCGAGGGACATGTGGCGGGAATGGTGTCGTTCGGAGTCGGAGGTGAATAACCAGGAGGAGACGCGCGACATGGATTTTCTTCGGGTGGTAAGCTGAGGAGTTTGGAGAACGAGAGGGAGAGGAGGGGGTAGTGGTCGTTCTTTGAGAAGTTTGGGGGCTCGCAGGGAGGAATCTATGGATTTTAGACGGCGGGGTCGGGAGGGTGCGGTTTGAGAACGACGATCGGGATGGTGGTGTGGGAGTTCGGTGATGGCGGGCATTGGTTCTTTCGGTTCGTTAGATGTGTTGTGTTGGAATATGATGCTACAATGACTCACCGGTGAATTCCGAGTATACACTCTCACGTCTTTCTTGTCGACTTTCAACTCGACTTGCACGACTTGTTGGTCGACTGGCTAGATAGATACTTCGTCTCTCGATAACTTCATCCAGTTCTTTTAATCTCTTATCCAACTCCATGTTTTCCAATAATGCAGACTTGACTCTCTCGTATGCAAGTGGTTCCGTATTTGCCCTCAATCGTGTAGGTCGTTCGTTGGGCTGATCTTTCGTCAACGCATTCAATAACTCTTCTGTGTTCATTGATCTCCTCTCCATAACCGTCGATAGAACGGGTTTTCTCGGTATCCTGAATTCCAAAGCCGATTCACTTCTCATATGAAGCAATTTACGATCATTCTTCTCATCAGTTCTGTGAAATCCGAATTCTGGTAAGGGTGATAATAGGTTTCCCGGTAAATATATGCTCAGTTCCAACGGTCGCAATCTCGGTGAATCTCTAACGACTACCCTCTCCGGTTCTCTCACATAACTCGTTTCCGTATGATGTTGGAAGTTATATGGAGCACTAATCACCATTCGATTCGAAGCCCGAGACGACAAATTTCTTTTCAAAGTAAAGCTTCCACGACTCGATGTTCTCGATTGACTTTTTGTCCATTCTTTCCCTCTAGTCTGTGGTCTCTCGAAAGTAGATGCTGTTTGTGGTCTTTCTGAAGGTTGTGGTAATGGTGGAGATATTAATTGAGGTTGTCCATTCACTAGGCGCATTGATTTTTCCGGTTCTTGTTGTTTCGTTAGAGCTGTTCATAGTACAGACAGACTTCCAATTTGTTTGCTTACCACGACTTCCCACATCTTCCCCCGCCGCACAGCAATTAATTAAAGAGGTTAACCATGCCATTTGCGCTTCATTGAAAAACCTGCTCAAGGACTGCATGACCACGACTTCATACCGAACACAGTTCGAATTGAATGCGAAAGAAAAAGACAAAAGAAAACGAGTGTAAGAATATCTAAGAAAATTCAACCAAGTGTAAAGCTAAAAGAGCTTGAGATCTGATAGATGTGATGACTCAATGGTCTTGATTGGCTATCTAGGAATAAATGGGAACTTCGTACAAGAGAGCAAAAGGTCGAGACGCCCAAAAAAGCCCATGAGAAATTGAAGCCCAAAAAGGCATACCAAATCGAGTTTCTTCGATCGCAGCGGGTAAATATTGCATTGAGGGGCTTATGATTGTCCCCCATTAACCATGATTACCACGTGGCTTGCAGGTTCATGCTCGCACTTGCTTGCACGTACTCACAGATAATCCTGTTGGTGCATAGTGATAGGTTGTGATGAGATGGGCGATGGGAAGGGGAATAGACCGCAAGAGTGACCAATGGGCGGTAAAATTATTGAAAGGATTGTCCCAACAGAAATGGTCTCTGAACTTTACTCACATTTGTGTATTTGTACTTGTAGTCAAAGGAATGGAAGGATCCAAAGAAATGGAAGGCTGTGAAGATATTTGAAGTATGTAACAACATGTAAGAAACATTTGAATCTATTAATGGAGATCTACAAAATGTGTGTGTTTTCAGGATTAAAATGCAAGATCATTGTTGTTCATGAAGAATCCGTGCGTTTTGAAGTAAAAAGTGGACTCGGGACGACCTAGATGTGATAGTAATTCAAATGATAGAATTTGATGAGTTATTTGAACAAGTACTACAATGTCACATTCCTAACCCAATCCTAACGCTTATGCATAGCATTACCATCATTCAGCGGGAAATGTTAGATTTGAAGGATGGAGAAGGATTTTTGGATGTGAGTAGTATGCTGTAAGTATAGTGTCTCTGAGTACTACACGGGAACGATCGTGTATCGTGTATCGCGTATCGTGTATCTCGAATTATGATTGTACACTGATCCCATTTGTTCGATTCAGAATGAAATAGAAACTGGAACTTCGCTGTCTTACATATCTTTCCTATCTTCGAGAAGGCACAACGAGGCGGGGGAGTCTATCTGACACACGTGATTGATCGAGAGTTCAAGAAGCTCCTCGGGCACCTTGAATAGTATTAGATGGACGGAAGATCTGTCGGCCGTGAAGGATGTGTGCGGGAAGACGGGGAGGTGAACTGTCGGATCCGCCGAGCTCAGAAGTATATAATACAGCGAGTATTTCAATCATGAATATCAAATCCCATGCCACCTACAAGTACCAACATACTGTACATAGAGGCCCAAGAGGCCCAAGGGTTTATAGGCCACTGTGTTTGAGAGCCCTGCCGGGGTGACCGTGTTCTAGAAAGCCATAGATCCTGACTGTGCATTCAGCGTTTCGTAATGATTACTGCGATATTGGGGTAAACATCCAACTGTAATGATTTTGACTTTTGAGCTGAATCGCCAACGCATGCATCAAATAAGAATAAGGCGAAAACTTTCATATCAGGTAAATAGATGGTGTGATTTATCGTATAGATTCACCGCCATATAAGCCACCAAAAATTAACCTATACATGAGCAAATCAATAGTTGAACGAATGATGTTGAAGAAAGAGGGAAGGTCTTGAAAAGATTTCAGCGATATGGCAAAGCTAACAACCTAAATATATATCCACGATGTACTTTAATTCGATCGACAGGCACAAAAAGAGATAAAAATAGAAGCAAGATTACGGATAATACTCCGTTGTGGCTAGGGCTTAGGGGGGCTTATCTTATATGAGGCTACTGTTAGAAAAGCTTAATTTGGGCAAAGATCCCCTCCCTTGTAGTACTCGAGTATAAAACAAATTTAAATAAACTTTTTGTTTGGATCAACTATATTCTCATTACTACCTCTTATTCGGTGAATTTGGGGGCCATATGCATGGAAAGTCGGGGCTTGTTGTATGCTACTACTCGTACAGTGCTAGTATTAAGTTACTGTATTGGCTCGGAAAGCCGGCATCGACTATCCTGATTCCTGCTGACCCCTTCATTTCATTACAACATAGATGCATAGGGCCAGAGTTCTAGATGCATTGATTCCAATGCCTGGGATTCAATCAATTGGTATCGTGGAGTCTGACCACACCACATGGGCATCATGATCATTCTTAGGAGGAAGTCATAAGTGTCTGTTTCGTTCTTACTATCTTCTATTCCTCCATCCATCATTATTTTTCTTCCTTAGCACTTGACTATTGTTAATATAAGATCCTTCCCGATTTCATACATCTATCATTTTCAGAATCATTCCTGTTGTTTAAAATTCTTGTGAATCATAGCTCTGTTATAAATTTCTCAATTTGTCCATGTAAATACGGTCACTTCCTCACAGTCAACACTCTTTGCTATCTGAATCACTTATGATCGGGAGCAAAAGAATGGCAATATGAATCTTTCAAGTGCGAGTGTTGATATATTTAATCATATATGGTTGCTTGTCGAACAAATCAAGACTTCATAATCATGGACTTGAAGCCAATTTCGCTCTCGCATTTTGTTCTTTGACACCTTCCTCATGTACCTTCGCTTGCTTGGGCTCATAGTTGGAACGACAGCTCGGTCTACTATGGATCTTTCACAATATGTTCTTACATCAGTAGGTTTATACAACATCACATACTAGAGCTGACCTAATGTGCTTCCTAGAATGGAGAAGCCAGTGGAGGCAACACCTTCCCTGGGGTTTCTTTACCATTTGGTATGGTCAAACTTGGGCCTGATATGTTCACGGGAAGTGATAATTATTCTGGAGATGTGTTGAGCGGAAACTTTACCGGGTTCTCAATGATGCATGAAAGTGGAACCGGGGGAGCTCCAAAATACGGCGTCGTCTCACAGATGCCTGTTCTTGGAAACATAACTAATCCTTTAGCCGAATTGAATGATACTCGAGCTTCTGTTGATGCTACATCCGTAGGCTACTATAAAGCCTCGCTGGGAAGTAACATCACCGTTGAGCTTGGGTCAACAAGTCGTGCAGGATTTTATCAGTATACATTTCCTGAGAGTAAAGGAACCCCAAATGTAGTTGTTGATGTGTCTCACGTACTACCGTCATACCGAAAGCAAGGTCTTTCTCAAAACTATCTCGGTGGTAATATCACTGTGTTGGAGGATGGCCATTACGAAGGATTTGGGGATTACAACAATGGCTGGAACATGGCCCCTGACTGGAGAATATACTTTTGTGGCTACTTCGAAAGCCCAGCGACGGCAAGAACTTTTGTTGGAACGAGCCTTAACGAGAGTACACTTGCCAGTTACAGTACAGAGAAAACTGCTTCATCCAAAACTCGACTAGGAGCCATATTTAGTTTCACCACTACAACGGTAGTCTCAAGAGTCGGAATATCCTTCATATCTTCAGCTCAGGCATGTGAAAATGTCGATTCTCAGATACTTCCTGGTACAACACTCACAACTTTGACCGGCGATGCGAAAGAAGTGTGGAACACCGAGGTTTTATCCAAAGTCACGACTACCGAGACCAACAAAACGAATCTGCAGTTGTTGTATAGCTCGCTATACTTCATGCACCTACTACCCTCAAACCGGACTGGAGAGAATCCGTCGTGGACTTCTTCGGAGCCATACTATGATGATACTTTTACGACTTGGGACCTCTTTCGGTGTACTTTCTCGTTGTTTCATATCCTTCAGCCGGCGGCATATGAGGAGTATATTCGATCACTGATTGATATATTTCGATTTGAGGGTTATATGCCAGATGCTAGGTCTTCAAACTTCAATGGAGCGACTCAGGGAGGTTCCAATTCTGATAACGTACTAGCTGATGCCTATGTCAAGGGGGTGAGAGGGGCAGTGAACTGGACAGCCGGATATCAAGCTATGGTCAAAGATGCCGAGGTTGTTCCGATCAATAACAATGATCCTCGAGATAACACATCTTCAACCAAAGAAGGTCGCGGAGCCCTTCCTGATTGGTTACAATATGGATATATTACACCAAAATATGGTCGAGCAGTCTCCCGAGCCGTCGAATATTCCTTCAACGACTTCTCCCTTTACCAAGTAGCGACTGGATTAGGATTAGTAGACGATGCAACGAAGTACTTGAAGAGGTCCCGAAATTGGGTAAACCACTGGAATCCCAATGCTACTTCTCTTGGGTTCAACGGGTTTCTCGTTCCTAGAAGTACTGCAGGATTCATCAAACAAGACCCACTCTCTTGTGGTGGATGCTATTGGGGAGATGCATACTACGAAGCATTACCTTGGGAATATTCATTTAATGTGCATCATGACATGAATACATTGATCGCATTATCAGGTGGACCACTAACTTTTGTGAACCGCCTTGATACCATGTTCAAGCCTGGAATTAACACCTCTGGGCGCTCATCTGGCTTCAACAATACGATTTTTAATCCAGGTAACGAGCCTTCATTCACCACGCCGTACTTGTACAACTACGTAGGACGACAAGATTTGAGTGTAATGCAATCTCGATATATCGCAAAGTCATATTACTCCGCTACCCCTGGCGGCTTACCAGGAAATAGTGATGCAGGAGCAATGGAATCTTGGCTGATTTGGAATATGCTTGGTCTATATCCAATGGTAGGGCAAACCACTTTCCTAATTGGCAGCCCATGGTTCGCGAACACGACTATCTCACTTGGTGGTGGAAAAGTGCTTGCCATGACTACTGTCAATGGGTCCGAATCTTCCTTCTACGTCCAATCTCTCAAAGTCAACGGAAAATCATGGAACCGATCTTGGCTCACTTGGAATGATGTTTTTGCGAGTGGTGGAACTATGGATTTTGTTCTTGGACCTCAGCCTGTCAATTGGACAACTGGGCCAGCACTACCAAGTCCAGCGAGCACAGTCAGCGATACTGCCAATCCCAATAGTATTCTGACACCAGTACTGACAGCTCCGGATCCTAAGTCGCAGCACAGTATTGCAGAAGAGAGGAAACGACAAATGCTGAGAGAGATAGCTTTTGTAATTATGGCTATTTTTATAGTTACAGTCTCCTGCGCAGGCTTTTGGTATTGGCGAAAGAGAAATTCTAAAATCGATATGGACACGGAGAATCAAGAAAGAGGGGTCAAGCCAGCAGATATAAATCCAAGGGAAAATGAACCTGGTAGGAAAGACTGCAAACAAAGGCTATGAGGATGGATTGAATGGAAACGAATTGATACTTCAAAATGTGATTGGGGAGGGTAGTCACCCTACGAAGTGAGGTTCATAGTATCAGTGGAGATCCCATGGCTGATATATATATAAAACAAGCAGTCCATTTCCTGGGAAGCTATCCATGATTGAAGTAGATGGACCTTATAAGACTTTTTCTGAAGAAGCTCTTGAACCTTGGATACCTTCTCTTGTGGGAGGAACAGAAGAGTTGTCTGAGAGAAGTGATGATAATGAAAGTTGTAATCTTACGATATAGATAGAGTAGCTACTTCCCCATGCTATTTTGTTCCCTCGCATTACAAGACCTCAATTAATTTGTGAAAATTGTTATGCTCTAGGATAAAGAAAAACAGACTTGATGGGTCAAGATTATATTTTTTCTTGTAACAGAGCTTCAGGCGCTTTGACCACCACATACAATACCTAGCTTCCCATTTCCCAAAAGTCAACTCTCAATTATTTGTCCCCCAAAGACAAACTGTTTGTGCAGACAGCCATGATTTTATAATTACACATCAACAACTCCCCCGAAAGCAAATTGATACCAAGAATATAAATACTTCTTAGCCGGCACACTCTGATAAAAAGAGTTCGACTCAAGATGTTGTTTCCAGAAGAAGACACAGGAGAATTGAAGAAGTGGATTATAAAGAGACTTGAAAATACGTATGTTCAACTTCAATTTTCACTATCATATAGACATGGTTCTAATTTTCTTCATAGTTCAGATGCAGATGCAGATGTTCTCGCTGATTATGTTCTTGCTTTATTGCGACATGATGGAGATGTTGATGCGGTTCGACAACTTTGCCTGGCTGAAATCCCCGATTTCTTGAAAGAGGATACATCGAATTTTGTACAGGATGTTTTCAATGCCCTCCAATACAAGAGTTATTTGAGTGCCGGACCTCCTCGTCGCCTTTCCCAAACATTTGCGCCACCCACTGGACCATCAGGTTCAGCTTTCAACAATTTAAATATGGGAGCTCCGATGGTCCCTCAAAACGGTTCTCGAAAGCGCGCATACGACGTACGAGCCGAGGGAGACTCTCAGATGTATATGGGAGGCGGAGACCAGAATGCGCGCGCATATAAACAACCTCGACGGGGAAATGGGGCAGGCCGTGGAAACTTCGATAACCTCAATAATGGCAGAGGAGGATTCCAAGGTCGTCCACAACAAATGCAGATGCCTAATGCGCCATTCATGCCTAGTATACCTAACATGCCAGGTTCTCCATCAGGATTGCCTCCCCTAGATCCAAACAATCCAATGGCAGCTCTTCTTGCTATGCAGCAAGCGATGGGTGCGATGGGTCTACCTCTCCCCCAAGGTATGCCAGGATTTTCTCCCAATGGATCTACTCAGAATAGAGGGCACACAGGCCCAAATGCGCAAAAAAAACAACGATGTCGAGATTACGACCAGAAAGGATTTTGCGCGCGCGGAAATACTTGTCTGTTTGAGCATGGGCAAGATTCGATATATGTTCCTGGGGGCGCTGCGAAACCTACAGACGAGTATGATCCAAGCAATGCGTCGCTTATGACTGGGAATCAGAACCAAAATGATAATGGGCAAGGACCGGCACCTTACAAAAGCTTCGACAATAACCGTGGTAGTATGGGACGTGGCAGAGGACAGTCCATGGGCAGAGGTGGACCGCAAATGAATTCTGGCAGAGGTGGGAGAAGAGCAGAATTTTCATCAGACCGTCCAAACTTCAATACAAACAATACTACAATTGTGGTTGAACAAATACCAGAGGAAAAGTTCTCGGATGAAGCCGTTCGGGAATTTTTCTCTCAATTCGGCAGCATAAAGGAGGTAGACATGAGACCATATAAGAGATTGGCTCTTGTCAAATATGACGATTGGAACGCGGCAAACACAGCATACAGCTCACCCAAGGTAATTTTTGATAATAGATTTGTAAAGGTTTATTGGTACACAAATCCTGAATCACTTCCAAAGCCCCCATTCAATGGATCATCTAATGGCGCAACCAATAATGGAGCGCCTGTCTCAGTTCCTGCAAGAGAGACAGATGAACCCCAGTTTGATATAGAAGAATTCACGAGAAAGCAACAAGAGGTACAGAGAGCACACGAGGAAAAAATGAAGAAGAAACAGGAAATGGAAGCCAATCGTAAGGAATTGGAGAGACGCCAAGAGGAACTTCTTAAAAACCAAGCCGAGGAAAAGAGAAAGTTGATGGAGAAACTTGCGGCCAAGACTGGCAAATCTGCATCTCCCATCATCAAGACAGAGGATGGGTCTCCCGCGCCTGCAGCTTCATCTCAAACGGAAGCCTTGAAGAAACAGCTCGCTGCCCTTGAAGCGGAAGCTCAGTCTTTGGGATTGCCAGGTCTGGACAGCCCCCTTTCCGATGATACATGGGGTGGACGAGGTCGTGGACGTGGTGGTTATAGAGGAAGAGGCACATTTGCTCCACGTGGTTTCCGAGGAGGAGGCTACAGAGGACGTGGTGGCGCTCCCTTTGCTGGTAGTGCACCTGCCCGCTACACCCTTGATAATCGGACGAAGAAGATTGCTGTCACTGGTGCGGACTTTACAAATCCACAAACGGACGAGAGTTTGAGAGAACATCTTTTGGTATGATATACCCTTTCTAGATTTTCCGTGGAAAGCTACATGTACTAATTCATCCCTAGGGCATCGGAGAATACACCGAACTCACAAAAACGTCTACCGGCTGTCACATAACCTTCAAAGACCGTCACACGGCCGAGAAATTCATGTTCGGTCTCCAAAATGGTGAAGTTCCTTCGGTGGGAAAGGTCGACCTTGCGTGGATTCAAACACCGTTGCCACCGGTCATCTTGCCTAATACTCAAAATTCAGCAGGAGGCGGAGATGTCAAGATCGAAGGTGCAATGGAAGGTGATGCCATGGCGCAAGATTCTACTTCGATGGGTATGGGTGGAACAGGGGGCGAGAGGGACATGCAGGAGAATATTGATTATGATGTTGCAGGTGACGATGACTGGGGTGTGCAATAGATTATTGAATGAGGAAGTGAGGGCGAGGACGTGGAAGAACCCATTCAATGCATTTCGAGAATGAGTGATTGTACGCCGAGGGCCTCCATCTATCTTGTATGAGCTTGGGACTTTTGTAATAACAACTGGAAATCGAAAGAGGGAGCGTTAGATACCTAGGGTGGGCAGGGAATGCACAGGCATACCTTTACTGAGAGGAGAAGAAACCTAAGCCACATGAAACAAAAGCATACAAAAGAGTCATGTTGAGAATACATGCACACGTACACACATTTATCATACTTGAATAATCTTAGATGAGGAGCAAATATTAATTCAGACAGAGGTTTTCAGAAATATAAAACCCAAGCACCCTTCCAACATCAAAGGCTCAACGTCTATTGATCTGATGTCGCCTATACAACTTAACAGGATTATATGAAGACTCATATTGGCATGCAGATGTTCATTCAGACGATCATTCAGATGCATTTCTATGAAAAAAAACATCGAAATTCCACTAGGTAAATAAGTTGGTAGTAGGTACATATTCAAGTTCAATCAGGACTGAATGAAATAGCATCATTTCTATTCAGATTAGCATTTCAAGACTGAAATAACACATCTTTGTAGATGTGCAACAAAAGTTTCTTGGATGGGTGTGATTGGCTATTGGTAATGTTCAGTTTGTTCAGGACTGAAATAGCATCATTTTCATTTATATTGACATTTTGAGACTGAAATAACACATTGTGTAGATGTGCAACAAAAGTTATGGGGTCATGTGAGAAGGGATTTGGAGGGGTGTGATTGGATAATACGTAGGTAAGAAAGTGTTCATTTTGTTCAGGACTGAAACAAAAGTTTCTTGGGTTCCTGGGGTCATGTGAAGAGGGCGTTTGGATGATTGTGATTGGCTGGTGTGCTGTGTGCACGGATGGGATGGATGATATTAGATGTTGCTACCTAGGAAAATATCTAGGCTTATAATAAGTACATGCACATAATCGATAGGTGATTTGGAAGCGTTCCATGATGTTATACAGCCAAATGCACATCGTCTTTTTTCGTTTTTGTGTCTTATGGATATGGGGGGACGGATTTTGAGCCCCTCAGTGGAGACGATGAGCATTTGACCAGGGGTCAGGAATTCCCTCACCAAATATATGAATAACTTTATAAACGTGGTGATATACATCTTGATGCTTTGATTCTCGGTACTCGTAGCCGCTAGCTCCTAGTACGATTAGGTGCACTGTGCTATAAAGTTAGTAGATATAAACCTTGTTAATGCACTTATAAAACCCATCACACCTTTCCAACCATCTCATCTACATCCATCATCCCCCACCGCCACAATCTCAAACATGAGACGATCCACCCGAAAAGCCCTCGTGCATCTCTCGCTCTTCCTCGGCGCCCTCTTCCTCATCGTCTACCTCAACCGTTCCTCCAGCAATGCATCATTCCCCTGGACCACGATCCGCTACTCTTATCAGCCAATCCGAAAAGGTGTTGCCGTTCCTCCCGCCCACGGCCTCTGTCCCGGCCTTTCCCAAACCACCAAACCCGTGCTCATCGTCGCCCGCGTCGAAGCCGATGGCGAAACATCCTGGCTCGATAAGCTCAGCCAGAAATATCACATCTGCATCTACAACGTCGATTCCCCTGCCATTTTAAAATCGTCTCAGAAAGTCTTGCAGGTGCCAGCTAATAGAGCACATGAAGCTATGCCATACCTTACGTTCCTCATTGATAATTACGAGCATGTACCTGCAGCCGGCGCGGTGTTTGTCCATGGAAATCGTTTTCAGTGGCATAATGATCATCCAAAATATGATAATTTGGAACTTTTATCTTTACTCAATGTTGAGAATGCGTTGGGGGAAAATGGTTATCATAATTTGAAATGTGATTGGAGTCTAAGTACTTGTAGACAAGAAGCTGTGCCTCAAGGAAGTCTCGAGACCAGTATGCAAGCTTCGTTGCAACCCTGGGATAAGCGAGCTGTTTCTGATGCGGCGTTGCCCAAGGCTCTCAAGGTGTTGTTTGGAGAGGGAAAGCAGATGACTAGGACGGATGTGGTGCGGAGTCAATGTTGTGCGCAATTTGTGGTTTCGAGGAAAAGTATTTGGAAGCATTCGAGGGAGGAATATGTGGCTCTGAGGCAGTGGTTGTTGAATGCTGATGGGGCACCAAGTGATGATAAGGTGGCGGGGAGAATATTGAGTTATCTGTGGCATGTGTTGTTTATAGAGCAAGAGGGCGAGGGAAAGGGAACGGTAGAATTGGAGAGGCTTAATAGACAGGCGTGTCCCAGTGCCGAGGAGTGCTATTGTCGCTTGTATGGAAAGTGTGATTTGGATTGTAGGACGAAGGGTACTTGTCGGGGTCAGTATTCGTTACCGAAGGATCTGAAGCTTCCGGATGATTATGGAAAACAGTTTGAGAATTTGGGGGGTCATTCGGATGGCCTTTAGGATTTGCAGGTTGAGATTTTTGTCATTTAGAGATTAAATTGTTGGTTGTTCATGCCTCAAAGGACCAAAAATATTGGATATAATACTCTTGGATTTATACATAATAATATCAAAGCATTTATATTCAAATACAGTCTAGTATAATATACTCAAGAGACACTCTAAAATTACCGTAGACCAGAGATCGACCTCCGAGTTTCCCCTGAGAGTATAATACTAGCCGATAAAGAGAGGAACACCGAGCTAGGAGTCCACTCAATGCTGGTCCTGTATCTTCATAGATAAATTCATTACATGAAACAAGATCAGAAATCAAGGGTCTCTCGTCGTCGACTGGCAGTCCGATCTATTGAGATTTCCAAGTTAACCTTCTCAGATCCTTAAATACCATACACAGCTACAGGCATTGGTTAGACAACTTGCACAGTTCAATAGTTAAAGAAAGCAAAGTAGAGATTGAGACGCTAATATAAGAAACTACTACAAGTACATAGGTATTAACCATAATTGAGTCAGTTGCCCGACGTTAGGCCTCGAAACACAGCTCCAATTGCTGTCTGTCAGGTATCGATATCATCTTCATCAAAATTCATGCCCACCAAGCAGCAATTACTACTTCTCTGATCTTTCTTCAGCGATGTGGGAGCGCTTCATCAGCCCGCAAAGGCTGCTGCACCTGTCCGCCGATCTCTCTCACCACCCGGGCTACATGTCTGACTGTATGATGTTGCCGCTAAAAAGCATTTACTTTACCGGGAGTGTCGCCGTCCGGCCCGTCCCCGTCGTAAAGAAACCTTTTTAATTCCGGAAGTATATCACCTTCTTGACGAAGGGGAGCCAGCATAGTAGTAAAGGTAGTCTTGGAAAAAAAGTTTCATCCAAACGAAATTACAATATGTATAATTGCATATTGCGAGGCACCAGCCTATGTAACAGAAGATTTTCGGCGCAAAAGAAAAAAGTACGATGAAGCAGCTCTAGAGTCCTACATATCACATGATTCAAGACCACGAAATGATCAGAATACTCGGTTCGAGAAACTTGGATGCAATGAAACCTCCTTTCATTACCGATGAAGAGGAGAAGGAATGATGCCTTGGGATCATGTTATTCAAAAACCTCACCACCGATTCTTTTCATTCGTGAAATTGACAAACATCTAAGCACTTTCATATTTGTGATTAAGAAAACAATTTCATTACTCCCTTCCCGTTATCATCATATTGTACACCAATTGGTTTTCCGATCATCCATGCATTCATCCCATTTCTGAACCGCCTTTCATATATCTCATACCACGAAGTAAATTGGTTTACCGCGTAATTACTCTTCATCAAATACTTCCTCAACTCTTGGTGCTAGATTCCGTTGTGTAGTGCCTCCAGTAGATATCTGTGCTGCTGATCCTGTGGTCGTTGCCGATGCTGGAGCTGGTTGACCTGTCATTGCTGCCATTGTAGCACCTGCACTGGCGGAGCCACTTGACTTAGTCTTCTTCTTGCCTTTCTTCTTCTCCTATTGATCATAAATTAGCTTTCACTCTATCTTTCTCCTTCAAAAAGGATTGTTCGGAAAAACAAACCTCTTGCCATCCCCAAACAGGTCTGAAGCTATCAAAGAATCCGACATCCTCGAACAAATTCGGGTATAGCCATAATCCCGGAGGCACAGCAAACATTGTAATACCAAAAAGAATTAACCTGAATATGGCCATCGCAAAGAATAATCCTAGTAATCCAAGCATACCCATACTTAGATACCACACACCCAGCCTCATTTTCATCGGCCAAAGTGGAAACATGACAATTGCAAATACAATCGCCAATGCTCCAGCAGCGTATAATTTCTGTTTAATTTGTGCGCCCTCGTAAAGCCATACGAAGTGAAGGTCGTCTTTGCATTCTTGTTGTTGTTCGATCTTTACAGTCCAAAGTCCTTTTACCCGCTTTATATTGTGAGCACCAGGCGCATGGTCATGACCTTCATGAGGGTCGACTTTAGAAACACGTAATGCGAGTAGGGAAAGTGGGAGAAGTTTGAAGCAGTTTTCCAGGGAGGCGCGATCGGTGATTTCTGGGAGGAGTGGGTTCTTCTTGCGTGCTTTCTCATAGGCAGGCGATTGAATGGCTCGGAGGGCACGTTTCACTGCCAGTGCATGTTAGAAAATAATAATTGTATAGGTAGTGAAAGAGGCTTACCTTTGAACATATCCTTTCTTTGACCATTCAGAATACATATTCTCGTTTTTAAGTCCTGACCCTTCAGAAAGTTTGCGAGAGCAATAGCTGCTGGATTCGGAGGACCTGGCTGAATTGGTTGGGGTTGTTGCTGTTGCTGCTGTTGTTGTTGTTGCATTGCAGCTTGTCTTTGTGCATTTTGTTGAGCGATTGCATTTGCCCTCATCTTTTCCGCGAATTCAGGAACGGTCATTCCAGCTTGTTGTGCATCGTGTGCGAGCTTTTGTTGCATCGCCTTTATTTGTTCTGGAGTTGGCTGCTGAGCTGCTTGTTGCGCCTTGATCTTTGCTACAAAGTCATTGACGCTCATTCCGGCTTGTTGTGCATCATGAGCGAGTTTTTGTTTCATCATCTGTATTTGTTCTGGAGTTGGCTGTTGGCCTGGTTGCAATTTGATGAATTGTTGACCTTGCTGATGCGAATCTGGTGGTGGGGAATCCATATTGGATATTGTGGAATCAAATCAAATACGAAATGTTGTGATGTGATTGATGGTGATGTGATATGATATGAGGGATGAAGCTTTTGAGCCTTTGAGCCTTCAAGGAATTGGATTTGAAGTGAATAATTTATTAAAAGTTATCTGTTCAAATCTTTATTATTAGTGTCATACAGCCACACATGTGGCGGACGTTAACAGGCAGACTTGGTGGATATAAAGCACGGTCAATTATAAGAATGCGGAGCCTTTGACAAAGATGTTTATCCGGTATACATAACTAGCCAATCCTGGTGTTATCATGTATTATATCCTAGTACCTCATTCTTCCACTCTTCCAACTTTAACCTCCTTCATCGACTCGGCTAGAGCTACGAGTAACCTTAAAATGACAAATACGAAAACAGGACTTAGTATCTTGACGTCCTTTTACCTTAATACCAATATAAACAAACCCACCTCATTATTCGAGGTCAGGAAAGATAATTAATTAATGAGAACATCATCCATCATCTCACCCTTCACCTCAATACATCATCACACTTTGGTGGCCATCTACCAGTAAGCTATGACAGAATCCAGATGTTCGGATACCTCGGTTGGAAAAGAAAATCAAAGGGCAACTTCACATCCATCGAGTAGAAGACATTGATTGAGACTCTGTAAAATGAGCCAGAGCTTCAAACCAAATGACAATGCTTTGCCGGAGTCTCCTTATGATACAGCGTTTCTGGTTTGTTATGCTCCTCTTCTCTTGTTGGGAAGGAACACTCTTACTGAACTATTCCTTAGTCACAAAGAGATTTGGGATTAAACATTCCCATAAATTATGCTACTGCTCCGGGTGTTTCATTGACGGCCGCATGTTTTCCATCTCTAAAATATGAGGATGATGATTCAGCTATCTGTATATCGAATTTATTAGCTGATGGATTTCGAAGACTGGAAGTGGATTTGTATTGGGACCAGACGAGACAATTATGGAGTTTTTGTCCCGTTGCCATACCAGTCTCGGCCTCAAGCATTGTATCCTCGCCAACTCCAACATCAACACTTCCTTCCACCACGGCTAGTTTGACTTCAGCCCAACAAACAACGGATTTGATTGCGAGGCAGGATTCAAGTACGGAGGATCCAGGTAGTACTTTCACTTCAAGTCCGTCTATGCGTACTATGTCGGCAGAGTCTTTGATGGGAAGCTCACTCGAATCAACATTACCTGCAAACTCTGTCATTCCAACCTCTTCCAACAAACAACTGTACAATATTGGCCCTTACACTTGTACTACGACTGTCAACTTGTTTATGCTAACAAGCCTGCTTTTGGACTACATACAAAATACACAAAATACAATAGATGCACACATATTGATTGTGACCCTCAATATCCACGCAGTAAAATTGGATGGTGATACTGCTGGTCCTGCCCCTCAGCCATTGGTTCTCCCAGATGTTCTGAATTCTCTAGAATCACTTTTCTCGGCAAATTTATCAGCATACATCTATACACCAAATGATCTAAGGTCCAACCGAGCAAATCTGAATGAATCTTGGTATTCAGTTACAGAAAGATACAGACCTGCTCTGGATTATTATACGACAGTCACACAGGAATTCGGAGTGATAACGACAGAAGATGGTTGGCCATCAGAAGCTTATATCGAGTTTTCTCGAGGCAAACGAATGCTTTTACAATTTGGCTCGGTGGACCCTCAAATGACGAAATATGATTTTAATGGAGATGAAGACACTATCTTTTCTCAAAACTATATTGATAACCGCCGCGAGAACGATATCTTGGCAAGTTCTGATGGTATATTGACAAGCGGTTGCTTCCTCCTCAATGCCACCGAACAAGTTTCCCAGGTAAATTCATCCTGGGCAACCGCAGCCAATATTCCAAGTTTCGACTATCCCACAAACTCAAGTTCCAACCTAACCTCCCTTCTCAACCTAACATCGTCCCTCACAGCATGTGGTATATCCCCCACCCTAAACACCACCCTCCTCAACACCACCGCCAGCACCAACAACCCTCCCTACAAAAATTACACCCACTCCACCATCTGGTCCTGGGCGCCCCACGAACCCCGCAGCTTCTCCTCCTCCACCGACAACAGCGACTCCCTATTCCGCTGCGCCGTCCTCCATCCAACCACCAACCACTGGCACGTAGCCGACTGCTCCACCAAACTCTACGCCGCCTGCCGCGCCCCCTCCCAACCCTACAACTGGACCCTCACCACCTACGGAATCTCCTATTCCTACGCCTCACGCGCCTGTCCCACCCCCTACACCTTTTCGGCCCCCCGCACCGCCCTCGAAAACGCCTACCTAACCCAAACCATCCACAACCTCTCCCCAAATCGCGATCTCGACAACGACGACCCGAAAATCTGGCTGGATTTCAATTCGCTGGATACGAAAAATTGTTGGACGACCGGCGGTCCAAATGCAACTTGTCCGTATAGTCAACAAGAGACGATCGATGATATGATGAAGAAGGAAATTTTGGTCCCGACGGTCGCGGCGCTTATTGTGTTGATATTGACCGGCCTTTCGGTGTTTGGAAAGTGTGCGGGGAGGGGGTGGGCGAGTACGAGGAGGAGGGGGATGAGGAAGAGGAGGAGGGGTGGTGACGTGGTGGTTTATGAGGGGGTGCCTGCTTAATGGTTGATGGGGTGTGTATTTTTTGTATATTTATGTATGTATGTAATGATTTTGTATGGATAGTAACAGGCATCGGGTAGGTTTTGAATATTAACAGGATATGGGGTAAGAATATATGGGAGGCGGTATATCTGGAAAACTTTAACCTTTTGGGACGCATGGAATGCGAAGTATTGTTGTATATCATCGATTCGTGTAACACATTTAATCAATTGGATCTCAATTCACACATGGTCACACCACATACAAACACAAACAATGGAGCACACTGGGCATTGAATTCTGTTCCAAATACCCTAATCCAGCAACATATTTAAGGAATTTCATAATAAATGTATGTTAGTTAACCAATTTAGCGACAGCTAGATATATCCGCACAAGACGCCTGCCTATCCTTGCCCCTTGCCCCTTGCCCTTGTCCTTTCCCCTTTCCTGTTAATCCCGATACCATGCTTGTATTTCCAGATCATGTTACTCTCAATTTTGCTGCTCCATAGCTAGGTAGCCGTAAAGTTTCTCATGAACTTTCTGAATGTACAATCTCTCTAAACATGTATTCGATGCCAGATCCAACTCCCACGCTTGCTAGTAGACTCCGGACCTAATGAGCGAGTCGCTGTTTATTACGCAGAAGTGATTTATAGAGTTGATGGATATCTAATGATGTACGCCGTCCTCACTGGCCAAGCTTCCAACTTCAGTCCAACTGTCTGGTGTAACGATACCATCATCCACGCTCATGACATCGGCTTCGCTTGTAGCTCCACTTCTTGGGTGCAATATCTCCTCGCCTGAACCAGCTAATGACGCAGAGTCTGTAGGTGTAGCCATTCTGTCTCCATCGAGGGATTCAAGAGAGGAATAATCGGGATCGGAGAAGCCGGGTGAAGGAGGTGTCGTTTCGGTGTGATGGGTGGCAATTGGAGTAGCGGGACGTTCGCGAGGTGTAACAGGGAGAGGAGAGTAAAAGCCGGTTGTGTTATCGGTGTGATCAGCCCAAGCATGGATAGATGCAAATGGGTTCTGGTTATCTTGTGCTCGTTCTGTGTAAGTTGGCTCGGTTTCCATATTTTCATAAGTAGGTACAGAGACCGGTGGATCAGGGTTGAATGGTTCGGAAATGTCAACGAGCGTTTCTGTATCTTCGTGGGTCATGGGTTCTACTGCTGCGAGAGTGGCGGTACTTTGTCGAGAGCGAGATCGCGTTGGTCCTTCGTGCACACTGTATAATCCTTCAGAGTCCGATTCGTATTGTTCGCCATCTTCAGGGGACATTAAACTTCTATCCATAGCTTGTTGTTCCTCATTGTCAATACCATGCTCGTCGGCAAATGGGTTTGCGTAGATTGTCGATCGATCCAAGCCCCGGACACCTCGTCGATGAGTAAGACCCTCTTCTGCTTGTCTATTCACATCTGTACCAGTATTATAAACGAAAGTTCCCTTGCCAGCATTCGGATCCTCTTGTAAGAAAGCCTCGAAACTCGAATTTCGACTTTCATTGCTTCCTGGTCTTTTTTCGTCCATCGGTTTCTCTTTCTCCATTCTCTCCATGCGTATTGCATTCCAGTACATTAGCTCCTCTCTCTGTTTTCTCTTACTATCCTCATCCGCAACTACACCCACTTCCGAAGAACTCTGCATGAAACCCTCGGCATCTTCAGGTCGATTGAAACGAGGTTGATGTCTATTTGGATTGATTTCATCGCCGAGGGAATGCAATGCGACTGCTATTTTACGACGGACATCTTCTGCAAATTGTCGAGCTTGGGGTGATTCATAGACTGCTATTGCCGCCTGTAAATCCATTAGTTTTTGTATTTATTCGTCGTGCATTACATGGCTCGCATGGGTTCTGCAGAAGAGGGGAAACTTACAGCTACAGCCACAGTAACGACAATCACAGCACCTGAAACCACAATAGGATGATTAGGCATTTTCTCTCAATATAATTTTTTGGGAGATGGGGAAGGTATCTGTGTACAAAATAGAGAAGTCTCTCATGAAAGAGGACAGAGTAGGAATGTGATAGGATAAGGAATGAGAGAATGGAATGATAAATGGGTTGCCCTCTGATGAGGTTGAGGTTGCGTATTGTATTCCGTAGACCACCGCCACTTGCCTTGCAGGGTATCGGGTGATCTACGCCTATCACAATGTCACGGACTTAATTTGTGGCTTGTGCTGTACACGTACCTGGGGAAAACATAAAAGGCATTTTGAAGTTATTTTTCTTCAATTCACTGCTTCAATTGAATTATATATATTATATGAAGAAGGGAAAAAGAACAAGAAAAGTGTAAATGATAGGAACAATGTTAAGAGATGTGAAGTTTGGACTATATAAAGTCTATATCTATATAAAGAGTGAGCTTATGCGGAACTTTGGAATGAGATGATGTTGGTTTAAAAGTGCAGGCGTCATCATCTGGGCTTGTACAAACTGCACTACTCGTACTGAAAATAGTCTATTGCGCTGTTTGATAACCGCCCAAGGAAATACTTATTGGCATTTTTACGATAATTATTGCATTCCCCCAATTAAAAGGTTATTACGAATACTCATAGAATGTAATATATACCTAGTAGGTATTCCATAGTTTCAATGTTCTCTCAATAAAGGACAAAGCATCTCTCCTTGCTTAAGCCAACAATCTTGCTTCATGCCGTTTGCGTGTTCTAGAGGGATTCGTTTATTATATATGTTGATCTTATCTAGCATTGCATATATATGTACAACTAACTGAGTCATCGTATACTTACCTATGTACTAGTACAGTAACGGTAAAGTACTCGAGTATAAATCTTAGCTTTCATGGGCTAGAGATATAGAACCTACACTATTGATGAATCCAAGAACCAAAAGTTTCTAAAAACCTTGTTTATCAAGTATCACGATGCTCAATTGAGATGTCCTAGCTCTTCTTAGACCAAGTGCAATATGAAAATGGTGAAAGTTGAGCCTGAATCAAGATCTTGAATTGAAGTATACCTCGCCACCACACCTCCTAAACCTCTAGGCGACGCGCCATATGCAACGGAGGCATAATAAGTGTACTCACGCATCTCTAATACCAGTCTATGATCAAAATGTGTCAATCGCGAGGTCCCAAGATCCAATTGAAACTGATTTCAATGACGTTTAGAAGGCATTCTAGAATTTTAGAGCTTTTGGAGAAAAGATAGAACAGAAACTCAAAGTAGAACGGGGCAAGACTGAGTATGGTATAAATACCTAGCTCGCCTTTGGAACTTGGAGTCTTTCCTCTTCACCACGAATCCACAATTACAACTCACATTGTTCCGTCGGAGAGCCCCCAATCCGTATCTACCTTTAGAAACAATGCCCACCGAGAACATGGCTGAAAAACGAACCCTCAGAGAAGACAATATGGAGATGTCATCCGACAGCCAAAACCCAGACCTAGCATGTGGAGGAAAAAGCTCGTATGTCGCCATCCTCACAACTTTTGAGACCGTTCGAATGTGCTAATGTTAGATAGAAATCAACAGGGAACTTCCGCAACCTCCACCAATTCTGTCTCTTCAACCTCAAGCAGAAGCTCATCCTTCACGCGAGAGCAATGGGTACGAATCGAATCATCACTTCCAGATATCGATGAGCCATTCTATGAGCAATTCCGAGCTTTCAAGGAAGAATGGACAGCGAAAATAAAGGAAATGTATCCTTCGACCGCGGAAATTGCAATTGCAATTGCAAATGCAAAACTTCAAAGAATTTTAGAGGAACTCCGTGCTGGTGAAAAGGCTGCAAACCTTGCAAGACTTGCAGAATTTTCGGATACTCGCGAAACGGAGGTTCCGAAAGTTTGAGAGTATAAGGAGATTCCAAAATTGGACATTGGACAACCGTTTGAGGATTCGTTACTGTTTTTGGCTGTAGATTTGGCTGTAGATTTAGTTACAAGATAATCTGGTGGATTTTGTTTCCACTCAGAGAATAGAGGCCAAAGTCTTCTGGAAGAGGCTGTACCTGCAGGATCGTAATAAACTAAATTTAGTATATTGGAGATTGCGATATGTTGTATGTCAGTGGTTGGAGGTAATGAGAAGATATCACATAATCAACATTAATCAAAGTCAATGATTTCCAACATTCTTCTGATTATGATAGCTTGGGCTAACCGGTAAGATCTTGTCTGACATTCATCTTCTGAAATTGTACGAGGCCATCTAGAACTCAAGACACACTTTTGTCCGAAGTATGCCACACCCAGCGATACGAGTGAGAAATGTTTTCCATTCATAAAGTTCGTGATATCGTACAAGCGATTACTTCTGGTACTTGTTTAGGAACTTTCGGATCTTGGAGAGTTGTAATTTGTCTCCTTCGTGACAGCGGTAGACGTCGCCCCATCCCCTCCAGATCCAACCTGTTTGGGTGTGGTAGCATCCTCCCTTTCCACAATTACACACTCCTCCTCTTCGGCTTTCCTCTTCTCTACTTCAAGATATTCCGAGTAGTCTTTCCAGAGCTGCTCTACTGGTCGTCCGCAAAGTTCGGTCCAAAAGCGTTTCTCTTCGTAACGCTCAATCCTCAACTTTTCATTCAACTTTCTGATTGTACCTTGGCCGAATCTCCGTTCCAGATATTCCAGGAAGTATCCTGTGTGTTGGTAACCTGCATCCCATTTTCCACCAGATTCTTTCTTCCAATGGGGTGGACTTAAATGGGCGTTTAATCGTACCCAATCCGCAATCCCTTCAATCAAACCGCCAGGGCAAGTGTGGAATCCATTATATTGGTAGCAATGTACCATCTCGTGGGTCAACACGCCCATTATTTCATGCTTCTTTCGTTCCGATCCAATGGCTGTGTGTATATAATCTAGAGAGAAATGTATCTCTTTGTGGTCATCGTCGAGATCGCTACCTGTCGTATATGCCACACCTTCCATGGGACGTAGAATAAGGGTCACCGATCGAGTGGTTGGGATAGTAGTGATGGGACAATGGGGGGATTCATAAAGTAGGGCGAGAACACTTCGAACTGCTGTTTGCAAAGCCTCATTCGCGATAACAGCGGTCAAGAATGTCTGCGATCCAGCATGATTGAGATCGCGTATCTCGAGGCGTAACTTGGGTAGAGAGAAATTGGTAGACTCTATAGATTTATCATCTTTAGTAAGCTTTGATGCAGGTTTTCCTTCCGAGGGAAACATTGGTATAGGAGTTGGAGTTGGAGCTGATGAAGCATTAGAGATCTGAGGCATGAAGACAGGTGGAGGAACTGGGCTGGTTGTGGGGGAAGTGGGCATGACGTGGGTGAGTTGTAGGGTTTATTTTAAAGTCTTATTTAGACAAGCCTGACAAGGTCAGTTTTACAAGGATCCCTTTACAATTAAATTCTTATGCGGAAGTTTTGATGGAGCATCGAAGTAAGTGGGTAGGTGGTGTAGCTTGAAAGTTGAGTTGACCTTGTTATGAGCTTATTCTGTCTGAGTGAATGAATGGATGGCAGATAAAGTATAGAAAAGTATTGAGTGAGTTCCAAGTTATTAACATTGAGGAATTTGCTTTATTTATAAATGCTTAATAGGGAATGTAGAATGAGATAATGAAATAATGAGATAATAAAGATAATTAATTATCTCTTATAAATCTCTCACTGGCTGCTTGTTTGTTTATACAGGGGTCAAGATTGTTATTTATTTATAATATGGAACTTTGAGACTAGTGCACATTTGCCTGCCCCGGCAACCATAATAATTTGTTTTGAACATGATAGAATTATCTCGAATCGGAATTTTGAAGTTAGTTACTTACAAAGACACAACATTTCGTAAGTAATTTCAAATTTCATAATTTTGTTATGTGAATATTGTGCTTCATACCATCTCTACAATAACCGAATAGCACACTGCATAACCTCCTTTATTATCAGAATCACTGACAGGACATCTCATCTATAGTAGATACACATCCCGAGAATTGATCTTTACAAGTTTCCCCAACCTCACCCCACCTCCAATCATGGGTGAAAAGATCACCGAAGATCAAGTCGCAAACTTGCTGGCACTACTTCGAACCGATGCCTCAATAGATGCGAAGGTCAATCAAATCAACAATATCAAATCCAGTATCAAACAGCATAACGTATCCGAACCATGTATACCCTCGATATTCGAGGTATTGCGCATAGCAATGTCATCGCAGCATGCTGCGCTGGTCAATGCTGGATTCTCTACCCTCAACCATCTCCTCACCAGATTATCGCGCCAGGAACCAAAGTATATCGTGAAGGAAGCTGCGCGGACTCTGCCATTGATAAACGATAAGATGGGCGATCAGAGGGAGAAATATAGACAACTTGCTGCGCAATGTCTTACCACTTTTTGGAGGAACGCACCGATAGATGTGGAAAGAATCGTTAAAAACGCGGGACTAGTAGGAAAGAACTCAAGGATGAAAGAAACATCAATGAATTGGGTTGTGCAGGTAAATAAATGGATCTTGGCGCGGGGGATGTTTACACCTTCTAATCACCTCGTGAAATAGATGCACCAAGAGCATGGGATGCCATTCAAAAGTTTTGTGACTACACTAATGGATTTACTCGAAGATGCCGATGGCATGGTAAGAGATACTGCGAGAAATTCTGTCATTACTCTGTTCCAGTAAGCCTATTCTTAACACTTTTTGTTTTGTATGTATGCTAACATGGCACAGAAACGCTCCCAATGGTGCCAAATCCGACCTCAAAAAGCAATTGAAGAATTTTAATGTTCGACCAGCGATTGTATCGGCCATCACAAGTCAACTCATGCCAGGAGGACCCCCAGCGGTTGTGGAGCCCGAAAGAACTGAAGTCCCTATACGAAATCCTTTAGCTAGTAGTGTATCTGCGATGGCCATCTCGAGACCTCCAACACCAGAAGTCAAAATCGAGCAAGTGGATCCTGCATATGTGAATACACTGAGAGAATTAGAGGATACCTTTCAAGAAATGTATCCATGGTTCCAGGACAAGGAATCGGAAGCAAATTGGTTCAAGAGAGAACAAAGTTGTACAAAATTAAGGAGACTGAATGCCGGGAATGCCCCAAGCGACTATCATGATGCTTTCCTTGTTTGTATCAAAGGTCTTCTGGATGGTATATTGAAAGCTGTTAACTCACTGAGAACGAGTCTTTCCAAGGAAGGGTGTAGTCTCGTTCAAGAGGTCGCCAGAACTGCAGGACCTGGTCTGGATCCTATGGTCGAAATTCTTCTACAAAATCTCATCAAGCTCTGCGGTGGCACCAAGAAGATTAGTTCGCAGAATGGAAACGCCACCGTTGATATCATTATTAGTGGCGTCACCTATAATCATCGGATTATGCAGCATATTTGGCTCGCATGCCAGGATAAAAATGTTCAGCCTAGAACATATGCCACAGGTTGGCTCAAAACATTGCTAAAGAAGGAAGCGCAACACAAGAGTCACGTTGAACACAGCGGAGGCTTGGAATTGGTAGAGAAATGTATAAAGAAAGGTCTAGCCGACCCAAATCCTGGTGTTCGCGAGAACATGAGATCAACCTACTGGACCTTTGCTCAGATATGGCCAGCAAGGGCTGAGATGTAAGTGCATAATCACTTTTACGCGGCCTTGACGATAACTGACAATTTCTAGAATAATAGAGGACCTAGAACCGACCCAGAGAAGATTACTAGAAAATTCTCCTGACAATCCCAATGCTCCAAAGAAGGCACCGGTAGCGGCAGCGAGCGCCAGGCCCGGCCTTGGTTTCTCCAAGAGCACTGCTGGACCCCCTAGACCTTCTTTGAGAGAGACAATGTTGGCACAAAAAAAGGCACAGATGGCCAGCAAAAATATTCCTTCTCGTCCTGGCTCCGCAATGTCAACATTTTCTCCAACAAGGACCGTTTCAACTGCATCTATCAAACCCTCTTCTTCGGAAGCAGCTCTTACACGGCCGCATCAAGAGGTCAATACATCTCGTGGCGGTCTTTCTGTCGCACCCATGCGACCGAGTAAATCAAAGAGACCAGAACTTGCTGCCAGGCCTGCAACTGCCGGGCCGTACTCTGTGAGGAGAACCAATCAAGCTTCCAGCGAAGCAAATGCAAGCCCTTCGTCCTCTACATCCGCAAGACCACCAAGATCCAAGACTCCTGTTGCTACAAGTTCTCCTCAAACCAGAAGAGCCCCGATGCCGAGGCCCAATACAAGCCATTCTAGTCATCCAACTCAGTCTAGCCATTCAACACAGTCCAGTCACCCAGCCCCTTCCACCCACACAAGTCCCGCAAAGAGCACATCTGGTCGAGTTGCAACTGCTTCCCCCAGACTTGCTGCTTCTCCGCATATTAGTAGTCCTGACAGGACAAGAACCAAATCAATACCTGCATTCCCGGGATCCAGTCCCACGAGAGCTGATGAAGATTTTACCATGGTTGTTCCCAACATTACAGGATTAGAGCGGACGCAATTTGATAGAGTTCCTCAGGCCATTGACTCATCTGATGGAGAACGTATCAAAGCACCCTTCAATCAACCAATGAAGGTTTATGAGGATCCGTTCTCAAGTACAGATGTCGCAATTACTTCTAGGCCCACATTTACTCCATCCGTTCTAGAAGAATTGCCTGTCAATGAAGAGGCTTTAAATCTATCAAGAAACGGTATTAATGAGTTCGATGGCGAGGGAGCTAAGATTACCCCGATGTCTCCCGACAAGCTCAAACAAAGCACAAAATTACTCGACAGCGGTATCACCAAAATCAGAGCCAAATCTCTAGACGTCCACGGTTTCAGAAAACTTCAGGCCATGATCAGAGAACACAAAGCCGTATGGGAAGATGGAAGATTCGCTGCTCTCTTGTTAGGTCTCTTCGAATATCTCGAGGAACCATTAACAAACCTCTCATCTGCAAAAGTCCAAGACGTCAAAGCACAAATATTAGCCACAATCAAACTCATGTACAAGAACTACCGACAATCCTTCGGACCACATATCGCAAAAGGGTTCCACTCCATTCTCGTCACCCGCTCCTGCTACGATGCACGCGCCCACATTGTCAGTGGTCTTGAACTTCTCGCCGACGAACTTGTCACACTCGCTGACCCTAAAGACACCATCTCCACCATTCTCTCTTCCCTTTCCAAAGAAGAAATGACATTAGAAGGATGTCGAAAATTAAGTATGGGATTACATATACTTAAGCAGACACTAGATACCCAAACGGAAGTTGATTTGGAGGGTGTGGAAATTGATAGCATTTTGGCATTAGCGGCAAAGTGCCTTGAAAGCAAGGAGAGCGGAGTAAGATTAGATGCTGTGGTACTTTGTGTGAGCACGCATTCGCGAATTGGAGAGGCAAGATTCTGGAGTGGTATTGGCGGGAGAGTGAGTGGTGATCCCAAGAGCTTGATTACATATTATATTGTCAAGAGACAGAGGGAATTGGAGGTGGGTAATTGAAGGCGTGTAGAGAGGCATAGAAACAAGGATGGAGGTGGTATAGGGCTAGTGGTTCAGTGGAGTGGAGGATGAGTAAGGATTGTACGATGCGGAAATTTCTGTTACAACTGAATATTTTGGGGGTTTTATTTTGGTGGGTGTGATGGGTTCTCTGGTGTGTAGCGAGGGAAAAGGGAGGGGAGTGCAAAGGCGTTGTTCAGTACACTCTACATGTCAATTTTCTGGTTATTGTCAGGGGGCGTCACAAGCGTAGGAGTTGTAGTCTGTCTGAATAAACCACATGTTTTAATTTTTGATTTCATCATGCTTGTGTGGTTATATTTGTGCGGGTTGTGTGTGTATGCTTTTTAATGACCTTATTATGGTTCAAGTCCAAGTAACACAACGGCTTTCCATTGCCAGTTCCTCGTATGCTTCGATTTTCGAACCGACATAGATTATTCTGAGGGAGGGTATCTTAGAAGCTCATGGTCAATCTTAGAGGAACTTTGTGCTTGTAAAGATGCAGAGTATCCGACAAAAACCACAAAGAAGATCGATCAACCCAACGTAATCCAATCTAACATATCTTCTAATAGTCGGCTCTCCATGAAACAGCCGCCTGGTTCCCAGTCGGGGAAAGCGATTGTCCCCCTTCCACTTTATAGGGCACAAATAAGATTATTTCTAGTGTATGGTTTAGAGTTCTGATTTAGCAATCTTTCCCAACAAATATACACCATTCGAAAGGGGACAATCGCTTTCCCCGATTGGGAACCAGGCGGCCGTTCCATGGAGAGCCGACTATTACTTTTTATCATACTCGTATAGTATATACCCCTCTAAAACCAATTCCTCTATCCATATTGCATGCAAAGGTGACAAGCAGGCGTGTCCGTTCACCTCGTGTGCGAACGCGGTTTGTTATATCATCCTAGATTCTCTCTTGACGAAAGAATGGTAGAGGGTTTGGCTGGAGTTGGCTGGAGAAGCTGGAGAAGCATATAGCAATAGCTCACCTCACTCAACTAGGCAATGCTCTCAGCCTAAACCCCATCCCCTTGCGTTGTCATAACCATTCCTCATATTCCTCTTCCTTTCCCTGCCCCAAAAAGCCAATTATAAATGTAGTCGAGCGATAGAAAATCAGAAATCCCCTCGCTGATATTGGGATTTGGATTCGATTCGATTCGATTTGATTTGATTCGTCTCACATTCTTCCTAATACCAACAAATTAAAATCAAGTCCAAATCAAAATGTTACAAGTACTAGTAGGTAGGTATGTATATCTGCAAAAGACTCGAGGGTGCCGACCCCCCCCTCCCCCTCCTTACAGCGATGGGAGGATGTATACGATCTCGGGTTCGGGTCAGCTTCGGAGAGAGTTTGCGGTTGTTTGCACTTTATGAGGTCTGTATTGGAACTCGGGGGAGGCTGAGGTGTTTGGTCTTTCGGGTCAGATGTGGTAGATTTGGGGGAGGACAGATCTGGTGTTAAGTGAGGTGCACGCGCGCGTTTTGTCTGCCGAGATGTTGTTATTCTGAAAAGAATGGATGGCTTGACTATGTTGAACGTGTCGGGAATAGATCTGGGAGGATTTAGCAAAGGCAAGGATAAGATCAGGTGGTAGTGGTATGGGAGTGAAGCTCAATTGAGTTGAGTCAAGTTAAGTTTATGTTATGGTGAGGTGAGGGAGGTTGCATGGGGTTTATTGTCTGTGTTTCAGGGTTCATTTAGGGTAGTTGTGAAATACTCTGATTGGATTGGATTGGATTGGAATGGTGACAGTGTTTAGTTTCATGATGCAAGAAAAGATATACAGTATTGTTAAAAGGAAAAATGGGATGATAATGCTAAAATCTCCATCTCCATACTGCTTGACATTCTCTGATCCTCATCCAATATCTTAAGACCACACGGAGGGAGTATGGGTGCCATGAACAAATATATGCATCAGGCTGGCATAGAAGGAGTAATGCCATATTGGGCGGCTGAGAATTGGGAAGGTAGTTGAATGGGAGTTATGTGCCATTTATCCATATGTTTGTATCTTAACTTGCCAGACGCGACTACTGCCAGACGCGACTGGCATGGTGCAATAGAAGGTCTGTTTAATCACAACTGTCGGACCGGAGCCCAGAGACATTGGACCCGGAGCATGGAGATATCGAAATATAAAGTCCCGGAAGTGGGTCATTGATAGCACCTTGTGTTGAGATAATAGGATATAATAGGCGTTCTTCTCCATTTGTATCCATTTGTATCCATTTGTATACTTATCCGATTTCATTACCACCCCGCTTTCTACGGGCTACGGCAGCCTCTACGTGCATGTAGGCCAACGTAGACCACAGTTTATATAGCCCGTAAACAACCCAACTTTTTCTATCTCGCTTTCTTACTTACTTACATTCATCTTCTCATACAATCTCACAATCTCACAATCTCCTCCTTGATTTTTCCACTTCTTATCACCATCTACATCGATCATCGCAATATATTCCCAGCGACCCCATACCTACCTCTCCCTCCCCCTACTCATCGCAACATCGTCACAAACATAATTATCACAACCTCATCGTCGAAATATCATCTCCGCACTATCATTGTTGCAACATTATCGTCATAGCATCGCGACATCATTATTGCAATCACAACATCATCATCGGCATATCATCGCCGCCGCATCCTCATCGCCGCATCCTCATCATCATCGCCGCATCATCCAACAAAGGTCGTGTTCTTCAGCACCTGCTGTTTGGGAACAACCCCATACCTTCTGTATAGTATTGGTGGTTCGGTTCCTCAGATTTTTCTGTTTGGGAACAACCCCATACCTTCGGTATAGTATTGGTGGTCCGGTTCCTCAGAATTTGCTATTTGGAACAACCCCATACCTTCAGTACAGTATCAGAGGTGGTCCGGTTCCTCAGTATTTGGTGTTTGGGAACAACCCCATACCTTCTGTATAGTATTGGTGGTTCGGTTCCTCATTTTTTTTTGTTTGGGAACAACCCCATACCTTCGGTATAGTATTGGTGGTCCGGTTCCTCACTATTTACTGTTTGGGAACGACCCCATACCGTCTATAGTATCGGTGGTTCGGTTACGTCCTTCTGTATCTGTTTAGAACAACCCTGGCAGTGGTTATATCCTTCAGCATCTGCTGTTCCGGTTCCGTCCTTCACCACCTGCTGTTTAATACAACCCTGGCGGCGGCTACGTCCTTTAACACCTACTGTTTAGAACAACCTACGTCCTTCAGTACCTCTCTTCTCAACCTTCAACCCCCAATCTCCAATCCAATTCTCAACCTTCAACCTCAACCTTCAACCTCAAATCAGCCCCAGCCTTGACACCATATCACATATACAACTGTTACCTGCTGTGAACCATCCGGATACGGTTCATGCCAAAGAGTCAAGGCTGCTCTATTTATTAGCCTGGGTGGGTGGGATACACACTTCAAGTGTGGGATCGTTCATTGTCCTTTATCATATTCATCGCTGATAATTTCCATAGTGAAACGGTATGGCGATTCCGATAGAAAAACTTGGGCTGGAGCATCTCCTTCAGGAGAGAGTGTATATAAAGTGGGTTGATGATGAAGGTAATCCTTATGCAATGGGTTCTTGCTTGGCTGGCAACAAAGATGATAGCAACCTTCATATGAAAGTGGTCTGCGATTCAGAAAGACGTATTCATGTCTATTTCTCCCTCAACGTGACTTACAGGCACAACGGCAAATATCGTCAAATGGAGATGTTATTGGCTGTCCCACCACATGGTGACTTTAAATCTTCCTTGAAGTTTCTTTCAATATCAGGGCTTGATGATTTGTCCTCTTCTGACGCATCTGACCTCCACGAAGCCGGTATAAGCAAATTGGAGCATATCATTCTCCTACCATTCGATCTGCGTTTTACAGGATTTGTTGTTAGAAAGGAGAAAAAATTTGCGACTATCGTACCCGACAACCCTACCTCGAGCAAATTGATCCGGACACTCATATCTTTATCTCGTACAAAGAGCTTTAATGTATATATCAGACCTAGCGACTACGCGCGGGAACATTTGAAAGTGGTTCACGAGCTCTTGTGTGATAAGAGCGTATCGATCTGCGAACCTGACATGCGAAAGATATACTCTCAACCAGACATTATACTAGTGGATTGGGCCAAGATTATTTATCAGGAAGGGAAGGACAGATTACTATCACCACCACCCGCCAAACATGATGCACAAAGGTCAACGGAAGTGCAAGTTCCTCAGTCACCTCCTCCGCCACCACCCGCCAAACCCGATTGCGAAGAGCCATCAGATGTCCCAGAAAACTTAGATCCTAACGATTTTTACCAAGATTCAGGACATGTCGAAACATATCCTGAGGTGGACTCGGATGAGGAATGTCTTGCCGCGTTGAATGACCAGCAACTCAGACGAGACGCAAGCTCAGAGGCTCGTCGGTCAGAATTTAAAGAGTGGTTAAATGCAGCAATGGCAATAAACGAAAATATTTATGGACACAGAGGACTGACCCAAAAGTTATCCGCTCTTGGTCAAAGTGTCCGCACGTCGAATGTCCGTATGTTTGACGCCATTAGACCTTGGTGCTCTGCACTATTCTTATGCGACCCTACAGATTCAAGCGGACGGATGGATGAATGGTTTGTCTCGGACATGGCTAAGCTCATCAGATGGGTTAACATGCTTCACCGTGGCGCTGAGATGACTCTTCTGATGGACGATTTTCTAAAGCTTGGTAGCTCTGCTCGCGCATGTGATAAGGACCAGTATAGGCTTCACAAAGTCGACTTTCTACTTCGCGTGTTTATGGAGTTTAATCAGTCAAGTATCAGTGTCAACGGGGTGAGCAGGAAGGTCTTGTTGTCCCGAAAAAGTAATGTCTTGGGAACTAGTGCCACTGCGTCCAAGCGAGCTAGAACAGCTGCGTAACTATCAAATGTATATTCTTTATTCGTGTCAACTATTCATCCCAGTTACCAACCATCACTCCACCATTGAAGCTTACTTGTCCCCGGTGAATTTCTGCGTGATTTGTTACAATTGCCCAAAGAAGAACATAGAAAAAAGACTCTAGATCATGCCAGTAAGTATGATGTGATTTCCTGAGAACGCCGATAGCCAAAATGGTCTATTACCGATGATCCCAGTGTACTTTCCTGAACCTTCGGTAAGTTTTGTTGCGAAATTAAAATCTATCAGTATCTGTTGGAATACGTGCATCAATCCCACTCTTGTACGCGGATCGTATACGAGGCATCCGGGCATCCCGTAGAGCGGGGTAGGATTCCCCTATAGTTAGCACCTCCCATTTCGTACAAGGTGGAAGGTTAGACAGAATGAATTACCTTTTATACCATATACGTTTTTAGTGTATACATCTAAAATGACTATGTTTTCCACGGAAACAACCTGGTGAAGGATTTTGGCGTTGCAGGAAAGCGATCGGTGACACTTGATGGCATCACGAAATACTCTAATACAGATCCGAAAGTGTGAATGGGTCTGCCAACAGGGGAAGTAACGATGCAGGTGAGGATGCGATTCTGAAAGAAATTGTCGGTTTCCTCGGTACATTCACTCAGTTTATTGGCAGTACAAGCAACCTCCTGTCGTTGCTCTTTGGTCTCTACGTGTCCTCCGCAAGAGTGCATTCTGACAAATCTTTTGTGTGTTCCCCAGCGAAGACCTCGACGTAGATTTGCTGTACTCTCAACTTCTTGATAATAGTCAAGGGAGACAGCATCAACCCCAGGTGCAATTTTTCTTGGCTAGCTTTAGAAGTTCGCTCTCCAGACGATCTCTAGCCCATCGCCATTTGAAGTTAGGACAAAGTCCCATCGAATTGAACCAGGCAGTTTGGCCCGGTAGCATGTTGTTCCGGCGCCAACAAGACCATCACTGGACGAATTGGCTGATCTTCAAGATAGAGCTTTCCCGAAGATGACACCTCCATACTAATAAAGGTGATTGTTGGTATATATATCACTTGGTGTGATATCACGTGCATGGGTACACGTGACCCCACCTACACCTATATAAGCCCTCGATTCCTTCGAATCTCTGAATAGAATCACTGCATATATACTATACCACTACGAATTAAGCCCATAAGGGAGTGATCTCGTGCCCATGCTTTCAACCAGCCAAACCGACAGTGATGCAGCTGCCACCTTCGTCCGTCTCAATCATGTTGCTTTTACCCAAGTCCTGATCAAGTCATCCGCTGATAGCTGAGTATCGTAGACAGAAATCGAATAAAATCTTTCTGCATATCGATTACTTCAACTACAATATAAACCAGACCGATCAAATTGTGACGGAACAGACGGCTCTCTTCCGTCCACTAGCTCATATATGTAGTATAATAAGATGGTTCTTTTAGATCTTTCTTTCTTAGCTTAGAATTCTAACTCTTTAGTTCCAAACCTAAGCATTGTAAATTGCTTATCTTTAGTTCTCGTTCTATTCCTTTAGATCTAGCCATTAGAGCTATCAAAACCTGTATATATAATCCTCCTTTTAGCACTTTATATAATCTTTCACTTGTAGATTCTAAGTACACAATCGGAGTCCTGTTTATACCCTTTTGGCCAAAATAAGATATAATAAGAAGAAGAATAATAATCTAAAAAGCTACCATAACGATTCCTTTTACTCGAGTACAACGATTTCCTTTCCAACTATACTTTCCGACCCTACTTTTACATTTTTGCTAAGATGTTGGGTAGTTGGATATCGACAATTACACGTGATCCGTCAGACCCCCAATTCCCCAGCTTATTCATCAACGAAAAAGCCGCGGTACTCGAGCCGGCAAGCAATTAATGTTGGGGATCGACATTGATTAATCTCGCCAAGGGGGTCTAGAACAAAGTTCTGTTCTTGTCGTTTGCTCTCTCCAATTAATCTCTTCTAGAGATTCTATCAAAACGGGGTGGTCAGCCCAGACTCTAAAAAGGAGTCTCTGGAGTCTGGACGTTCGTTTAAGCATTTATTGATATACCCCGTGGATGATGGATCCCATCACTTGTACCTTGCCTTTGGAGAGGGCGACTGCTAAGTGTGAGTGATATAATTAATAGTAGGATAGGCTACAGGAAGGGGTTGCTTGTTGGCAAACGTGATCTCGAAACAAATCCAGGCGTTTAATTTGTTTTAGGATACCAACAGGCGGCATTACTAATCTCGGGTTTGGCAGCCCTCGTCGGTCCTCAGCGGTCAAATCACCTGAGAACGATGTGGTATGGAAAATCATTTTGGATGGGATGTAGACCGGTTTAGGTTTCACTTATCCGATGAACTACTTGTACGTAAATAACACCCGTAAATACTGCACTCAGCCTCGCCTAAGCAGTTCGAAGTAAAGTTTCGAAATCCAGGGGAAATTGTCAAACTGGACATGTGGGTAGCCGGTGTGTTTGAGCAAAATCAAGCGTTATCATTTGAAGAGAGTTATACAAATGTACAGTATTGAAGAAGCGGTAAGTAAGTTGTTGATGAAGTACCGTAACGTAACATTCCTAACAAGTTACGCTTTTTCAACTTTTCCTGGCGATCGGCAGGAGAATAATTCTCGAGGTACTTTGCCATGCTGTACCTGACTAGTCACTGTCATTTTTCGACGGGATCTGCTTTTAGCCCCCTAATATCAAAGGATTGGTTGGTTTTATTTACAAACTCAGAATAAGAACCCTAAAACGCAGTTTTTTGCAGCGAAGAGGATCTCATTCTGTTTTTTTCTTATTACAGTAACATGGATATTGTGTGACATTAATCTTGTAATACAATACAATAAACACGATATTATCTCAAGATCCTTGGGAATTGACGGCAAATGAAGTAGCCATATCTATGATTTCACGAGCACAATGCCAATATCCTATGCCTCCGTTGTCTCTGGGGATCACCAAACATGCTTCTCAGCGTGGGATATAATTTTATACTAGAAGAACCACGGGTTACAGCATGAATAACACGAGATGAAAAGGATGTGTTGTGAAAGTTCTTACCGCCACATTCATTTTCTCTATATGCCACAATCAACATGTTCATGGCGACATCTCCTTGGCCGACGTCTTTACATGAAACTCTTCTAAAATGCCACCATGCAAGAATAATCGCATCTCGTAGGCTAAACGGCTCTCTTAGTTCTAGATATCTGGTCATACCTAGTAGCAATTGTAGGCTGATCTCTGAAGACTCATCCGTATGTAACAGAAGGTTGACTATTGACAAGGTCTTCTTCGGTATTGGGGATTTAATAGGGAATCCTCATTGTGTCTGGAAAAGAGAGGCTATTGCAACGCTGTAATTATATGATTTCGACGTGAGGAAGTACAACATTCAGCCTTCCCGTTCATTGAGATCAATATAAAAGGAGAAGGGAATACGGGGTATCAATATTCACACCCTGCAGACCAGGCCTGCAGCGGTAATCAATTTCTTGTGGTTTGGTATCGTAAATGGTCACCCCTCTTCTCTTGCAGCTTAACCATAAATCGATTCACGGTATTGTTGAAAGTACCCAGGTACTTACTATTGGTCCCGAATGACAACTAAATCATATATCAATAATGAATAAAGAATAAAGGGAAGGTTTTTTTTGGGGGTTTTATAATCGAAGGAGCGAATTCTAATCTATGCTTCAAAATATATAACTTTCGCTCAATGACAACCAAAACCTAATACCCAATACTCACATCATATAGCAGTCGACGCTCAGTTCGGTCCAAAATCGATTCACTACTACTGGTATATATCATAGTGGTCTTGAACTTAAGGGCTTGGTCTTGTCTCATCTCACCCCCGACTTACTCTGCCCCCTCTGGATATCTGGATATATGCTGATCGCTAAGGGATCATCAGCCTTTCCTTCTGGTCGATTTCCGATCAATTATAGCTAGCTGCATTTGCCGAATCCTTCATCTTTGCCTCACCTCACCTCACCCACCACCCACCTAACGGATTTGTAGCCAACTTCCTCAAGGGTTACGAATTGTACCAGATTCATACTACGACCACGGTGGACCACAAACCATACAATTTTGTGTTAAACTTCTTCTACTAGTCTAGCCTTCTCCGCCACTACTACTTTTATGTTGGTACAGGTACCGGTGTTGATTAAATACATTTTAATAGCAGGCTGAAGAAATATCTCGAAATTGAATCGAATCGCATCTATCTCTACGAGTACATCCAACATATCTCATCTCCAACAACAAAATACACTGTTCATCCTCATTCTTCTCCCGTACAATTATAAACAAACAACCCTTTCTCCACCCAATTGACTCTCAACCTTCACGAATCAAGCTCTAGGAACGTTTGTTTGATGATCGTCTATTCACACTAGCTTCTTTTCCCCTTGCGAACTGGCTACCTACCAAGTTACCAACCTACCCTTCATACCTCCGTACACAATTCTCGAACCTCCTACCGACCGTGCGCTTTTGCTTTGGAAACATATCCCGACAAACTTAACATCGAGGGATCGCATCTGCCAATTCATGTTCAGCCTTGATTCACCGTGCGTGATACTCGAGGAGGAAGTGTATCTGCAAAAATAAGAGGATATTTGGGTTCCTTTGAGGTTCCGCATATATTTAGAAAGATGGAATCGCCGGAGAATAGTACATATATGGAGTCCCCTATGGATGGTGACGATGTGGCATATCCGTGTAAAGGGTGTGGTGATGTGAGTGCTCCCGTCCCTTCTACCAGAAGTGTTTACGAATCTGCCACTAACAGTGAATTTTTTGCACAGATCCTCGAGGAGGGAAAAGCCTTCGAACTTGGTAAGTTGTGAATTTCACGATCTATTTCTTCACTATGCGCTACGTTGCTTTATTTTGACTTGAACCTCGAGTTACACATTGGATATCCGAGAAATCAATGAAATGAACCCTCCAACTTCGAAATTCAATAATTCTAACGAATCTGTAGCTGGCAATCGATGGCATTTGAATTGCTTCCGATGCAATACCTGCGGGACCCTCCTAGATTCCGATGCGAATTTATTACTCCTGGGTGACGGATCCCTTATCTGCAATAATTGCACTTACAGCTGCAGTGCTTGCAATAACAAAATTGAAGACCTCGCTATCCTCACCGGTGACCAAGCATTTTGTGCAACATGCTTTCGATGCAGGAACTGCAAACGTAAGATCGAAAACCTTCGCTATGCCCGCACATCACAAGGAATATTTTGTATGAGCTGTCACGAATCACTAATGGCTAGGCGGCGTAAAAAGTCAAGAGCGGCGGCGAATGCGAAGAAGAAAGATGATCAATCTCCCATGCACGTCGATAAATCACTACCTGCCCTACCACCGAACGCAGTTCCACAAAGTGCCTTCTCCCCTGAACGTGAGATCCCGGATCCTCACAATGAGAATAATCCTACAGAATTATCACCAAGGCCGCGGCCAACATATTCTCGTACAGAGTCATCATCTAGGAGTAGTTCACGAAAACCTCGCGATGATACTTCCTCCCAACGAGCGTCCACCGATACCACGGGCAGGGATGGATTAACGCTTCCGACGACGACGTATCGCAATAACAGATATTCAGGAATTTCACAAATGTCGGAGATTGGAAGTGGTGATGGAGAGAGCTTTTTCATACCTCTCGCATTGGACCCAAGCCCTGCGCCAACCTTGACACCAAGATCCGCGTCGGCATCATGGGACATTAAAAAGACCAAAGAGAATCAAGCACCAGACCGGGATTATTTTGGCGCAAAAGATAACGGACGAAGTCAAACTGAACCACAGCCACAGAGGCGATCGAGGGATTCGAAGGATATAAGCTCAACATCGACACCGCACATCGCATTCCAAGAGAAGAACCAACAACCATCCGAAGAACAGTTGGCACAGATCAAGGAGAGCATACGCAGGGCAGCAAATGGCAGTGGAACACCCGCCAAGGTATCGTCTCCGCCTACGAGTGATGATACTCTACTACAACACGCAACATCACCACCAGGGGACGCTACAAATGAGAAGACACAACCATCCAGTGAAAAGTTTAGATTAGGTGATGTGCCAAAGGGGAAACGAACCGGGACGACGAGAAGCGACTCGCAATCAGATTACACTGGCAGCGAGAGCAACTCCTCAAAATCCGCCTTATCTAATATACCTCCTAGGAAAGACAGCAATATGGCTAGAATGGACTCTCCGAAACCTTTACTGGCAGCGGATCAAATCACGTCCAGATCTACACAGGAATCGCGATCAAGGGACACAGAAAACTCTTCCATTTCAAGAGTCGATTCTGGAAGCTCCAAAGTTTCAATACCCCGTAAGGAAATAGCCTCAAGACCAGTGAAAAGTAATGTTAGTACAATGAGCCTATCTTCCGGAACGGATACCTCTCCATCCACGGAATCCTCATCGGAAGCAGCAGTCCCTACCCCAACCGTGAATGGCAAATCAATCTCTGGCCCCTTGCTACAATCGCCTATCGATGATATGGCACCTACAAATCGTTCATCGACTCGACCTCCCGTCCCAAAACAACAATTGAGTGATACATATATGACTCCAAGAGCACCCCCAGCGCCGCCATCTGCAGGCTCAACAAATGGTGCCGCTTCATCTCCTAACCTACCGAGATGGAGTGCTGGCGGGGATCTTACCATGGACGAAGACATGGCCAGGATTTTTGGTAATGATGAAGGCTCACAATCTATAATTCGAAGAGTTTCCAACGCTGTACGCCACGTTAGAAATACCAGCAGTGAAGCAAGCAATTCTGCTCGTGGCCATGGTCGCAGCGCTAGCGAAACAACTGCACGTACTCCTAATTCTCCACGATGGCCAAAAACACCAATTATCGAAGACACTAGCGGACCTCGAGATATTAGTAGCCCAATCTTTATGAACTCGCCAAATCCTGGAGATGATCCGGCTTTGCTAAGAAGGCAACTGCGCAACTCTGAACAAAGAGTCGCAGAACTTGAAAGACAATTTGTAAACGAAAAAGATTTGAAAACACTGAACAAAAAGCTCATCGAAAAGCGAAAAACTGTCTCGGTCTTAGATTCTCAAACAGAGCTTATGATTCGCCAGTTGGAGGTTCTAGCTGGTTATGTGGAACGTGCCAAAGGTTCGAAACAACCACTCGACATTGCTGAGCTGGAAGATTCTGCTATCAAAGAATTTGTTCAAAAGCTTGAACGCCTTAAGCAGTCAATGTCTGGCTCGATTGAACACCTTTTTGAAGAGCGGGATGAACTCTTGGAAGAGAAGAATCAAGCTATTGCCGATCGTGATAGAGCATTGATTGAGTTTGAGCAATTGTCGTCAAAAAATGCACAACTTGCAGATATGAATAATGATCTTACACACCAGATCCAGGAACGCTTCAAATCGGCCAATACCAATATGGAAAGCCCAAGGCCATCAACGAACGGTCTGGGAATCTACACTCACCACAATAAGGATAAATCCAACGTTTCCGTCCATCTAGACAATGCAAGTCTTCGCCCATCTGAAAGCAGTAGTACAGTGTATGGTTCAGTAAATAGCTATCCACATGCGATGGAGCAGGACCCCAGCATGGAGCCAGCTACGTTATTGTCAGCTCCCCATGTCGTCAACATTCGCAAGGGCCAAGCAAAGAAGTTCAATTGGAAGAAGGGCGGCCAGACTGTTGCCAAGGGAGTCACTAAGGGTTTCAAGGGAGCCTTCTCGAGCGGGCAAGAGCGGACGATGAATCAATGGCCAGGTCAAACTGGTGACAATATTGGCATGCCTTATAATATGACTATGGAGCAGGTGCAACCTCCAGCCCCAACTGCTGTTGGGGCAACCTTACCCAGGTCTATATCAAACGACCCCTCGCGCCAAGGTTTTGGTTTATTCAAAAAATCACAATCAATGCCAAAGTCGATGTCAAGTGGCAATATTCTAGCTGCTGAGAGCCCATCGACTCTGTTCGGCTCCGATCTTGTCGAAAGAGCTGATTATGAGCGTCGGCAAATTCCAAGCGTGGTTACTCGCTGCATTGAAGAGGTTGAGTTGCGTGGAATGGACATTGAAGGTATCTATCGAAAGACTGGAGGTACAGGTCAAGTAAACCTCATCAAAGAAGGATTTGACAAGACCGAGGATTATGACATCTCTGATCCGGACCTTGATATCACCGCGGTTACGAGTGTTTTGAAGCAATATTTCCGAAAGCTACCTGTGCCACTTCTAACCTTTGACGTCTATGATCGCATCTTGGAATCAATTTGTGAGCTTTATCCCCTTGCAGTATTTGGAGCCTTGCTAATTGCATTTACAGCTATCGAAGACGATGCAGAACGATGCATACATCTACGAAATACAGTCAACATGCTACCTCCCAAGCATCGTGATTGCCTTGAGTTTTTGGTCTTCCATCTTGTGCGAGTGGCTAAACGAGAAAGCGAGAACTTGGTAAGTTAACTTTTAAGCGTCGGCTCTCTTTAAATATACTGATATGGCACAGATGACACCCAAAAACCTGGCAGTCGTTTTTGCGCCGACGATCATGCGAGATCACAGCCTAGATCGTGAGATGACAGATATGCACGCCAAAAACCAAGCCGTTCAATTTATCATCGAGAACAGTTACGACATATTTGCCAGCGCCTAGGGAACCTCTAACACCTACCACGACTCTTCTATGACTTTACACTTTTGAATGAATGGAACCTTTAGCCTCTTTTTATCGTATGTTTTGCTTCGAGCGTCGGATACGCAGAAAGCGCCGAGATGTATATTCTTTTTTTTGCACTCATGTTTTACAGGTGATGGGTGGGGCGTTAGTTCTGGAAACCGAATGGATTATGGTCCAATTTTTTGATCGGCAACATCAGTTGATTGATTGAGGATGAAATTTACATTTTCATGGCGTTTTTTCAGTGCGCCGTTTACTTGATTATTGATTTGATTTGATTTGATATTTGCATGGTTATGGATTGCGTACATGCGTGCTTGCTTGCTTTTCTCTTCCTGGAAATTGAGATGAGTCGATTTGAAATTGATATCCCATCATGCTTTGGAGGTTGGGTTTGAGGGTTTGCAGGGGAGGAGGTGCATATTGCGAGCATGGAAAGAAGGGAGGGGGTTAATATTTGGCATTGGCTTGGGGTGGTAGTTTATGAACTGGAGACTCCATGTATGTTTTACGCTGGAAGGCGCACAATTCAAAGCATGGTTTCATTAGCGGTGGGTGTGCTGTGCTGTGTTTTGCTATAGTGTTATGGCTTACTAATGAAGTAGTACGGGTGTGGTGGCTGTAATGGCTGTACTGGTATCAGTACTGTGCTATGCTGTGTAATGCACGTGGCTGCTGTTGATGTTGTGTGTGTATGGATGATTGGTGCGTTATAGTGAATTGAGCATTGAGTACTAAGTATGTATTGAACAAATGACTCGAATGAACCATTCCATCCGGTGGCATAAGGACAATCAGACCCCGATAATCAGAAGCAAAAGATCGTGCATTCGATTCGGTTCGGCAAGTAAGCTAACTACCCCTCCCTCCCTTTTTAAAAACATAGAAGTAAAGTGAATAAATATCACTAGTACTGATACTGCAGTGGATGGGTATAGCTAAGTAGCGCCACCCATTTCACCCCACCTGATGCTATGGAATTTTAATTTGTTGTTTTGAATGATATTCAACGGTAGTTCCCCAGCAAAGCTCATACCTCTCTCTTAAGTGGAGTGGGTTGTGGTATGCTAATAACTGCCAGGCCGAGGTTGCTGCTCACTGCTCACATGTGTGTTTCAGAGAGGGGGTTTTTGCTTGAGGTGGGGGGGGGGGTTTCTGGCGGGTGTAGAATTGGGAGATTGAGCTAGTTGTTCCATGGGGATAGATGCTGTCGTTTTCGTTGTCGTTACCATCGTCGTTGTGGAGGATTGTTGTCGTTCGTGGTATTGGTGTTTATGGATGGAGGGATTGTTGTGGTTTGACTTCCGGGTTTTTTGTTATCGTTTATCCTATTCGATATACATTTGCAGTTGTTTGGGGTGTGGGGAACGGAGGAGATGGAGGAGATGGAGGAAATTAGATTAGTTGGGTTGATAAGGAGATTTATGTGATATGTTGGTTTAGTTAGTAGCTAGGATGGACAGACTTTGCGCGATTCTTTGTGCATTTGATTGTGCCAGAACATTTGTTGGCTGCTTTGTGTGTGGGTTGCCCTGGTTTTGTGGAGGGTTTTCGCGCACTTGGATGGGTTTAAATAAGTATTTTCTTGGTGTTAGACATTATGGCGAGTGGATTTACGGCTGGTATTCACTTACCTTGCACTCAAAACTGTGATTTTAATTCACAGAATTAGGTTTGCTGATGAATTGACTTGGTTGGGTAGCCAATTTTGTCTTTATTTTTACTATCCCGGACAGGAGCCTCGGAATACTTGGGTGGTATTTCAAGGAGCCGTCGGGACAGTCGAGAGTTTTTTTACTGGCCATTGAAAATCGGACTGTGGAAGATGAAAATACAAGGCTGTTGAATTTGGCAACCCATGGCAAACTACTTGAGCATAGTTGGACCACGTATAATTTGGTCACGGACTCCGCAAGACATTATTATCTGCGCTTTCCGACGAGATTGCGATATTGTTGTCATACTTTTGTGAATTAGCGAACACTATTTTCATTGCCGAATATATTCAGGGGCGAAGGTTGTCAGTATCTAGTTGCCCTTATCCGTCAAGTTGTGTGTGAGATTCACCACATCTTGTATTTACCCCGCACCTCTGATCTGAAGTGGAAACTTATACTTCGTTATCAAGTCAAAGGTTTTTCTATTTACTGACAATATTGACTTATCATCTTCTTCCTTGCCAAAACTGCCAAGTCGTTGACCTTTCGCAAGCATGACGAAGAAGCTTGGTCTTCAAGCTTTTCTCCGCAGGGAGGTCATCAAAACCAAGCTCCAGGTGCCCACAGAGAATAATACTGCAGGCCACACAAAGAAGGGTTGTATGCCAGGAACTCAGCCCGATATCTATGAAGAGCCGGAAAGAAACACATTTCGTGACATATTCGGAGACAGCGAAGAAGATTATGAAGCCCCATTGGAAAGGTTCAGAAGCTCAAAGACGCCATTTGCAGTTCAGTGCGAGACGAAACAAAAGACCGAAATAAGGATCCGTATTGAAGAAATTAGAAAGCAACTCCTCGCGGTTATTGATACTTCCTTCAAAACTCCCCGTGAAAGAGCTATCGTTGCTAGGGAACGCGATCGTCTATTACGGTCTATCGAGCGTTTGGAGGCTCAAGAGCACAGGGAGAAAGATAATGCGCTTCGAGGTACGTGGCTTCTAACTGATAATCCCACATTACTATACTGATAAATCGAACAGCAACTGGAAACCTTCCCGAGCCAATCTCTGAATCTGAGAGAAAGCAACAACGAAAGGAAATCGAACTGGTAAAAAAAGCTCTTGCGGGAAAAGAAGTAAGACTCACTCCACTCACACCTTGTTTATCTATATCCCCGCATTTCTGCCACATCCACTAACCAAACCCCATAACAGAAAACAAAATCCCCCACCAAACGTCCCATTCGTCCTATGGACGATGACCCGGATGGCGAGACGCGGAAAATGCTAGGAATGCCATTGAAAAGACGCAAGCTCGAGAAGACGGGTAAGTGGGCAGGTGAACTTCGTTATGCGGTGCCGGAGTTGAGGTGTAAGGATTATGGGGTTGAGAAGTTGAAGGGGATTTTATTGTGTGGAGCGAGTGAGGAGCAAAAGAAGTGGTTGGGAAAGTGGTTTGGTGGGTTGGATGTGAGGGATGCTACTAGTGGTGGTGGAATGAGGGGTTCTGGGAAGGAGAGAAGTGGGTGACGGGGGTAAGGTTATCCACCATATTTTGGCTGGGATGATTCTTTAATGCATTTTTTCTGGTGATACTTCAAAAGGATACCTACCGCGTTGAGTTTCGCGGGTATATCAACTTCACTTACTAATTTCGAGTGCGAGCATTCATCCAGTTTGGAAGGTGTGCAGAACTGTAGTATATGGGCTCAATTTTCAGAGCCCAACGCACTTTCCTTGCCTCTCATTGATCACCCAGTCCCGCGTCACATCTCTATGTGACCATGTTCTAAGTCCGAGTCTCAAGTTCCCCATGCAAATGAACAGTATTTTTGTCGAGTGGCGACAAGTGAAATCATGGAATTGCTTCTCAATCAAAGCCTCAGATCATGCCACGTTCGTATGTTTACCATCTATTGCGTCGTTTCAGTATTCCTCACGTCTTTGAATAACACTTATTATATATGTTATTTTGAAGGTCAAGAGGTTGATATTTAGAAGATTGTGAATCTTTCGAATGAATTGAATTTCCGAATCTTTAGAGCCCAATATCGGCTTTTCGACGATATTTGCAGATCTCATGATGAAGGAATGACAAAGATTAGAGTTAAAGTATAAGATATACCAGATATAGATGCAGGAAGTTGAGGATGCCGTCGAAAAGTACGAGTCCGAAGATGGCAAGAACCTTCTTGCTGTCCAGAAATGGAAGAGAAGACTGGGAGAAGACTGGGAAAAGAAGGAACGGAACGGTTTGGACCATTCTTAGTCTAATCGTCGCTCTTCACGACGAAGTACCAGATGAGGAAACCTCAGAATGGGTTTGGACATGATTTCTTGATAGGGATAAAGATACCTGTTTTAGATATTGTAATTGCCGGATTTTGAGTTCGATAGCAAATTGGAAAGGTGATTAATAGTTGACATCAGAAGGTGCAAGTCTTTGATGGATGAACAGAGATTTAGAAGCGATTGCACGACAGTGAGACCGACATGGAGGAGGTGATTGGGATATTTGTAAGTGTTGAGACTCGGGTAATCTCATCATCTGAGAGTGAGAGACAGTGCGTAGTAACTGTCACGCTAGCCCATCAGTCATCAAAGTAAGTTCTTCATTTCCCGTTTCCCATTTTACCTTGGGCGATTCGCAATTCTCATCAGCCTCGTCGCGCTAGGGGGTTAAATATTGACCATCATTCTTTTACCTTTGGTGGCCCTTCTTCCATCCTTTTCTCTCTCATAAAAACTCGACCTTTTCTCATCCTCGCCTTCTATAGGAACTCGACTTTACATTCTTAGAAATGGACAAGGAAGCCTTGATGCCTCCACCATACGTTCATTATCCTTATACCAACTTCATGGTAAGCACAGTCAATTCTCTGATTTCACACTCCCCAATGTACATAATTTGTCTTCTGTGGCCGCTCAATTACTGACCCAAGGTGTTACAGTCCACCAACGCCCCTGGCAAACCACAAAGTCAAAATGTGACGATGTCTGATCCCAACTCGAACAATCAGGCTGTGCCATCAATGGAACCTGTACCTGAGCTATTATCAGTCAGATCACCGCCGCTTGTAATGAGTTGGCGTTGGACCGCGCCAGAGGATAAAAAGCTGATTCGGCTAGTGAAAGAACGCCAAAAAAGAGTTGAGGATGGTGAAATTTCCATGACCACTCTATTCGATGAGGCATCTATTGAGCTTAACAGACTAGAACTTGGTCTACAGAGAACCAGTGTTGAGTGTAACAGACACTGGCATCAACTTTGCGATTCCCAGCCTGAGTTAAATTTATCATTTTATTCATGGATAAGTGACGAGCGTCCGATTGTTGATCATGGTGATGCTAAAGATGAAAATGTAGATGAGGATGATTTTGACAGAGACTTTGACGACACTACGATTCACGGGGATCGAATTTCGAAGATGTGGACAGAAGAAGAATCAAAAATTGTTTACCAGGAGATCAAAGCCCGCCAGGAAGTGAACATCCAAGCAGGACTGCAAAGACTCTCTGGGCCAAAGCTCTTTGCTTACGCATCTGCCGAGCTCAAACAAAGAGGTTACTTCAGGACGATCGAGGCTTGCAAAATGCATTGGTATAATATATGTCGAGAATTTTGGAACTACGACCACAGATTGAACAACGGCTCAAAAGTGAATTTCAAACTTGGGTTTACACCACCATAGCTGATATTGCTCTAGAATATCGATGCGAGCGATGCAAAGGCCAATGATAGAGCACTAGATTACATCAAATCGACTACAACATCGTCACAAAGGGCTTTAGCTGCATTGCAGGAACTCGCCGAACAATCACTCAATCCATCCATGGAGCAAAGGGAAAAGTTGGCAAATCATTACGATTTAAGTGTTTTCTGGGTGTCGGTGTGTCCAACTTCTGTTTAAATATTCAAACCCTTCAGGGCTTAGCTAATCATTGCTATCTAGAAATTCTTTTCCAGGAAGCGAATTAATGAGAAACGAAAGGTGATTAGGCAGGTGGCAGCGCAAGCATTTTTGGCACAAAAGCGATCCCGAGAATCAAGTCTGATGTTGGTCGATAATGACAATTCAAATGATACACAAGCTGATGATATATTGAGAGACGCAAACACACCCAAAAGGCTACGGCTCGACTACATCTTGAACAAAGAATCATTAAATGGCGGCAGAAGTTCTCAACCACCATCCGATGTTGACGGGGCAAGTCTTGCTTCAAAATCATGTGAAAAGTGCTAACACAGAGCCAGGAACAAATTCGACAAATCTGTCCTCTTACACCTCCTCGAAAGCCTGCCAGATCTGTGAGTCCAAAAAGAGAGTTTGGTAAATCGAATGCTCCCATCGATATCGCTTCGTCGCCTCTGGGAGTCTCGAACACTGTTGAAGCCCCGTCTTCAATCCTACGCAATGATCTTTAATCATCCGAGGTCAAAGGAACGACGCTCGCCCAGTGCCGCAAAATCGAGGAAAAGATCGCAGCATCAGTCGAGAGAAAGAAGAAGCTAGAGAAGAACACGCTTATACACCAAACAAGGGCTGATATGCACCAAACCAAGGCTGACATGGAATTCGAAGCCGCTGAGGCTAGCCAGAAGGAAGTTGACGAGGAAGAGAAAGTTGTGGCTCTGCTGAAAGCTGAGATCAGTCACTTGAACCATTTCATAGGCTGAGGGGAGGTCTTGAGGAGATGATTTACAAGCCTTGAGCTTGAGCTTCATTGCTAACAAAAAGATTGTTGTAATGGATAGAAAGGTATTGGTTTTTGACGATTGGTGGTTAATGATGGACCGGTAGTGTTTTGATATATGTATTCGACCGTCCCTAGCGTTTCTTCTGCAATAGGTTTTCTTCTCGACTACGAGATGAGTGCTCTCCATATCTACTAAAGAAGTGACGGATAGGGTCTCTGTTGGGTAGCTGAGGAGCTGAGGTTAGTAAATGTTCTCGCTCGCTTGGCTCGCTGTACTTACTTAGCATTTGCCTTGTTTGTCCTTTGGACTGTCCTTTAAACTATGCGATGTGTGGCCAACCTGTTTTTCTCCAAAGGACAAAGGAGAACTGGTTATTAACCACACGAGAATAAATGCCATTAGCAATAATTTGTAGCATTTTGATGAAGCTCAGGAAGCAAATCCCACTCACTCCACCCACTGTGCACCACGTTTCATTCAGATCAAATGGATCCAATGTCAGGAAATGTTCACTTAAATTGTTTTGATATGAAAAATGCGCTGGTGCTAGTTGGTTCCTCTGATTCCATTGGAAAGATTCAAGCCTACTACCCGACGATAACCGATGTCGAATTTTGGTCTCTTTACTTCGTGATTAAAACCTCTTCTCCTTTCCTATTGACAATTTTTCGGAACCCTTGGCGACCAGCACTGTGTTAAGACTGGCTGTGTATTCTGCACTTGCTGTGTTAACTGTACTTATTTTCAAAATTTCATGCAATCCAAAGTACACGTTCATGTCATCTCTTACTCATATTTACCTTGGATCAAGAATCAAGCATCGGAAAGGAGTCTTTTGTCGGAATTACAACACTAACTTGTCAACACCTGCTTCCCACAGTCTCAAATAATCGGATAATTTACTGTCATAAATACCTGGAAGCTACTTTGCGCTGGGGCGTTTATTTGCCACAGATTCTCGGTCGACTACTCAGAATCATCCTCCGAGCCTCAATTCAGAAACAATGGCATTTAGGGAGATTTGTGCAAAAAAGGATCTGAATCCAATCAAGGATTTTGATAAAGAAGAGGAAAATCCTCCAGCGCTTCGGGCAATGAGCCTTGAGGATACTGGGACGAAACAAGTTAACCCGAATACCAAAAGACTCAAGATAAAATGGGCAGAAGAGGAGAAGAGTATCGTTCAGGATATAATTAACAATCATCAGACCAATCCAGAGACGCATGGAATGACCTTCGTGGATCTAGATAGGTATGCTGTTAAGAAGTTGGCAGAGAAAGGATATACTAGAACAGAGAATGCCGTGGATGGTTTTCGCAGAGACAGAAATGCTTATTACTACAGAAAAGTCAATGCTGAACAGGCTTTACGGGCTACTTTGCTTGCCATGCCCTCCAGAGAAGGACTAACCCGACATTCAGAAGCAACTGGTAATGCTGATTTTCCAATTTTCCCCAGAAAAGGATTGTTCCAAGGCTCAGGCCTCATTGCAGGTCAAGGGAGTCATGGATTAAAGGTAGGAGGTGCTTGTGGTATTAGTGTTGGTGAGTCTACTAACGGCGCCTAATCTCAAAAGAATCATTTTAACACTTTTAGGTTCCGATGAGGCGCCCATTCGATCCAGAGCACCGGCTAATAGCAAGTACCATTTCGGTCCCGGGGCCAAGAGAAGCTATCAAGAAATTATTGACAAGCTAAAAGCAAAGGAATCTGACGCTACCATCGCTCGCAATCTCCAAGAACCAGAGAACTCGGTAGAAATTAGCAGAGTAAGCAATGTTACTTCTAATCATTTGATGTTCTACCAATGGGAATACTTGCTAATACAGTTAAATAGCATGAATCTCTGGCAGTTGCTGGTGCCAAATCAAACGAAACTGTCGATCAATTCAGCGAGATCAAGAGAGAATATTCCCCGGAAATGCAGTCACCAAAGAGAATTCGCGTCACCAAGATTCCAGGTCGGACTGAAACCCCATTCAAAGTTCGAGACTCTTCGCTCACCCAGAGAGAGATTGAGGATGCTCGGGTGCAAGAAACAAGGAGAGAAATTGCCCAGCTGGAACGAGACCAGGAGAGATTTAATCGTCAGTGGCTATACCATGCAGGGGTTGCGGCGGATTACAAACAGAGCGCCGAAGAGAAATGGGCAGCTATTGTTGAGCTTAGGAAGAGCCTTCAAGAATAGATTAACGTTCGTTATAGTGATACAATAAATGTATTATTAATTGACTATCGGTATTTTTTGATGATGTGAAAATGAAGTGAAAATAAAGTGAAAATAAGTGAATAAAAGTTGTCTTGAAGAAGGAATTTCTCTAAAGGCTTTCCCTAAATCAATCTCACCGGGAGGGCCAAAAATATATCAGACTAACAATCCGTGAAAAGAACTGAATTTTGAAGTTGTTGTTCTCCTGTGTTAAGCGAGCGCTGATCCCATGTCTCGCTTGGAGTAGCACATTCCAATACTCTTGTCCGATATTTTCCCTTTTCATCTTCTGTGATATCTGATATCTTGATATTTCTTTATTTTTCCCATGTCAATTTGCTTTCAACAGTCTGGCCGGTAGGAAAGTTCGGAAAGCAGAGAAGGTTAGATTATCCACTATCTCGGAAACCAAAACTGTTGAGAGGAAAGAACAGCAATTCAATAATCCTGAAATATTTAGATGACCAAAGCTCTTCGGACTCGGATGCGCTCAGATCTCCAATGTCAATGGCTTCAATGCTTCCTACAATCTAGAGGATGAAAAAGCCATCTCATTTCAAGGATTGTGATATATACCGATTAGTCCTTAAGCCTAATATCTAATAAGTCATGCTAGACAATTAAAAGTACGTCCAAGAGGGGGGAGAATTCGCTGGAGATTACTTCTTTCATAGAGTATTTCATTATCTAATCTTTCTGGATTATTCTTGATAAAGCAAAGAAGAAAAAGCTTTGACTTGGAGATCAGGGAACTCTTGTCCAGTATAAGGATATTGTATATTGTATCTCCAACTTTCTAGATCATGTAGTACTAGTAGATCTAAGAGTCCGTGTGGCTCGCAGGTAGCACAAAAATGATCATCTTCTTTTTTCGTAACCCTAAATCAAATATTTGTTGACAGATTGATTCTAAGAGGCTTTGTAGGGACGAAAGCAAATAGTAGACCACCCTATCTAGTCTCTTCATGGTATGGTATTGATGTCAGTGTTTGGACTTGGTATTATTGATATGGCCTACTAGTAATACGGGCCAATCATATCATATATTTTATGAATAATCATCAATATGAAAGTGTACGCAGTTTCCTTGTATTCCATTTTTTCTAAAAGTAAAGCACCAGTGTATATTCAGAAGATGTATCACTCAGTTATACTTTATACACCGTGACGATACCAAATGTGCGGAGGATGCGAGTTCATTTTGATCTCATTAATTGCTTTCGCATGATGTGACGGTGCGTACTGCATCCGGTCTAAACGGACTCTACATGTAAGACACTAGCCTCTATACAAAGGACTAGTTTAGATTGAGACTGGATATATAGGGCTGGGGGGTTTCAATGTTCTGGATTAGACTGATTATGGAAGGTTGATGAAGTTTAGAGTCGGTCGCAAGATACAACATTTTCTTTCACGTTTCGTCTCTACTCATGTCACTAGTACCCGTATAGCACAGCAGAAGACTTTGATTTGTTTCATATGTCGGAGTTATTGCAGAATGGGGAATATGTAAGCAACTCCTCTGCCGCCTATCTCTATCATTACGATGGTGTAACGTATATATATTTCAATTTTACTATTGAGATGTGTGATTGGTAAGGGTATTATTATTACTATCACAACTATTGCTTGAAGAGAGCTTCACAGAGAGTACCAAGAATCAAGGTTCAAGGTTCAAGGATCGCGTGTGCATGTGACTTGTTAAATCAAGACCTATCATTACGCGCCTCACGAATACGCTTGACGCGGTACATGCAGCGGGACAGGGCAGCCTATCGATTGTTTCATAGGTCTCCTTCGTTGTTTTCTTCTCGAACAATTTTGACAATACTACATGACAACAGGATTTCAACACCCAATTAACATGAAGTTTTTCATTTGAGCTTTCATCATTCAATCTATCACAATCTTCTTCTGTCCCCTGCCAATTTTACGACTCAATTCTTAGTCTAACCAAGCTTGATTGACGGTTCTTGTTTAGTACATCTGCCAGTACCAGAGAACTCTATAATGGAACCCAAGCTTAAACGGGTAGGAGGTCCTGTATGGAAGTCTGGAGAGCTTGCCAAGATGAAAGAAATTATTCGTGGTCTTGAGGGGAAAACGGATAGATACCGGGGTAACTTTTGGCAAAAGGTCTCCTCTGAAATGAAGGTACATGGCTTTGATCGTCAACCAGCTGCAATCTGCGCCAAATGGCGTCGCGCCACCAACAATTTTCAATCAAAGTCTCCAACAGGAAATGCATCTAGTATCTGGGACGTCAGTGATAGCGACGGCGCCGAGGACGAGGAGGATGAGGAGTATTTCAAAAGTAATTTTGTGCATGGAAGGGAACTCAAAGACGAAGCTCTCAAACCGTGGACTGCAGGAAACAACTGGTTGGAAGAAGAGGACACCATTGCATTCGATTGCATTAAAAGCCAGCGAGATAGAGAGAGGGAGCTTAAGGTTGAACCGGTTTCGGCGGAACAAATTTGGCACATGGTGTCAGATAGTCTTGCTTCCCATGGATTCTATCGTAAAGCTCCAAACGTTTACAGATACTGGAATACCAAGGGTAGAGAAAAGCATAATTTCGATGCAAGATCTCCAAGTGCTATCGAGAAAGCCATGGTGGATGCAACTCGGGTTCCTGGAATTCAGCCTAAACAAGCCCCTTCAAAACCTGCCACGCTCCAAGACAGGCCCTCTCGTTCAATTTCTAAAGTCTCAACTAAAAATCCCTCTCAGGTATGTAGCTGTCTTTCTCTCTCTTCATCTACAATGATTCAAGGATAATTGACGATCGGTTTACAGCTAGATAATCCCAATGCTGAGATCACTTTGGGCAATGCACAACTGTCAGATATTTCACCTCAGCAGCATGCCATTTTGAAGGTTCAGTATGCAAAATACAATCAGTTAGATAATCCCGTGGTCAATGAATTAGCACTAGAGACCGGATTGAACAGAGAACAAATCAAGGTATATATCCATTAGACAAGTCATTATACTATTGCTAACCAAGAGAACTCAGATCTGGTATAGAACTCAGAGATCCATTGACCTGAAATTAGAGCTTCAGAAAGAAGCAGAAGTCCAGACTGGAAAAGAACCTTCCCGCCTCTTTCTTGATAAGTCAGAGCTTGAAAGCATAGGATCGAGGCGTCATCGTGTATCAGACATTGGCTTTCAGAGTCAGGTAGATGAGAATCCAGCCAAAAGACTATGCCACAGCCTGGGCTCTGAGGGTGTGATGGACAATCGCAAGAAAGCTTCGGTCGATATGAACGCTCAGGTAGGTGTTGCTATCTCATTCCAATTCCAATTACAACTACAGTGCATTAACGAGAACCACACTAACATAGAATTTACAGAATGAAGCTTTTGATTATCAATCAACGATTTCAGGACTGATGGGTGCGCCTTCTAACAATGGCCGTGCAGCATCGACTATCGAAGTACAACAGCCTTCTTTCAAGCCTGCAACACAAAGCGATATCCCAGACCCTGCATCTCAAATGAACGTTGTTTTGACAGCAGAACGCCAAAGGGTACGACAAAAAATGCTTGCAGCTGAGGCGGAACACAGGAAGCTAAAATTGGCTATTGTCGCTCACAAAGAAAGAGCAGAGGCGGAGCTTGAAGCTGCAAGAGCAAAGGTACAAGAGCTTACGGTGCAAGAGGAAATCCTGGAAAAGGCTAGTGAGCGTATTGTGCACATTGAAGTCCTTATCGATGATCAATACCAGGTGCCATTGAGACGTTGATTTGGGTTTTCTGAGTTTGACAAGGGCTACATGCCTACGCTTCTCAACTTTCATCGGTAATTTTTTCATGCAGTCGACCATACTCCGCGTTTGCTTTTTTTGCTGATTCTCTGGTCTACCTACATCGTTGTTAATATCGACCTTGTCAGATACAGATCGACGTATTTTGAGTTCCTTCTACTATTTCTGATAGATCTCGGGTACACTTCTGAGCTATATTGTACATAGGAAATTGTCTTCATGACGGTTAGGTATCGATGTAGAATAGAGTCAATAGAGAAATGTATACACCTATTTCATTCTCATGTGCGCTTCTCGGTTGACAGGTAAATTAATCAATGCGTGTTTCTGAAAGGTTGCCAAATTTATATATAGACTCATTGAACCGATGCTGTTGATCAACTAGATGAGGCCATATAGAGTCGTGTTGGCAGTATTGGAGCAAGAATGCTTTGAAGTCACGCAAGCATGGCTTTCAGATCTTCTGAAAGCAATTAAGCAAATCTCAATTTCCACATCACCACAAGAAATTACCAATCATCACTCAGATAAACCTAACATTCGCGCCAATTGCCCGACTACTTTGATGAGACTCTGTAAGCTAACCCAGGACTCATCTCAGTCGAGGATATATGGAAGAAAAGTCACGGACACTTGCAGTTGAGGTACGTCTTCGTTCGATGCAATCAATAGAGAAGGCTGCCATCCTCACTCCATGCACTTTCTTCGGCTCACCAACTATCAAAATTGATGCAGTCTGCTCTACCTTCTCTCTCTGAATACGTTGTGGATCAACAAACTACCCTCTTTCTCGAGAATCAAGTAACTCCCCTTTTCAATCATGGCCTCCAGAGATACAACTTACAAGCAAATGATTGAAATGTCTGTAAGAATGGAATGGCCAAACTGTAATCTGTACAGCTACGTCGATGGTTCGGATCATTTGGTGCCTTGATGATTGAGTGGTGCGCGATACCGATGGATGAAGTAAATCGTATATCGTATACCAAATACACACTACTTTTCAAATTCTAGGCATCATCTGAATAGCCGTAGCCATGATGCTTGATGAAGAAGAGTGAATAATCTTAAGGTCGCACGCCAGATAGCCGCAGTAAGCTGTAGTAGTGAATCAACGAACTTCATCGTCATCTTATCTTGTACGGTAGGTAAGTAGAATTCAACAAATCACAGAGAATTCACTAGTTTCTTCTATTTTTTACTCTAAACAAAGTTCTTTATTGGACAGCAATTCGTCCTAATTTCGGCATCACTACGGTCTCTACGACTTTCCCCGTTGCTAGACGGATTCTGAAGATATACTCAAGAGCTCCCGCGTCGATTCTAAAATGCTTTTTTTCTTCCCACCTACAACCTCCCACAACAACCTACAATTCAAGTACAATCAAGTTTGATTTCATATCTACTTGATACATCTACTCATTCATAGTGATCAATTCCTTTCCAACAATTGTCTTGCACTGGCTTCCGCTGTCCTAAGTCTTCGCAAGGAAATTTTCCGCTTTCGAGGTCGTGAATTTCCTGGTGCAAACAAAAACAATTCAACATTTTGCCTCGCAACATTTCAAGATAAGGACGTCAAAAGAGATTACAAGAAAATATTAAGGTATGTAGATCCTTTCATTGTATACATATTTTATGGACATTTATTTATCTTTACTAATTCAGATCAGAAATTTCCTTGCCGTCGGTCTTGTATCAGCAATTGACTTCCACCATTTGCACCTCGTGCAAATATACACGGCACTGTGAGTACTCGCACCGATCAACAACAGATTCATTGTTTACTAACATGCTATATTCCGCCACAGCGTTTGCCATTAATTTTTCAGTGCAATACCTTCACATAACATAAAAGTGTTGTCCGGACATTACTGATTGCAATTGAAGCGGTTGGCACACATAAAGCCTTCAGTAAGTCGTTGCCCAGTAACTGTTGCGAATACGAGGACATCACTACCAAACACAGCATCCGAAAACATATGCTTTTCCCTAAACAATATATCGACCGAAAACTTGAATTTTGTGTCTTTTCTACTTCACGGTCAGGGCCTGTTCGTCGAAGAATATGGAACGTCAGACTCGTGAAACGTGTAGACACTGGCGGCGAGGATGCTGCAGATTTGGAGGTAAGATATTCTCGAATCTATCCAGACTTTCATGAAATATTTTTACTAACATTTTCAAGCTAATTGTCAAGATGACCACTTCGAGCATAGATTCCCGAACAGAGGAAGATCGGTGCTCGACCGAGACTCTCCTCGAACTCTCGCGAATATACCACGCCCTGATACTCCCATCCCAGCTGCTCACGGTTCGCACACTCCACACCCTGAAGCTCCTGAAGGGAAAGGGGGCAGAGATCCTGCAGATGCTGCAAATACGTTGCCGAGACTATTAGCCTCGACTCCTACAGAGGAAGCCCCCAGTTCGACACCAAAAAAGGAGTCTTTCATCTATGTCGACTCTCTCACAGGTTCATTACGCTTTCTAAAGATAGAGTGCGATATCATTCGTCAAGTGATCGAGGAAAATTACCTGAATTATGACTTGAATGAATATGAAATTCTCCAAATGGCTTCCGATGCCGTGCTAAAGCAAGCTGGTACCGCTCGCTTGGTAGCGGATTGTTGGACATACTGGTTGAAAAAGGGTAGGCAGGAAAGTCATGTTGCCCGTGACTGGCCTGCGGAACCAGAAGATGTCGACGAGAACGTGATGATGTCCCGGCGGATAAATATCACAACAACTAGTACATATGCTGTAACACCAGATGAAGCTGCACTTCGAAAAACTCCAACCGCAATTATGGTATCAGCTACAAAGCCTATCGCAACAGCCTCTGCGCTTTGGCCGAAAGAACAAAAGGAATTTCTTTGCAAGGTAATCAAGGAGAAGAAGAATGATCAATACCATATGTCCAGACAAGTATTCTGGCAGGAAGTTGGAGAAGACATGCACGAAGCTGGATATCCTGAAGGATATCAATTGTTCCGCGATTATTGGGACAAGCAAGGTCGGCAGGAATTTAACTATGATGAAAAACCATATTTTGACAAACGTCCCACAACCGAAACCGTCAAGCGAAATAATACTACTAGTCGAACGAACCCGCCCGGAATTAGGTATAACGCTGATCAAAAGCTGCCCCGTGATGAAGATTACACCCCCAAAAAAGGCACGGGCCGACGTTCGTCCTATTCAACTGCCACATTTCAAGGTAGCGGGAAAAGTACGAAAGCTAGACGAAGATCATTGACCCCGGAGGACTCTCCAATTCAACCAATTAAAAATAGAAAGAGGGCTTCTAATGCTGACGAACATCCGCCGCCAAGACCTACCAAGAAACGTGTCCCATCTTCTTCTCCAAAACACAAGTCACCCAAGGTATGAATATGTCCTTGTGAGACGCCTCGTTTATTAACGTTTCTTTAGGCTTGCGTTCCACAAAGAATTGAAAGTGTAATACATAACATGGTATGAATATCCTTTTAGCCGTTTTGACTCAAGTTACTAACTTCTCTTAGCGCAGCAACTACCATGTTAAAGATAATACAGCGAAGGTCGCATCTCAGTTCCCTTTGGAATTACAAGTGCCTACTCCTGGAGAGAAATTTTGTCCTAGCTTTGTTCCCAAGGAAATAACCCTCCCCGAGCCTTCCCGCAAGACTGTCCAGCCTGTCGCTCCTTCTACAAGTCACGACACTCTAAGCAAAATCTTTACTACCGAAGCTTCGGCCACACAGCAATCTGAACGCTCCCCGCGAAAGCCGTCCCAGCCTCCTGCCAGAAAAGTAAGCAAGAAGGCCTCGGCAAAAGACACTGAATCGCAGCAGCCAGATACTCGAAAAAGCGTACAACCATCCAATAATGATTCGGCCAAGGCCACTCAGCCATTCGACTTCAGAGCACTTCCACAAATGGACTTCGCCGCATCCCCTGAGCCTATGTCGCCAGTCTCTCCGCCTACACCTAAGAAAGTGTCAATATCGAAAAACGCATCAAAGCAAGTCACTCAGTCGACTGAGCAAAAAAAGACAGGTTTCAGCTCTTTAGCTGTCAGCCAAACAGCCCGTAATGCTGATGCTCTAGTAAAATCCGTAACTTTCTTTGAGCCTGAAACCCCCCAGAGCTTTTCAGCGAAGCAATTGAGCCCAGTTCGCAAGCAAGCAGGTTCAGTTCGAGGCAAAGAGGTGCAGACGGAAGTGAAGCCTGGTCCTATAATCCCAGACTCTGCTATTGCCCCAGTCTCTAATACTGTCCCAGGCTCTGCCGTTGCTCAGACTCCTCCTGAAGTAGGGATCGCAATTCCTTCGATTGTGACATGCAAAACAGATAAATATGGCCATCAACATCACCTTTTTCAAGGCCAAAAAATTACACACAAGAGTAATGAAGACACCATATTTGTAGAAGATAACAGACCTCCTACCAAAGTAATCACTAGAGCAGAGGAGTCAGCTCTCGTCCCATCGGCTACTGCTTCAACCAGATCTCGCTTATCAGCAACACCTTCGCTTACTGATGATCAATCCTCAACATCAGATGAGCAGATGGTAGATGTTTCACAGCCATCCCAAGCAACTCCAATGGATTGGGTTGGGGATAGGGATGAGGCAGAGGCAGAGGCAGCTGCTCACCTCATCACCAAGAAGATGTTGCGAGAGACTCTGGAATACACCGAATCACAAATCTCGAACATCCAAAAAGATGTACTCAAAATCCAAGGAGAGAAGACCGAAACCGAAAAGAAATTGTCAGAGATTGAGTTGAAAATCAACACGTTGGTTTTGGCACGAGATGCAATGAAGGGCAGCCATGCCGGAAATATGGTAGAGCTTCAAAGACTCGAGGAGAAACTCGAGGAAACTGTCAATTACAAGCGAGGCTTGATTATTTGTATTGAGTCAAAAGAGGACGCATAATAAAATGGAGAGAAGGAGAGAAGGAGAAATGTTGATATATACGTCCAGAGCAAAGGAAGGAGCATATGAAGTGTAGGATTAGGACAGTGGAGTGGAGTGGAGTACGTACATAGCATACAGTATAGCGGCGATTTAATGAGATGTATTTTTAATGTAATTGCAAAGCTCAACAAAAAGATTGATTACCTTTAAACCTAAATCAATTTAGGACACCAAATATGCCTTCGAGAAAGCGCCATGATGCAAAACGCTTGTTGGGAGCATCGGCCATAACGCCATAAGTCTAGAGAATGAAACTCCGGTCAATTCATCTGCGATAACTTCATGGGTATCATAAAGCTCTCGGATCTTTCCTCCGCTGCCCGCCACTGCCCACCATTGCTTCAACATCCATTAATACCGTGGAACCTGTGCTGCCATTCAAACACTACCAACGTCCAAATATCTGCTTTCCTCTTCCCATATAGCCACCATTATGAGATCTCAATTACCGACAGCCCTCTTAACCTTCTCCAACAAAACCTGACTCTCCCTTCCTAACTTTCTCTGACCATTCTTTCCTCCACTCCTAGCTTTCGCCATCTGTCTTCGGAACTTCTCCCTCTCCTCAATCTTAGCCGCCTTCTCCCTTTCCCTCCTCTCAGACTCTTCTCTTCTCGCCTCCTGCTCTGCCTTTTGGTTCTCTGCAAACGCCAATTCCTTTGCGAAATATGCTGGTTTTGCCCCTCTTCTATCACCTCTTTCCTTTTTCTTCTCCCTCGAATCTTCAGACTTATTGGAGGAATAACGGGGAACAGCTGCGGGAGCAATCTCGGTTTCTGGCTCATCAAGCATAGCCTTCCTCTGCGGATGTAGCTCCACTGCTTCTTCTCCTTCGCCCGCCTCCTCTATTTCTCCCTTTTTCTCTACCTTATCCTCCTTCTTCTCCTCATCCTCAACATATAGATTCCTCTCTTCCTGCAACGGTTCCCTCGCCCTCAATTTCGCATACGACTTCTTGACTTTCGCCTTTTGAATCAAATCCTTCTTGATCGCAATCACCTTCCGACGCCAAGTTCCATCAGGCAAATTGTCGGGGCCAACCTTGAAGCCGTGGCGGGGTTTTTTGATGGTTGAACTGGTGGTATCATCTTCGTGGGGGCGCTTGCTGGGAGCCATGGTGGAATTTGTTGAGTGAAAGTAGTCGTGATAGCGGTACTGGAATAGAATACGAGGGATCAATGATGTGGTGTTTTGGTGGAATGAATTGAATTAGAAGGGTCTTGTGCTTGAGAAAACTTTAGTGGGTACATATGCAGGAATTTGGGAATTTGCGCATGATAACCGGCACGCTAAGGCTGATAACACAGAATAAGTGTACCCGCGGTAATCGTAAGTTTATTCCCATTTCAACATATGGAGGTACAGATGAGAACTCTTGAATTCATTTCTTCTCTCTTTTTCTTTTCCTAACACCGACAATCATTTTTCTGTTATATAATATGTATATATATATATATACGTTTAAATGAAATTATTGTATTTTATTACTTGAGTGAAGGAAAATAGTTTAAAACATTCTTTTGGTTGTTACATAAAGTTCTCGTCTTATCACATATCAGATCATTCCATTCATTCATTCATTTTCTTTCATTCTCTTAACCTTTCATTTGTGCAAAGTCTTGCATACGATACGATACATCACATCGGCAGGGACAAAGGAATAGGGACCACTCACTCACTCGTCCCCCGCTTCATTACCACATCACCCCTCCAGATCTCTCTCCACCGCATATAAAGCGTCCGTTCCACACCGATTTGTTTCGAAAATACCTTTAAAATGTTCTCATAACCAAACGAAAAGGAGCAAAATCAAAAGGCTCCATTCATCATCCGTTCATCATGCCCAGTTTCCAAGATGACCTCGGCCATGGGCAAGAAATTTTGCCTTTCCAAAAATCAAAAATACCGCCTGCCTCTGTGATGCCACCGGAAAGAAGAACGATCACAAGAAAAGATAGTGAAGAGAGTATTAGAACGGAATTATGTGAAGGACCTGTGCCAGATACTCCGGAGGGTACACAGCATATACCGACATTGGGGTTGGATACAAGCTTTAATATCTCATACAATGGAACATCAGATAGAGGAGAGCTTATTGAAAGGTTGAAAAGAGGTGAAAGTACAAATTGGTTATCGAATTTGAATGTGTGTGAATCATTGAACCCCCCTTAATATTTGTGATATGTGTGTTGACAGTGAATGTAGTTAGAATCCACACTTCGCGGTCATGGCTCAGAAAGTCCTCTTCATAAAGCTTCTTCGAATCATTCAAATTCATCTCCTCTATTGCCATCTGCCGAAATATCCAATATTGGAAGGCCTTCATCAGTAGATAAACAGAGATCTCAAGCCGGCTTAGATATTGAACGACCAAGATCTGCATTACACAGTGGGAACTTTACAGAAGGGCCGCAACAAAATACATCTGGTGGCTTAGGACAGGACGTGAAGAGTTTTGGCACTGGAGATTTACCCTGGCTCGCTACGTCTCCTCCACGAAACTATACTCCTTTTCAACTCGATCCTCGGTTTCCGTCAGTGGATAGACTCGAACCAGATTTGGGAGCAAGAACCCGTGCCCCATCGTTATCTTCTTCATACTCCTCGAGCTTTGTACTCAAGGCACCAACAAGTCCTTTGGTACAATCAGAAAGTAATGATGAGCTAGACTTTGATTCACATTTAAATCCAATGGATATTGCTCCATGGACACCCAGATCTAGCCCAAGGCGTCATACTTTACAAGCTTCACATTTAATGAATTCAACTCCATTTATACCCACGTCCGCTACTTTGAGCAGACCTTTACCGAGTATCAGGAGAGACAATTTATCTCCTTACCAAGCCCATCAACCTCGGAGATCACTCGCCTCTAACACAATGCCACATTCGACATCTTCTCCCCAAACCCCGATTTCCTCGCGTTCAAGGAGACCATCATTCTCTGATGTATCACCTTTGCATGCTTCAATGGTGGGATCGTATGAAGAGAGTATTCTCCGGGGACGAATGTCTACCACACCCTCCAAACCACTCGACTTTATTGCCCAAATTGGAGTGTTAGGTTTCGGGAAGTGCAAATCGAGTCTAAAATGTCCACCCCATGTGACCTTGCCTTTTCCGGCGGTATTCTATGACTATGAGTCCACAAACCATGGTCGAAGAGGGAAATCTGAAGACGGACCAAGTCCATATGTTGGATGTATTGATCTTGAAGCTGGTTTGCCAAGTCCCGAAAGGGTAAAGGAAAGTCAAAAAAAGAGGAGAAATGCTACGCTTGACCAAATACACATGAATGATCTCGAAACCGACCCCTCAAATTCAGGACAAGTCTCAGAACGAGAAATTCGTCGAGCAGAGAAACAAAAAAGACGATCCACTTCCCCACGAGCACCTCCAGGGGGTAGCTATCGCATTCCTGAGAGAGGTCAACTACAGATCATAATCAAGAATCCTAACAAAACAGCCGTCAAATTGTTCCTCGTCCCATATGATCTCACAGGTATGGAACCAGGTACAAAGACTTTCATCCGTCAGCGAAGCTACTCCACTGGGCCTATAATTGACTCAGCGCTTTCCTCTTCATCTCATTTATCTACACTGATTGTTGATCCTTCCGTCGACAGGCCTACTCTCCGCTATCTTGCCCATATCCATATTTGCTCTCCAGCTCGAGGCCGCTACTACCTTTACAAAGGTATTCGTGTTGTCTTTGCCAATCGCGTACCAGATGGTAAAGAGAAACTTCGAAATGAAATTACACTCCCAGAGCCGAGATTCTCTAGTTATAAAGCAGTGCGCGATTCGGGTTTCGGAATTGCGGGTGCGGCTCTCGCGGCAGAAAAGGCAATTAGGAGGAGAAGTTCGGGGTTTCCATTGAGTGAACATAAGAATTTTGATCTTAGGGGTGATTATGGTAAATTGGGTGGTGGAGTGTTAGATCCTATTCCTTTTCAATTTCCTGCGGAAAGGGATGCAATGGATTTAGAGAGGAATCTTAAGTCGCTGGATTCTGTGGCGGGGCAACCGACAACCTCTCCGGAGAATTTGAGACCGGGTACGGCGTTTGGGGAGGTGGAGATGGGTGGCATGAGAAAGGGAATGGGAAGGGAGTTAATTTATAGATGGAGTAAAGAGAATGTGGGCAATGCGTTTATACCACCGAGAGTAACCAGTCCTGGTAAAGAGGGAAGACAATCTCCAGCGGAAGGGTTGTTAGCGACAAAGTTGAGGGAGTTGGGTGTAGGATTAGCGAAAGGGATGGGTGGGGAAGGAGAAGATGGCGGACTTGGAAGCGAGAGTGTGAGCGAGGGGATGATTTAATTCAATCAATCTGGAATGGGAGGCGTAGTGGTATTTGTGAATATTATGATCACACTGGCACGGAGTAGAAACTTACAATACTAGGTATTGATGGAAATGGGCTTTTGGATATCAGCATGGCATTGCACAGGAATAGTTTGGTATCGCTTCTTTATTGGGAATGGGAATGGGAATGGAATAGGCTGGGTTGGGATGGGAGTTGGGTTGAAATTTAAAGGCGTAGCTGAATATACTAGGTAGATACATTAGGAGTTATGGAGCTATGGATGCATATATCTCTTTCCTATAATATCTCGAATGCGTGGGTTAGAGTGTGAGTGGGCTAGATATATAGCTCTAGCTCTAGCTCTTTAGTTCTAGCGTTATATGGAATATGGAACTTGGAAGATGGAAGAAATCAATACGAATACATGTCATGTCATATCATGTCATATCATATCATATCATATCAAAGATAATTTGAATGTGTAAATGAATGAGTAAATAATGGAAAATAAATGAAAATGGGATATTGGATATTAGATATTCAATCTAATTCTAGATTACTTCTATACTTATACTAATGCTAATGCTAATGCTAATGCTAATACTAATATAAATGTAAATGTAAATACTCGAGTGTGTACCGGTCCCTCAAATACTAGTACTAGTACTATATACTCGTACACATGCATTTATCTATACATGTCTCCAATAGCTCTCTCTATATCCCTCTTTTCATTATTCTTTTTCTTTTTCTCTTCAAGTTCTCTCTTTCCTCTTTCCTCTTTCGCTCTTTTACTCTTTTACTCTCCGAGTCGAGTTTTCATGTTTTTATATTATTTATATATATATATATACTCAGTACAGTATCTCAAAACCTAAGCTCGCTTCATTTCATTTCATTTCTGAGATATTATGTATACACGTATACACGTATACCAATTCTCCATGTGGTGTGTGGTGTGTAGTATGTGGTGGGAAAGGAAGGAAGGAAAGGAAGGGAAGGGAAGGGAAGGGAAGGGAAGGGAAGGGAAGGGAATGGAAGGAAGGAAGTGATAGTTAAGTTGAGTTGAGTTTGAGTTTGAGTTTATGTTGTGTTGTGTTGTGTTGTGTTATGTCTAAGGTGTGGTATGGTGTGTTTTGATGGGGTTTGATAGGGTTTAGTTGGCTGTACTTTTGTTTGATGATTTGGGATGATTGTGATGGCTGGGATGATTGGGATGATGTGGGATGGGTGATTAATACGTTTATGATGAATAATGAGGAGATGGAGATGGATGGGAGAGGGGAGATGGGAGAAGTGTAACTTTTGGGTGGTGTTGGGAAGAGAGGAAGGAGGAAGGAGCAGAGTGGCCAATCTGTCAGCTATAAGCGTAAGCCATTAAGCTAGAGATTCAAAATATCATCAGTCATTCAGCAGGAGAATAATCCAGCTGATAGCTAGCTCATCAGTTAAGAAAAAAATGAAATTTAATTGATTTTGGAATGGATTTGAAGTATTTTTGAAGATATTTTGAAGGACGAGAAGGTGATATTGAAGGGGCAGGTGGTATCGAAGGGGAAGGGTATTAAAGGAAGAGGGTATCGAAAAAGGAAATAGTATCGAAGGGGGAGGGTATCGAAGGGAAATGGTATCAAAAAGGAAATTCAATATTTTATTACTATATAAGAATCACATATTAACTGATCAGCAACTGATCAGCGATATCAGTTATTTAGCAGTGACTATAATATATCGTCAGTTATTCAGCTGGGAATTGGGGACTCACTGACCGCGGACTGACTGACTGACTGACTGACTGACTGACTGGCCACTCTGGGAAGGAGGGAGGAAGGGGAGAAGTGTAACTTTTGGGTGGTTTTGGGGGAGGGAGGAAGGAGGGAAATGTTGAAAAGCATGGAGAAATCGAAACAGAATGAATAGAATGGATAGGATAGACGAGATGAGCATATTTCTCGTTTATTATTTCATTTATATATATTTGATACATTTGATACATTTGGTATATATTATTATTAAACTCCCCTCTTTCTGTATAAGAAGAGAAGGAATATAAACCAAATACTCGAGTATAATAACAAGGCAAATGAGTAGAGTAGATACAGTATATATAAAACAAGGAGAAGAAAGGAGAGATTGGTTATAAGATTATATATTTTTTTCCATCTCATGATTTTTATTATAGATTTACTCGAGTAGCTAGTTGTTTCTTTTAACAAGATAGAGTACATATATGGAAAACGGTATATAGTATAAGCTTTGCTTAAGATATATGATCCATTGGTAGTAGAGATGAGGTATATCTTTTATTTACCTAATGTGACACATATATTGAAATCAATTCCGTTCTCACAACAAACTAATAACCATACTATATTATATCATAGCCCATAGCTCATAGATCAAAAATGCAATAGGAGAATATAAATATAAATATGAATAAGTGTACTAGTACTCCAGAAGAGATATCATATTACTCATACAAGAGTAAGCTAATTCTATCAGCCATCTCTTTCATCCCAGCTTCTAAGTCAATCTACTGTCCGGAGCCTGATGGAAGATGTACTGTAACTCTAGAATTCACCTTGTCTAGCCACATGGACATTGCTATTGCCAATTCGATGAGTATGAGGATGATTTGATTATCTGAGGGTATAATTTGCGGTACTGAAGGGAGGGGAGGGGAGGGGAGGGGTATCTTTGAGGCTCTGTTCTATTTATATACTCGAATATAAGAAGACAGGTTTGGAAGATAGATATGGATACTGAATAGCATAATGTATGAATTTTGTCAGAATGACTAGTTCCCCCAAATACTGCATGCAAATGCAATAATGAAAACTCGAAATCTAGAGTGAAGTATCTCCTACTCTCCTACTCTCCTACCCTTCTACCCCTTCTAGGCTTCTACAAATACAGACATATAAAAGAGACAACAACGGTAAATCTTCGGTTTGCGATCTAGATCTCGCTACTCTATTCCCTTATTGCGCTCAGGTCATTTGCTAACAAAAGGACGAGCAACTCGCTTGTTATAACTTCTTCTGAAGACTGATGCTAGATCGCAAGCATTACCTGGTATATTGTATCTATATACGAGTAGATTTATATGTATAAAAGGGATGTTAAGCATACTGTATAAGAGTCAATGGTTTTGATAGTTTGTATAAAAATATACCAACACATTATGATACAGAAACTTTGCTATTAGGGGAACACATAAAATGTAGGAAAAGAAAAAAGAAATGTCTGAATCATAGTGACGGCGAGCGGCAGAAATGAAATGGTAATAAAAGAGAATGCTGAGCGGGAGGCGGTGAAAGCATTCTCCTTGAAAGCTTCCTTGCGATTTGAGTTTCATAAATGATGCCAAGTCAAGCTCTTAATTAATGTGATTTTTTTGTTTTTAAGAATCATGCCTATAATCGTGGGTGCTATAGCATGAGCGTCTTCATATTAAAGCTATACCAAACTCTTAATTGGGATGATATGATATTAAACCTACCTTGATAACTGTACAAGTACCGGTACCCGTCTGATGTTTTTCTGCAAGCTGATGGGCGTTTATGTATGTTGACTCTCGAGGTACAAGGTCCGTATTGAACTGGTAAAGCTGAGATTAAGTTTTGATGAACTCAAAAATCCTCCGATTCCCTCGCATCGAATTTTTAATTAAAAAAATTGAGACCTTTGATCATCATCATGTTGGGGAAGCACCACATGGATTTGTGGAAGTCCCCCGGGATGCCCGTTCCGATAATTCTTGAATGCAACCTTGGTTGATATACGAGTAGGCAAGCGAAGAAAACCATCGGTTGAGCCGAGAGTATGGAAACATACCTAGGTCATGAAAGTCTTTTTAGCTGTCTAGAACTTGGAGGATTCATTCTTCTCATATTATATCAACGGGATTACTGACAATCGATGGAAATCGATATGATTCATGATATAAGTGAATGAATGCCCTTGGCAGTACAGTATTTGAAATCCAGGATTCAAAAAGTGTTTGTTGCCGTTCATTACTCGGTAGTAGGTACTCTTGCCACTCTTGCCACTTGGTTCGCTGAGCCTAGAAAAGTTTGCTGATGTTTTGATATGGCCCATTGCCCATTGCCCATTGACCATTGCCCAGACTGCTCAAGTTGTCAAAAGAGATCTGAGGACAGGTCAGTGCCAACGAGATGCTTTAAGGATCTGAAAGGCTTGACAGGGTCCTCCTTGTGGCGTAGATGGTGGCTTGATATATTAATATCTTGAATCTTGATATTGAAAAAAAAAAAACGTGCGAGACGGAAGCAAAAGGTGTTTTGCATGATGATGCCATGATGGGCCATAGATGGCTGACATTTCTCAGTGGAAGAAGGTCGGGATCGCATGTATTGGCGTAACCGTTTATATCGTTGATGGCTACACTGATGATACCAGGAAGAGGGAATATGTAACAGACAGCTGAATAGAACTTATCATTCTTGTGAGACAAAGAGAAAAGAAACCTGCTCATCCCCCCTCGTTCGTTGATTGATCCTTTACCGGTATCGTTGTCAAAAAATCAATAGTTCAAGTTCTTCTGATGGATACGCCAATACGGATATTCCCATCAATGGCAAGTTCGTGTATGCACCTTGGCGCCAAAAAATGATATGGGATAAACCCCCACCAAATGTATTTACATACCGTATAATAGAGTTATGATCCCGGGATTTAGTGAAAAATAATAAGTCTAGATGGGATTCTTCGGTCTTGTATTTCCATATCGGATAGTTTTTTCTTTCTTTTTTTCTTTGGATTCCCCTATGTTGTTATTTACTATGATGTACAAAGTACTGCCGTGCCTTCATTGTATGTTGACTGTGACTTTGTGAGAAGAAGTCGAGAGTCAGGGTCCAACCGCCCTAGATATTAGTCTGATAAGGGACTCGAACCCATAATGAGTTAATAACTACGGGAGCGGATAATTAAACCTTACTCATTGATATACGTTTGAGAGTTGTCAAAACGGGTATAATCTAATGATGATCACTTATTATTAACCGACCAAGTCATTCCCTGGGAACACCTTTGAACGAATGATATTGGTAGAGAATCTAAAGATACATGGGAAAGCAGAGATTTACCTTAAGCTAACCTAATAAAGAAGAATGGGAAAGTCTCATGCAGACCAAAGTTAAATAACATTTGCAAAGAATTGGATGTTGTGCAACTTGTGCTTCTTGTAACCGCAGAGGAAAGCGTAGTCGCTTGTTACTAAATTTTAGTGTACAAGATGAAACTGACCATTCGATACCCTTACATTCGGGTAGGTGGTAGATACCGGTACAATTACAGTATAAACAAATCGCTTGCTAAAAATGGCATATATAGTATTTTGAAAAATATGTATCTGATCACCTATGGTATCTTGTGTTGGAACATGGGGAGAGATATTACCTACATAGTAGTATTCCCGACCCCCACTTGAGAAATCTACCCAGAAGTCCCAGACCAAACAAGACACTTGGACCTTCTTAACTTTTGGCGCTAACACTAGCGGATAAGTTAATAGGTAATAAACTTTGTTCCACCCCACGATTGTGATGATCATCAAGGCTCAAGTATCAATCAAGCGCCTTGACATTTTAAAAAATCCATCCATGCTAGAAAAGGTATCGATTTCATACCACTTCATACCTACCACTCCATACATACCCCTTCATTAACAAAAGCCAAGAAACCAATTGTTACATTTATTCATCTCAGCTTCTTTTTATCTAATGCAGTGTACCTTTGAAGCCAACACGGACGCAGTCAACCTAGAAATGATTGAATATTTATAATTTTTATAGGTAAGGTATAAGAAAAAAGATATCACCCAAGTTAGGCAGGGGTGAATGCTTCAACTTCCTTCCTTTTTGTATTCTCCTTCCTCTGACGCCTCGTTCTCGTGGACGACCATTTGATGACCTTATTCAAATACATTTCTGCGACCTCATCTTCCTTCAAGAGTACATACATAAAAGATTTTCAAAGGAAGAACTCTGGTCATTCTCATTCTATTCATTCGTTTCAACTTCCCACTTGTGGCATGCTCCCCCGCTGTTCAACTTTACTCTTATCAACTGGAAAGATTGAATCTTTCCTTTCCTTTCCTTTTCCTCAACTCATTCAAATTTTTATAATTTCTCAATTATTTGGTGAAACTTCAACTGCCCTTCTCAGGACTATTTCGCCATCTAACGGACATCCATCCACTCGTTCAACCAAACATTCATTCAATACCAAGACATTATACTGCAGCTTCCATCTATTTACTGCTGTGACAGTCGAACTTGCAGCAAACCACGATAACCCGCATTTCATTTTCCTTTCCGCCATACTCTCACGAAATCATACAGAAATAATCTAAGCTTCAACCCACCTTCTTGAGTGAATACGATTTTCTCTTTCCCACATCATCTTGTGTGTCTAGACTTCTCAACCGACTGGACGGAGCGTTGCTCAACATATTTATTTTCGAATCTTGCCTTGTCAAACAGGAACTCGACAACCCTGTTACTAAGGATCCCAAATTACTCACATTTACCGATTGGAGGAGGGTGATTAGTTTGTACGTTGAAATCATCCCATATTTCTTTACGGACAAATTCTGACGCATTTGCTCTGCAGCTACCCATTCCCAAACGGACACTTTTCGGGACCTCGCGCATGGTCTTCCGTTTCTAAACTTTGATATATCGCAGGCGGCGATTTTATAATCGGCTGAGTTCCATACTACAACTTCTTCCGAAAGTCTACCACATTAAACCCGTTATTCGTGGCTCAAAATGCTTGAATATGATACTTCACCATGGCCGGTAAAAGACGTGAGTGGTTTATTCCCTATCCAGACTCGTGTCTCAACTTTTCTCCGCGATGGCTTTGTGGGGGAGTCTGTCACTGACAAATTTGGCTTCAGATCGTCTATACCGCCATAGTAGGCTCAGTAATGATTGCCGCATTTCTCGAATGGTTTCTCTGGCTGGCAGCCTTCCTGTATTGTCTAGTCAAGGTCTTCCAGAAAGCTGAGCACTGGTCTGTTCGGGTTTTGGCAACAGTAGTCGCAATCGTCTTCACACTCTTGAGGTATGGGATCTACCCGAAGAAATGCATATATGCGCTTGACTGACCATGATCTTCTACAGAGCCATCTACCTCCCCATTATGGTTGTGACTCTTCCTCTTCCACCAGGGGTCACCCAATATTTCCCTCTACAAATGGTCACCATCCTTCAATGGTTCGGATTTTGGTCCTTCGCAGCTCTTTTGACGATTCCATGGCTTTTCTGCGTATACCAAATTGTAACGCATTCCCTGGGACGGACGAAACGCATAAAACAAGTGTTGGATGAGCACTCGGCGCCAAAGGTTGTGATTGTCATGCCATGCTATAAGGAAGAACCGGATATTTTGGTGACGGCTATCGATTCAATCGTGGACTGCGACTACCCTCCTTCTTGTATCCACGTATTTCTTTCCTTTGATGGCGACCAAGAAGATGAGTTATACCTCAAGACGATTGAAGCACTAGGCGTTCCGCTATCTCTGGACTCTTACCCAAAAAGTATTGACGTTACCTATCGAACTGCCCGCATTACGGTTTCTCGATTTCCTCACGGTGGAAAGCGACATTGCCAAAAGGCCACTTTCAAGTTGATTGATAAGGTTTATACCGAATATTTGAAGCGCAATGACAACCTCTTCATTCTTTTCATCGACTCTGATTGTATCTTGGATCGCGTTTGTCTCCAGAATTTCATGTACGATATGGAGCTGAGCCCGGGGAATACTAGAGATATGCTCGCAATGACAGGAGTTATTACATCCACCACGAAAAAACACAGTCTAATCACTCTGCTCCAGGACATGGAATACATTCATGGCCAGCTGTTTGAGCGAACGGTTGAGTCAGGTTGTGGTTCCGTCACGTGTCTACCAGGAGCTTTAACGATGTTGCGATTCTCGGCTTTCCGCCGCATGGCCAAGTATTACTTTGCTGACAAGGCTGAACAATGCGATGACCTTTTCGATTACGGTAAATGCCATCTGGGCGAGGATAGATGGCTGACCCATCTTTTCATGATTGGTGCAAAGAAGAGATATCAGATTCAAATGTGTACCTCTGCATTCTGCAAGACCGAAGCCGTGCAAACGTACGGATCTCTGATCAAGCAGCGTCGTCGATGGTTCTTGGGATTTATCACCAATGAGGTTTGTATGTTGACTGACATCAGAATCTGGAAAAGATATCCAATTTTGGCTGTCGTCCGATTTATGCAAAATACGATCCGAACAACTGCTTTACTTTTCTTCATCATGGTACTCTCGATCATTACTACTACAAAGAAAGTTCAGGATCTTCCCGTTGGATTCATTGGTATTTCACTGGGCCTCAACTGGTTGATGATGATCTACTTTGGTGCTAAGCTCAGACGTTTCAAGATTTGGCTCTACCCCTTGATGTTCATCATCAATCCATTTTTCAATTGGTATTACATGGTTTATGGTATATTCACCTGTGGACAACGAACCTGGGGTGGACCTCGAGCAGATGCCGGAGCTGCTGATTCAACCACAACTCCACAGCAAGTGATCGAAGCTGCCGAACAGGCTGGGGATGATCTCAATGTTATTCCTGAAACATTCAAGCCTGCGGCCGAAGCTCGAAACAACCAAATTGTCCGCCGCCCGACCCTCCCACTGTTACCTCCAAACCGTCTCGAAGGTCGTTTCGCTGCTGCAGAAAGACTCCCGGGTGGATGGTATGAACAAGTCAATGATTCTCTTAACAGCGTTGCTGCCGGCCGTGTTTTAGCATCAGGACGAACCCCAATGGCATCTAGAGAATCTTTTGACAGCTATGTCTCTGGATTTACTGGTACGAATTCTGTGTACATGCCGAGACGAGTGGAAAGTATCATGGGAGAAGAGGACAGAAAGAAGTATGAGATTGCTCAAGCCAACCAAAAGGCACCAGCTGGAGCGTACTATAATCAGGTAGGCAATCGCCATTCTATGATAATTGACCAGTACTAACTGTATGCGTAGGGATATGTCTACGAAATCCCTGATGGATTGGAGCCCAAGGGGTTTCAAGATTCAGTAGAATCTTTGGGGTCCTTGGAAGGAACCACATCCAATTCTTTAGCAGTTCCCCAAGCATCTTCGTACAGGAATGGACGAAGTCCTTTGGGCCGTATGTCTTTAATACGTTCCAACTCGAGAGATGAATCAATTGAGCTAGAAGATCATCGTTCGGACAGTTCAACCTCCCCAGAACCGAAGCCACAACACCGGGGATAATCTCCAACGGAATTGCATTCTTAGCATTCTGGATGGGAGAATGGGAAGTACAGGGAATATTCATCAGCTAAATCAGCTAAAATATTTTGCGGAACAAGCATGATAGAATATATTTTTTGGGCGTTACGAAGGGCATTAACATAACGTGGCATCTGCATATCGCATCTTCCATTTTGAGCTTTTTTTTTTTTACAATACCATATTGGCATGGGCATGGGCATGGGCATAGCGCGGCGTACAAATAACCATAACCATAGAAGGGGATATGGGGAATTTTTTGCATCATAGAAGCCTGAGTAGAAAGACTTTGGGCAGGAGTTGTAATTAATGATAAAAGGATGCTGGCAAGCTACAGTACGAATAATACCAAGCAGAATAGATTTTGTTGTCATTTCTTGACAAAGATTTTTCCTTGGGAGACAGATTGATATCTTGAGCCATATTAACGAATACAAAAAGAGCCCTTTGACAAACTTTGCTTTGCCAACACAACAATTTTCCAAAGCCAACCCCACTAAAATAGACGTCACTTTTGCCTTATATAGTTGCCCCAAGCAAGCCAGACAAAGTGGCTCACTCCGCTGTTCCCTTCCAGCCACACGATCTACAGCCTTACTTCCTTCGTTATCAATCAGTCAGTCCCTTAATCCCCTTATCGCAAGTTTGTTTATCAGAATTCACGTGATGAAGAGGGGTGAACGAAGTTGAACGAAGTGAGTAGAAAGTGGGAGAATCCATTTTGAATTTGAATAGAAATAGAAATGGAAAGTAATTAATTGTAAATGGAAAAGTAATTGGAAATATAATAAATTATAACTACGAGTAATTTGAATTATATCAAAAGAAGAAGAAGAAGAAGAAACTTTATAAGGGATTAAGGAATAGATAGACATATCTTAAATATTGATGGTGAAAGGAATAATTACAAGGCTGTGAATATAATAAGTAAATAATGGTCGAGAAAGATCGAGAAGTTTCTTCGTCAAGGCGCCTGTAAGAGTAACGGACCGCGCCCTCGCCAGATTTATTAGACTGAAAATTTAAAAATTTGAGAGAAGTTGTGTGAGTGCTGTCTGTTTCTATTTCGTACTTTGGTCAATACAAACAAAAACTTGGAGATTTAATTATCAACAAGAAACAAACTTCTTTTTAGACTTTCAAAAGGAATTCCATTTTAGAGATTCTTTCTTCTTGTCTTTTACCAGAATCGTCGTCTTCATACCTACCCTACAATACCCCCATTTACTTTTAAGCGCAAATACAACAACACGAAATCAATATGTCTGGTGCGTGCTTTGATACTTCAACCATTCTCTGAGTTTGGGACTTTAATGCTAACTGTTATGATATTATAGTCGTCGGTGTAGACTTCGGGACTCTTAACACAGTCATCGCGGTCGCAAGAAACCGTGGTGTTGATGTCGTATGTGTTTGAATTCTTTTGAGTTGTCTTTCTCGTTGGTGGGGTGTTTGATACTAATTATCTTTTTTGCGCAGATCACAAATGAAGTTTCCAATCGTGCAACTCCGTAAGTTCTTTCGATTCCATGATCTGCGATGTCTCTAACTAACATATTCTCTATAGTTCCCTTGTAGGATTCGGACCCAAAGCCAGATACCTCGGTGAGCCAGCAAAGACACAAGAAATCTCCAACCTCAAGAACACCGTTGGATCTCTCAAGAGATTGGCAGGCAGATCGTTGAAGGACCCAGATGTCGCTTTAGAACAGGACTATGTCTCGGCTCCTCTCGTCGATCTCAACGGTCAGGTTGGTGCGGAGGTCACATATTTGGGCAAGAAAGAGAGATACACTGCTACTCAACTTGTGGCTATGTACCTGAGCAAAATCAGACAAACGGCTTCTGTGGAGTTGAAGCTTCCCGTTTCGGAAATGGTTATGAGCGTACCAGCTTGGTTCACCGATGTTCAACGAAGAAGTTTGATGGATGCCGCTGAGATTGCTGGTCTCAAGCTCCTTCGTTTGATGAACGATACCACAGCTGCTGCGTTAGGTTACGGTATCACCAAGTTGGATCTCCCAGGTCCAGAGGAGAAGCCCCGCCGCGTGGCTTTCATCGATATCGGTCACAGTAACTACACTGCTTCGATTGTCGAATTCCGAAAGGGTGAACTCACCGTCAAGTCGACCGCTTACGACAGACATTTCGGTGGACGAGACTTTGATAAGGCGTTAGTTGAGCATTTCGCCTCGGAGTTCAAGGAGAAGTACAAGATTGATATCAAGACCAACCCTAAGGCCATGGTCCGTGTTGCCGCTGGTGCCGAGAAGTTGAAGAAGATCTTGTCTGCCAACGCCATGGCACCTCTCAATATCGAATCTTTGATGAACGATGTGGATGTTAGCGCCATGTTGAAGCGTGAGGAGCTTGAGGCACTTGTTGAGCCACTTCTTAGCCGGGTCCACCTTCCTCTAGAGCAAGCTTTGGCCGATGCCGGGTTGAAGGTTGAGGACATCGACATCATCGAACTTGTTGGTGGTTGTACACGTGTCCCAGCTCTTAAGGAGCGCATCCAACAGTTCTTCGGCAAGAACCTTTCTTTCACTCTTAACCAAGATGAGGCTGTTGCGCGAGGATGTGCTTTCAGCTGCGCCATTCTCTCCCCAGTTTTCCGTGTCCGTGATTTCGCCATTCACGACATCGTCAACTACCCAATCGAATTCACATGGGAAAAATCTCCAGATATTCCAGATGAGGATACCAGTCTTACTGTTTTCAACAAAGGTGGAATAATGCCTTCGACTAAGATCCTTACATTTTACCGAAAGGAGCCCTTTAACCTCGAAGCTAAATATGCCAAGCCAGAATTACTGCCGGGCTCAATGAACCCATGGATCGGACGATTCACCGTCAAAAACGTCAAGGCTGACTCCAAGGATGATTTCATGATCTGCAAATTGAAGGCTCGTCTTAATTTACATGGTATCTTGAACGTTGAGCAAGGATACTACGTTGAGGATGTGGAGGTTGAGGAGCCAATTCCTGATAAGGATGGTGAGAAGAAGGATGATGTGAGTAACCAGACTTCTGTTGATGTTCAACTTTTACCCGAAGACGAACCTATCGCAAAACGTCCCCGTTTACAGGGACATGATAAACTAACACCCACATTCAAGGCTATGGATACCGATGATAAACCAAAGACCAGAAAGGTCAAGAAGCAAGTCCGAAAGGGTGATCTTCCAATTGTTTCCGGTACAGCTTCTCTCGACACCGCCTCCATCGCCACTGCTTCCGAACACGAAAACACCATGAACATGGAAGATAAGTTGGTCGCCGATACCGAAGAGAAGAAGAACGAACTCGAGACTTATATCTACGAAATGAGAAATAAGATTGATGATCAATATGCCGAGTTTGCAAGCGATGAGGAGAAGGAGAAGTTGAAGGCTAAGCTTGAGGCTAGCGAGGTTAGTTTTTTTCCTTCATCTTGATATAGGGGAGTGGTCACACTAATATTCAAATAGGACTGGCTCTATGACGAAGGTGAAGATGCTTCAAAAGCCGTCTACGTAGCAAAGATGGACGAAATCAGCACAGTAGCAGGACCAATCGCCCAACGCTACTTTGACAAAGTCGAGGCTGAGCGCGAAGAGGTTAGGAAACAAGAAGAGGCAGAGTTGCAGAGGAAGAAGGAGATGGCCGAGGCGGCTAGACAAGCTGCCATTGCCATGGAGGCCGCAGAGAGTGTAGGAAATGGTGATGAGGTTATGACCGATGCCGAGAAGGTCGAGCCAGAGGTTGAAGAAAAGTGAAGTAAATAGATGAGATGATGAAGTGATGAGTGGAGGGAGTTGGATGGGATGGAAATAAATAGATAAGCACGACGTTGTGGTACAACAGCAAAGCTAGGAATGATCTTATAGAATGAATGGATGTTATGAATATGAATTTGAATATGAATATGAATATGAATATGACCACGATGATTATGACACTTGAATGGAATGAAGTGAAGTGATTTGTTGTGCTGTGTGTAGTTATAGGGCCCCTGTACTGGGGTGCTAGGAGTAGGTAGATCTGCATAAACGAAACGAAACGAAATAGCCCTCAATCATCTACTCTACTACTCTACTACTACCACAGTATCAATAACTCGAGTAACTCGCTCATACAAAATTTCACAACTCACATGTACGTACACATTTCAAGCAAGTCAAGCAAGCAAGTCAAGTCAAGTCAAGTCAAGTCAAGTCAAGTCAAAACAAAGAGTGAGTGGATGAAAAGAAAACAAAAAATGTCAAATGGGCCACCAAATCTACAAATTCTCTCTCATCAATAATTATCCTCCTCCATGCATTTCACTCCCCATTCCATTTCATCATCTGTCAACTCAGCCCCCATCTATGCTTCTGAGCAAACTGTAGATTTCCGCTTCCATTTCCTCCCGGAGAAGATCGTTATTTGCATGCCGCCATGTCATCCATATATCCTCCATTTTCACTGGATCCAGCTTTACCGTTCCTTCCGAGCTAGCTAGCTAGCTGGCACCTTAACCTTGGCATATACCGATTCTCCCTCCGTCACCATCCGTCATCATCCTCATCACTTGCTCGTGCATTGCGTCTCGTTCGACAGGAGGTCATGTTGAATCACACTCCCTAGGAATTAACATCCGAGAGAAGGTAGTATTCCCCGACTTTAGTGATCTTGATATCGTATCGATGAGCAGAGAAGAAGTGTATACTTATATGTTCGCAATCCCAATCCCAAAATCGAAATTAAGATTTGAGTCGCGAACATGATAACACCAAATCTTATCATGTCCTATTAAGTGATCCCCAGAAAACGGGGAAGATGTCAGCGATTTTCTTTTTTTGCTATCTTGGTATTGTTGACATTGAGCAGAAATGAAAGCAAATTTTGAAGCCGTGGTGTATTATTGTCATAACAGAAACCCAGAAATGCAAGTCCGGTTATCATCCTATACGGAACCTTTTGGAAGCACTTCTTGGCGAGTATCCCGTTTGTGGATCCTTTTCCTTGAGGGCAGGACCTTTGCCTTTGGGCTCACTTTCAATACTTGCGAATGGCCTTGAAACTTTTCTTCCAGCAGTAGTATTAGACATTGTAACAACGTCGGCATCCGACCCGGGAGGATACTGAGCTTTACGATTCTCATCTCTTGGGACCATTCCTGGAGTTTGGGACTGAGAAGACATTTTTAGGGGACCATACCAATCAACATCACTAAGCTGTAACTTTCTTGACCTTTGCCCACTACGGTTACTACCAGATTTATCAGATCTGGAGAACGTTGTAGTGGCACTTTTATCGAAACCTGAATTATAAGTGTGAATATTGGGATTAGGGAGTAAGGGTTGTAGTGCAAAGTCACCATCTTGTTCTTCGCCATCGTTAAGATCATAATTCAGAACTAGATTCTTGATGCGCTGTTGCTCCTCACGCTCGGCAGCTTGTTGTGATTTCATGGCAATTGCGAAATTTGAGTCTGAAGGGAGAGCCACCGTTCGAGTCTAGAAGGTAAACAGTCAGTGCTTGTCTGAATATTCCGGGGTATAGATGAATTCTAACCTGTTGGCGATTACCACGCTTTGTCAACAGTGAGAATGCCATGGTACCGCCAGAGGGGCCATTTGTTGGGGTAGTCTCTTGAGGCAACTCGTTTAAAGTTGTGATCTCGCGATCTTTGCGTCTCATCGGAAGTGGAACATCAAACGTCGCCTTTCGTTCAAATTTTCTAGAATCTAGACTCTCAGCCATCATTTTAGCATACTCACGCTCGAAATCGGCTTCGTCTTCGGGGTCAATTTCCTCTTCCTGGCGAGTGACACTAAAGTTTTCTTCTTCCGATTCGTCTCCTGTTGGTGATGTTAAATTTTCGACATTGGCATCGATCTCTGTCTCCTCTTCTGAATCAAAGGAGGCATCGTCAGCGTCTCCGTCTGGATTACCTGCGTCTCCCTCATCCGACGATGCATCACTGTCCGGCTCCTCTGGTTCGACAACCTTTTCGATGCCAGCAGTCTTTTGATCTTGGGCCATAGCCAGCTGGAACGCACGACTTGCTTCCTCTATGTTCGAAGCAAGCTTCCATTGAGGTCTCGTAGCCGCGTAAATATCACTGACGATAAACTCAATATCCATGGGCATGGGATCTTTTGTATAGATGTAGTACTATGCGAGGTCAGCACAACAGCGATGATAAGATTGAGAATATAGCAACATACCTGGAAAAATGACAAGAAATAATCAAGCTTCTTTCCTGCTGCACCACGGCTAAAGAAAATACCGCACGTCTCTAACAAAGTTGCTACAAGACGAATTCTGAAAAAGTCATCAGGGATATCGTATGGATTAAGGCGGCCAGGGGTAGGAGGTCCACCTAATGATATCAGCATGCCGGACAAATGTAAATGCCATGATTCTAACTCACCGTGACCAAAAGTCAAAATACGGTACATTGTATCAAATATTACAGGATGATCAACCATACGAAAATTGTACAGCTCCCCGAGGTACTTGACTTCTGCAATTCGACGTTGATTGAACTTGAAATCGTTTTGCTCCAAACCAACGATAATGTACTCCAAGACATTGTCAATCACTGTGACCACAAAGCCTTGGTGATATCGGAACAGAGCGCCTGTGACAATTGCCAGAAGATAGATGTTACCATACTTCACCTTTCCGGGTTTGGAAAGTACTTTTTCAAGAATAGTGACAACCTTCGATATTGTCAGCAAATTCTCTCAAAAGGTTACAGATAATTCCTACCTCTGATTCTTCCCAGTGAAGTCTTCGAATTGACTTGATGATTTTAGCATAGTTGCGTGTAGTCATATCAGAATAGACAAGCTTGCGAATGAACAAATCGATTGGAGTTCTCTCCTTCTGCTGTATTGCCGCTCGTACAGGTGGGTCTACGTAGTAAACGGCATTCTCGATTAGCATGCGCTCCTGTTGGCCAATATGTTGGACCGACTTCTTGCGTTTGAGTGTTTCCAAGAAGGATGTCATTCGAGGTGACATCTCTGGATTGCGAAGTAAGTATCGACCACAGTTCTCAAGCAGATTACATATAATCTCAATGTTCATACGTGAGAAGTCATCTAGACTGACTTTCAAACAATGGAATATGACATGCTCAGGAACCACACCAAATTTGGTCAGCTCAGCTAGATAGCGGATGTTTCCTAGTCGGGCTTGGCCTAGAAATTCCTTCTCCTTCCGACGCTGAAGACTGCGAAATTCTTGATCTAGGTGGTCAACCAAGCCCTTTGTAATGTCAGGCATGTACTTTCCCAGGGTTGCTACAAGTCTTGAGTATGATGGCAGAAGATCACTACGTCCCTTAGGAACCTCTTGCACAGCTTTAATCAAACGATTACGAGAAGCCTTGGAGTTCAAGAAACAGAAATCAATGGCAGCCTGGTCAATCAGGTCTTTGTTTGTAAGGTCTGGGAGCCGAGCAAGTAATGCATCGACCTGAGCACCAATGGTTTTGTTAGCAATGGATGTAGACTGGTCATCGTCGCCGGGCTTCGTTGTCTCTGCAGAGGAGTTTATTTCAGATGTATCGATTTTCTTGCCCACTTGCTCATCCGTATCTGCTTTCTTCTTTTTGCCATCTTCGAGGAGCATACCGGGGACCTTGCCTTTGAGATCTACAAGATTTTCATAGAATCTCCGCTCATCTTCGTCCTCCCAGATACCTGCGCCCTCGCCCTCGCCTCTCAGGTAATCGCCAGTCTTGATAAGGCCAATACCTCCATTGCCAAGGGCCGAAGAATCATCAGAGTCTTTGAGATCTGGCATTTCTGCACCGATGGATTCTGCGAGGACTTGCGCATTCGATATAAGTCGTTCTTGTGCCTTAACTGCCTTCTCGTAATTTGCCTGGCGATCTTCAAACACTTGGCCAGACTTGACGTATGCCTCTGAATCCTTGCGAGCCTGTTTACCAATAGCCTTCTGATCGCGGATGAGGTGGGTTTTGACATCTTCGAAGTAGCGGTTGAGTATATTTCGGAAACGCTCCTGTAGTTCGGGTGAGGCAAGAGGAGAGTCCTCGGCGGAGCCCAAGACGTCTGTCATCTCTTCCACAGAATCTTCATCGTCATCGTCCTCAGTCGCATCATTTGTCGCCTTCGTAGCACCATCTTCCTCAACGGTCTTCCTGCCCTCGTATCCAGCCTCTCTGACACCGAGGATATCCCAGCCAAATGCCTTTACAAATACAACCAATAAGGGCAAGTTGGCATGATCTCTATCATGACCCAGCAGATCCTTCAGAACTTCCAAAGGAAACGGTTCCGCGCCACCTCCCTTCCCGATTCCGTTTGTTTTTGCCTTGGTATCTGGTACTTTAGTCGATGGTCCTGACAGAGATTCCTTGCCGTGAGACGCATCGTCTGGTCGAGCGACATCATCTAATGTTCTCAAAACTCCCACAAGCCACAACTCCGTGACAACTCTCAAAAGTACCCTCTGTCGTACAATTCGCTCCTTTTCTTCCTTTTCCCGGGCTTCGACTGCGAGAATCTTCAATAATGACTTTTCCGGCGTGGCCATTCCTTTTCCTACCAACCATCCTAGGAATTCGGTGAATTCTGCCGGGCCAAAACGCTGATGTAATGCGCTGACGATTTCTACTCCGGCGTCGACCTCTCCCGGCGACTTAAGTCTGCAAAGCCCTTCATAACAAGCTGATATAATTTCCGAGAGGTATTTGTGTAGGCTAAGGGTTCGAATCTCTTGTAGGAAGGTACTAAGGGTCGCAGCTGAAATTGCAGTTCGAAGGCGCTTGATAAAAGCTGTATTTTTTTTGAGCGACGAATCTAGTGACTTGTTTACGGCATAAATGTCTATATCTCGGTATTAGACCACATAATCTTGGAGTCCTTCGCAAAAGCAACTGACCTTTCTCGCCATCCCAGGCACGAGTGTTCAAGTTGCGCAATTCGCCTTTAAGCCAATATTCACGTCAGCATACACATCTACACCTCCTAGAACAATGTCCAAGTACTCACGCTTCCTCTTGCGATCCATGATGAGCCTATTTCAAGCCGGACTTTTGTATTTTGTGGTGGGGTGTGCGATGTGTTTCTGGCGCGCCCCCACATCAGGGATTTTGTAAGAAAGATGGGAGGTAATAGGACTTCACAGAAGCAGACAAATGCATCTGGATATGAAGATATTTGTGGAGGGATAAATTCCTCAAATTGATTGTACAATGTTCTTTGTGTAAATTAGAGGAATTGAAAAGTTGAGTAGAAAGAGTTGGTTTGAGAAAGATTCCCATTCCCATCAAAAAGTGGAATATGGGAAATCAGAAGTAGGAGTACAGGAAGTACAGAACAGAATATCAAACTTACCGCATGGGTTGAAGTGGTCCGTGCATTGCTTTTACCTTTATTAGTAGTAGCTAGTAGCCTGGTAGGTAGCATCCCATCGATTAAGCTTTTGCTTTTGGACCTCGACATATAAATATATATAAAGACATATATCGATATCAGCATTCATGATCATAGTATCATGGTCTACTTATCTTATCATCTGTATGAAATTTCAGTTCAGCTGTTATTCGCCTATTCTATTTTAATATCATGGTAATGAATTCCCATGCCCCATTTGGAGAATGGCTTTTGGTGTTTGATAGCTGCAAGTTATATGAAGCCAGTGAAGTACATGCAGCCACACCCTTACCTGCATAAGGAGAGATGCAGCAAATAACATTTTGTCATACAATACTGAGCCTATAGTTAAAGGTTTAAGTCCATCAAACATCTACTGCAAGTTCATGAATAATTCAAAGTTGGATCCCTGGACTCAATGATCCAACATGATCATACTGTCAACCAAATGCATCAAAGATCCAGACAAGCCCTTCCCATCATCTTCTATTCTGCAAGTCTAACATTTCGATTCTACGAACTAGCCACAGTGTGCTTTCTCGCACAACAGGCCAAAAAATGGAATACCTCAAATCGACTAGAAACTCTTGCTTCATGTCAGCCAAGGGTGTGAAAGTCAATGACTTATGGAAGTTTGGATTCTTTGGATTCGTTAGATTCATTAGACTCGTTAGGTCTGCGACACTTGGAACCCATTCCTTTCTCTCTGTCAAAATCTTAATGATTGGATTTCAGCTATCGCCACAGAAAGTACAGCTTTCAATTTAATGGCCGACATCACAAGCTTAAAGAACCTCAAATTTCTGACTCTAAGCAGTCAATTCTTGACAGCAGCTTCGGAGACCCTTGCTTCAGTAATTTATTCATCTCATTTTGTCCCAGTCTTGATGGGAGGCTGAAGTGGGACACTATAAAGATATATTAATATCATTGCATGATTGAAGCAGGAGTTGTAGTAAGAATGCGCATATCGGGAGCCACAATCATGTACTTGAGTACATGTAAGCTAGCCTTACGGTTATGAAGTTTTGATAATATCAAAGGAGTAGGTCTTCACGACCATAGTACAAACATATTGTCGACGTCTGCTGATCCACACAGTATGCCTGGTGCTATATCTGCGCATCTCGTCAAATCTGCAAAGTCATTGATTTCGGTCTAGATCTGAGAAGATCAAAACACACCACGGAAGGCAGACTGCCGTCTGAGTTTTGATGTCTGGTTCAAGATGAGGGATTTCATCAGTCTTGATTTTAAGACATATGTGCTACATCTAGGCTCGCTATGGAAACACAAATCGTGGGGACCATCAAAATGGATTGAGGTCTGTTTAGCGTTCGGCAAATGATCCCGGAGATCTAATCTTCCTCAAATCATTGTGCGAAAGATTCCGAAGGCCCCGAGTAATTAACGAGGTCATCACCACCTAATCTAATCATCAATCTACTATGGCATATGCCCATATCGAAAATTTTCTCAAACACGGAAATACTTCGTTCTTGTGGCCATTAGTAACGGTTAGTGCCCGATTTCCTTGAGCCAATCATATTCGATCGTGACATAGATAAGGAGAAAAAAAAAGAAGTATGATCCGCCCGAGCCACCAAAAGGGTTCGTTCTACTCAAGCCCATGGCTGCTACTTATGGATATAGAGGATGCCTTATTAACTGTGCAGGGAGATTAGTAGACATCCGCGGAAATCGTCAACAACGCAACTTCGCCCCAGGAGATACACCGTTCACCATATCGTACTCCATGAAAGGTCACTCTCCGACGGTAGAGGATGACCCGCTCCCATTCCACGATTGATGTCGTTGTCCGGAGAGTCTCTAGTGGGATTTCTGCGGCAAAAGGTTTCTTAATTGAAAATTTATCAAACAAATAATACATTGCTATTGCTATCTGTTGCTCCATGTCATAAGTACTGCTGGTTCTTACCTTTTACTTCCCACCCGTAATCAGCTTTTCCAGTGTTGTTACTATTATTATTTTATTATCCACACAGGACTTTGTACAGTCGCAAAAACTGAAACCATCGTCGAATATCCTTTTCCCTTTGTGCTTATCTGAGCGTTGATAGTTTCACCGGATCATATCCTACGAATCCTTTGGCAATAAAGCCTTGAACAAATTGTTCTCCCTCATCTTAAATGTCGTGGTATCTTCAAAATAGTAAAACGACAATGGCTAGTGCTCAATACACGAATGAGGATTCCCTCAAGTCTGATATAGATTTACCAGAAACAGATCTTCAATTGCCACCAACTCCACCAGAGTCCCATGAAAACAGTGCAGATGAGCTGAGCCCTCTATCAAGTCAAGCTAGTTCAACCTCATTATCACAGCAGCGATATACTCTCCCGCCTCCAACGAATCCACCGATAGAGATCCTCAAGGAAGATCTGAAAACGCCGGATAACCAAGTGCCCCGAGACCCCCGACTTATCCGATTGACTGGAATTCACCCCTTCAACGTCGAGCCCCCGTTGAGTGCTTTATATGACGAAGGGTTTCTCACGTCGCCCGAATTATTTTACGTCCGGAATCATGGAGCTGTGCCTCATGTGGACGACTTGTCGATACCTGACTGGGAGTTTTCAATCGAAGGACTGGTCAAAAAACCATTTACTCTCACATTAAAAGACCTCATTAGAGATTACGAACAAATTACCGTACCTATCACACTTGTTTGTGCCGGCAATCGTCGTAAAGAACAGAACCAAGTCCGGAAATCAAAAGGGTTCTCGTGGGGAGCTGCTGGTGTATCAACGGCATTATGGACAGGTGTACCAATGTACGAATTGATGAGGAAGGCTATCCCAATGAGGGGAGCAAAGTATGTATGCATGGAAGGCGCTGACAAGCTTCCCAATGGCTATTATGGGACCTCCCTAAAACTAAATTGGGTTTTAGACCCCAACAGAGGAATCATGTTAGCCCACAAGATGAACGGAGATATGCTTCGACCCGATCATGGCAAACCTTTGCGAGCAGTTGTCCCTGGTCAAATTGGCGGTCGCAGTGTGAAATGGTTGAAAAGGATCATTGTCACAGCCGCACCTAGCGACAATTGGTACCACATCTACGATAACCGAGTTCTCCCAACTATGATCAGTCCAGAGCAAAGTGCCAACGAACCAAAATGGTGGACGGATGAGAGATATGCCATCTATGACTTAAGCACGAACAGTGCCACCGCATACCCAGAACACGAAGAGCGACTCTCCTTAGTGAGCGGACGACAAACTTATCGTGCAAAGGGCTATGCGTATGGTGGCGGAGGGCGACGCATTACAAGAGTCGAGGTAACACTTGATAAAGGAAAATCCTGGGCGTTAGCAGATATACGTTACCACGAAGACGATTATCGCGACCGCATCTACGAAAATGAAGCTCTGTTTGGTGGTAAACTAGATATGGAGTGGAGAGAAACATGTTTTACGTGGTGTTTCTGGGAAGTCGACTTAGCAATCGAAGACCTCGCAATATCAGGGGATATAATGGTGCGAGCCATGGACGAGAGTATGAATGTTCAACCTCGGGATATGTATTGGAGTGTTCTTGGCATGATGAACAATCCATGGTATCGAGTAACCATTACCAAAGAAGGCCGTTATCTACGCTTCGAACATCCTACACAACCAGCACTTATGCCAGGAGGATGGATGGAGCGAGTCAAGGCCGCGAGAGGAAACCTTGCAAACGGATTCTGGGGCGAGAAAATGGGCACGGAAGATGAGTCTGTTGCTCTGATTGAAGAAAAGCAAGAGATCAAAATGACAAAAGATGACACGAATCGCGAAATCTCAATCGAGGAATTACGCCAACATGAAGACGAAAAGGATCCTTGGTTTGTCCTCAACGGCGAAGTATATAATGGAACACCATTTCTGGAAGGCCATCCAGGAGGCGCAACAAGTATTACCGGAGCAGCAGGTCAAGACTCCACCGACGAATTCATGGCCATCCATTCAGAAACGGCCAAAGCAATGATGATCACCTACCACATCGGTACGCTGTCCCCCGCTGCCCTCGCCTCCCTCCTCAACCCCGAACCACTTTCATCCGAACCCCAAACTTTACGCCCTATCTTCCTACAGCCTAAAAGCTGGCAAAAAGCTATTCTCACCGCTAAAAAAACCATCTCGAGCGATACGCGGATATTTTCTTTTACACTCGATCATGCGGAGCAAATTATTGGATTACCGGTTGGTCAGCATCTTATGATGCGGTTGCGGGATCCGGTTACGAGGGAAGCGATTATACGGTCTTATACGCCTCTTTCGCTTGGAACTGATAAAGGGGTTTTGGAGATTTTGATCAAAATCTATGCGAAAAATGAACAGGGGCCCGGAGGAAAAATGACAATGGCATTAGAAAGTCTTCCTGTAGGCCATTCTGTAGATTTCAAGGGACCAATTGGGAAATTTGAATATGTAGCAAAGGGGGAATGTGTAATTGGGGGAAAGAAGAGGAAAGTAAAGAGATTCTTGATGATTTGTGGGGGAAGTGGTGTTACGCCTATCTATTCAGTGTTGCGAGCTGTACTTAATGAAGAAGATGGGGGTGAAGGACCAACATGTGTGGTTTTGAATGGGAATAGAAAGGTGGAGGATATTCTTTGTAGAGAGGAGCTGGATGAATTGGTCAAGGGCAGAGAGCAGAGATGTAAATTGGTTCATGCGTTGAGTCAGCCGACGGATGAGTGGATGGGGTTGAGAGGGAGACTGGGAAAAGATGTCTTGGAGAGGGAAATTGGAAGATTTGGTATGCGGCGGGATCAGGGACAAGTGTATGCAGATGGTGAACAGCTGGTGCTGATCTGTGGACCGGATGCTTTGGAAAAGAATGTTCATGGCATCTTGTCGGAATTGGGTTGGAAGGATGATGATCTGTTGTTCTTTTAGTGGTGGTGATATAGAGTACATCGGATGTATGTTTGTATATATGGAATGGGTTTGGAAAAAAAATGAGGACCGGAGAGGAGTGTGGAGTTTGGGCTTGGCTGGGCTTGGCTTAGATTGGCTTGGGATGTGGATATTTACATGTATATCAAATGGGAATATTTCTATATACATAGTCACTCCTAAATTTTCAAACATTCAAATATCTAAATGCAAATCGAACACTGTGTCTTATCTGGGAATTGAATACCGGTATGCAAGTTTCATTAAACATTGAAAATTCATACTTGGCATCAATATGACTTGTCGGAAACCTATCTTGAGGGCAGGCACACCACACCAGCCTAACATGATATTATTACCAAGAAATGATGTAAGGTTCACACCCCAAGGGTATAAGCATGGCACTTAGGAATGGAGGGAAATAGAGTGCTAAAGCAGGTCAGGTTTGGAAGATTCTATACAATTCTGTGGCTTTTGTAGTCGTTTAGCTAAGGTTAAATTTTGTAGAAGCTTTGTTTGCTGGTGGATGCCTAGGACATCACACCGCTCAACTATGGCAGTTATTCTTTGAACCCCAAATCTATCTACCAAAACCAAACCAACCTTTCTTCTGCTGCTGTTGATGTAGCGGCTCTGAATGTATATCCTCTATCTCTTCCTCCACATCAATCTTCTCTACAACGTTTTTCACGGTCCTTCCCGGGTAGTCGATATAATTCCATGCTGCATCAAAGAATAATGGTTTGACAGGTACAACGTCCATTTTGGGGGGATATGTAACAATATTTCTGAGATCAACGATGCCGTCAGCTGGGAACTCATGTAAACGTTCAACGAGCGGCTTTTGGTATATGTTTTCGTCGCCAGTTTTGGGGGTAGTGGATGTGAGGTTAGAGATTTCGACCAAGGCGCGGTAGCATTGGAGTTCGCCTTGGAGGTAAGTGAGAAGATTTTGGGATTCGGAGGGCGTGACAGTCAGGTTGGGTGGAGTAGCTGTCGTCGTTACGTCCATTGAAGAAGAGAGCCGTGAGTGGGCGGAGGAGCACTTTTCTGTTGCGCGATTTAGAAGAGCTAGCGCATTCTTAGAATTCGATAGAATTGCATGAGAGCGAGCTATTGTCAGACACCTAATTTAATGGTTAATTGAGATCCGTATGGCATGTTAGAGCTGATACTTTTACATACTTAAGAGCTTGGAAATAGCTATATTTTGCATCTAACTCTTCCTGGAGGATGGCATCTGCTGCGACACCAGGAAGCTCTTTAATTGACTCGACACTTTGCAGGATCGCATCATAGAGAACAACCTTTTCTCGTAACTTTGCGAGTTTACGTCCTATAGGCTCATCTTTGCTTGATTTATTGCTGCCTTTCTTTGAAGGGAAAGATTGCACGTAGTCGAACACTCCGTCTTGTTGTCCTACCATGACTCTATTTCTACCTATACGCCATCCAATCATATCATAGCTAACAGCTGTCCTGGTTACAAAAAGACTTTGCATCCGTTTGTCGCTCTGTCCGACACCCTCGGATATTAATTCGTCGATGGCATGCTTCGTAGCGTCCACTACGTCTTGACTGGCAATGAGGATATCATCATATGCCGAACCTCTATCCTTAGGATTTTTGACAGTGTCGGAGGAAAGAACTTCGAATAATTTCAGAGATGCGGGCTTTACTGATCCCAGCGCAGTAGCTATTGCCGCATCCTCCAAGTCGACTGTACGAGATCGCCAAGTTATTGTTTTGGGCGTATCACCCGATTCCGTGGAATCAAACTTGGGTATCGTCGTTTCATCTTTCAAACAATCTGGGTCCAACTCCTTCACCTGCGATATCAATTTTGGATCCGAAGGAAAATTCTTCCGTGCAATAAGAGATATCGCTAATGTTCGCGGCATCCCCATCTTGTAAGCTCCATATCGTATACTCGGATCAATCGGGTCGATCAAAATATCCTTAAAGATATCTGTCTTCGTGTCCTTGGAGAGAGCAGTATATATAATCCTAGCTTCTGAATAGCTCTTCACACAAGCCTCCCAACTTTGTTTCTCGAATTCCATTGCGCCGGCAAGAGAAGCAGCATATGCTCGAGCTTCCAATATGTCAACATCTTTCGCATTCGTGGTTGCTTCATTAGACAATAATCGAAAGAGATCGTTGGCATATATGGTAGATTTATGTAACCGAGAAATTATATGCGATCGAGTTGAGCCAGTTATTCCTTTGGTGTCGACAGAATGTATCTCCTTCATAGACATGGCATGCGCCCAAGCTCGTTCGGAAGTGAGTAAAAGAAGATGAACATATCTATAGTTCTGTTAGGAGTATTCGTGGACCCTGGGGTAATAGAAGGTGCATTTACTCATGATTTTGACCAATATCTTCTGCTGTCACTGGCCTGTTTGAGTACTTTGCGCGGGGTTTCGTTGCAATTCCGAGCTTCTTTCTTAGATTATGAATTCGGTTTGAGAGTCGACCTCGATAAGCAGAAGAATCACCATATAATTTGGCCTCGTCTCGTCCTTCGATGATGAACTTGGTAACCTCCATAATTCAAGGAGATTTATGTTAAGGTTAACTATGATACGGTATAGTGGTTGATTAGTACTCAGTAAGTACTCGTAAGTTGCAACGAGATTGGGCTAAATGTTGTCTGACCGCCTTAGGGCACAAGGATGATATATTTTAGTAATTTATTGGCAGAATGATCGATCTAGTTGATGAAGACGGGTCAAACAATATACCGCTCGCTACCCATGTACCTAATAGCTCATCCAAACAAAATATAGCTTACTTAAGCAACCGGAGCAAAAATAAACTATGATCCGATCCCAGCTAAATTTACAACCTGCCGTTGATATATGAAGTTTTTGCCTCCTTACCCCTTCAGCATATTGGATTCCCACTAAACGCGTTATGAACTGGCAGATTGTTACTTTCCTCTTCCTATGATCTTAATCTCAGTCTAATTTTGACTGTGCAAAGCATGTTCTACGGTAAGTACATAGCTTGAACACTTTTTATTTTTTGGGATTTATAGCATCGTCTGATACCGAGTTAGGTTTTGGTTTTCATTTTAGAGCCGCATACCGGTGACAATTACATATATTTGCGTCACATTCGTAAACGATTCCCGTCTCTCTTGGTAGGGCATGCTCGAGCGCACGGCGGGATGTCTTGAAACAGGCAGTCTACGGCGCCTCATACCAGGATCCAAACACATGCTCAAAAACCGACGCACACTTCATTCAGGATTTTGGACTCATGGTGCAATTGGACTCGAGCTTTCCCCATTATGGCAGCTTATGTTGCAAGGGCCCGATGTTGTCGAGAATTCGAACCAAAGATCACCTAATGATGGAACTTCGAGCGAAAATCCTGGTGTGTTCTTGGACTTTCTCTATCCTGCCGGCACACTCAAATTTCTGCGACAATATTCGGGCTTGGGAGTTGATAGGCGAGATGGGAAGAGAGTAAGACTTGGATTGAGGAGTTCTGGTTCTCGACTTTACACATCGTCTGCTAAGAGCACTTCGCTAGCCTTGGTTACAGTAGATGTACAGACGAAGGAAACTGTTGAAATCAAGAAGCGTTCCATAATACCGGACGCACCTGATGACGCAGCAACCATCGCGACCGTTCTAGGGATAACGACATCATCCCGATTTGAAGAGGTGTGGCGAAAATATCGGCGTTTGCAATTCGGCAGTTGGGCCGAAGAACGAATTCGAATCCAAGTTTTGGAATACATGGCGGCCTCAAATCGAATAGTAGATGCGGAGAGGGTCACTATATTATTTGAGCGATGCGATGATCGTCGAGAGAAAGCAGAAATATACGAGGTCATGATTCGTACTTATTTGAGACTACAGAATTTCTCGAAGGCGAACGAAATGTACCAATACTCGCTCGAAAAGTTCAACACAACGGCTGGAGGATCGGAGATCATGTTGCACCTCATGGCAAACGGTTTGTGGCCACAAGCCTTCACTCTTTGGACAGAAGTTCAACTGCACGATAATCCCTCTGGGCCACGTTACGACATGTTCAAAAGTTTACATCATTTAGAAGATTTTCCCAGTAAAGCTTTGTCTTTGGCAAAGTATGTCAACAAATCGGATGGCGATTCTTCGAATAGTGATTCCTCACTGCCATCCGAAGCCCTCACGAAATTCGCTGCGGCCGTGATCTCACCAGCTCTACTTAGTGCTAAACACTTTTCAAATACCACATTCTGGCCCCTCTTAAAACATATACAGGATTGGGGACTTGAGTCCACCCGTCTTTATGTAGAAACAGCAAATATGCTACTTTCTCTCGGTCAATTACAGGCGGCTGTCGCGCTTTACAGGCAAGCTCGAGGAAGTCCAAAAAAGAGCCTCATGCTTCCAAAATCCATGTTACACTCCATACTGCAGATATTTTTCAGGGAACATGATTTGATTGGAATTCAAGAGATATTTGCAGATATCTTTCGTTTCAATCAGACTCTAGATCGGAGGTCGTACAGAATATGCATGGACGAATTCGCACGGAGCGGAGATGCCGACACTGTTCACGCTATATTTGAACTGTTCGCAAAACGATACATGCAAATAGAAAGTAAATCGGCAACATCCCCTAACGCTTTGGCATCGGCTGACGATATGGCTCCCCTCCTACATGTCCACGCAAGGAGAGGAGAGGCCGAACAAGTACTTGAGATTTTTAAGAGTATTCGGGGGAAATATCGCCTCAAGCCGACCATAATATGCTGCAACATTGTTATTAGTGCTTATGCACAGGTTGGGAAATTTGATGAGGCTTTCAAATTTTTCGACGACACTATCACGAAACGAAAACTTCGGCCTGATGATTACACATTTGGAACTCTGATGGGAATGTGTGCCTCACTTGGTAATCTCGAAAATACTATCGAGCTCTATCGGATGTCAGCTTCTTATGGTGTCGAAAAGAGCACTGCTATGGTTAGCACACTCGTCACTGTGTATATAGCAGAAGGTAGACTCGAGGAAGCCGAAACCATCTGCGAAGAGGCCGTGACATTCAAGGGCTCACGCACTCGTATGTGGAATTCTCTACTTGTTGCTTGGGCACAACGGTATGACCTCATCAATGTCAACCGAATTCTTCAAAGAATGTCTTCGCTCCACATAGAACATAATGGTGATACGTATTCGGCCCTTATGCAAGCACTGGCTATGGTCACACAACCGGATCGTGCCTATGAAATCTTGAAAGAAGTTATGCCAGAAGCTGGTATATCTGCCACGAGTCTACATTATGCGATTGTGATGGGTGGTTTTCTTGCTGCGCGGCGCTTCGACATGGTCTTTCAAGTCCAAGATCGAATGCTTGAAGAGAAAATTATGAAAAATGCCAGTACAAAGTTTCTGGAATTAAGGACTCTAATCCACGATACCAGGCGTGCGTGGGGGGATGCACGCGGTGCTCTAGAGATTTTTGAACAGGTCATCCGAACGATGAATACCCGCGACATGAGTGATAAAGTCAGGAAAGGTATCGCGCACGAGCCCCTTGACATTGCATATCCTGCCACATTCTTCGGATACATTATGTTTGTTCTCTCCAAAAATAATGAAACAGCATCGGCCGAGGATATGTATCGGCGCTTCTTGGGAATGCTCCCATCCGACAGAACAGCCTCACAACTAAGGGTTGTTACCGTTGCCTTGATGTCAGTGAAACTTGAACAACTAGATTATGATGCCGTGGAAGATTTGTGGGCACAATTCGTTTCTGACACCGAAAAGCGAGTTCGATCTCTTCGGCTTCCAGCCTCGCTATCTCTTGTAAATAGTTCCAAAGAGGGAGAAATGGCTAAAGGGGGTGTCGACCCTTCTTCCGAACAAGGTGTTTCCGGAGATGTCGGAATCAGTCTGCAGAAGGACAAGGAACCACTCAAGGCAGCACATAGACTTGATTTAGCAAAACCCTTGACCTTATACATGCTAGCTCTCGCAAGGCAAAGAAAACTCAACATTTTGATACGGACCGTCAACGAGCTTACGAATTTGGGATTTCAATTGAGTAATCGAAATTGGAATGATTACATTCAACATCTTGCAAAGGCTCGCCATGTCAAACTGGCCTTTAAGACATGTGAACTGGTTCTTATGGATCATTGGAAGGGATGGTATCGTGTCAGAGCTCAAACTGTTCAGACAAATAGATTACCGTTGGAAATCAGAAGGCATGGTAAGCTAGCTACGTCTCTACGTCCAGATTACCGCACGTTTTTGTATCTCACGAGCTGTTTCATCCGCTTAGAAGCTATGGCTGCGGAGTCGAAAGCTAGTCGACTTCTACTCAATGATCTGGAGCTTGATTGTGCAAGGACCGTGAATGCTATTAAAACGATGGTTAGAACGGGTGATGATTTAGAGCGAGAGATTCTGGGGTAGAGACAGTAGAGATCTCTTGTACAATCATGTATACCATGTACGATACAGAGATGAAAATCCAGTGATGGATATTACATAGAAATAAACTCAACTTTGTTAGTCTTTCAGACTTCAACAACATATATATAATATATATATAAATTTGCAGATGGTAATTTCATTTTCCACATATTCATCCTCCAGTTCCATGAGCATGAAATGCTTAAGATACAATTCCATCCACCCCACTGATCTTCCTGGCACTCGTAATCCCTACATCCGCCAACCCACTCAAAGCAAACATGGCAGCAGTTCCCGCATTCGCACTGTATTCCAAGTGGGCTGGCAGTACGGCATCCCCACCTTTACAGATATCATCTTTCGGATCACAGATCGTCATTACTTTGCTAGCATCGACTCCATTGAGCGCGGTACCATTCTTCGGATCCCCGAACATGACGACAGTTTTGATGCGCGAGGTGGTGGTGTTAGAGAGCGAACTCATGGCGAGGTGAACGAGTTGCGCACCTTGAGAGTAGCCGGATACCGTGAGATGGGTGGAGGGACACGTGCTTAGTGTGTTGTTTATTAGGTCGGCCCTGGGTTTTGGTTAATGGTTCATTTGTTATCTGGAGTAAAACGGGAAAAGGGGAGAAGGGAATGCTTACATTGTTTTGGCACCAGCTGGGTCACCACCGGCTAGAAAACCGGAGGTGGTGGCGGCATAGTCTACTCCTTGGATCGACATACTTCTCGTTTCGTTCATGTATGCTGCTAGAGCCACGAAGAAAGGAGGACCAGTCAAAATGCCTACATTGCCTAGATACTCGTTGAGCTATATTAGCTCATGCTCTTCTTCCATTCCTCATTCCTCGGAGTGAGGATAGGTGAGGATAGGTGAGGTGGGTTGAGGCGAGCATACCAGGTTCCCCAGTTCCTCTTGCGAACAAAACAGTCATTGTAGCACAACTTCCATTACTATCCAACACATCGTTCTGCGTAATCACATTCCCTTTATCACCCAGGAAGGTTTTCAGCGTACTGGTCTTGTCGAGATCACTGCCTAATGTCCCTAGTTCACTTGCTACGGCTGATAAATCTCTTGTGTTTGTGTGTTTGACTTTAAGGGGGAAAAATGGGAAACAATATACAGAAGAAATAAACAAGTAAAATTGAATGAAAAAGAATGTTCTGGATGCCATCACGAATGGAAAGAAGAGCCGGCCTTCTAGAAATTGATGCGGATGAGGGAAATAGATTTCTTGGCGTACACTCTGTTTGCGAGAGGTCAAGAAGGGTGGTAATAAGTAAGAGTAAAGGGAAGTACTACGAAACTAGCCATCTGGTTAATGAATGATGAAGATTTAGTTCGTTAGACGCATTATTTTCTCAGGACAAGATCAGCCACTATTGTGGAGGGAGGAAGATACATCATACATCCAACGAAGTCATGATATTTCGAGCCAATTGTTGGAGTGAAAACTAGCCTGAGATCAGTGAGATGAGGCAAAGTTATCGTTGTGATATCCCGATATGGCTGCTGTCACGGTTGATGTTTGGAAGTTTGAGCTACGCTTGGATATGAGTGGTTGTTTGAAACGGTCTGAGGGGACATTAATAGGAACTTTGAAGTTTGAGATCACGGGTTTTGGTGGCTTGAAACAAATATCGGGTAGGTCTGAACTTATTACTAATATTTAGGTATATACATAAGTCTTTCATTGTTACCACCACTGCTTCCAACCTCGGTCCCCCCCCCTCCAAAAGTCTGACGGGATAAAGAAAAGGAAGCGATAATGAGATGATATCTTCTATTGAGAAAAGATTCCATTCAAAAGCATACATCCCGAGAACCATACCGGCCAAACCGAACAAGAATTAAACCAGAACCTCTCAGGTAAACGGAAACCACCGATTAAACCTGCCATACTCCGTACAGATCATATCTCCGTTTCAGCTGCTGTAAACGAGCACCATAATCACCATAAACAGTCTGGAGAGACTCATTCTCAAAAGCAAGTTTAATTTAAGTTAATACATCCGTTTCTTAATCAGTTCAAGCACAACAAACCATGATATACCAGACCGAAAAAACGAGACTTCTAGAGGAAAACCTTACATGCTATATTATTATATTCCAACCCAATACTATCCCTCCACAGCTCTCCAACCCAACCCAACCCAACACAACCCTCCTCTCCCCTACCCTCCTCCCTCTACCCTCCAGCCCTCAAATCCAAGCTCAGATCCATCCATCCTCATATCAAATCAAATCAAACATCCACAAGTGCCGTTACGGATACGAGGTACAGTACTTACTCAGTAGCAAACATCAAGCGAAAAGGATATACAAACAAAATACAGTATCAAGAAATATCTTGACTATCTCCAAAATAATAGCTTTTTTGACTTTAGACGACATTGCCAAGTTCCAGCGCTAGATTTTTTACATACTGTATTCCAAATAACTCTTCAAATTTCCGGAACCAACCATGTGTGTAAGTCTTGCTCCATAGGATGGGTTTGCGTCCTCCATTAAAGTATAAGAGATCATTGGCATAATTTGATTTGAGATGGGAATATACTTTCATATCATATCATATCAGAAGTAGCCAAATATATATATGAATGATCGAAGCGAAAGCCACTCGTCCAAGTCAAACGTTGCACATTTTCGCACACAGAACTCGACCAAAATCCTCCTGTAGCTTGCTACAATTGTTTAAACTTTTGATTCTCATTGGTATCTTATCTTATACATGTACACTCGGATCCACACAATCTATCTTTACTATCTCTACTCTACTCTTCCTTTGCAGCGGCTCCAGCTCCAGCTTGAGCAATATGACTTTGCCACCAATTAACCCAGTCGCTAATAAAGCTCGCTTGAATCTTGACGCCTTCAACATCACACTTCGTCATAGTGTGCAGGTAAACCTTGCCAATCTTCTCAAATTGACTCTTATCCGCCCTGTATATCCCAGAGGCCAAAGACAAACTCGCTGTACTGGCGGCTTTTGCGAATATCTTTGACTGATCCTTGAGTACTTCCTCGTGGATACCCTTGATCAGTGCAATGTGTGCCTTGACATTAAGCTCCACCTCGGCTTCCGAAGACGATGCCTTCGATCTGGACTTTGCGAAAGACTGAACTATCGAGAATGCCTTATCACTCAAATGCTTGGCTTTGGTGGTACGGATTAAGCGCAGTAGAGGTAGTAGGATCTCCGCAGCTAGAGGATTAGATGCTTGCTTCTTAGCATAAATCTCAAGAAGGTCCAAAACTCGACTCTTGAAGTTGATCATGTTTTCTTTGGCGCCCTTTTGTTCTTGTTTCTTGCTTGGCCCCTTCTTTTGCATTCGTCCAAGAACCTCCTCAAGTTTTGGAGTTAAAGCATCCATCCCTGAATCGGTCATGTCAGAATCGCTACCGCCATCCTCGTCTTCGTTATCTTGATCTAACCCGGAGGTGCCAAGAATCTTCGCTAATGCATCATTGAGTTCTTTGTTGGCCTCATCATCTTCACCATCTTCTTCGTTTCCAGATTCTTCCTCGTCATCCTCTTCGTCGCTCTTTTCCTCTTCATCCGCGAGGTGCGAGTTCAAGTGGCCCTCCTCGCCATTCATATCAACAACTTCGACATCCGAATCCATTTCATCATCTTCTCCATCAATATCCATCGCGTCTTCATCATCTGGGTTTTCATCGAACATCTCCTGTTGCCCTCTCATATTTTCGCCAGTTTCCAATACATCCGTCATGAGTTTTAAACCACCTTCAGTCATCTCACTCATGAATGCGGTAAACACATGTTGCGTGACTTTTCGAAGAAGGGCGGACGGTCTAGAAAGGAAAGACAATAGGAGTTCAACGAGAACTTCGAAGGGCTCCACTTCCGAATCCTCCGTTGATTTATGTCGAATTAAGTTGTCGTAACACAGCTTCAACTCGTCGAGAATAGAAAGAGCTTCAACGTCGCCATTGTACAATTGAAAGATTACCAAAGCATATAAGAGGGACAAGGTCTGGAATGTTGCCCTATCCTTTCCTCCTTCTTTCTTTGCTTTCTTCATAAGCTTCTGTAATGTAGTGAATGCATCGTCTTTGGCTTTGGTGATGAGCCCATCCATAGCAACTGCATCAGGTGTGCAAGAAAGCACCAAATCGCATGGGTAGTGATAGCCATCCATATTAGATAATAGATGAGTAAAAGCGGATGTCAATCGATTTCTCATTAATGTTCGAGTGCTTTCAGAGATGGGAGGTCTGGCTTCTGAGTTGTTCGAGTATGCCAAAGAGGCAAGCTGGGGCAACGCAGCAGTTTTAATCCAACTTGATGCTTCTGATGCTTCTGCAACGTCAACATGGCGGATTGCAGTCAGAACGTAGTCTCCGAACATTTGCCGACGTTTTTCGGCGTCATTGGTTTCCGAGTTTGGCACGACCAGAACTGGTGACATGAGAACGTCGAGGACAGCTTCGCCATTTGTGTCATCAACCATGCTCAGAAGCTTTTCCACCGTTTTTGTCTTGGTGACTCGGTCAAAACTGTATGCGCCATTGCCATCAATCAACCCCTGGAGGACAACAACTAATGCTTCAGGGCTCTCTTCAATTGCGTGTGTCAAAACCTTTAGCGACTTGTCCGCGGCTCGGTTTAGGAAACGGTCTTTCTCCTGGACGTGATTGATGAGACAACGGACAAGGTTATGGCTGAAAATGCTAGTGATGAGTGTCGTGCATGAAATATGGCTTTGAATCATCTTTTGGAAAACCAAAAAGCCCCAGAACTTACGTTCTCTTGATGCAGATGCGGAAAAAAGATTTTCTGGCGAATGGTTAGCAAATAGTCAGACCCTAGAGTAGAAAAAGCTTACCATCAACAGTAACCTTCCAGAATTTGTCAAATTCTGACATTATGTTTTTCGATTTGCTGTTAGCTGCTTTGACGTACTGACTCAAGACAATGTCCCAGACAAAATGCAACTTTGCATTCCACGTCCCAGTTTGCTTAGCTTGTTGTCCGTTACTTGAACTTTCCTCGCTGGCCGAGCTTTCTTTGAGAGCCTTTGCAAGAGAGTTGAGATGCTCCAATGGGTTACCACTCTGGCCCCAAGGTTTGCTTGGAAAATCCATTTTTGGGAATTTACCCCTTGCTCTGAGCCAAATACCGACACCTTCTGGCGAAAGTCCCAATCCAGCATCGCACAATTTGTTCAAAGTCGATTCCGCCTGGGCTTGATCCATCTGCTCCAAAGCTTCCATAATAACCCAGCCGCATTCTTCCCGAGTCCAGGACTTTCTATTCGATAATTCCAATAGTTTGTCCAAAATTAATTCCCATTTTCCATCAATTGAAAAGAGTACCTTGGACCTGACAAAGCACTGTAGTCCAAATAACAAGCCAAGAGCATGATCTTTCTCTTCCTGTCCGCTGAGATCACCATCGGGTTTTGTCTTGAGAATCAAGAATTCAAAGACGTTATCGAAGGTCAATCCAGGATATTTAGTCGCACACAGATTCGCTGGACCAAAGAGCTGTGCCAATAGTTCCGAAAGGACAATACTGAAGCCCAATCGCGCACCCTTTCTACCACTCGCAAGCCCCCGAAACAATCTTCTCTCCAAGTGCCTTTGTAGTGTTGATTCCTCGACTCCGTCTTCACCCAATAACCCGGAAACAATCGAGTTAGCGGCATCCAGTCTCTGAAAATCGTCCTCACTACTCAGCATGTCGTAAAGCTTGACTTCACGCTTCAAGTGGTCCCCTTTTGGGTTGTTGACAAATGGAGATGTATCGAGAGGAGCAGGGATTTCCACGGGCTTCTTCGTTTTTTGTTGTTTTTTGGCCGCAGGGGCTGCAACTGCAGCATCTTGAGCTGAAAGCTTTCTTTTGCTACCCATTTCGAATTATGGCGTTATAACTGCAGAAATTGTGTACTCTGAAGAGCTCAGTCTGAAAACTTGACAAAAATTAAATTCTGCCGAAGGGCGGTGAAGGCTGAGTACATTCAAATCAGAATGGGCATGCATACTAGCTTGCTAGCGTTTTTTTGATAAGGGCCCGAGAACTGAACCCCTTGTGCCATCATATAACAAAGTCGCTTGGAGATCCGAGCCAGCTCAGAGATTTCTTAGTTAAAGAATCAAACTATCCAAAGTCATATACACAAGGTACAACTAATATCATAGAGTAATACTTTTGTATTTCCGTTTTATCTGCTCTTCGTTTGTGAATCAAAACCATCGCCATCCATCACCTAGGCATCATCGTCCATTGCGATATCCCCTGATTCTCTTACCCCCCCCCCCCCCCCCCAAAACCATCTATCTACAGGATTTTCTTTCTTGCCCTTCCCATTCACCTCCATGTTCCCACTTCCTGTGTGCAAGATAGCAAATCGTAAATCTGTCAATGCAATGCAATGCAAATATCGTGATATCTTGTGCAACGTAGTGCACATGCAAGTGACAGAATTAAAGTGGCCCATAGGTCATACATACAAGTCATTTCTCATCCCATCCGGCATTCCCGTTTTGTCACGTCCCTGATCATCTATCATTCCCTCCTCCCACTAATTCCCACCCCACCTTGACCTCACTGTCTACCATAAACACTCTCAATGAATATCGAAAAGTGGCTTCAACTTCTTGATAAGTAACCATTCATCGTTGCTGACATCATCTCTATAAAACTCCTTCAAAGTATCGATACTCTGTCTGCTAATCAACGAATACAATGTGTCCTTTTCTTCCAAGTGTCTGCCATATGTCGGTTGAGAACTGCCCATTTCGATTTTGATGGCGACGGATGGTTGACCCTTTTTGCAGATATTGATTTGCTTATGATCACGTTCAATGGATGTACTAAGGGATTGTATAATTAGTATCATAATATCATTATAGAGGAATGGAGACTTACACTCTACCAATACCGACAATTTCCTTGACACCCGTGACTGTGTTTTGCTTGACAGCTGCGACAGGTGTATGCAATCTGAGATTTCCTTCAACAACATCGACACCAATGACAATGGGGCCAGTTTTGTTGAAGACGGCTACAGTAGAAAGAACGCAAGGGAAGACAGCCAAAAGCTTAGAGGCTTCCTTCTTTGCCTCAGCAATAACCTGCATATGTTTGGTGAAAGAGTCAAAAAGATGATAGATGATATCAGCAGTGAAGATCGTGATGCCTTGGTCGTCGGCGTATTGTTGAGCCTCCTTATCAATCTTGACATCGAAACAGAGCATGACTGCGAGTTCCTTATGCTTTTCAAGCATAGTACCACAATTCATAACATCTCTCTTAAAGACTGGGCCAATACCAACATTGGCAACAGGAATCTTGGATGTCTTCAAGAAATCTAGAAGAGCTTCCAAAGATCCGAGAGTGGATGCTTGAACAGTGACACCACGTCCAGACTTCTCAACTCGGCTGAAGAGTGCACCAAGATCAGACTCAACCTCAGCCTCAACATCTGACTCATCATCATCAGGACCAACGACCATCAATCTTGAACCTGCAATAGCACCTTCGAGACCGGGTGCAGAAATTTTGACACCGAGAGCGGCCTTGACCTCCTTGTTGTGCACATATTGAGATTTTAGACGAAGCTCTTTCATTTCGGCTGGTGTTAGCAGTGCTCGAATATTTGTAGTGATAGCTCCATCTACACCACATAATACAATACGGTCACCTTCGCGAAGGATACCGTTGGATAGAATGACGTCAATAGTCATGCCGAATCCTTCGATTGCCTTGACTTCGAGGACTGTACATTGAACTTCGGAAAGGTACATTAATGCACCGACCATGCGCTCTTGCGTGAGTTGAAGGATCAACTTTAACATGTCTGGAATACCTTCACCAGTGTGAGCTGATGTTGGGACCAAAGAAACGTTTTTGGCCATAGATTTGTTCTCGTAGAAGACTTCGGCGTTGAATCCTTGTTCCGCGAAAGCAACCTTTGTATCCGCGAGACGCTTTGCGAATTCGTTCTGTACACCCTTATTTTGAAGAGCCAAACTCTCTTGGAATCCATTATTCTCGACCTTCTTCCAGCCATATAGGCGATCGATTTTGTTGAGAGCAACAATGAAAGGCGTCTTTCTATCACGAAGGAGTTTCATCGACTCCAAAGTCTGAGGTTCGAGACCGTGCATAATATCCACGACAAGAATAGCAATGTTACAAAGCGACGAACCACGGGAACGTAAATTCGAGAAAGACTCGTGACCAGGAGTATCAATAACCAAGAGACCAGGGACTCTGAGCTCGAAGCTCTCGTCTCTGTTTACTACTGCGATCTTCTTCTTGATAGCCTCTACTGGAAAGTAAGTGGCACCGATTTGTTGTGTAATACCTCCAGCTTCTCCTTCCTGCACATTTGTTTGCCGAATCTTGTCCAAAAGCTTGGTTTTACCGGTATCGACGTGGCCAAGAATACAACAAATGGGAGATCGCAGATTATCCGTCGATCTAGCGGCCATTGCGGCTTCGTGTGCTTTCTCACGTCTTTCGGAGGCTTCCTTCTTTCGTTTTAGCTCGGCTAATTGTCTTGCCGTGGCTTCTTCATCATCCGACGATTCTTCGTCTTCCGAATCAGACTCCGAATCAGAATCCTCTTCCTTTTTGCCCCGGGTTGCTAAGGTAGTGACAGCTTTCTTCTCCTTTTCTTCATCAGAGTCCGCATCCCAGCTATCCTTGACATCCTCGTCGTCCTCATCTGCGGCAGCCTCCCAATCTTCTAGTTCACTATCCTCGTTTTCTTTCTTGGCGGCTACTTCGGCGGCTTCTCTTTCTGCTTTGGCTGCAGCCTCTGCTGCAATTCGCTCAGCCTCCTTCTTCGCGCGTTCGGCGGCTTCGGCAAGAGCTTTCTCTTCATCAGCCTGAATCTCGGCAGGGTTCTTCTTTCCACCCTTCTTCTTCTTGCTATCGTAAACGACCTTCTTCTTCTCGCCTCCCTCTCCACCTCCAACCGTTACACCAGCATCGATCATTTGCTTTAGCTTCATTTCGTTTCGCAATTTCTCCTCTCGTTGCGCCTTAGTGAGATAGGTACCCTCTCTCTTCTGCTGTTCTATCTTCTCCTTTTCCTTTTGCTTTTTCAAAGCTCTAGCCTCTTCGCGCTTCTTTTCCTCTTCGGCTTCCCGACGCTCTTCTTCTTCAATTCGAGCTTTCTCAGCTGCAATCGCAGCAGCTCTTTCGGCTTCCCGCTTCTTCAATTCCTCTTGTTGTTTTTGTAGCTTGGCGAGGGCAGCTGGCAGCTTCTTGCCTTTGCCACCAGCAGTGGGAGCTGGTGCGACCTCTTCTGGTTTCTCTTCCTCCACTGGCTTCTCAGCCTCAGCAGTCTTTCCAGCCGGTGTCGTCTTCTTTTTCAAAGCCGCCTACAAAATATGATATTAGCAAGGGTCTCGGAGCACCTCCAACTATGAACTCCACGTACTTGTTCCTTCTTCCTCTGCTTTTCTCTCTCTTTCTTCAACTTTTCCTTCTGCGCTTTGGTAAGCATTTTTCCATCCGCACCCACTTCGTCATCTCCTGCATCGTCATTCTTTGCAGCCTTGGCCTGTACATTCTTTCCCTTTCCCTTTTTTTCTGGCAGAGCAAATTCATCGTCTATCGAAGCTTCGACCGGAGCTTTGTCTGCGAAATCGTCTTGGGGTTGTTCTTCGGCGGCCGGTGGGTCCTCTCCCTCGACAAAATCTTCCGTCTGCTTTCCTTTCTTGCCTTTCTTTTGCTTCTTGCGCATCATAGCCATGAGACCTCCTGCTACAACCTCCTCCTCTGGATCGGCCTCTGCCGCATCGGCATCAGGTTCCATTGCAGTAACAGGCTCAACTGTCTCTCCCAACTCAGTCTCCCAGTCATCATTCTGCTTCTTATTGTTCTTTTTCTTCGGCGCCATGTTGAAGATCTGTGTAATCTTTGCGACTTATCTTGAATTCAAGAAGGAAAAAGTGGAGATGTCGTAGAAATTCTACCTGCAAACGTGGCGAATTGAGTGTATTTAGATCAAGTGTTTTAATGGAGACAATCCAAAGGAATCGACTTGCTAGCCTCTAAAAATGATGTTTGGCTGGGTCGTTAGTTTGACAATCTAGTGAAAGAGTGCCAAGAAACGATTATAATTGGAACAACTTTCGAAATTCACTTTGATGTGAATGTTGTTTTGGGTGAAGTTCAATATTTTGAGGTTCGCGCGGGGCATAGGCATTTTCTATCTCGAATGTGCGTCGGCGAGTCGGCGGTTTGGATTGATTTGCGTCCAATTAACGCTAGGCAAGCATCTAAACGAGTTTACCCCCTCTTCAGGTTCCTTTCACTTCATTTTCTACTTTCCTCGAGACTTACCTATCTCTTTGTATTCTTCAGGACGAAGTTTTATATGGATTGAGAGTTATATTGCATTATTATTGAGCTTGCATTGAACTCTTGAATCTTATTCTCATCTCAAGCTACATACAATCAATCATGCCGGCCCACTCTACTTCATTATCACGTTACATACGTACATACGAGTAAAAGTATCAATTGTCATTATCCATGATCATAACATAATCCTTTCTTTCTAGGATGCACGCTCAGTATGCTATGCCTCAATTCCTTGCCTTCCCATGCCAATGATTGGCTAAGTCCAGTCCAAAACGGCTCACTTTCCATTAAATATCCAGATATCAAATGACCGGCCTCAAAAAGACCTCCAAATCAACATAAGCCTGTTCTACATAGAAAAGCGGGTTATCATCCTTCTCCATCTTACCCTCATGCATCATTTCAAGAAGTTCACAAAAACGTTGGAATTCCTTCTTGTTCTCGTCAGTTTGATGTTGACCAACTCTGAACAGTTCTTCGAGTTTTTTATTCTCTACAACCCTCTTTAAAATATCCCCATCAACTTGCATATTTTGAGGATTCTGCTCGGGTTCTAATTCGGTCGATCCCTCCCAAGGGCGTCCTCCAACAAGGCCCGAACTCCTTGCGAGATTGGCTAGAAATTTGAGGAACTGCCATGTTCGAAGATCAAGCATGGTTAAATGGTATAGTGAGCCATCAATTCCCATTCCTAAGGTCTCCGAATTTGTCTCATCATTGTGAATCACGCCCAGACAGGCAAGACGGTTGGGGTCCAAGTCAGAATCCTCATTTCTATGAACCTTCCAACTAGAATCCCACACAGGACGACAATTGGCGGATCGAAATCGGAGTACAGACGTTGGTAGTTGTGCTTCGAATATGGTGTCGAGTGTATCTACTTTCATGCCTGAACTAGCACATAAGCCAACGACAGATTTCGACCTGTCCGACACAAGATCGATCTGGCTTTTATCGGGCGCTCTAAAGGTATTTGGTCTACCATTCAGATGGTGAAGAGATTCGCGTTGAAGTTGATCAGTGTGTGTATGACGCAGCTGGACTTTTCCATCGGTTTTGATCACCTTCAAAATCTGCAGAGAGTGATGTCTGGTGAGAGCATATATCTTTCCAGAATCGTAAGAAAGTGAGATCGCTGGCGATAGTAGCTTGGCTTCTGCCGGACTATTATTGAATTTCTTGTTTTCTTTGTTTAGCGTGCTGTAGTACAGTTTGACTTCGGTGTCACTTTTCGCACAATAGTACAGCCCTTCAGAATCTCCCACGACTGAATACACCGAAGTGAAGTTCTTAAACTGCGTCACTGTCCAGAAGCTTATTTTGGCTCTGCCAGATGATGTCCTTGAAGAATCATCATTGTTAGTACAAATAATCAGAACTCTACCGCTACTGGTACAGACGACAAGAAAGTTCCAGGTGTAAGCATCATGAGAATACAGCCACTCATAAATGCAAAGGATTTTGTCATCATAGTGACCCAATCCAGCCACAAAGCTTGTTTCCGCCCCACGTTTCTCTCCCCTTGGGTCCGACAGATCCTCGCCAGTCTTGGGGTCTATAAAATAGAGTGTGCTTCTACCTTCTGTGGAAGCGCCGACGACAAAGGCATTGCGAGTTTCTGAATGGATTATTCGATATGGTGTTCCTTTGATGGGGATGCGGCGAGGTACGGTTTTCCGTTTTATCCCCATTCTTGCAAGTAGAAGTCGATTGTGTGATATCAGGAGGAGATCTGTGTCAATTGATGATTCAGATCTGAGCGGCAATATGGAGTTGATGTTCGGCTGTTGTAGGGTAGTGTCCAGTGCATCTACCAGCCAAATCTGATCCGCTTTCAGATTCGTTCTTGCTGGCCTTTTTACGAAGGAGTTTCCCTTGGCGCTTGAGATACTCAAGGTCATCTTGAAAACCTTTTCGTCGCAATTCACGAATAAACAGTTCGATTCTCCCACTTGATCTGCAATTGTCAATGTTGCCACACTACCTCCGAATCTATCACAGCGAGACCCGTGGATGTGGAATTCCTGTCCACTTTTAACGATGCCTAAGGAGATGACTAGACCTGTGAGCGTCCCACACAGTAACGTGAAGTTATCGGGGGTTGATGAGGGTATAATAACTATACTGGACAGTGCTCGAAGATCGTAGCTACATCCTTCGTAGATGGTAGGCACAGGCAAATTGAATTCATCCCGCGTAATGAACAACAAAGAGATTTCTCCATCCTTTCTCGCCCCAGCAACAATAAGCCCCCAGTGATTTTGTGGGTGCTCACACATCGCGATACATGTTAATTCTGGACCATCTCGAGTCCAGCTTCTGATTGTCCTGAAAGCATAAAGTATTGTAGGTGGCGCTATACTATTATCAACGACCGGTTCAAGTATACGAAGCAGACGCTGCTCTTTGTGATGGGTAGTGAATAATACATTTCCACTGCAGATGACAGCATCGTTAATGGATGATGCTGAAATTGATGAAGCTTGAGGAAATCCCATCATATCCAGATCATTGAATATGGTACTATAAAAATCGTTAGTTGAGTCAATCAGATTCAATCAGATCCAACGGATTGGAAAGGATCAAAGTCAATCATAAGAGATCAAACACATACCGGCGACCTGAGTCCAGAATGATAATAGATTGTTCTGTTACCTGCATCGCGCGAGTTTCAATGACGCCGGTCACAATTGTTCGACTTTTCATATCTAGTTGGGTATGTTTTGGGTCAAGTTCTTCTGCACTCGTCCAATCTGCAGAAATCTGTAAGACGGCCGAATGATCCTCGAGTGAAAGTAAAACCCAATCATCGCCATCAACCAAACCTGAGTATACCTCTGAAGGTAAAACCCATGCTTTTGTAACCGCAGAACGAAACTCAAGATTCAAACCAAGAATAGCTTCGATACCATATCTTAGCTCCGTTATGGATGATCGTGCTCCTTTTCCGCTACAAACAAATATCAAATCTGGTACGGGAACAAAGCTCTGGGGCCTAGTATTGATGTCTAAGTTGGATTTCGAGTTGTTCCTTATCGCTACAAGATCCGTAGCTGGCGACCAATTCTGCGTGTCTTTCTTAACATTGGGCTGTGCTCGCGCTCTATTCTATGATGACAGAGAGTCAGTGACTTACTCAGAAGATTTCCTTCAGCGCTGTCGAAAAGAAAGATCGTGTGCGTACACAACTAGATATACTCACCAGATAAGTTCCTCCGATGCTAGCATCACCCCCAGCAACAAGTACATCACCATGGCGGGTAACAATAGGGTCGAGTGAATAGTCTACACAGGTAAAAGCTTGTCCGATATTGCATTGCATTCTCCCAACGTCCGTCAGTGAGGGCGTAAGATCAGGATCTTCATTGTCATAGTTAACCTCCAAGAGACATATATGTCCATCCTCTCGGGCGAGATATACGTCGTCTTGTCGCGCTTTGTGATAAGGCAGACGAGTTGGTTTAGCCCAGGCTGTCCACAAGGGCATATCTGAGCCTTGATAAAGCTCGTTGGGTAGCCTTGGAAAAGATCCAATTAGTATACATTCAGGTGCACCTTCCAAAATGCCTTTGTAAACCGCCATCGAACGGTCGTTCACTAAAATAAAGGCCGTTTGAAAGCGCAATGGTATGATAAGTAAGGGGATATCATTCAAGACATAGCCTTTTTTGCTAGAATTCCTGGTTCTCACGGCCGATAAAGGATCTCCAGCTCTCCATGAATATAGTAGCATTCTTATTTTACCATTTAAGGCCATAATTAAGAGCAGTATGATATCATCAGATCCAGCCGGAGGATGCAGAAATTCCAATTTCAAGATTGCACCTTTACAGAGAACGATCCTCTCGGACTCGATAAATCGTAGTTCTTCGCCAACGGCATATTGACGATTCAGTTCCGTTCTCGTATTGAAAGCCTGGACTGTAAAACATTGCTCAGAACTACCTATGGCCATATATCTTGAGCTTGGGTCAATAGATAAATGCATTCCAGGTTGAAGCTTATCCATCGCCTTGGATAACCGTCTTCTACTAGAAATGAACCTCCAGGATCCGTCATTTGATTGGTGTAGCATCAAGAACACAGAATCACTAGACGTATCCACTTCAAGTTGTAAAACCAGGATTTGAGGTGGTAGGAGTACAGTGGAAGATGGAGGATTGTCTGGCGATGCTGAAGGGTTGATCATATCAACATCTTCAGGTTCCTCCTTGAAATCAACTTGCTCCTCTACATGGTCCTCGAGCGACCCCAGGACGCTTGCATTACGAATTCTGGAACCGAAGTCGTCTTTCCGGATGACTTCAGAAAGATGCGGGCCAACCCCTAGTCGTCTAATCTCGACGAATGTATCCTGAGCTTGTTAGCGGTCACTCAAAACGAATACATGTATCGTTAGACGTCTTTTAGTATGATACTGGAATCTCGAAAGCAGCCACATGCGACGACTGAAAGGAGGGGGAAACGGTCGTCATCAATACTTTCAAGTGTATCCAAGGTAGAGAGGGACCCGGTGAGGATGAATTGATTCTTCCTACAGACACCAGGGGTGTCATAGCAATAACAAAAAAGCCAATAGAAATCCTAACATCATGACAAAAGCAAAATCGACTACTTACACCAATAAAGGCGACATCATTATACTCCTGACCTCGTAGTCTAATGGGGAGGATCCAATGTACCAGAGGGCTTTGGATGATGGTTTGGGTCAAAACACCACGGACTGGGGGACGTATCGTTTCCATAGTATTATCAGCTGCATTGTCATCCATTTGATTGTGGTGTTGAAGCAGTGTATGGGCATCGATAGTCCTGGTAATCCATTGTCCGTCAACCAACGATTGTGTTTGCAGAGGAAGCGCCATGGAGACAATTCAAAATGGAATTTGATTGTGTCAGAATTGATTGTCATCCGAGTAATGGAAGACGCGGCGTACCTCGTATATGCAAAGCTGAATGGTAGGTAACTAGGTACGGAGTAAAGACAGAGCAGAAAATGGAATGATTATATGGTATTTAGGTATAACTCAGTAGGAAAGAAGATATCAATGGGTTGGAGTTACCTCCAAAAAATAGTTATATACTAGGTAGGTAGGTAGATAGGTAGGTAGTTATATTTTACCAACTTGAGTGAGTTTGAATGCCGTGGCCAGCACAGTTTCGGTACAAGTTATCAATATGCGATATGATACATGTATGTGTTTGTATGTGACCTTCCCTTGGGTTGGGTCGTGACTGACTTCTGTAACTCGTATTGTATTTAGCCTTGGAAGATAAGGCTGCTTGATTGAGACCTCTTTCGGCCCGAAATATCAATGAATGTAAGATTTCCAGACATTTCTTTCTCTATTCTCTACCTATACTTGTACAAAGAATATATCTCTTCTCGAGAAAATCATACCTAGGGGTATACTTTTCAATTGACGACGTGTTTTCGTTGTTGTCAAAAAATGAGTTTATTGATAGATCCATATGAAAACCAACCATCAAGTGTCGCTTCTACTCGATTTTTGCGCTAATTTGTCGAAACGGAACAACAATGGAAGGGATACTTCACTACAAGTCTACAAGTCTACAACTGGCCATTTCTGGCCCTTTGTCGGATTTCTATCTCCGACTTTGCAACAAAGCTATCATGAGAATTCAACTCCTTGACTTTCAAACTCGATATGGAGACTAATGGGCAACACATCAAGAGAGAGATATCCTCGGCAGATTCCTCACGGACCTCGTCCCGCTCCCCGTCATATTCCAGCAAGCTGAAGGAACTACGAGAACCTACCGTGAAGGAAGTTAAAATCTTAGAGGCATGCAAATGGAAAGATTTAGATACAATAAGGGATTTGGCAACGTCGAAGGATGGGTTGATTTCAGATGATGTCCGTCGTCAAGCATGTATGTTTGAAGCTCCCTTGACAAAACTTTTAACTCGAGACTAAACGAATAATAGGGCCTATCCTTCTCGGTTGTGAGAGTGACCATGGCGACACAAAGGGCAATGTAACGAGCTGGAAGGAACTGCCAAAGCATGGGGATGAGGACCAGGTTGCTCTGGATGTTAATAGGTCCTTCATATACTACCCAAATGGTATGATCATGGCAACATAATGATGCCGCACAGTACAAAGAGCTAATTGTAACACAGACCAGACCTCGAAAGAGATTGGTCATAGGAAAGAAGAACTATCTGACCTCATAATCGAGGTTCTCCGTCGTAACCCTTATCTCTGCTACTTTCAAGGTTACCACGACATCTGCCAAGTACTCCTCCTCGTTCTTTCACCTACCACCCGCACCCTGTCAGTTGCTCGTCTCTCTGCGCTTCGAATCCGCGATTTCATGCTTCCAACTCTATCTCCCGCTCTCGCACAACTCCGCTTGATTCCCTCCATCATCAACACTGTGTCTCCCGCTCTTTGCACCCACCTCTCTCAAACTCAACCATTCTTTGCCCTTTCTGGCACACTCACAATGTACGCACACGATATACAAGAATATGGAGATATAGCCCGACTTTTCGATGTTCTGCTGGCCCGAGAAGCTGTATTTTCGGTCTATATGTTTGCACAAATCGTCATTTCACGCTCTGAAGAGCTCTTCGAAACACCTACCGATGAACCGGAAATGCTACATTCTATACTTTCTAAACTGCCTAAACCTCTAGAGCTCGAATCTTTGATATCAAATACCGTCAATTTATTCCAGGATCATCCACCCGAAAGTCTAGCCTCCTGGAGATCTATATCCTCATCCAGCGTCCTTAAGACCGCTCGCTGGCCCGATCAAATCACAGAACAGAGCCTTTCAGACGGCCGGAGATATTTCGCACAACAAGTAAGAGAACTACAATGGGCTGCAAAGCGCGATGAAATATTTGAGATGATGTGGAAATGTAGACGACCTGCGAAAGCTATCGGAGTTGCAATTTTGGTGGGGATTTTCTCATATTATTGCTTGCCTCCGTCAAGTGTTGTAGGAAGACGCTGGACGTCCATATTTCGAGTGCTCTGGGGGTATATGGGCGAAGGATTGAATGGTCATGGAAATACTGGTTAGAAAGGCATACTGGTTGTGTGTGAGGGCTATGGGATGGGCGAAATAGAAATGGAGTATTGATGGTATGGTTAATGGCTGGGTGGAGTACGGTTTCTTCTAACAGCTTAGATTTTTTCCGGCTCTGTTCCCACCATAATTTAAAAGTTCTTTGTTTTTTTGCACAAATACAAAAAGAATGATCAAAACCGGCCTCCATATGTGTACACGCTCAAAATTTCCAATCCAGCACGAAGAAGGGGGAGAATGATCAAACACCCTCTCCAAAAGCCTTCTTTAACCCCTCAAAATGCGCTCTCTGATCCCCGGCCAATTTCCCCTCGACATCTCCCACAATCGTCAAGATTAACGAATAATTATTAAACAAAAATCGTTCCTTCTTCCTCTTATCCTGCATCACCCCCGCACACTTGGTTAAAAACGCTTCCATCTCGCTTCTTAATCTTGCTACACTACTTGCGACAGGCTCATCATCGCCCGCCTCCGTGCTGAGTTCCAAGATCCCCTGTAGGAATTGGCCAAATTTTTGGGTCATGAAGTGTGGGGCGGCGGATTGTTTGGCTTGTTCCGAGGCTGAGGGTTTGCGGGTTGGGAGAGCGGAGGTCAGGGTGCGGACGGAGTCGCAATGCGTGTCCATTGCGAGTTGGAAGCGGGGCCACAGGAGCATGGATGTTGCGTTGATGTACGGGTCTACTGCCGGGATCTTGCGGCGTTGGAGCGAAAATGCGAAATGTTGATTCAAACGTACGCACAGGAGGAGGCCGAGACAATCGTGAGAATCGTGGACAAGGGTTTTAGTGAGGGTCTGGCCGAGAGAGAAGGTGGGTTCGAAGATGTAGTTGAAGTGGCGGGAGATGGTGGCGTAGGTGAGGGATGGGGAGAAGAAGGAGGTTAGGAAAGAGTATTCGGCTGAGGCGTTATCGATGAGGGCGAGATTGAAGTTACGGAAGGGGGATTCCATATAGTGGGTTTGTTTGTCTTCTTCGGCAAGAAAAGAGGGAAGGGCAGTCTGGTTGGAGGTTTTGAGAAGATCAATTCGTCGACCTATGTTGAAGGCATCATGTGGTGGACCTGTTTGTTTGGATCCGGAGAGGAGGGTGGTTTTACGAGACCCATCGTCTGACCCAAGCACATCGTGTTTGTCTAGTACATGTAGTTTGATATTTTCCAGTGCCTTTGCATAACTGGTGAACTGATTGAGGAAGTACCATCGCATCGTATTCATATATGCTTGACCAATCTCCTCGGCCAATTTTGGGTGATGCCTATGCAAAAATGCATATAGATCTTTGTACCGAAGAAAGTGTTGTTGTTGGATGATCTGGGCATTTATATTAGGTGACCGTAAAGATTTCACTTGAGCAACAAGGAAATCTCGGATCCTCTCCAGTGCCTAGATGCAAAAGTCAATATATTTGTAGGCGAAATCAAAGTAGGAGAGCCTACCTTAGAAACTAGATTCTCCAGCAGAGGCCTGAGATCATTGACTCCTTTGATATTCCGTTGCTCCTTTGATTTGGCATCCATTGCCTTTGACCGCTTCTCAACCTCTGCCAATGCTCGAACCCATGCTTCATCTATAGCTCCATCCACTATCTTCTTGACGACAGCTGGGGAGACACTGATCTCCTCCACTATAGGTCCAAGTCCATTTTCTACCACCTTTCGGTTTTCCAACCGTATACTCAATGCTGTTGATCGTGCTTGTAGAGTCTCGATCTCGGCAGAGACCATAGCAAGATCATTCTGGAAGCTGGTGAGGTTTGTTTCGACTGATTGTAAGACATCGTCGCAGGCGCGAATCGATCGGTGGAGGTCTTCGAACTTTTCTTTGTCACGCTCATCTATCCATGGCATCAGCACTTACGCATCGCAAAACATAGTGGTGGGAACACATACATTCTTCAAGAGTTTGTGATTTATGTACATGCTCATCCTCAATATCGAGAGGTTCTCCTGCCACAATATCCTCTAGACTTAAACCTCCGAGATCCCATTCGCCTTCATCATCTTCCTCTCTTATGGGAGCGACGGTCCCATTCACAGCTCTCTGTCCGTTCGCAGATGGCGATTTATTCCCTTCCCCATCGTCTAATAGTCTTTCTAACACCTCTAAAGGATCCAGCGCATTCGCTGGTGTAGCTGCTTGTTTGAGGTTCGAACCATTGGGTCTCCGTGATGATGATAATAAGGACGTGTTGGAGTCATTGGAGACTAATGATAGGGAAGAGGATCTCGGATTGAAAGGGGGTCTACCACCAACTGGCGACGGCACAAGATGAGTCGGGCGACGAGGTAGATTCGGGGTTCTGTTTAATGGTGGAGGTGGAGAGGCCGAAGGTGTTGTATGCCCGGATAATCGGTCTAATGGCCACATTCTGATGATTGAAATGTAGATCAGTTAATCCTATTAACCATGCGCCAATATCAAAAGAAAGTGCCGAAGATATTATGCTTCAAGTGAAGTGCGTAGGTATTCCTCGTCGTCGTTGTTATGGCCTAAGGAAAGTAGCAAAAAGGAGCTCCAGCTTATCGATATCGAACAGACCAGATTATCGGAAATGGCATTCTCAGCACCATAGCTTTCGGCACCGTTGTCAAAATCGAAAATGAAAATTATTACCTTAATTGCAGAAATAGAATGAACCAAAGGGATATTCCACCACCCTGCAAACAATTCTCATCCTTAATTTACCTTGTGAGAGGGGTCAAGATCAAGATGCTGTAGTTGAGTTGATGAGTATGAAATAAATGCCCCCAGTACTGATTGTATCTCATTTAGATTGATAGCGATAACTAACTAAACGGCCAATGTTCGCTGCTCCAGCCACTTTTTGCTTTAACTGGAATCGAGAATAACTTGATATTCTATTCCATACTCACAGTAGACAATTATCTTCAATGTAATCCCTAGGAGATTGGAAACAACATAAGTATATAACAATTAAAGTCAATCATGAAAATTACCAAGATCGTACAGGTATATCGATAACAAGTATCAGTATTAAGCCCCAAATCCTTCCCAGATTCTCTTTTCAGCCACTTGTCACTGAGTCATTATATCTATTCTAGATACCTAGCTATATCAATCATTATATAATGCTTTACAAGAAACTATTCAATATAAATATAAGCTTCCAAAAAACCGTGGTATAACTTAAGAGATGATTCGAGAATAGATATATTTATACTTGATATATACATTATTAAGATATCAATATTAAACGTTGACAATAATCATAGTAACTCCGATATATTCAATTCCTCAGCCACTTCTTACTTGATTTATCCAATAACCATAATAGGAATGGAAGTCCAAATGAAATTATTTGATTGGTTAAATCATATCCACCCTTGACCTTTTTTTTACCCAAAAAAAAATGGAACTAAATAGTCGCTAAAAGCGACACCCCTCTCGTGCTAGAAACAAACTTATTATCTAACTTTCCACACCACATTCTCTTCTTCCTCGAATTTATTCTTCCACCTCCTAATCTTCCGCAATAATCTCATTCATCGCCATTACTCGACCAATTTTCATTTAACTATCCAAATTTCGTCGTAAATTTTTCAAGATGTCTGGAGAAGCCCCCGTCGATGACTCTCAAGTAAGATAGAATTTATCCTTTCTCTTGTGTGTCGACTTCACCCCGCACATATTCTCTTCCCCCCCACCCAAAACCACTTTGCGCGCATGTTGTGTCGGATTTAAAAAACTACGACGACGACAAAGACGATAAAACTTGATAACTAACCATTTCTTCCTAACAGCATGAGCACACCTTCGATTCTGCCGATGCTGGTGCATCCACCACCTACCCCATGCAATGTTCTGCCTTGAGAAAGAACGGTTTCGTCTGCATCAAGAACCGCCCTTGCAAGATCGTCGACATGTCTACCTCCAAGACTGGTAAGCACGGTCACGCTAAGGTCCATCTCATCGCCATCGATATCTTCACCTCAAAGAAGCTCGAAGAACTCTGCCCATCCACCCACAACATGGATGTCCCTAACGTTTCCCGTATCGAATACCAATTGGTAAGATTAGCAGATTGAGATTTTGGAAGTCCCCCGCTGATAAATCTTTACAGCTCGATATCACTGATGATGATTTCCTCTCCTTGATGTCCGAAGGTGGTGATCTTAAGGATGATGTTAAGTTGCCAGACGGAGAGGTTGGACTGAAGATTCGTGCTCTTTTCGACTCCGACAAGGAAACTAGTAAGTAGCACAAGCTCAGGGGATTTTCAATACACCACTGACAGATCCGTTTAGATGTCATTGTTCTCACTGCCATGGGTGAGCAACTCGCTATCGATGGAAAGGAGGCACCAAAAACTGGTTAAACATTTTACAAGCAATATCGGACCTGGATTTTCGTAATAGCGTGGGTTGTTCTGTGTGTAGATCTGTTCGCTCGAAAAATCCTTTACATGTAGAGGAATTTGATGCTTTCGGTCATCTACATTCTTATGGTCTTTGCGTTGGGCGATTTGATCTACGAAACCTTGGTCACACTGGTTATTTCTTCTGGCTTTCCCAACATCGTAATCGCCACGCCATTCTTGATGTTCATGATCTTACTTGACCGGCGTAGTCAAGCGGGCATGCGGGATGTGACCACTACATATTCTCAACAAAAATCAATGACGTTTTCCATCAAAATTATCGAATCCCTATGTGAGACTTGTGAACACAATTTCCCTCGGTAAAGTAGTGACACCTGAGTAAAAAGTAGAATGAAATTGATGGGGTTGTCTACCCGCTTCTAGCGCCGCAAAAATCGGAATGTAAACGATTATTTCGGGAAATTGGAATTTCACAAAACCGAACATGACATTGAACATCTGAATCTGAGAACTCTCAAAGTGCCGGTTGCTGGGGTAAATAATGTCATCGGCGATTGATTACCACAAATTTCGAAAGGGGGAGAGCTGTAGCGAAGAAGGATGTCGCGCTCGAAAATTCTACATTGAGGATGGTAAAAAGTTTTGTCAACGAGGTCATGAACAAGCCGTTCGTAATTTTTCCAAATTCAAACTGTCCTCAAAATTAACACATACTAGGGTTTTACACAAACTCAACAAGATGAAGATGACTGGAATCAGCAAGGGAAAAAATCACGAAAAAGGCGAGAAGAGAAAGAGCAAGTTGAAAAGGTTTTCGGGGGTCGTGATGCCACGCAACTCTATTTACAATGTTACCAATTAATACTTTGGAAACAAACTCACTGGCTAGTGACAGTGAAGGGATTTCCTAAGGAGCTCGAGACTATCGTGAGAGACTTGTGGGAATTGAGATTGAGATTTTTGCAGGGTTCCGGGGAGGGGAGAAGTGAGTATGGGACGGAATTTGGGTCGACGACGGAAGGAGACGACACAGATACAGATGTGACGGGTTATGTGAGTACGGCTTCGACTATTGTGTGCAGAAAGAAGGCATCCAGAGCGAAGAAAAATCTCCCCAAATTAATTGAGACTTTGGGGTTTTGTTACCTTGGAACACTACTTTTGAGGTTGCCTACAAGCTTAGGAGAGATATACAAATGGGCAGTCAGGGATGAGATTATATATACACGAGCGGTAAGTGCAGTCTCGAGTTTCACATATTTCGACTGACAGAAGCTTTTGTCTATAGGTTAAAGAGATCCCCAAGGATATGAGAACTCGATTACCAGGTCATTATTTTAGGGCACTTGAAATCCACGGCGTCTTAAATGGGCACCGACTTCATCAAACAGTACTTCATATGGTTTCTTTCTACAAATATAATTTCGAGATGGTGCTTCCCCCATTGAACCACAAGCTACTTTTGTACAAGCATGTCAGAGATTTGGGTCTTCCAGGTATGTTCTCGGCTTCATAGTTCTATTCCCTAGTCTAACATTTCTTAGTCGATATTTACACGGCTGTGAACCATCTTGCCGAGCTTCTCAAATATGATTTTTTATTCCCCATCCATAATAGGCGTTTCCACGGAACGACTGGTTATCCGGAGTATCAACTCATGAGTCTGATAATCATCGCCACTAAACTCAGCCAGCCTTTTGACGACATTATCCGTCACCCGGAAAGCAAATCAGATCCCACTGCTGCTAAAATAAACTGGACTAAATGGCGGAGTATTATGATTGAAGATCGTAGTGAAGGGCTAAAGCGCGGAGACGAGATTAAGATCACAGATACCGACGTGTTCAAATTGACAGGAGCACAGATGGACGATTGGATGAATTGGTATCACAAAACCTGGGTCGATGACAGAGACCACAAAGGTAAGGAGACATGATAGCTGTTGTATATATTCATTCTAATATTGTGAACAGTTCCTGAGCAGATTCTGGAGCTTTTCCCTTTACCGGATATTCCATCTGAAGCGACAGTGGGAATAGTTGATCCGGATCCCATAAATCGGGCCAAAGAGGTTCATAAAACTTTAACTCTTCAGAAACCGGTCGCTCGTATGGATGATGAAGAGTCTGAAAACATCGTACGGCCAGGCGAGATGTATAGAAGATACCGAACGATCGAGGAACTACCTGAAAGTGCCAAAGCTTTTTATGAGATTGCTGGTAAGTTCTCGTCGTTAGAGTTCTTGTGGCTTTCACTAACCTTAGTATAGCGAGAAACATCGGGACATCTCTTCAAAAATTGGTACACGGCGTCTTTACTACAGAAATTCGATTGGATAAATGGATGCTGGATGAGCGGAGGAAAGATTTATCGGAGCAGGAAGAGGGTGAGACAGGACACAAGGAGGCGGAGGAGAGGAGACATAAAGAAGACGACTCGGAGGAGGATGATGAGTATGATGAGAGAGACGCGGATTCTTTTAGGAAGGAGTGATTCAAGGGTATCTGCTCGATAGTTTGCAATCTTGTAAGGAATGGTTCTTGTTCAAACATTCAAAAGGGGTACAATCTTGGTCTAGAGAAAGATATAACGGCGTTTAGCATTTAGTATAGATACCCAGAGAAATACACCAATCTAGTAAATTTCAATTTTAATAATTGACATCCCTTCATTCAGTCCAATCGATCAATGATTCATTCTTTCAATCAATCAATGATATAAATTATTTGCTGATATCAAATTAGGACCTTGATGGATGGCTAAGAGCAGCCTAAAATTCGAGGATTGATAATTGTGCACATCATGTGATTGGACGCGCTAGGGCTCCTCGCTTCCACAACCCACATTCTGCAATATTCGACTTTCGAAATTTGTAGATACCACGACAACAACGACAACGAAGAACCACAGCAATCAGTAAGTTATACCATGCATACGGTCATGTAGAATGTTTGCGAGCAATTACTGATTCTACTTGCGATTTTAGTGCAGATGTAAGAGGCCCCGATTTTCCATCACCACCACCCACCGCAGGATTATCCGATTTCGAGAATTACTTGCGACATTTGATGTGCGAATTGGAGGGTAGCAGGCTGATGATATGATAATAGCTTCGTCAAGACCCTTACGGGCAAGACCATCACCCTTGAGGTCGAGTCCTCCGATACCATCGACAATGTTAAGTCCAAGATCCAGGACAAGGAAGGAATTCCTCCCGATCAACAACGTTTGATCTTCGCCGGAAAGCAACTTGAGGACGGACGTACTCTTTCAGACTACAACATCCAAAAGGTACGAACATCTACACACCAAATTGGGTCGAGAAGTCGGGTTTATCTGGGGATCCTGTTGTGATTAGAGGGGCTATGTTTGGGAGATAGTGGGATGGAATATCGGGATCGGTTGATTGACATGATTATTTTACAGGAATCCACCCTTCACTTGGTCCTCCGTCTCCGTGGAGGTATCATTGAGCCATCTCTTAAGGCCCTTGCCTCCAAGTTCAACTGCGACAAGATGATCTGCCGAAAGTGCTACGTACGTCTTTCGCTCTTCCACCATTTCCCAGCAACCAAATACTAATTATCGAATTTAGGCCCGTCTCCCTCCCCGTGCTACCAACTGCAGAAAGAAGAAGTGCGGACACACCAACCAACTCCGCCCAAAGAAGAAGCTCAAGTAAATGTTTCGCTCTTATGGCGTTTGGGTTCACAGGGAGATTGTGGAGGGAAGAATTGGTGCACGGATGTATCGATGGATTCTTTACATGGCCGGCTCTGTATTTGAGAACAATAGCAAGAGGCACATGAAGCAATCAAACGGTTCCTCAGTACACCAATTACAAATATCTTCATGAACGCATTTTGATGTGTAGCTGGAATGGAAGTGCACATGTGCTCACCTGTTAGGACTACTTTGTCTCGACCTGAGAATTCAATTCTGGGCTCTGAGCTAATTTTGGAAGATTTCTTGCTACCCAGCAGCATAGATGAATCCCACTGCTATTCGCTATCATAGCTATGCATTATCTCGGAGAAAGATAGCCACCGTGACGACTGATGCTCCGAGCATTATCACCCCTTTCCTTTGGCCACAGTCATTTCAAGGCGACCTAGTATATGATAAGGGGTATCTAAGCAGTTGTAGAAGATATGTTTGTCCCATCTGGTACCTAGGTACCTATAAGCTTGCGTATTAGAAAACTACCTTCCAGGTGAAATCTAAATAGAAACGAACTTGGTATAATTTCGAGTGATTTGCTGGTAGGAACATCTCAGAGCCTAGATCTATTTCAACAAGTTCGACTTGTAGTACCTACCTATACAAGCAGTTATTAAAGCTCAAGAGCCTTACTATAATATTGATGTTGTCAGCCAATTAAAATATACATACCTCTATGTAATTCTCATCTAGTATAACCTTGAAGAGATATCTTGGTGAAAGGATAGCTTGCAAAATAATAACATATATTGTCCCACCTAAACCTAATCAAGCAGGTTAAATGTTCGTCTTACAGGGATGATAGCACCTGCATCACTAGCGCGCCCATCCAGATTCGTAAGCTGTCCCAAGCTACAAACACCAATGCATTGTACACAGCACTTCCCACAACATCCACAAATTCCTATAATTGCAGCAAAACGAAAATGTCGGGTGCTGGATATGATGTTGTCGTCGATGTGGATGTGGATGAGGAGGTATGCTCAACCTTTGATTCTAGCCAGAACTCATTCCCCAATCTCAGCCTCTAAACGCGCATCCAGTACTAACAAACACAGGGTGACCTAGGTCACACTGATCTCCAAGAAGATCTCTCCTTCCACAACTCCAACTTCGAAACGAATCCCTCCTCCTCCCACAATAAACCCACATCACCCGGTCTCCCCGCCCCAGCTACTTCAGGCGGTCCTAGTACCTCAAAACGTTACCTCTGGTCCCTACATTTCTACTCCCAGTTCTTCGATGTCGATACTTCATCTGTTCTAGCAAGATGTTGGGCAGCTTTATACCCTCGCGCGAATTTCTTGGATGTATTAGAGGGGAACCCGGATCTGTATGGTCCGTTTTGGATTGCTACGACGGTTATCTTTATTCTGTTTATGGGAGGGACAGTTAGTTTGTATTTGGCGGAGAGGGGTGAGGGGAAGTTTGCTTATGATTTTGGATTGTTGAGTGGTAAGTTCTCATGTTCATCTCGTCTTTTGCGTGATGTAATGCGCAGCGATGGGCAAAGAAGATGATCACAGTACTAATTCGAGTTCTACAACAGGTGCCGCAGGTCTAATCTATGGCTACACATTCATAATCCCCATTCTCCTCTTCCTAGCTCTCAAATACTTTGGCAGTGAATCTGCCAATCTTCTCGAATGCGCCGCTCTTTACGGCTACTCCAACCTCGTATGGATTCCTGTCGCATTGGTTTCTTGGTCCTCTTTTACAATTATGAATTGGGTATTTGTGGGAGTTGGATTTGGCTTGAGCGTCGCTTTCCTCCTCAGAAACTTATATCCAGTCCTCAGCGCTACGGACAAACAGATAAGTAAAATACTACTTATCTTGGTGGTGGTTCTTCACGCGGGTTTGGCAATTGCTATCAAGGTGTTATTTTTTGCGCATGGAAGTCCGGTGGCTAAGAAAACTGATGCAGATGATCCAGCAAAGGGGGCTGATCCAAGCAGGATGTTACTTTAGGGACTGGGAAGTTCTGCAGGAATCTTTTTACTTTTTGCTTCGTTATTGGGCGGTAAGGAGAGATGAAGTAAAGGCCGGTCCGGATAAGAGAAGAGGAGAGCGATATTTACAAGGCGTAAAGTTTCAAAATCAAGCAAATATATCGATACCCATCATCATGTACAATATATCATATATCATATTTGTATAATAGTGCAATGCGAGTCTAAATTTCGTACTAAGTCCTGATTCCATTTCCATTACACATACATGTCGCGCTTAGTTAAGAAATTGGCTTTTAACTACTGAGATCCTGACATCTTTGTAGTTCTATTACTATTTTATGTCCGGTATGGTGAGTGAATATGGTGAGTGAAGTTCTCCTATAATTTGTCGCTCTCTTGGAAAAGTCTGTGATCCAATTGTATAGCAATGCTCCCGGTGAGCTTCATAAATGCTTATAATCCCCAGTAGCTTGTGTCTTATTTCTACTCCCAGTGAGCTATTACCAATAGTTAGATTTAATATACTTCGAAGATGTTGTATTATTTTTCTGGTTCAGTTTTATTTATATATATTTATGGTTTATTAATATACTCGAGTATATGAATGACATCAATTTAACAAGGATCGCTAGACCTATTTACCTAAATCCGGGGTAATATTTCATTTCACCCCATTTTATTCATCCCCATCAACATTATCTCTCTGCAACATACAACATAGGTACAGCATACAACATACCACCAAATCTTAATACAAATCTTCACAAACTTTAGCTCGAAACCCTCACCGCCATCAAAAGAAATAAGAGAGTAGTAAGAATCCGGTATAAATTGAACGCCAAAACCTCAAACGATGTCTACCCCCCGAGTATCTCGCACATTCATCCGCGCAACGCGAGCGCGGATAGGAGTACCGTCTTCGAGTTGTTATACTACATCGCACTTCGCAGTTACGAATAGTAGTAATCTGTGTGCTCGAATTCAGGATAGTGGGTTGAAGAGCGTGGGGGGCTTGGGTAGAGAGCTGGCTCGACGGGTTGGACGGGTTGGACGGGTTGAACAGTTTAGAGCCTACTCGCAGGAAAATGAAAAGGTTCAATCGAAACAATATACATTCGAAGATGTTTGTCTCCCCCCCCCCTGGCTCTATTTCGTTAGTAATGAATGACTTAACTAACCTCCTCCCTCTTCTCTTCCCAGATGCAAAGCCTATCCTCCACACCAACCACCACTCGCCCTTCTACTCATATAATCGACGTCCGCACTCCGCTCGAAATCCAACATACGGGTCGGATTCCCACGGCTTTGAATATTCCCATCACAACATATCCTGATGCCTTCAGTATTAGCGAAGAGGAATTTGAAGATCGATTTGGGTTTGAGAGGCCAGGGAAGGCGGATGAGTGCGTCTTTTATTGTAAGGCGGGGGTGAGGAGTAGGATGGCGGCGGAGATTGCGAAGGGCTGTGGGTGGGAGAGGGTGGGGGAGTTTGAGGGGAGTTGGGGGGTGTGGAGTGAGAGGGGGGGTGAGGTGGAGAAGTGAGGTGAGGAGATGGGATGAGGGAATTAGGGGGGTATTGGAATTTGTAGGGTGAGGCTTCGATCTGAAAGGGGTGTTGTAAGGCCGTATAAGCTTTGAATCACCGATCATTATCCAATAAGTAAATCGGGCAGTACATTGTCGATGGGGGGATCCCTGGATACACTGCGGATGCGGGTGCACTCATGTGCATTCTGAGCAGCATCAACGAAGTAAAATCGTTCTTGCAAAAAGTCATACCTTGAACAAATCATAGATCAAGTCACCAAGAAGTAAATAACACAGCATGCACAAAATAAAACAATACACTGTATATCTCTCCAAGACTACAAGTCTAAGAAATATATCTAACTTCGAATCTATCCTTTCTTTTTTACTTACTTTTCTTTTTCAATTATTGGTATATACTTCGAGTAATCTTACCTACTCTTACAAGTTATATCATTTCCTGATAATGTTTTTGGATTCTTGGATTTCTGTTTATCAAACTTATTTTTGTTCATTTATTTATGCTACTTGAGTAATGATTGGTATTTGAGTAATGATATTTGAGTATAGAAAGAAATGATATGGTATGAAATGATGTACTATTTATTTCAAAATCAAAAGTAAAGTTCATAATGATCTGGCCCTGTTTATGTGAGGTTTGTATTATATTATATTTCTATAGTTTGTTTCATGTGTAAGTATTAGTAAAAGTATTAGTATAAGGAAAGTATTTATAATGTAATATATTGAAGTAATATATATAATAGTTTATATTCCTTATGTCTTTTATTTCTTTGGGGGGGTTTTTATAATAAGTTATTTTATGGGAAGTATGTGTGTATTGGGTCGGTATGTGTGTTTTTATGATATTGAGGTTTTTGGAGAGAAAGATGGGGTTTGGGGTGGGTGCGTGGGTAGGTTGTGGGTGGTAATAGATGGAGGATGAGGGGTAGATGAATGGGGATTGAAGGTTGGGGATGGGGATGAGAAAAGAGAGGGTAGATAGATAAGTTTGTAAGGAGAGGGGGGCAAGAGGGGAAAGAGAGATGAGTGAGGGGGACGAGGGGACGTAGTAGAGGGGGGACGAAAAATAGGGTACCAGAAAAAGTCAAAGGTCCTAGAGAGTAAGTATCATCTACGAAAGATTGAGAGAATGATAAAAAAGCAGTTTTAATGTTCATACCATTAACAAAATATAATTTCCTTTAAATGAAGAGTATTCCCTAAACCCTTTAGATCGATCCTAGATATTATATTATGGTGAAACCGAGACGAGGCTCAGCCGCTCACTTGACAGTTGTGAGCTCAAGGTTTGAACTTGTAATTTGTAATTTGTTCTTTGAGAAGTTAAAATAACTGATCTTCTCACCTGCACCGCCGCGCCGGGCTATAAATACATACACTCACTCCGAGTAAAGGAATAAGGACTATCCACCTCCATAAACCTTCAGGCTGAATGAAAGATCTCCTACAAGACTTGTAACTTTTGAGTTTTCCAATATACCATACTGGCATTGATATGAATGGGAGATATAGGATATAGTAGAAGATCAATCGATGTACGGTTTCATTAGGACGATATCAAATTCATCATGAGATTATTCGAGATGCATGGAAAGGAATAGCAAACCAGCGATGAAATATTATATCAAGCAAGGACTAAAACATTATTTATGGATATATATCGACGACAGGTAGACCGTCAGATCAAAGTCCTTAGCATAGGCCGAGTAGTCACTGTAGTGCTTGTGCTTGTGCTTGTGCTGTATTTCTTAATATCCCTCAAGTTTCAGGTGTGGAATAAGATGTGCTTCAAAAAGCATATCTTTTCATCTCAAACTTTTAACTCAAAAATCTTCAAGAGATCCGTCCGGGACTAGAAGCTGTGGACTCACTCAGTTACATGAGTTTACCGAAACGATATGCTAAAGCAAAACCAGCAATGTTTTCGGGTTTGATGGGATACCTGATACTCACTCATCTCTCCGTTTCATGCCCGGGATCAATCTTGGTAGGTATCAAAGTCCTGCCAAATTCTTAGATATTGTCTATGAGAGAAACATCCGTCGTTTGCGGAAACTATTCCAGTGATGATCATGTTTTGAATACGACGAGACGAGGCTAATCATTCCATTCCTGAGCTATAGTAATGAGCCAAAATGTTGAGTCTTGCTCATCTAAACAAAGGACGAATATAACCAACGTGCAAATGGATTTTGAATGAAGACCAACAAAAAGTTAAAAATATAATTACACATACAACAGTGGGGATTCGCTGGTGGTCACCCACCCAACTACTAATCCACCGATCTGAAGCTTGTGTATGGCAGAGCGGACGGGATGCCCAATTCTCTTCAGTCTATGGTCGTATGTGGAAGAACATGCTTTGAATCGAATTATATAGGGTATTTTCTTGCATGTGATGCTCTCGCTTGGACATAACGAATTCGATTAGGAGAGAAGATGTGGAAGGATTTAAAGGAGAGAGCTCAGTGGACATAATTTGGTTTGAAGATATATTGTATCTTGGAAGATTGAGAGAGAGAGAAATGTTTGGATAGGTTTGGTGGTGTGATGAATTATATCCACCCATCGTTCCCTTGATTTTCATGAGAGGAGCTTTGAGTAAATACTCTGAATCTCTGAAATCAGCCTGAAATAAATCACAAATAAGATAATTCGAATACGAGTTTGAAATGATAGAGAGAAATTTTGAAACAATGGAGATGGGGGTATAAAGTGGAATGGGAAAATCGGAGTTTGAATCAAATCTAACCTTCCCCTGAACCTTAAAACACGCGTATAGAGGTTTTCCTCAGTGGATTGTGGCTTAAACTTTTCCCTCCAACCCTCCCCCGCACATCTCGGCTCAAGCTGAGCAAAAAAGCAATGGCGGTGTCCTAGAATAATTGCTTTGGTTTGATAGGTATTCCTCCCAACATCTTATTGAGAAAACATAAGCTAAGAGCTCAAACAGTAATGTAATCTTAAACGGTATTTAGATGGAAATACAATAACCACCATCATCAATGATTGGGTTTGAATTGTTTTTATTAATGAAAGTCCAGAAGCTCTCACTGAAGAGATGATTGGTCTTTTTACCAATACGGCTAATTCTGACGGAGGATTCACACCCCTCTTCCTCTTCTGGGGAATATCATACATAAGGCCGTTCTATGAGAGATAGCCCAGGTGCTACTCCAGATGAGGTTATAGCTCGATTCGCCTGACTGGCTATTGCGGAATTGGAAAGTGGAATCTAGAGATTACCTGGACAATGAAAAGGGGTCCTAAATTTCAAATAGCAAGTAGACGAGGTTGCTCGGATGTTGCTGTTGCTTTGAACTTTGACGGTTAATAGTTAATTGATGCCCATTTCTCCACTTTTATCGCCCAATACCGGTCTATTCGTCGTCGATACGCTGCGACTCCGAGTAAACATTTAAATAACGTTGCTGGGCTGGGCGGGCTGAGGCAGGCTAGGACTCAAGGCATGTTTATTTTAATTTGTGAGGGTGATCCGATTATGGGTGTTTTGAGACGAGCTGGCGTGAGAATACTTCCCGTAAATAGAAGATACGAAGATATGATTCTTGAACTTCTTGAAGCATTCAAGCTACTGTACATATCATCTAGGTAGGAGCTGTCAAGACATAGATCTGTTGGTATGGTGAAGGTAAGAACGCACAACTAGGTACAGTAGCCACCAATTTGCTTCGGAACAAACAACACCAATGAAACAACTAAAGTGAACATCCGCTACTGTCTTGAGCCTCCATCATTCTGACCAATCCTAACAATCTTATCGGTGTTTATAGCCATTTGTAACCCAAGATACTTACTAGTAAGTACTCAGATAAGCTTCGGAATATAGTGAAGTTGATTTGGTAATCCAAAACCAGGATTCATCTGCATCATATCACATAGAACAGTAGAAGACAGACAAGATGTAGCACAGAGACTTATTAAATTGGCCCAAATAGTCAATTAGCAGTCACCCGCCTCAACAAAACATGAGAACGAGAGGGGTGACCAACCATAATTGTTCTGTGCCTGACATGTTTGCGAACTAATTAGCTATATAAGATATAAGAGTACCTAGTGAATAACGGTAATCTCTCCCCCTTTGTAGATATAATGGTGAATAGTACTTACTCCATATAGTTTGAGATGCTTCATTACCTAGATAGTAGGTACGCGGTATATAAACTCTTTCACTTATTTGTTTTGTAGTTGATGATGCTTCATTACCGTTACCTAGGTACTTTCTCTCTCTCTCTCTCTCCCGTTCCATTAACTCCTTCGGCTTTTTAGCCAGATGTCTCATTTCCCAAAGACCAAACAACGAATAGTTCACATTTGATTGACACCAATGGCGCCACCAATATCTAATTCACCCCCACTGATTTTCCTTTTGGGATTTTCCTTTTCGGTTCTCTTTTTGCCTTGTCTAATCTCTCATTATCTATAATCCTTGTTGATTGAAATCATCGAGATAATTCTTCCATCAGCCAATTCACCCGATTGAACAACATTATTGGCTACTTTGTAAATTGTCAAATTGTCAAATTGTCAAATTGTCATGGTGGACTTAGACTTAATCACTTAGCTAATCAAATTCCGACCCTTCCATTCAAGGTACATGTACACGGTACACCCCCGACTTTCCCACCTTTCCTTCCTCCTTCCCTACCGATTTTCCTTATTACTTGTCGTGTCGCATCGCATCGCAAAAGTTTCTTCTGGCAAAGACAATCAAGTGTCAGAGTCAGAATCAGTATCAAATTGATATATTGATAACATCAATTGTCATATTGAACTTCTTTTATTGCGATTGTTTGTTCCATTGCTCAGCATCTTCGGCATAGGTGAAAATATGGCGGACCTTGTACAAAATATCACTTACGCCTCACCTGTTGCAGATGCAAAATTTGCTCAGATTATTGGACATTCTCAAATCAATGGCTATGTAGCCAAACTCGCAGAAGTAAGCGCATGGCAGCTTGTTCTTACAATTCTTTGCATCTTGGTAGCTTATGATCAATGTAAGTAACCCTCACATCATTCACTCAATCGCATCACCAACATATTTTGCAGGTAGCTATCTTTGGCAAAAAGGTTCAATTATCGGTCCAGCATGGAAAGCCCCCTTTATTGGTCCATTCTTACAATCCGTCAATCCAAAATTTCATGAATATCAAGAAAAATGGGCGAGCGGTGAACTCAGTTGCGTGTCTGTTTTCCACAAGTAAGTTCATACTATCGTCTGCCGTTCGCAAACTAGGCGCTGATCATTCTCAGATTCGTTGTGATTGCTTCTACTCGCGATATGGCTAGAAAGGTTTTCAATTCACCCGCATACGTTAAGCCATGTGTAGTCGATTCAGCACACAAGTTGTTGGGTGAGACCAACTGGGTATTCCTCGATGGAAAGGCTCACGTAGATTTCCGCAAGGGTCTCAATGGATTGTTCACTCGCAAAGCTCTCGACTGCTATCTCCCAGGACAAGACGACGTCTACAACCAATACCAAGAGCGATTCGCCAAGGTTACCGAGGAAGCCGGAGGAAATCCCGTTCCATTCATGTCCGAATTTCGAGAACTGTTGTGCGCCGTTTCCTGCCGTACATTCGTTGGTTTCTATATCTCCGATGAAGCTATCAAGAAGATCGCCGACGATTACTACAATATCACTGCTGCTTTGGAATTGGTCAATTTCCCTATCATTCTTCCATTCACCAAGTCCTGGTATGGAAAAATCGCCGCCGATATGGTCCTTGAGGAATTTACTAAGTGTGCCGCAAAGAGCAAGGTTCGCATGGCTGCTGGTGGTGAAGTATCCTGCATCATGGATGGATGGGTTAAGTCTCAACTCGAGTCCGCTACTTGGCGTGAGGCGGAAGCAAAGGGTTCAGCGGAAGGAATGACGAAGCCAACACCATTACTCCGTGAATTTACCGACTTCGAAATCGCTCAAACTGTCTTCACTTTCTTATTTGCTTCGCAAGATGCTACTAGCAGTGCTGCTACCTGGTTATTCCAAGTTATGGCTCAGCGTCCTGAGGTTTTAGATAAGGTCCGCGAGGAAAACTTACGTGTCCGTGGTGGTGATAAACGAGTTCGACCAAATATGGATATGATGGAAAGCATGAAGTATACTCGTGCCGTTGTTAGGGAATTATTGAGATGGCGCCCTCCGGTCCTTATGGTTCCATACGTCGCAAAGAAGCCATTTCCCATTACCCCAGACTACACTGTCCCTAAAGGTTTGTTCAGATGACACCAAACCGTGATATAGTGCTAACCACTCAATAGGAGCCATGATTATACCAACAACATATCCATCTTTACGCGACCCCGATGTTTATGACCGACCTGACGAATTTGACCCTGAACGTTACTTCTCTGGCGATGCCGAAGTAAAGGGTGCTAAGAATTACTTGGTCTTCGGAACTGGTGCTCATTATTGTCTGGGACAAGAATATGCACAAATGAACCTGGCTCTCATGATTGGAAAGGCTTCGATGGAACTCGATTGGGTTCATCATCCAACTCCAAAATCGGAAGAGATCAAGGTCTTCGCTACAATCTTCCCTATGGTTAGTATATAATTTTCCTCTATATTTTTTGTCATCACTAACACAACATACAGGATGATTGTCCATTGTCTTTCACCAAAAGATCATAATTCCTTTTGATCATCTCACCACTTTCCACACTACTTTTTCACCAAATTTTTTTATCGGAACGCCAATCTCCGCATACTAGGGGCAAAGTTGCGGCAGTAAGGTTATGATCATTTTAATGCATTAGACTGGGCGTTCACATACTTCTGTCCATTAAAATATAGGGAGTGGATGAGGCGTTATTTATGGATGTGTTAATGAGAAGAGGATAGGGTTGGCCTTGGTAATTTCTTCAATATCTTGTTGAAGAATACAATATGGCAACCCTCTGAAGGATACTTAATCAATTGTAATTAGTCATCTCCTTTTGTTTGAAAGGAGATGGGAAGTGAAGAACGAGAAATGAAAAATGAAGCGACTTGAACTCAAAATTATCGAGTCATTGATTCTTGAAATTCGAAATCCTTTATTGGATTTTCTAAAAATGAAGTGATGAACCTTGAGCCTCGATGCAACCAAAACACGGCTATATTGTGAAGACAAGAAATAGGCTCGAGTACATGCCACTGTTATATTATGCTTGAGTGTATTCTGTTCTGTTCTGTTATTTTTTTTGGGGGGGAGGGAGAAGGAGGAAGAGGGAGAGGGAGAAGGAGAGGGAGTGGGAAAGGGGAAAGAGTGAGTATAGAGTAGAGTAGAGTACTGAGTAGATCAAGTGTATTGATGATACTTTGACGATGGTGTTTGTTGGATGATATTGTTTGGATGATGAGAGTAGAGCAGTTTTAATGAAATTTATAGAATAGATGCAATTGCCAATTAGTTCAAGTACATGTCATATGTATGTATGTATGTATATATTGTAATTTGTGTCTTACTGTGTTACATGATTGGTTTTGGTATGCGGATTTACTCGTGGGATTCTTTTGGTTGGTTATAGGGGAAGGGGAGATGGGTGGGTGTGTGCTGATGGGTGGATGCTGATGATTTGGATTGGTTTTCAGAGGGGTGGAGGGGGAGGGGAGGGAGAGGGATGAAAGATACTTGGTGGTGTAAGTGAGTGAGTGAGAGTTGTGCTAGGTAGGTTAGTAGTTTAGGTAAATTGGATAGGTTAGGTAGATTCGATATAGATGGAGAGAAAGAGATGGGTGGGTTTATAGAGGAGTGCAAGAAACGGTGAGGGGTAAGAGTGTCTTGGTGTGAGGTGAATTTACTCTTCAATCCTGTCTGGCCAAGTCAGCAATACATGTTCGGCGTTCGTGAGTCGTGCTCCGAGGCCAGATGTTGAATCTTGGTATTGTGGTGTTGTGGTGTTGTGGTGCTGTGGTGTTGTGGTGCTGTGATTTCAGAGTCCCAAGTGCAATTTGCAAATGGGAGGATCTTTGAAGAACTCATGGGAGGTGTGGATTTGAGGTATGGATTTGAGGTTGAGGTCGAGGTGGTTTTGATAATACTGTAGTCGTATGGGAGATGGGCTAATAACTTGATATTGGATTGATATACTCGACTGGAATACTGGCTTCAATTTCGTTTGAATAATGCTATCATTGATATATGTAACATAGAGACTTTTCGTGCCTGGTAGAGTAGATGATGATTCTCCGGCGAGAGAAGAACCAGTTTGAGAATTCAGTGTATGTCCACTAATCAAATTACGAGTCTTCGATCGTTGACTCGATGATCATGGTTGTGTGATGTGGGAACGGTTGATGGGTATAGGTATGGGAGCTACTCGAGTATGATAAGGGGAATTCTTATGAGAAACGGTATATTATCGATTTAAATGGCGATTCTGGGAGGATTTATTCGTGTATCGTTATGGAAGGTAATCAAGAAATATACCAAACAGCCATGAAAATTTACACCATTCCGCGGAATATCAGAAAGTAGCATCATACTACCGGTGGATGTCCTAAACAAGGAAACCAACATGCCACAATAGGAAACGAAGACATCTCTCAAATCCCTCTCGGCTTTCTCCCCATACATAGAAGCGTAGGTTTGTTTTGGCAGAAACCATGCATAGATAGGTATTCCGCATGGCACTTGCAACGAATCTTCAAACAACTGCTCTTCAGGGATAATAAATTGGAGATGGCACATAAGTAGGCATATGAACATCGTCTCCACCAATCGCGCATTCCAATTTCTCGCACCGAGAGCTTCACTCAAAGCTCTCTTGCTCCCTCACTGTAGATATCCATCGAATAATGTAACCCGAAGAAAATCTACTCTTGACCGGTTAATTGAAAGATGAGTCTTCTTAATTTCTCGCCATAAACAACACAATAAAGAGAGGAAAGACTCATCTCATCTATATCCGAGAAACCATAATTCGAAAGAAAGTCACTAGACTAACCAAAAATATACAAATGCTCATCGTGAACAAGACACCCTGTCATGTCATCCCCTAGTTGCGCTCAAAAGCTAATCGAACCTCGAATCCTCTAACCACAAAAGATTCAACCTTTATGCCATCGCATACTCGGTAGAGCTCCCAATGGTCAATTTCTACACAGTACGTACTTGCTTTGCTGATAATAGCGATGACTCTTTCCTCGTCAGTGCATCATCTTTTTAATTCTCGGTGTTCGAATTGGTTGTGTTGATTGGTCAATTCGAAATTAGGACAGATGACTCTTTTTATGTTGGGCTGGGCTTTAATGCTTTAATGTGGTACGTATGGCATTTCTCCTTGTGGAGGAGCGGAGTAGAGTTTGTGAAGGATGGGGGGGGGGTTGGGGGGGGGGTTGTAAATCTACTCCGTAGAATTAATGGACCGTAAGGTTAACTTAAGTGGTTAATTATGTCAATGGAATTCTAGACTGAGATCCTGGATCACAATGAGTCTTACAATATAACACACCACTATCTTTTCCATTTTCCCAATTTCTGTTTCGTCCTAGGTTTTGAAGTGTATTAGTAGTTGTGATATCATAATCAAGCGAATTCTACAAGGCGAGTATGTATTCCAACCCATTTATTCGGTATCAAGTGTTCTTCGGGATACGCTAATAAGCATATCCGAAACCACGGGAATGGGATCTAGGTCAGTTAAACAGTCGGCCGGTCATCCTCGTTCAGAGAGATAAATATATTATCATGAGCAGAACGAATATGCTAGATTGGTTACATGGAATAATGCTCTCCATCTGGTTGTCGATTCCGTTGATAAAGATGACCAGATCCTGGTCTTAATCGATACCCCTCCAAGCCCCACGACCCAGATATTTTTCACACCGGCATATGTTTTCGGAGTTCATGTGTAAATATCATAGGTAGTGATGAGGCACGGAGTTCAGTTGGCTTGATTATTAGATACGCGGTGTAGGATCGACGATCCTAGCTAATGGTTTATAAATTTTTAGTTGCCAGGCTGCTGCGATGGATGGATTCCGTATGGATGGTATGGTATGGTCTTTGATATTGCGTATATATATCCATGGTATAGTTCTTATAAGGTGATTATCAATCATGATATATAATACCGGTATGATATATGATGCTTCTTGTCTAGCGGGTTGCGATACGATACGATATGATATGATGGCAGCGAAACCGAACCGACACCGTATACCATACATACTGCTGATATTCGGTGTCGAATTTGAGGGGACAATCAAATAGAAATTTATTATCCCAAAGCTCCAGAACCTCGTCCGTTATTTAGATTCTTAGTTAGGAATCGATTACTCACTATGTTGATGTTAACGTTGAATACAGCATAGCATAGCATAGCATAGCATAGCATAGCATAACAAATATAATCAATGATGACGCATCTCCCCTTTCCATCTCATTCACACCGTAACCTTCTTAAAAAAACACCCCGACCACCCTTATCCTTCCTTAAACCTCAAAACAAATTCCCGAGCTACATCCATTCTTCATCTCATCGGAATCACCATCCAAACCTGAGTCATCCGGCCTCTTACAGTATAGTACTATAGTAACGGAGAAGAGTAATATGGAATAAGCGAACTCCGACCCCCTTCATATTCCATTCACTTCAAATCCATATCCACTTCAGCCCTATTTTGTTGGTGTACACAGAGCGTTTACGCGGCGTCTTATTTTCCTGGTATGCATGTTCAAAGCAAGGTTGTAGGCAAGCTTTATATTTCATTTTCCCTTCCGAGAGAGTGCTTGCTGTATGGTATAGTATGTTAGAATTTGACACTTGCATGCCTAGCGGGCGGAGTTTGTATGAGATTGGGACGGGGTTGGAATACCTATGACTGTTTTGTTTTGTTTTGTTTGATTTTGTTAGATACTGGTTGGGGGTTATTGGGATTCTATGATTTATATGGGATGTGTTGGGATGTATATATAGGAGTGATGCCTCGAGTTGAAAAGCTTTCTTATTCTCATTCTCATCATCATCATCATCACCATCACCATCACCATCACCATCACCATCACCATCACCATCACCATCACCATCACCATCACCATCACCATCACCATCACCATCACCATCATCATCATCATCCAGTCAGATATCTACAACATACAACGACATCCAATTCGTTCTTCACATTCAAATCAAGATTCTCCCCTCAACAACATCCCAAACATCAACCACACCGCATCCCTAAAAATGCCTGCCGGATTCCCAGCTTACCCACATTCTCGTAAGTCGTCCCCCCCCCTCCCTCCCCCCCCTCCTCCCCCCCCTGATCCCCTCGATACCCTCTAACGAACCCAGGGTTTCCCAACGAAAAGCCCCCCACCCTTTTCCATCCCTCATCTCCTAAATCTACCAAAGCAACACCCGTCTCCTATTCTACCTCCAAGTCCTACACCATCGCATCTTCCTCCCCAAAAGACTCAATGGACACCACTACCACCTATACTCCCGCACACGATACATCCTCCCTCTACAGCACCACATCCACCATCTCTCTCCTCAAGCATCCACTCAGTACTCTCAAAGCCAAGCTCTCTTATAAGGAGCATTTGAAGAAGGAAGAAGCCAAGCCTAACAAGAACAAGCCTTCTACTTCTGCCGTCTCTCCGAAGCCTAGAAACTCGACTGAGAAGACACGTACGTTTGATACCAAAGCATGATGCAACGCGGCAAATAAACGAAAGAGAATGCTGATTGGATTAGCAGCGAGGCAATCACTCACGGAGACATATAGAATTATGGTTATGAGGTAATAGTCGGCGTCTGATTAGTGTGTTTGATTGATTTGTTTTTGGAGTTGAGTTACAAACTCCTTTAGCTTTTATAACAACTTTGTTATTACCATGCGGGATCTTGGGCTTTGGGAATTCTGATCATGATTTACCAATCGGTGCAGGTTTTGGCGGAGTTTTCTTGTTGATGAGACACTGGTAGTGTCTGGGCTCAATACCTCTGGATACTCGTGGAAAGAAACTTTTCCATATGGGCACGGAGATATGAGAAGGCGTATGAGGAGCTTTCATTCGATACTGGAAATTGAATTCTTGAATTTTTATACCTTCATAGATTTCTAGTAAATAATTCAGAGAATCTCTCAAAAACTATCATCAAACTCATCTCTCATAGCGACTATACTTGGACTATTATCCAATTCGTCTGTACTATCAAGACCTGCTCCAGCGGTGGTCAAAAGATCTTCGACGATTCTTTTACTTGCTTCTCGTGCTGTGCATGTGTTAATTTATGTTGCTCAATAATTCAACTTAGATTAAAGGCTTACCAGGAGTTTGCAGTAATCTTGATTGTGGCAGGGAAAATTGAATGGTCTTTGGAGGACTCATCCCGAGTTTCTTGTAAATATCCTCCGCATTCTCATCACTGTCACTTTCCCATGTAATCTCATCTTTCTCTTTCTTTACAGATCTGGCAAAAATATCCTTGGATTTTGCTTTTGCTGGAGTTTGAACACTTACGCCCGGGGTTCGTGGTGCATTCGGCTTGTATGGTTGTCTAATCGGTGAGTTGAATATATCAGCGTGTAAATGAGGTGCTGCAACTGGTGGTGAAGAAAATGGTGAATGATCATCTCGCCATGACGGTTTGTTTGCAGGTATTTTCTTTTCTTTCCGATTTGTAAGTGGCGTAGCTTGGATTCGATAATTCTTGTCTAGCATTTTTAGGTACTGAGGATCTTTCATCTTCTGGGCCGTTGATGGTATGTATGTTTGGGTGGTTGATGGCAAATCATATAAAGTTGGATCGAATGGAGATGAATCTGGTAGCATTGACATATCCGGCATCCTTTGCTTGGCTCCAGGTGTACTTGGTAATTGAGTATGATCCTCCTCATCCTGTAAAGTCGTCCCTTTAAATTCCTTCCTCAAGTCCTCGTATGGAGATGAGAACCCCGCAAATTGTGGTTCCTTATCCTTTCGTGGAGGGGGAGCTCGAGGGGTGCTACCACTGATATCGTTATCTTCGAGCATTGAATCATCCTGATCATAAGAATGATGTCCATCTTCTGTTCGAATAGTTTCATCGTCAATGTGCGATGCCGTATATTGACTTGGTTCTTCGTGGGACTGGGCGTATGAAACATCCTCTTCCTCCCCCTGTTGCTCTACCTGAAGTAATGAGACATTGGCACTGGCTTCGAAAAATTGTTTCCAAAACTACCCCGCCATTAGTTGCATTCCAATTATATTGTAGATAACCACCAACCTTGGACCCTTCCCATACAGCATTTGAATGATTCGCATATTGTTCAATGACAGGTAGAATACTTGTAGTAACAATTCGATGTGCTCGACTAAAGTTATGATCAATTTCTGCGATGGTGTTAATAAATAAACAGAGTTGCGGGGGAATGGGTATGAATCTATCTTACCTTGGAGAGTCAAAGTAATAGATTGCTCCAACTTTTCAAGCTCTTCAGTAAGAGAAAGAGGTCTTGCAGATGATACACTAGCTCGAGACATCTTGAATCTTGAATCTTGAAGTGAAGTTTCGTTCAAAATTTTGGAATTCCAGGCTTGCTGAGTGGTTGACGCGACGAACGCGTTGTTAGTATTTAGTGGTGATGCTACAGTGGAAAAAGGAAATCACAAGATAGCGTAACACGTGATCACAAGTGTTTTGGTTTGTTTTCACTCGAGTAGATATTTATTATTTTCCCTTTTCCTAAAAGACTTCCATCCCTTCAAAGTTCAAGGCTCAAGCTAACATCAGTTCTATGATAAGCCTGGATCAATCTTTCATCATGATCATCGTCCTTTAGTACAAAAGTTTGTCAAAGCGCGTTTCTAATAGAAGAATGGGTCTTGTTACTATCCTCGAAGCGTTTATCCGGTCGGCAGTACGAGTAGGAAAACAGTACTATCGATTTTAGTACAGTATTTATTTCCCCTTCAGCCTTAAGATTACCGGTCTGGGGAAGTTTGGATCCTTCCCACCAGTTCCCGCCAAATCTCTGCCGGCGCTCGCTCATGCGATAGTCTTTCTTATATCAACAGTAGGTATTCCTACCGATGCAGTAATGATGGATGGACCTTTGCCATCTCTTTTATTATTAACGTTATCTTTTCGCATCGTTCACCCCGTTCCCCAGAGCCCTTGGTAATCAATCGTTCAATCGGACAGCGAGCAATCTCTAGTGAGTGGATTGCCTTTCCTCTTGTCAAGAGAAGTTCGAGACTTCCTTCCAGGTGAGAACTTCTGATATCTTGAAACCTTTATTTGCGCTTCAACTGCCTCAACTAGCAGCGAGTCTCCTCAGATATATGGATTTACGGAAAGATTGTGACAAAAAGGATTTTACGATAGGATAGGATTTACCTTGCAGGATCACCGACAGCTTTTATGCAGGAACTTTTGGTTTTGGTTCCACCACCATGCCGAAGCTCCATCTTTAAACGCCGTCTCCAGAGGGATCAGCAGACAGACAATTGGGCAGGCATATCGAATATGCCCACTCTTCAGGGGTGGATGGAACAAATTGTCAATTTCAGGGTACCGTACCACTGGTTTTAGGGGCTTGTCGAATAAAAAAAAACAGATAAGGGCTGTTCTATTTCCCACTCCATTTTGTATTCTCGTTGTACCCCTAACTTATCAGGATGTCGATAAATTTCAACACGAATTGCACAGTTTTATTCCAAATCACATTTTTGAACCACTATTCACCATTTGCACGAGTGTACGGGCTTTCCGCTACAGCATCTCGGAGCCAGACGGCAATTATTACTTACTCCCTTTTCCTGATTACAAAGAGCCAGCCAAACTTCGAACTCACCTAAACAGCTAGAAATACAAAAAACACAGGGCTTGATCTCCGAGTATATCTCAATCTCAAACTGGGGGCAATCCGTGCGTCAGCGTCACAAGCCAAGGAACCCTATTCATCTATATTCGGTTCGATTCGTTCGAGCCCTCGACGGTTGAAATCAAAGTAGCTAACTTCCACGCTTCTATGGCGGGTTCCAAGATTAATTAAGCGGCATCCAGTAAAATTCCGGGAAATTGAATTAAGTGGTTTTAAATTATACCTCCGTACCTTGTGTAGGGTGAAGACTAACCTGGAAATAACATGGGAGAAAATCTCTCCTCCAAACCTATTCAGCCAGTTCGCACTCTGAGCGCTATGGGGAACGTGAAGCTTATCCCAGTTCAAGCCCTTGTCACCGCGTGGATTTGAGTAAAAGAGAAGTCTTGATTTTCCTTATTGCTTTCCTTCACTTCTACCCAGTAACGCTCCTCTGCTCCGTTTGTGCTCTTAGATTCTCTCATTGTGTTTCGTTTCTATCGCCATTCATTGCATTCCTTCCTTTATATGCTTTTCTCATATACAATATCCATGTTCCAATTTGTATTGAGTTTTTAGATATAACCATAGAATCTAGGAATTTGGCTGATATATCATTATTTGTTTGCAACGTTCTTCCTCACTCATCCGAAGCATCTCATCCCACTGCCTCAATTTAGATCCACCCCTCATATAATGCCTGTCTCGATCATAACGATTCGCGGAATTCACTCTCACTTCTCAATGCATCAATCGTAATCTCTCGACCGGATTCACTACTTTTGTTTTGTTGATGTTGACTGAAGGTTCACTTTCATACAACCACCACGATAAGATACAACCGCCACTACCACAATTGCGCATCGAACTCACTTCACCAATAGCTATATCGATAGCTTACAATCCTACCGTTTGATCTAAGAAATCGAAACGTTTGTGAAATATCGAACCTCGGCCCAATTGACGTCGCTGAGCCACAATTGGGGATCTGGTTTCCAGAGTTTCATAGACTGAACAGGAGGACCAGGCACTCTCCACAATGCCAGTAATTATGGGAATTGGTTCTCTAGAAGAGAGGGATAGCAATGACGAACCATCGCCATCCTCAAACGCACTCAGTCGCCGTATTCGTCCACCACCAATAAACACAAGTAGCTTAGAGGATGGCAGAATTCCCTTGGGAGGTCAAAAAATCCAACGAAAAGAGTCGAAAGGTGGACTTCGAGGGATATTCTCTCGCAATAAATCCGAAAAGAATGTGGTATCACCAGTTGCTGAAGAAAATAAACCGGCCTCAGCATTCACGTCTCCAACGCCGCTCTCACCAAAGCCAACGAGTCCCATAACAAGTCCTGTGGGAGATGGTTTCTTTCGAAAGTTTGGTACCAGCAATGCAACTGATTTGTTATCCCCAACCACGCCCGCTACACCAGTAAGAGCAACCAGAACTCCATCGCGCCTAAACCTCAGATCCAAGGCAATCAAGGACAGCAAAACAACCGTCAATCCTGTACCAAAAACAAGCTCAAAACCCTCAGTATTCGATCCACCACCGTTATTCCAAAGTTATCCTCAATCTGTGAAATATGCTCGTCTTTCCGCCTCAACTTTATCAGCCGATGCAATCATCCGCATGTCCAATCACAAAAGGAATATCAATCTTCGGGATGAAATAGCACAGAAGACCGAGACCGGGCCAGACCAAGAAAAGAACGAGAAGACAACCAAACATAGGAGACAAAAATCGGGTTCAATATCGAAAGGTGAATGGACTCAAAAGATTTTCGTATTAGTAACCTCGGGTTACCTTCTACAATACTCGGGCGAGGGAAATTTTGATCGACTTCCCGAAAAGATGGTTCAATTAGGCAAGGAGTCCGTAGCTTTTGCATCGGATGTTATTCCGGGAAAACACTGGGTATTACAAGTATCTCAATCAATGGGTGCAGATGGAGTTCCAACTTCAGATTCTAGGTCTTTATTATCAAGACTTGCATTTAGAAGTGCAGATTATAGGAGAAACGCTACTAGTCTTTTGCTTGTCTTGGACAGCGCCGAAGAAATGGATTCTTGGATTGCTGTATTAAGGAAAGAAATTGAATCTCTTGGAGGTAAAAAACAGATCACAGAAATCGGAACTGTGAAAATAGAAGAGAAAACACTAGAGTTGAAAAGTCAACCAAGTCATCGATACCTTGTCCAAAGAAGAGGCTCAGACCAAGTGTCAAATCCTTGCTCACCACTGGAAATTCCTCATGGGCGTCGTCCTTCCTGGCAGCAGCCAGAAGGGCAAAATATTGAAGAATCAGCTTTACCTTGGCCAAGTCCTTATGAACGCCGTACATCTTGGCAGAAGCCAGAAGGACCGAATATTGAGGAAGTTTCCCCATCTGGATTCCTTCCACCTTGGTCACTAAACGAAGCACAAAATGAAGCCGCTGCTAGACCACTAACAGAATGCGGATCGATGACAAATAGTGCTAGTTCATACGATCAGAATTTAGAGAGCTTACGGGATAGTATCAATAGATTATCTTATTCCTCATCCGATCAACGAACTCGCGTCTCATCTCCAGCAACTTCGCCAGCTCGAGATAGTACATCTACCATGGAAGATTTACCACCTTTATCTTTGGAGACAGTACGAGCAAGGCCAAATGCTGCAGAGATTGTTGAACGTAGAAGATCCTTACAAGCACTTCAAGGCACACGGGATTCGATGCCTCTGGCATCATCATCTCACCTCCAAACGCCTCAACAAGCTTTGCGACACCCAAATAAAGGTGTACCTTCCCGACCCATGAGAAGTCCATCACCTGCAACTCCAAATTTCAGTGTACCTGTTTCTTCAAGCAAAAGATTTTCAACGAGGGGTCCAGTTCCTGAAAGAAGACTCTCCATTCCTGCACTAAATACAACAATAGAAATTCAGAAGAGAAGTAAAAAGGGACCTCCAACGGCACTTTCTGTGGCTCGACCTTTATCTCCCGTAATGGATACAGCATCACCGAAACGAATTCCAATACCTGTTACCTCTATGGAGATTCCACATCGGCCCGTTCTTCGAGTTGAATCACCAACGGGTGTTAGTCGATCCCAATCCCCGGGAAAGTTTCCTATCAGAAAGCGGCCAAGCAAAGAATTAAGAAACACTCGCCGTGTCTCAAGTTTCATGCCATCAGATAATGCACTACAAGCCCGAAACACAGTTTTACGTCGTCATTCTAGCATGCAGGTAGATCGTGAAATTACATCCCCTATCGAATCCAATGGATCAAGTGCATTCGCATTTCCCGAAACACTTTCTCCAAAAATGCCTCGTGATGAGACATGCGAAAATATCCAAGAAAATGATTGGGGTTCTTTGCCAACACTTCAAGAATCTACACTTCAAGCCCCACCATTGCCGACACTTCCTGAGAATCCCATTAAACAAAGTTCACTCTGTCGCCCAAGAAGTATGCTCGCCTCAGGCAACCAATCACCCATCATTGAAGATCTATCCAGTCCCCGACGTCGCAAGCGGCATTCTTCAACTATCGCACCTATAACTCTATCTCCTACCCTGAGTTCTAAAGCAAGTTATCACTCTGATTTGGGTCCACCAAGAGTTCGGCCAAGAAAAGCTGTTTCCAACAGAAGAAGCCTCCCGGCTCTTATGCATGGTGCTCCTCCGGCTCCACCCCCAGACTGTGCTTTACCTCCTTTACCACCTGGAAGTGCTCTGACTACTGGTGGGAGGAGTCCTGGTGCTTCTTTTGTGAATTCGAGAAGGGAAATTAAAGTTCGGGTTTGAGATTTGCACCTTTCTCTTCCTAAGAGTTCTCGTTCCGTCAATGGGACGCACCGAGGGAATCTTCTTCCTCATCACGGCGTTCATGATACCAATTTTGTCATTTTCCCCTTTGTACATTCACCCTTTTCATTTGTTTTTCTCTTTTCTTGATGTATTATTTTGTTTCAGATATACCATTCACGTTTACGAACAAGCATGGCGCGGCACGGCAGGCGGGTTTCCGCGTCTTTTTTTTTTTCAACATTACATAAATACTTCATGATTAATACCCAGACACAACATTCACATATAAAACGAAGAAGATGAGAACTTTACCTTATGTACTTTTATGTATTTCAGGGTTGGATGAGTAGGAATGGAATGGGTTGGGTTGGTTTGGTTTGGGTTGGTCTGGTTTGGGTGGTTGGCGAACGGGGATTGGGGATTACAATATTCTTTCTAATCTTGATGATGTGAATGTTTATGCGGAGTCGTGAGAGGGAGGGACGGTGTGAGATATTTGATGAGGATTATGATGAGGTTGAGGGTGGGTGGTAGAGGGCATGGATGGCATTGAAGATGTATTATGATGAGGTTGAGGGTGGTAGAGGGTATGGATGGTATTGAAGATGTATTATGAATTGAGATGAGATGAAAGGAAAGGAAAGGAAATCATCAATATAAATATGAATTCTTTTCTAAAGTTCTACTTTTTTTTAAATGTGAGATTGGTTGATTGGTTGAATGATATACGAGTATTTTCTAATGAATGATATGATAATGTACTACTCCATTGTACTCGAGTGGTGATAGCTTTGATGATTGGAAACATAATACCTTGGGTGGGCGACCTTTCTCTCATTCGGCAACATAGGCTTATGTTATCGAGTATCGATTAATAGGTCTTTCGTGTCTGTGATACAAATGATTCTCGAGAGTTGGCATCGATGAGAATTATAGATTTAGTACGGTATGAGATGTTAGTTAGGGTTGAGCTTGTGTAGATTGATAACTACCATAGAATGAATACCCGCGTCGGCAAAGAACAAGTCGGTTGATCGGGTATATACTAAAGATACCGGCTATAAAATATCGGATACCTCCGCTTCTAGTCTTTCATGGTGATACCGGTACTGGTACGGGTATATTCTCTATATAAAAGATTGAGACAAAGACCTGGAGTTCTTTCTTGCTTGATAGTATATTATGTCAAAGGCCATTGATTCAATGAAACAACTCTGTATCGAGATAGAGATGAGGATTTCTATATACGCATATTTAGATATACAGTTCAACTCCGGAGAAAAGAGCAAATAAATACAAGCCCCACTAACGCAACCAATCATACCCACCAAAACCGCCTCTATCCACACCATTACCCGCAACTTTACCAGCTCTCAGGACTAGATTGTCTTCTTAGTATATCTATCTAAATTGAGCCCGTTATTGTATCAAATAAACACTACAGGTCGCCTAGCTCAGCTGGTTAGAGCGTGGTGCTAATATCTTCTGTTGAATCAGATTGATTAAACGCCAAGGTCGCGGGTTCGATCCCCGTGGTGATCAATATCTTTTGCTCTCGTTGTCAGCTGTATATTGCAGTAAATAGTTGGATGAATAAACAAGTTGTGAATTGAAGTTTTGGGGGAAGTGGGATTAGAGTAGAGGGGGTGCTGCTTTTATGGAAGGGGGAAAGGAAAGATGGGTTTTGTTGCTCCTTTTTTTTTGATGATGATAATAAACCTGTAAATAATCAATCGTACAGTAGGGGCGGCCATGTGCAGAAATGGCCAGATTTCTTGGATACCGGTGCTCATCAAAGATAATGATAATGATACATACCTCTCTCCTAATTATTTGGATCCATTGCTGAATAGGACGAATAGCACGTGAATTATATAGAGAGGGTCGGAATATTGAAATTGATTTTATTTCTGTAAAGGAAAAGTAAGTAAGTCTCTCTAAAATAGGCCAAGAGAACAGTTTTTCTTTCGCTATATAATAGGATGTTGTTTAAATTGGCTTCTTCTACTATGCAATTTCTGTTATATCGAGAAGAGATGAGATGGGAAGAAGAGAAAATAACGAGTTCACGGTGCGATGATATCGCGAATTAAGTCAAGCAGACCTCCCAAATTTCCGACAGACTCATTCATTCGATCAAGTGATCGTGATTATTGATTAGTATTGTGTTTGTATTTGTTGCCATTGCCATTGCCAGAAGTAAATAAAAGTTTGTATCTGGTACCCTTGGCTGATGGTGATGGTGCAGGCTCGCTGGAGTCTGGAGATGTCAATTGAACGCTATCTACTCTATCGGGTGATGGTCTTTGGGGAGGGCATGTCTTTGAAGATAACAGACATTGTTGAAAATTCTTAGTGCAGATTATCGAAAATGATATGTTCCCATCATTCTTGCTCCCATGTTTCACCCTCGGGGTAGCAAATATTGAGATTTTTGATACATAACTTTTCAATATTTCAAAAGTTGTAGAACAACTAAGAATCTCAGCGCACTAAAATATCCTCATCTTATCCTGTCCTATCCTATTATATCCTTCGATCTCGAGGCATCTATCCTATCCCAATACACCCCAAGAAAGAATAGAATGCAAGTTCTTAAACACTCCAATCCCTTCCTTTTCATATCTACCATATTACTCTGCACAATTTACAGATCTCGAGACCGCGATCCCAGATTTCAAATCCCTCGTCTTCTCAACCCGTTTCAAACCAGCACCGATATACCTACAGTTTGCAAGTATTTCTTTAGCAAGATTTGAAACCGAAACACAATAGAGTATGTGATTTAAGTAGATTTACAATGCAACGACACTGAGTACTCATTTGCTAATGGGTTATGTAAGCTCGAAGAAGAAGAAGAATGGCAAATCTTGAAACCTCTTCGAATCTTTGAAGTTTTGTCATCTGATCTGATCAATATCATCCCAATTTTATTTTGCCTACACGGGACATCCAACCGAAATTATCGACTTTGGCCAATCGCCTGCATCCAAGTTTCTCTCTTATTCGGGCCGCATATAAGTACTTGGAACACTGATTGGCAAGTTGTTTCCCCTTCCCTCCCTATATCATCATTTCCTTCCTGCCAATAATCATCCTTCTATGTGATGTAAAAAATTTGTTACATATCTGATGAGAACACAACCAACTTTTTGTACTGCACACCTCCCACTTGATAGGTAGATACACATGTATCCTGCGGGGAACTCTACTGTTATATTACACTCTTGAACGCCTTGATCATATCGCTGTTACATACACTGCATTGACAAGGTATATTGGACCCTCGTTTATATTTCTAGTCATCACAAACGTCCAACGATTTCCGAACTGACACAATCAAGTACAAGTAGTATTGTCAGGGCGGTTACCATCGGCCATATGGACCATGTGTCAAGCACACCACCGCCATATAATATATCCGCTTCTTGCTATTATATATTGAGCTGGTCTCAATTCAGTTTCCAGATATGGTGAGCTGCATCTACTACCAGTACCAAATCCCATTTGCATAACGAAGTTACATATTGCGATGCATTAGATACGAACTATTAGCCAATTGTGTGCAGACAACACTGCCTGGAATTGCCTACATCTACAATCCAGGCTTTCCACAGATCTCACAAGTACGACACACCGAGAGCAGTACCATGGCTTGAGAGAACCACTAAATGGTGTGAAAGGGGTGAGATCGAGAAGCTCAATAGGATAGGCATACTTTTACGGTCGGCTCCAGCGAGCGACAGTGAAGGTTGGGGTTTGAGAGAGCTTTGGAACCGTTCTTGAGAGTTCAATCATTGAAAGGCTTTGCGGGGCAGGTGTGTTTTAGTGTGACGTTACGAGACGAATTGAGCACTTCACGTCGCACATAGTTGCCGACTTCGGCACCCCTTCCCCACATCACACTGCTACAGCATAACCTCCAGCGTTATTGAGGCCAACTATAGGGAATTCGCAAAAGACTACTGAGTAGTAGGATGAGTAGGATGGTTGTACTCGAGTATGTTGGATATATAATCGCGTTTCTGTGCATTAGTTATATTATGCCATTACCATTTGGGCTAATTGGATTGCTGAGATGAGGAGAAGTACATTATGAATCGTAATCAGCTTTCATTACAGTTTTGGTGAAGGTCTTTCCGAGAATCTTTTCCGGATCGGGTATAAACTTTTTTCCATCCCGAGTAAGTCGATTTATATTTCAATCTATAAGCATTTCCATTTCGATTTGACCTATCGGATCATGTGTCAAGAGTATAGTGTTATATATTCTGTGTGACCATTGTTATATATTGCAACAAGAGGATACATATTATTATTATTAATAGAGTACAATACATACCAACCCTAAGTACGTCGTAAGCAGGTGCCGACTCCCAGACTCTCACACCCCCATGGTATCATGTCGCAATACTACAGCATAACCTCCAATACTATCAAGGCCAGACACTGTGTTCAGCTGGACCAGCTGCACACCAGGCGTTCATCAGCATATCTTCGACGGCAAGCTCGACTTGCGCCTGTACCACGGGTCTAATTAAAAGCCTTCATATGCACCCTACACCCAGAACTACTTTCAAAGTCTTTCTTGGCGCTGTGCGTAGTTTCTGGGTTTAGTCGTGCTAGCGATGAGATTTCCCGTCTCTGCTAGACCAACCACACCGGCAACTTCATCACTTGCAGATCGGTGACTCGCGCGAATTTTCAGTCGTTCAGTGACCATGCGGGGTATTGTGATATGGCTGGTAACGAGGTGACGATTGTGTATTAGAGTGATATCTTCCTTAGATCTGCATGGGTGTTTCGATCGGTCTGTGGCTGCCGAATTACCCAGGGTTTCCCACAACCTAGACTAAACTATAAATCCAAAAGTTTTGCGTTGTTCAAAATCCTGTGGACCAATCGTTCAACACATTCTAAAATTTGAGGGGAACTGACTCTTTGAAATGATCTCAATGTTTTCATTCGTCTTCAATCGCATCAAAATTCAAAAGTCCCTCGTTGTCAGTCCTGACGTCTGGAAACTCTGGGCCGTGAAAGTAACCGTAACTATTACTTTGACGCTGCTACCGGTCCAAGATCTGGGCAAAATGTGGGGGATTGCGATTTATCAACGGATGTGTGTTTTCAGCTCCACGCTACTCCCCAGGGACAAATTATTCAAGCTATAGGATAATATGCATGAGATATCATACCACCGAGATTTGATGGGGTGACAGACACAAGCTGAGATATTAACCCAACTCCAACCATTCGAGGTAAGTTGAGTACATATAGTTTTCAGCTGCGCCACTTTTGGTGATTTTCGACACCCCGCGCCATGTAACCTCGCTAAACCCCCTGCTTTGCTATTACCCCGCTGCCAAGAACCATGACTTTGGATTTCCACATGCAATGTTCTCGTTCGAGTTGGCTGTGGTGCTGAGCTAGGTTGATGGTTATGTTATGATATGCCCTCATTGTGGAGTGATATTGGGTAAATAATGCATAAATGTGTTTTCATAACGTATTTTGCTATGAGAGGACGCCTCTGGAGCATGATATACTTTGTTCGACGTTGCGACACCAATTGGGAAAACTAATGGCACAACTGTCAAGCCATTTCAATGAAGCGTTTGTTGATGTTTCACCCAAGACCATTTTTTGGCTTGCGTTCTTCAAGATGTCAAATGTGAACCATTATTACACAGCCAGCCACAGAACGGCATAATGTGAAAGACCCCACGCTGTCACAGCAGCCAGAGAGGCCGATGAATATATAAGTCGACCACCCCAAGAACTAAGAACTGATCTTTTTCCCTCAAAGCAACTCATCTGCCTCTTCACAATAACAAGCACAATACACAATCAAATCAAATCAAATTCTTCAAGCACCTCACACAAATCATCATTCAATATGGTTTTCAACGGCCCCGGTATCTACGAGATTGTGCCATACCAGGCTCCAACCCTCAACCTCAACGCCTGGGACGGTCTACTTGCAGCTGGAGCTGTGGTCAGAACCTAGTGAGTCTATCTGCACACCGCATTCACCCAACACATTCAAGAAGACAAATCACTAATGTCATTGAAACCGCAAAGTGCTCGCGGCAATACCCCATCCGATAATGCTAAGTGGCAAATGGCTCTCGTTGCTGGCTCGGGAGAGAGCGCTGAGTATTTGATCATCAATGTTCGCAGCGGTTATTTCCTCACCGCTACCGGTAAGCTTTAGTCGTTTTTTTGGTCGCAGACTCTTTCCTTCCTTCCTGTACTAATTTGTAATTTCAGGTGACAATGCCATTGTCTCCACTCCGCAGATTTCTCCAGCGGAGGCCGCAGCCCGCTGGACCATTAAATCGACTCCAACAAATGGCTACGAGGTCTTCACGTGGGTGTCATCCTTTCATTCTTCCATTCTTCCATCATCTATAAGCAACTCAAGAAATCAGATTACTAATATCGAAATCAACCATAGCATCACGAACAAGGTCTCTAGCCGCGGTCAGCTTTCCGTGAAGGACTTCTCTACCCAGAGTGGAACCGATGTCCTTGCGGCTTCCAAGAAGGATGCCGATAACCAGAAATGGTATTTTGATGCCAAGTAAATGATGACAGATTCTTCTGGATGCTGGCAGCCGGTTTTCGGATTGTTGGAAATTCCATCTCGCTCTTTTGGTGTATGTATGCAGATGCAGATTTAGGTAGCAAATGGAAGTCGATAGTATGGCCATTCCTGAGCAGATATGAAGACCTTGGTGCTCTCTTTTGTTTTGCAATTGGTGTGAGTCGATTCATTATCATTATAATGTGTTCTGTCGTGATCTACATATAGTAAAATGTATAAGCCCATGATCACAAGGATAGACGAACGGATAGAGATTATGGTCTCGTAATCTTATTGGCGAGAATACGAAAGACGAAAGCTGAGAGATAGAGGCTCGGTTTGAGGCCACTAGAAAGATGGTGTACGTACTGCTCGCTAGACATAAAGTCCAATTTTATTCGAGACCACGTTTTATATGTCGAGATTACTGTCGTCATGTTTGGTTATAGTGTGGGTGACTTTCCTTTTCGACTATAAATGGAGAGTCAATAAAAAATTGCCGGCCGGCAGTGTGGGGGTGCAACTGTTGGTATGAAGCTAATGAAGCTAATGAATCTCGATCGTCAATTATAGTCTGTTAAAATACTTTGAGGGGATAAAATGAGGACCGTTGATGTTGATGTTGAATCTTGATTTCCCTATTCGGTTGCTTGCGCGGAATGGCGCAGGCTCTGACACTTTAAATGCGGCTTTGCGGTGTGGTGAATAGTGCTATGTAGATTCAGTAATTTCCCTAATATAGAGTGACCCATCTTTGCCTGAAGTGTAGTGGAAAAAGTTTGTGGAAGACGAATGAATACTAGATGCGAATAAAGGAGTAAAAGAGTAAAATGAGTAAACCGAAAAAGATGTGAGAAGTTATCGAACGCTTCCCACACAGCACCTTTTGTGAGGATGTATTATGAAAGGCAAACATTCATCCCCCTTAAATTACCATGCTTCATCACTTGTCAAAAAACGCCGCAGTTGGTTGGTCGACCGCGGTGTTCTAACTACCTTTGGGTGGGTGGGGTATTGGATTCGATAATTAATGACCCCTTCTCAAAGAATTAAACTATAAACGAAAATCTCACATCAGAGGGGTTTTTCCATATAAGTGTCGCCTCCAGCGTGCAAGGTAGTGTTGACAAATATGTCAACATTGGGTGCGCTGTCGACGGGGAAGACACCCAGAATGTGAGGCTGCTCCAATTGAGCGCGATGGATGGATAGAAGACTTGAACTTGTGGGTCTATCGGTCTAGTAAGAACCTCAGTCGAAAGTACTCCTGGGAAATGAAGACCAAAGCGCGCATTTCTGTGCGTCGGCTGGGATGACAAAGGATGCATAGGTGTATTCCCGCGAGGTCCATGCACTTCTATTCCATGTTGCACCCATGTCATCATTACCTTGATTTGGGTCGGAAGCGCCCAGCTGGGGGTCAGATAGTGTGTTGTAAACAATATGTTGGGTTTTCCCTTCCCATATGTCTTCGAGAACTTCGGGCCACAAAGTTATGCAGTCATTGGAAGGGATGCTTGATGATGATGCTGCGGAGGAATCACTGGAAGGGGTGGGTGCACCGGACACAAGGCCAATGGCGGCGAGGAGGGAAATTGTGGAAGTTGTGAAAAGCATCTTGGATTGGATCGAGTTCTTGTGTATTATGTGTAGCGAAGATATTCGTGTAATTTGGTCAAGTAAGGGAGACAGTGAAAGTAGGTATTGGATTGTGGTGTTTAGATACAAGAATTGTTGCGAGAATGTCTAATGTATGTAGACGATATTGATGGTGATGATAGCTGCAATTGAGGTAAATCCGTCAAAGTATATATACCTCGAGTCAAATGCATTGCATACAGGAATAGCTTCAATTCAGTACATTACAGCCCAGTCTGCAGTTTTGTTGTAAGGGGTTTTCCGTATCGGTAAAATGAAGGCATCATACATGAGTACAGATACACGAGACTATAAAACAATCGTAATCGTATTCTGTGTTTGTTATGTGATGCGTATGGGGGTGACTGGGAGATTGGTAGATGGTAACAAATGGTATCAATCACTAAAAAGACATTTCACTATCGCCAACGAGTTCAGAAAACAAACATATTTCAAGAAATAAATCTAGCTGAGTTAAAGGTTGGGAGAAGAGGAGCCAATTAAATCTAACTAACTATGCTACACTATGAGGCGTGACTGACAACCTTTCGACAAATCAACATTATGTAGCCGGGTTCCTCAGAGACTTCTGCAGTATATGGTCAACAAGGCTGTGATGCTTCGAGTGTTTATTTGTCATGTCAAAAAACTTCTGGTATTTGAAGCAACACTGGAACCCTGTTTTACTAAGGCTTATCTCGAAGGATTTTGTTGCATTTGACTGAGTCCCTGCCAACACATATGCATGCAATTATTATCGACAACACTGTTGTTCTTTGAGAAGCAACTTACATCAGGTTTTATCATCCCCGAGATAACATATTTCGAAGTCTGTGACTTGTGAAAGCCGGATAACGGGGTCCAAATCTCGTACATTATATCAGGACTGCTGCTCAGGAAACTTGTGCCGGCTGCGCCTTTATCCAACTATTGCCAACACAATTGACACTTTCTTGAACAACACAGCTGACATTCAATGCAACGTTATAAACCTCGACACTGATCGATCTCTCAGTTTTGCTACCGGTATTCGTAGACTACTCGATCGTTGAAAACGCAAAGTCAAACAAACATGCAGATTCGATAAAAAGCCGATCTCGTACCTACCTACTCGAGTAGTAGGCAAACAACACATGATTGGAAAGGGCAATCAGAACTCATAGTCAATACTATCCTCAATTCAGATGATATGAAGTTCAGACACTATCTGAAAACTGCTCGTAAGATCTTACAATGAAGGAGGGGATGAGTTGTTCTCAGGAAGTCATTGACAACCGAGGTAGTTTTATGGATCCAGGTTTAGTGTACTGTACGTTTTTCGTGTTTACGCTAAAAATGTGGATCTGTCATGTCTTCCCGCATCTCAACGGCGGCAAACATCTCAACGGCAAGACTGACCCATTGACCACTTTTATATCTATCTTTCAGTCATTCAATATTTGGATAACAGTACTCGTACCAACCAACCATCCCAATTTATATCTTTCTTTTTGGTAATCATGGGATCAATCAGTGAAAATAATCCTCCGCAAGAAGAGGAAATTCGAGTTTTAGTTACTGGTTTTGGTGTGGGTTGTTTTGATCCATTGAACCCCGCTCTACCCTACCCCTCAATCATGGAACCTGCTCAATCGATATATTCTATTCTTACCCAGCTACTCATAGCATCGGAGTCTCTGAAGCTGACCTAAACCTGATATACTACAGCCTTTTCGAGCGCAATATCCAATTAATCCATCATGGGAAATCGCATCTCGTCTACCACGTTATGTCCCTACAGATGTACAGGACGAGGGCCACCATCCGCATGTGCGACCACCAATAGTCAAACCTACGCCTCGCATTCGGATTGACACTTATGAAGCACCGATTCATGTAGGATACGAGGCCGTTCGGGAGCTTATTCCTAAACTCCTCGATGAATATACTGCTGGATCTGAGCCGGATTATATATTACATATTGGGATGGCATCTGGACGATCCTTTTACAGTTGTGAGCGACGTGGCCATCGCAGTGGGTATTCTATGCGAGATGTCGACCAGAAACTCTTGAATGATGAATACAGCAGGGTCGAAGAGGGCGACAATTGGATATGGCATGACTGTCCCGAGGAACTGTTGACGACTTTACCATTTGATAAAATGTTTCGTCAGTGGAAAGAGGCTTGCCCTGTTCGTATTGATTCTTCTACCTATTTCATGGATACCACTCCTAGGTCCTCTATCTCTACCCGACCATCACTAAGTACAGATATACAGGAAGTCGATACACGCATCTCCGAGGACGCTGGTAACTACCTTTGCGACTTTATATACTATACCTCGCTCGCACATCGCTACAAGCAACAACAACCAAACAAAGCAATGTTCCTGCACGTACCGCTGGAAACAGATCATGATTCTATACAAAAAGGCGTCAAAATTACAACCGAGTTGATCCGGGCAATGGTTGAATGTGATTTGAAAGCTAAAGACGCTGCCGGAAACAGCATTGATGTCACAAAGGACAGAGTAGGATTGTGAATACTCCAAATTGTGAGAGGTGAAATTTTGTATACATTGACTGTGCAAAGCGTGGGTGTATATAGCGGGTATGATGGTTGGGTATGACGGGAATGGCAGCATTGGCAACAGAATAGCATTAGTGTTTGGAGGAGGTATGGTAACATAACAGCATTAGCGGCTCAAACGCATAACAACTATAAAATTCGCGAAATTAAAACAATAATATCCACGGAGTCGCAAGAACAGAATCTTGAACTGATTGCAAAGTGCTCACTACAATAAAGTGTTATTTCGAGGTTGATTGGAGCAGAGTCAGTATCAGCTCCTAACAAATTCATAGGTCCATTTATCCATCCATGTCTGAGTTCTCTATTCGGATATAGAACCGGATAAAGGGATGGGTATATGCCGGCGCCGGATAAGTCTCGAATCCCGGCTCGGGCAAGGGGCAGTAGCATTGAATATTTGTTTGGATAGAGTCATTTTGAACATCTACGACTTACCGGTATCTCACAATTCCTTCTGTTTGAAGACTGATTTAGCCTTTAGGATGCTTTGTTCCAGAGCAGAATCGAACACATACATTGATCCTATTGAACTTCACATCTACATACAGCAGTACATTATTTATTCATATCATTCCCCATCATTATTAAAGATCCCGCCCCAAGCCGACCCTGCAACCAATCTCTTCCCATCTACGCATATCCAACCGGACTTGCACAACCAAAACTCGTCGCGTGACCCAACGCAAAATCCGCAATGATACTTTTAATACTCGTGTACATGCCCAAAACGGCCGTCGCAGCACTTGCCAGGAAGAACAAGAAACAGAAAATCTTCAACCACCATCTTGGCGCTAGGGCTCTCTTCCATCTACTCGCATCTTTCCAGGTATCTACTCGGTGGATTGTTCCGGCGACGGGATCGAATGTTTCGTCGGCGTGCGTGGCGTCTTCTTTCATGATCATGCCGAGGTAGAGGATCGTGGGGAAGGTGTAGGTAAATTGCATGATGCAGACTGCGGCTACGAGCGAGGAGATGTTGGTGAATTGGGGAACGGCGGATCCGAGGACGAATGCAAAGGCCCAGTATAGAGGGACGATGGCGATCCAAATGAGTTTTCCTTTTGTGGTCGTGAGCTCGGGGCCACCGAAGAGATCCTCGACGATGTTTTGGTAGATGACTTTAATACCGATGTTACCGTATAGAACAGCGGCGATGAGACCCGAGATGAGGGACAGGGCGTTGGTGACGGTTTGCCAGGCGTAAGGAGAGAGACCCTGGTTAGCAGGGTTGTAGGTAAATTGGCCTTGTTGGGAGTAAACGACAAGACCGAAGATGAGGTAGCAGAGGAAAATGAAAATTTCAGCGACGAATTGGGCCTTGATAAAGTCGAGAGGTCGTTTCATTTCGGCCATGAATTCGCAGTACAGCATTGCGCCACCATAAGCATAGACGATTTGCATAGCGGAACTTAATTGGGAATCGAAGGTCGAGCCGGAAGGTATCCAAATAGTATGGGTAATAGGAGCTTTCGCAATACCAAAAGAAGCGAGCACGGCGTCATAATTTGGAGCGCTGTGAGCTGCTACACCCATTGTCATGAAAATAACGAGGATATTCAACCAAATGGCGAAATTGGCTAGATGACCGAATTTTTGCAGAGAGCGAATTTGACCGAGGACCATGCCGGCAAGTACCCAGACCAAGATACAAATGGAAAAGCAGAGCTTGTACTTGGACATCTCAGACAGACCTTGGCCGTTGGAGATAACAATGACACCAACGTTGAATAGCAATTGGATACTTTGCAGAAGATTCATACCATGGCGAGCATAAGTTCCGAAACTTTATAAGGTCAGACATGTACCAGTAGAGTTGGATGTGGGTAACAGTTGCTTACATTCTGAACCCCAAGTCACCAAATGTCCTCATGGGCCACCTATCGCTGTCGAGCTTCAAGAACATGCGCCAGATTTGCCATCCAGCGAAGAAGGCCATGATACCCATGAAGAAATACATCATTACACCTCCAACATATCCGAATTGTGAAACGGAATATGGCGCATTGGATGGACCTAAAATATCGGTGGTGATGAGGTATACACTGATTGACTATTAGATAAATGATAGCGTCACTCAAGAGCCCAACTTACACAGCTCCCCAGGTAGCATTCCTAGCAGCTCGAGATGCGGTTTCCCATTCACCAGCTCCAACATGTGAAACAATATGAGCCTTGGTGATAGAGCTAGGTTTCGATTCGTTGACTATCTCGGGTGCTGTCTTCTCATCCTCAATCTCTGGAAGTGTCTTTTTCTCGTCACCGATTTCTGTTCCGGCAACATTGTCTACTCCGGCAAGATATTCCTGATACATTCTCTCTCGTTCCTCTGGGCCAAGTCCGTTCTTCTCTTGTTCACGTTGAATCTTTGCAAAGTATAAGTACTCTTCGAAGGGAACATTCGGGTCATGCATATTGCGACGAACGGCCGTTGGTACTCCCACTTCGCCTATCCCATCAATGCGAGGGTCACCGCCATCGAGGGCAAGATTTCCTAAATTGTTGGCCATTATTGAAATTTGTTAGGGGACGAACTTAAAGCTGCTGAGAGGAAACATCGAGGGAGTCAAAGATATATATGAATCATAGTGTCTCTCTTTTGCTAGATTCATCACATGCATATGGCTCGGGCATGGGTATCTGTGCTAAAACCTAGGTAGGTCCCGGTTCCTAAAGCCGTTTAACGAAGGGATAGTGGAGATGCGCAGACGCCCCAATCAAGTACCTTAAATATGGAATAAGCATCTTCACTGGCTGAAATCGATATCAGTGAATCCACATTATCGTATCTATTACCTCATAAAATTGTTTATCCTCCACATTGTTCCTATCAAATATAGTTCGATATGAGAGAAGACTAAAGATATCAAAATTGGAGCACCATGATGAAAGTGGAAGGTAGTCGAAACAAAGCACACGACCTGCAGGTTGCAATACACTGTGCGAATCACACAACTCGTAATTCGCGATTCATGCTCACTCATGGAGTACTACTGGTCCGTACTGTCGGGTCGTCAACACAAGCTTTGGGGCGTCTAGGGAAAGACGGATGTTTGTAACAAGCATTTGCCAAGATGTTCATCGCTCGATGAATCTAGCAGCCCAGGAATAATTCAATTATCCAATTGATCCAATCCTTCCTATCTTTTGCAAACAATGATTACCAAGGATCGGAACTGTGCACATTGAGGGGAATGTCCGTGTTATCCATCCCACTTTCAGCCCAGCCCCGAAATCGAGTCAGGTTAGAGATTTTTTGCTTCGGAGTCGGCCGAGGTAAAGCAAACTGTACCGGTGTTATCAAAATGAATATCAAAATGAAAACAAATGTACAGAGTGTAGAAAACTCTCCCTGGTAATGATCGAAAAGGAAGGAATGCAACATGACTTCGTGTGTACAGTACCGTACCATAGTACTGTGCACATAGGTACTGTGATAGGTATTGCAACATTTCCATGTACGCCCTCTGAATCTCAAATGTCTCAAACCATGGAATAAGGTTCATCAACACGGTGAAAATACGAGCGAGCACCTTCTCAAATCAGAGTAGCGTGCTCTGTCCCGTCCTGACTAGAGTCAACTAGACAGACAAGAGTGGGTTGGCTAAAAGAAAAGGTACTTTTATGAGATATTGTTATAAATATTAATGAGGTTCGTGAGATTGTCGTTATCGCTGATATGTAATAATTCAGAATATTTCCTACTACTCTACGGCTAGCGCTTATGTCTCGTGATCGCGGCATTTCATGCAATGAGAAATAAAACCTCAAGGCCAGAGAAAGAATAACTTTCAACGAGCTGTTGATCAGAGGAAAAGTGCTTGCAGTACCGGTACTATATCTAAAACCTTTTGATTATTTTTGTCAATTTCACACGAGTCATCAGATGAAGCTTCTCCTTGAGGGCCAATACGCATCTTATTTACATTGGAAGAAGAAGAAGTTAGCGTTTCGTACTCCAGGAATCCTTACTTACAAGGATGCGAGGTCCATCCTGGATACGATATCGAATTGTCTGATAATATCTATATGAGTGAGATTGTTTTTATCAACGCATGTCCTACCTAATAATAACATGGCAGGATTCCAGAAATCGGGCATTCGGTTTTCTCGTGTGCTCCGAATCATGATGAAATTCAAGTCGGGTACCGGTAGCCCACACTCACTTCTTCATCCGGAAATGGTGACACCCGTTATCACAATGGGAACATGTCGGGATATAACAGGGTACAAGAATTATACCAAGTCATAGTATGCGGGGTTATGGTTACTTGATAATATGAGACGTGTTCAAATCAGTTGAACAACAGCCACCGAAAAGTAAGTCAGCTCAAGGAGCTCGAGTACCAAGTAAGTGTGCACCTTATTGATTGATCAATCTGTAGTTACTCATGTATTGTCTCATATCTCCATCCTCTAATCTCTAATTGCTCTTTTCAAGGAGGACGAGCATCTCTTTGTGCATGCTGAGATTTAGTTTTCAATGCATTCTACATTGGAAAGAGCTTTCAGTACTGCCGATTGCCAGCTTACGCCGTTCTTGCCCCTTTTGAATTTGAAACCTTCTGTACTACGCAATACAAAAACGGTGATGATAATAGGCATTTCTCGGCTGTTTGCTGTCAAGCTGGGAGCGAATCATCTCTATATCAATTCCCTTTTTGTCTATTGCTGTTCACAGATAGATTGGGCTTAGCCATCAGCTGATTCTAGTATTCTACCAAGCGTAACTCTGGCTGGCTGGTGATTGTTTTAGTTGTGCTTAAAAATTTAGGAAAAGTCTGCGGTACAAGGCAGATTCATTGTCTTCGAGACCATAGCTTTGGCATTACAGATGGGAGATTTGCCATCTAGTCACATCACTTATGAACACAGCTGTAATTGCTAGAAACAATAAAACCAGTAAGAATTCGACACATCTGGTTGGACAGTGATGCCATTGCCGGTTGCACATGCGGGAAGAGCGGGTTGCTCGAATGGCGATATCTGATATGATGAACGGCTCAAAAATTGCAAGTGCAGAATGGCAATGATCATTTCTAAATATAAGTTGTTCTGACGTCCATCTTCATCAAAGAGAGATCTTGAGCAAACAAAAGGAGATTTCAGGCTCTTTTCTGATAAATTTTCGTATCTTTCACACGTATAAACACGTTTCAACTTGAATTATCAACACAAATCAATCACCATGGCAGGAGCAAACCCTGAAGGAATTGCTTGGTTCCCTCGAAATGCTTTGAAATGCGACAACTTCGATCCAGATGACACCAAGCAGTTCTACAGCCATATTCTACTCGAAGTCGTCACCAACACTTATGTCGATGAGGGATACTACGCCCCAAATATCGCTCATCAGGACCTTGCGCGCCTAAGCAAGCAAACTCTCCATAAACCTTTACGAAAGACCTACGTTCGATACAAGTACATGAATGCTATGGCCGGCAGTATTTGCAACAACAGTAAACGACAAGATACCATCGGAGGAGATGATGACTTCTATGCCATAAGTGATCAGAGTGGAAAGACGATGGTTGGGCTTTGGCCAGTCCTTATTCCCACGCCCGACGAACAGTTTCTATGGGTAGATTTGTCTTATCCCTTGCGATGTATCTACATCCCTTTATGTCAAGAAGCGCACAAAAAGTATCCTGATCGATGCACTTACACTCGGGTGGCATTGCGTCTTGGAAGTCCAACCCTAAAGACCTACCATCGTATCCAGCTCGACCAGGAGAAACTTGTACAAGGGAAGTATAATCTCGTCAACGGTGAACAAGACTATGCTAAACAGATTGATTCACTTGCGAAAGGAGATCTTGGTGATTCAATTAAATTTCGTGAGAGCCACATACCTGCATCAGTACGGGCTGGAATTGATTGAGAGTTGAACCGCTTAAATCCAACTACCCCACTTCCAATCACCAAGGAGCCTGGTGTTTTTGGCGCCGAGAAAAAGAGAGAACAAGGAATTTACGGCGATGACTTTGTGGTAGATAGTGAGATTATGAAACGAGATGATACGTACGGTTGGAAATTCCTGCCTTAATACACAGCTCGGTTTGACATTAAGTCTTTGGCGGCACTTCTTGCAATTCCAGCTGAATTACGGAAAGAGGAGTTTCAAGATCCTTATCAATTCATCGTCCTTTTCGATTCCACGTCCGTCAATGCAAAGGCTCAATCTGCAACGAGATGGATGAACGAATCAGGAGTCATCCAGTATGATAAACTACTCAGCAAGCAATATGGCACCACTGTTACATATCAAGGGAATGGATATGATCCCGATTGGATCGCCAAGTTATTGTCGGGAATTCTGGCGGTGGGCCTTAGCTGTATTCCGATGATTGGACCGTTGGTTGCTCTGGGCTCTCAATTGATCACTGATGCTATTCTAGATCCAGAATCGTTTACGACTGCACAGGGACTTGTTGGTAAAATACCGAATATTACTACAGCTATGGTTGCTACTTCGCAAAACACGAGGGGCTTCCTCAACGAAATGAAATCCGGGAAATCGGGAGGAACTCGGCATGTGTTGCCTTTGGAGGGTGATGACAAGCAGGGTAGATCAATTCAAGTTGGCCCGGATGCGAATGATAGGGGTGCGGGTGGATCGAATAAGCAAAATGAAGATACGTTGATTGATCCGGATCGCTTTGAGATATTTAATGATGAGCCTGAGCCTGAGCAGAGTGATAAAAAGGATAATCCAGAAAGTAAGAACGATAATGGTGAAGAGGGAGTTGGAGGAGAAGAGGGTAAGGAAAATGATGGGAAGGAAGGGAGTGTAGATGATGGAGATGGGACTCCTGAAGATGGTGCCGAGGATGATTCAAGCGGCCAGGATGGTCAGGGGGATGAGAATGACGATAATAGTGGAGAAATAGAGGGAGGAGGGGCTAAGGAGGGAGATGGGGTAGAAGGGGTAGAAGGGAGTGAAGGAGGTGAAGCTGGGAGTGGTGCGGGCAATGGAGACAGTGCGAAAGATGAGGGTGGAAGTGAGGCACTTGGGGATGGGGGATGGAGAGCAAGACGACCCAAAAGACGAGAATAGTCAGGAGGGAGAAGGGACGGATGGAGCTGGGGCTTCTGATAATGAGTCGGAGGATGACCAAAGGAGCAAAAACAATCAAGAGGTGGAGCTTAATGATGGTGATGTGGACGAAGAGGGGGAAGGGAGTAACAATGGTGATGAGGATAAGGGAGACGGAGCTCAGAATGATTCGAACAGCGGCGACAAGGAAGAAGTTGAGGGTGAATATGGGGAGGGAAATGACCCGAAAAGCGAGAATAGCCAGGAGGGACAAACTAATATTGATGGAGGAGAAGAATATAGGGAGGGAGAAGGTAAGGTCGAGAATGCCTCGGACAATGAGGATAATAACAAGGGGGACGAGACTGAGAATTTTTCGGACGGCGGAAATAACGAAAAGGATGAGAGTGGAGAAGCTGATCAAGAGAATCAAGGAGGGGGCTCAAATGGTGACGGGAGTGAGAACGATCAAGAGGATGGTGATAAGAAAGGTGAAATAGAAGGAAGTAAGGAGGGATGCGTAGAAGATGGGGATGAAGGGGAGAACAGCCCACAAATTGAAAGTGATGACCACGACGGCAAAGAAGGTAGCGATATTGAAAAGGAGGAAGAAGGAGAGGAGAAAGAAGGAGGGAAAGATCAAGAGGAGGGTGAAAAAGAGGGAAATGATCAAGAAGAGAACGAAGGAGAAAAAGATAAAGGGGGAGGAGAAGCAGAGGAAGATCAGAAGGGGGATGATCAAGAGGGGAGTGACAAAGAGGGAAATGACCAGGAGGGGAACGAAGGAGAGAAAGACCAAGAGGGGAAAGAAGTAGAGGAAGATCAGAAGGGGGATAACGACGAGGGAAATGATCAAGAGGGGAACGAAGGAGTGAAAGACCAAAAGGGAAATGATGAAGAGGGTCAAGGAGAGAGGGATAATAAAGGGGGGGATGACCAAGAGAGGGAGGGCAAAGAGGGAAATGATCAAGGGAACCAAAAAGATGACAATCAAGAGGGGAACGATCAAGAGAAGGATCAAGAGGAAAATAGTCAAGAGGAGAAGGATCAGGAGGGGAATGATAGCCAAAAAGAGGACGATAAAGAGAAAGACGATCAAGGGGAAAATGATCAGGAGGGAGATGATCAAGAGGGGGGGTGGAAAAGAGGAGGGTAGCAAAAATGGGAACGAAGGAGAGAATGATCAAGTGGGGAACGATGAGGAGGGAAACGATCAAGAGGGAAATGATGAAGAAACTCAAGGAGAGGGGGATAAGGAGGAATCAGATGATCAAGAGGCAAATGATCCAAAAGGAAACGAGGAAGAAAGCGACCCACAAGGAGGCAAAGAGGAGGGTCAAGAAGAAGCTGGAGATAAAAATGATTCAGGAGATCAAGCAAAGGGCGATAGGGAAGAGGGCAGTAAGGGTGGAAATGATCAAGAGGGAAACGAAGCAGATGGAAATGAGGGAGAGGGTGATCATAAGGGAGAAGATAATCAGGAGGGTCAAGAAAAAGACGATCAAGAAACAAATGATGAGGGGAATAGCAATGCGGGAACTGAAGGTGAAAATGATACAAAAGACGAAAGAGAAGACGACCAACAAGGAGATGCAGAGGGTAATACTGAAGACACGGGCGAAGGAGGAGCTGCTACTGGAGGGGAAGATGAACAGGAAAACGATCATGGGGGAGAAGAAGGTGGAGAAAATGAAGAAAGGGGAGAAAACGATAACGAGAAAAACGATCAAGGTTCCCAACAAAATAATGAAGAAAACAAACAAGATGATCGGAACAAGAAAGGAAAGAAAAAGCCAGACCAAGTAAACAATGTGGAGGATTCGTCACAAGATCAAGATCAAAGTCAAGACCAAAACAAAGATCAAACTAATAATGTCGAGGACTCGGTACCACTAGCGCAGGATGAAGATGAAAATCAGGGCGCCGGAAATGTTGCAGGCGAGGACGATGCACCCTTCAACAAGGCAGAACAAGATGATATAGAGCAAGCTAATCAAGGTGGAAACGACGTAGGTGGCGATGATGCAAGCGGGAATCCTGCAAGTGCAGGTACGGATGGTACAGGCGGTGATAATGCAAATACAGGTGGGGATGAAGATTAAGAAGAGGGGAATACCCGATCTTAAACTTTGAATCTTCATCATGACACCTCACTTGCGTGGTATGTACAGACGGTACAGGAAAGGAAATAATTAAAGCATAGTTCAATATCTAACTGGTCGTAATATTTTTATTAGGGATTCTCCATTTCTATACGAAGTATTTCCTTGTTCGAAGCACGAGTATTGATAAGGACAAAGCAAATATTAATGATAATCTTCATTCCACCATTCATTTTGAAGTGCAAACTAATAGTGATAGTAGGTAGCGATAGAACTGTGGATGACAAAGCTTGTGTATGCACTGTAGATGCTGGAACTTGTATTAGTATTATCAGATATGAATCCTGGGATGTATACGAGTAGTTGAAGTTCTAGTATCGATTTATAATCTGCATTGACACGGACACCTAATATTACCTGAAAAGTCGGTTGTGGATAAATGCCCGAGGACGATTCAGATATGAGTACTTAGATACGAGATTTTAGAAGTTTTAGTCAACTGAGTGGATGGATGTACGCTGGTCATCTCAAGTACGGACTGGAGCCTGCAGCTTATTATCAATGTATATATTTTCGGTAAAAAGTAAGTGTCAGTGTCAAAATTGAAGATTGGTGCTAGCAATGTATGGCTGGATACTCAGTAGGATGCATTTTAAGGTCAAGCGAAGAGCGAAGAATATGTATGCCCTTTCTCTCTTCCTTCAGGATATGAAATATAAAGTGATGATGCGGATCTTCGAGAATTCGATGGTTGACGATAATGGGGTTGCCATTGTTCGCGGCAGCGATATTGGCATATGAGATTGAGGAGGGTGACGTAGACGATCTTGCCTTGTCAATCTGTTGAGATAGTGTAGGAATGCGGATGCATTGTTTATTGAGGCTCTGGATATTGCATGAATGAGTATGACCCTATGGATCTTCATGGAAGAGTTATCACTAAAGGCGATTCCAGAGTTCGAGGCGACATCTTTTTCTGATTGCGCGTTTTGCGATCATATCGGTGATTTAACTAACGCTTTGTTTTTCAATACTTACTTTTTGAATAGACATTGCTGTGAGGTTCATCTAGCAGTATGTACAGCCCTATCTTCAATACCTCTGATTCAACCGACGAGCTTGGATATAGTGGAGGTATATTCACGGAGGGGAATATCCAAGTTGACGTGGTTTTCTGGGGACATTGAGGACGACAGAGAAGAGCAACATTAGTACTTTCATCTCAGGGTCTAGGGGGGTTGCAAGTTGGCCTCATTGTAGTTCTCAGAGTCTAAAGAATATCAGACTAACTGATATATCAGGAAAAAGCTAGTGAGTATTTAGCAATCAGAATCTCCAAAGCTATCTTCAATTTACTCGAGTACACATGATGTGAAATTTTGAATGTTCAGATTGTGCTACAAATAGCAAAGAAACAATATATCCCCATATACAATCTTATATGAGCTTCAGATACACTGCTATACTGTTGGAGAGGGAACTTCTATGAACTATCCCAGACAAAACTCTTTGTATTTTATAGAGCTCAACAATTCAGCCTCCGAAGAACCATGAATCTCTCAAACTAGTTACTCAGTAGATCTTTCAAATAGCTAGAATCTTCCAAATCGATCAAGGCCCTCATGTAATCTTGATTATGGTACAACTCCCTAAAAGTTCCAATACACTGTGACACAACACAACAAAACATTAGAAAATGAAGACCCGAACAAACAAGAGTTCCTCGAACTATAGCATGTACTCAGCTTAGCTCATCACAATATTATGCCAGAATTGCCACGGGACAAAATGTTTCAACATGTACGTTCTTTACCTCTTTTCGAAAACAAGCCCCACGAAAAAACTTCTCTTGGTACAACAATAAGAGCTGTCCAACATATCTCGCTTACGGTACGGCTGAGAGAGGACTCAGAGGAGGGAGGTTCAGATATTCTCGAATCAATGGGCATCAATCAAACCCGGGCCCGCAAATAAAAACATGCCAACCTACCGACCGACCGATCATAATACTTATTTTATTATTTGCTTACCCTCTCCCAGAACATGTAGCTCGCATCAGCCTCATAAACACACATGAAGAGAATCTCGCCATCTCACCATCTCACCATCTCACCATCTAACTCCGAACTCTCGCAGCCGCCAAGCCCTTACCCCAAGACATCCACTAGTAAGTAGCCCACTCCAGCTACCCTTTGTAAATCAACAATACCATACCATAAATCTATCATCAGATTTGTCACAAACAAACACTTCCTCCAAAAAACAGGCTTCAGAAACCTTTTGAATGGCTGTTTGCTAGACATGTCATGTGGTGATGACAATCAGGATATTCAAGTGAATGAACTGTTAACTGTCAACTGTCAACTGTCGTATGATGTATTCAGCTTGGTGAGAATTTCGTATTGTTATCAGCCCTAGAGACAAATAAGCCTCTTCGTATCCGCCCGCTCATCCGTCATATGATTTACCTTAGCGTTTTACTATCGTGATATTACATCGCTCTTTGGAAGTGTGCTATATAACGATGCTTTGGGTCGATTCAGGTATTAGTTTCTCATCATAATTAGACTTACACTTCATCAACACTTCAGCAACCAATCTTCGACTTTCCACTCAGAATATCACAGTTTTTCAAAATGCTTTCCAAAATCATCCTTCCTTTTCTCATCGGAGCAGCAAGCTTCGTGCACGCCTCTCCTGTACCGGATACCTTGAGCGAGAAACGCACTTGCGGAACTCAACTCTTCCCTAGCCAACTCGTGCAGCTCTCTCAAGCAAATCCAAATACTGCGTATCCTAACACGTGGAATACGGATAAATCCGTCAAAATTAGTCAAGATGTTGATGGCAATGGTATGCTCTCCCCTACCCCCAACAGTCCCAATCCACACTAACCAACTCACCCAGGCAACCCCACCAACCAATACTGGCAACTAATAGCCTTCCCGGCCCTCCCTGCCGGCTCCTACGGCTGTTCTCTAGCCCTCACCTTCCCTCACTCCTACTCACCCACCATCAGCGGCATCTCCCCCGCCCTCAACGTCTACACCGTTTCTACCCCTCTGCCCAATACCCCCACGTTCAACAACATTAGTCCTAAAATCAACTCTGGAATATTCGGGACTGTGACGCCTGCGAGTGATCAGAATGTTGTGATTAGTAGTGAGGCGTGTAATGGGGGTAGTGGGCTGGGATTGGCTTTTGTGTTTAGGTATGCGGATTGGGTGAAGGGACAGGGAAGTGTGGAGTGGACGGAGTATGTTAATGCTTTGAATGGGGAGGGGGGTAGGGGAGTTTATTTGAATTATAATTGTTAGGTGGGGGGATGGGGGGAATGGATTGTCTGGGGTACAATTGTTAGTTTAGGAAAGAGGTAGTAGAGGGATGAATAGTGGGGTGGATTGAAAGAATTGGTGATTTCACATGTTCAGCACATGAAGATTAGTTGGTGATTTTTTAGAAATCTGATAATGCTTTTCATTGTCCTTCATTCCTACCAGATAAATCAATGTTTTTCTCAAGCACTATGGATGAACTGGAACCGCCGAGTAAAGTCGTGTTGATGATTTGGTAAAGAATTCTGAGAATTCTGACTCTTCCCAGAATTATCGAAAGACGCGTGACGAGTGAGAAAAAGGGCGCCAGGAAAAGCAGCTAGAGAGAAGGATACTGAAGAGATTCACCGACCGAACGCAAGCTGAAAAAAAAACTAAGGCTTATTGGGTTCCGATTTACAGGGCTCGAGAACGATGCTGCCCTTGTCGTGGGAGTGAAACTCGCATAGATTGCCTTCGGTTCGGACACTGGGATCGCAATCATGAAATTTGCGACGGTCATAGCATTCAGCTTCATAAAGAAGGTATGGGCCGACGGCAGCCGGGACTTCCAAAAGAATATTGCGAACGCAATAGTGATCGACGTGAGTAGTATGGTAGTGAAGCAAAACAACACAGAATTTCTCCAAAGGACCAATGTCCGTGTCATCTTTGGTCGCTTCAAAAACATATCTCAGCTCTTCCGTTTCCATCATCTCGTCGACCCAACGGTAGGAATCCTGAATAAAATCCATAGTAAAGTTTTGGAGTTTCTGACACGAAATCTTCCTGGCAAAAAACCATAGCTCTAGAGCTACTTTGATCGTTGGTTGCCTGATGAAATGTCGTGTGTAGAGCCATTGGGCGAAGATTTCGAACATTTCAGGTGTTTCGTTTTTTACGAACGAACCATATTTAAGAATGTCAATGAAATTCATGTCTTTGCGCAACAAATCCTCGTGGATGTGGAAAGATTCTCCGCCGACATCGATCCAAATCTTTTCTCTGGCCATTGTCAGTTTGGAATGCATGAAATTGCTATTTATTGGTAAAATCATCGACTTACCCAAGAGGCTGACTAAGATCAATGATCAAGTCGTCTTCAAGTTGGTTTCTGGTAAGATTCTTTGTAAGATCGTGGTCAAGTGTGAAACCAAGAGTTCTTCTGGAGTTGTAAAGTTCAAGGATGGTTTGCGAACAGATATTTACGGTTGCCAAGTGTAGAACGCGACAAAGACTAGCGTAAATTGATAAAGTGAATAAATACTTTTCAAAAGTGAACTGGGAGACATGTATCTTCCTTCATGTTGTCTGGCTTGATACAGGTATCTGGGTAGAACAGACAATAGTGAAGAACGGATCAAACTCCACGCATTATCCGATGTCCAAGGATTCCCCATTGAATGTTCGAAATGAAATTCCATGACTCTCTGGACTCGTCTGATATCCTCAACCATCCTCACACACAACATGCTCTAGTGAAGACATATCCGACGGACACCCAAGTGTGTACGAAGCTGTATATTGGTGCAGCGAAACGTGAAGTTACTAGCACATGTATTGCGATTCAGAGGTCGCAATATCCGAAAATGAAGGCTTGTATCCTTGAATCCGTCCGGTTCGCTATTTCTTTACACATCGGACACACCGGTACGGTACGCCTTGCTCCGCAGACCATAGCAATTGCCGCCAAAAGTTGATGCTGTGATCCTTACTCAATACCTCCTGAGCCATTTATGACCACCAAATCCAAATCAGAACCCCTAAACCGACAGGCACTATTATCTTGAGCAGATCGGCTAGTCATGTATCTCTCTTCAAGTCGTGTATAATAACGTCTCCTTCCTCACCGGAATCCTGTGCTTTTCCGGTGCCAACTTTTGGGGGATATTCCACTCCGTCCTTCTCAAACTTCGGTACGCAGGTGCATTTTTGATCGGCTGAAATGGAGGAGAAGACGGATGGTAAATGTTGACCGCAGCCAAACCAGGTTTCCTTCTCTGTCGAGCATATATGTTAGTATGATTGACGTAAGGTAGGAGTGGAGGTGCGAGAGACGTACGGCAGGTCGGACAACTTGCTTGTCTACACATTATGGGATAACTTGAGATTCTGGATGTTGCGGTATTTTAGTTTGAGTGATTCTCTGATTTTGCTGGATTGGGAGGTTTCGTGGATTTCGCAGAGGTTCTTATAGAGCTCGTTAGATCAAACTGCAAATTTGTTCGGGCTTCATTTTTGTGGGGTAGAACCCGTTAGTGGTTCTTGGGGTCGGCGAGGTCCAATTACAGGGGTATTTGGGTATGTATTTGACCACTGGCTTGAGCTTATGTTAAACCTTAACCCTTCATCAAACAAGAAAGTAAGTTTATAATAACCTTTGAAGATCGCTAACGTTCTTGGCAATTATCTTTAATTTAATTTGAAGACAGGTTTCGCTCAAGTGTGGAAGCTTTATTGTCACATATACACCCCCTCTCTTTTATTTCCCTATACAGTACTAAGGTTATGTTAGTACAAATGTAAATGTATTTGTTGGACAGACTTCAAAGGTGTATAAACTAAAAACGTATATGGTATAAAAGGTAATTCATTCTGTCTACTCGAGTAACCTTCCACCTTATATACGAAGTGGGAGGTTGCTAACTATAGGGGAATCCTACCCCGGGAACGGGCATTCCGTTCCGCGTTCCGTTGAGGGCGTTCCGTTCTAGGCGTTCCGTTAGTATTACCCTTCCAGTCAATAACTTGTTGCTTATGCACTGATTGATCATTCGTGCCGCCAGAAAGTCCGCAAGTCGGGTAAACCGGCATATACCATATAGTGGTAAACTAAACTTGTTCCAGGTTATACCGCAATATCCCTATTGTGAAATGCAATGAACTAAGGGCATTTCATAATGGCGATATTGAGCAATGGCCCGGAACAATTTTACTACTATATGGTATATGCCGGTTTACCCGACTTGCGGACTTTCTGGTGGTATAAGTACAATAATACATTACATTCGTGTATGCAATCCTTGTTACACATTGGATTCGTTATGGTTGCCGATCGCTAGGACGATGCTGAAGCAATGTATATAACGTATCGTTATCCGCTTTGTTTTTCTTCTTATCATACTTTGGAGCATCAGCGTCTAAAATGGCCCTGGAAAGACGAATAATGAACAATGGGACGAATATCGACCGAGTCTCGGGCTGTGCTGAGGCATATCCTTCCGATGCAGCACTCAACCGTGCCAACAGGCTCCTTCCACAAATACTCGAAGAAGAGGCACGCAATGACCCTCAACGAGTCGTCGCAATGGTGGCTAAAATGTCTGATCTGTCCATGGGGTTTGATCAACTCACTGCCGGGCAGTTCTTGCATGCTGTGGATTTCACAGCTCATTGGATCGACTCTCACATAGTCAGTTCTTCCTCAGCTGAGACTTTTGCTTTCATTGGAGTACAGGACTTCCGCTATCCAATCATGGAAATTGCTGCCATGAAGACCGGAAACCCTCTCCTTCTGCCTAGTCCACGAAATGCATTAGCAAACACAATTTCATTACTCACAGCGACCAAATGCTCAAAACTGTTCTACGCATCACAATACTCGGAGCTTGCTGCACTGATTGTTGGTGTACTTCCATCTTTGGAAACATTCGCAGTACCGAGCATGCAGGACATGATTATCAAAGACACCGAATCATATCCGTACACTAAAAGCTGGGACACACACAAAGATGAGGTAGTACTGATTATTCATACATCGGGTTCTACAGGTGCACCAAAGCCAAAAAATTGCAGCCATGCCCATCTCAGTAGTGTCATCAACAACACCATACTACTTCCCGATGTTCCTGGGCGAACCTCTGCAGGCTTCAAACTACTAGGCAAAGGCAACTTACAATTGTGTGGGAGTAGCTTTTTCCATGGATCTGGACTCATTATGGCATTTACGACCATTGCCTTGGGTTCAACCTTTGTTTGTGGTCCACCAGATATACCTTCCAGTGGAAAGATATTGCATGATATCATGAAGGTTCTTCCAATTCATGGAGTCATCAATGCACCGAGTGTCACAGAACAATTGTTCTTGGAGAATAGCGAAGATCTAGGAGAAGAAATTGCTGCGTTAAAACATATTTGTTGGCTTGGAGGTAAGGAATATATCCGCATCTCGTTATTAAGTACATCATTGATCGATAATAAGGTCCACTATCCCAAAAGACGGGTGACTTCATTGTTAGCCATACCAACGCTGTTCTATGGCAGGTTTTCGGATCGACCGAAACTGGCCTATTGCCTCTTCTTGTACCACCAAAATCACATTGGTCATGCATCGAATTCCATCCACAGTTTTCACCAGAATTGGAGCCGATAACACCCGACTCTCTACTTTGTGAAGTAGTAGTACATAGATATACTGATCCAACACTCGCTTGGAGCCAACCCGTATTTTACATGGCGCCCGATCAAACTCAGTGGAGGACCAGGGACATTCTACGTCGTTATGATGGTCCAATTCCCGATGAAGTCGGTCCACTGTGGAAGTTTGAGAACCGAATTGATGATTTAATCATCCTCTCCAATGCCCACAAAGTCAATCCTGTACACATTGAAATCCTACTACAATCGCATCCACTATTAAACGGATGTCTTGTATTTGGGGAAGGGAAGATCAATTGTGGGATATTGTTGGAACCCAAAGAAGGTTCAGAACTGACCGAGGACGATTTAATAGCATTGGTATGGCCGGAAATAGAAAAAGCGAATGCTACCGTGCCAGAACATGCTCGAGTCGAGCGAGGTTTGGTCGTCGTGGTGAAAAATAATAAGAGGTTTGAGAGGGCTGCTAAGGGAACGATTGTCAGATCTGCTTGTGTAAAGGCGTATAACACTGAGATTGATGATTTATACGCAGATTTTGTGTCACGCAAGAGATGATTTAATGGGGTCTCTTTTCAAGTCACTTTAGTTGTTGTTTACGTCGTTAGCTGGTATATTACAATCACATTTTTTAGGAGGGATATTCAGAGACATTAATGAGTGGCTTCGTCTTTTATATCAAAATCCTACTTTGTATATCATACAAGGAATCAATTTGTCAAGGCATATCAAATCAAGTAGTGAGATCACATTCATTTATAAAAGGTTAATTTTGAAAAGAAAATCTTGAGTATAAATAATCAGTTTTTGAATATTGCAAAATTATTCAAAGGAAATCTTTTTGTAATGATTCTTGCTTTACCCAACAAACATTCAAGTAGTACTCGTCACCCACACATTGCCAATTCCCTACTTACCTTACCCCTCTCCAAGCCCCTCTCAACTTTCTTTCACCCTTTCACCCCTCACAAAACAACACACCCACTCCAAAGAATCTTCCCCCAAATTAACTTGTGCAGTGGTTGTTCGAGGGTTGTTCATACATACTGCTCTAGCTTCTAGGTGGTACAGTATCAGTATATAAAGGCCGCAATATCCATCCCTTAATTATAACTCATTTAATACTCAATACCAGTCTAAGAATCGGAATGTTCAACTGTGTAGGAACACGAAATATGAAGCACCAGGATCCTTCGATACTCCCTCCGCATGAACCGGAAAATGGGAAAATGGGTTTTGACACTTCATCTATCATAGGAGATTATTATCTGACGAATTTCTCTATGCATGGTCACAGCTACTAGGCTGCTGATTTTTATGGGAACTTTGAATTAATCTGGAGGCAAGTGGGAGTTTGTGGGAGTTTCGGTCAAAATGATAGTTTGATTATAGTATTATAGTAAGTGAAGAATTAATTGATCTTCTCAATTCTGGATATACGACGACTAGTAGCGGATAGCACTGTAGATCTACTCGAGTACATCGAATAGATATCAAAAACTTTTTGTTATTGGCCGAATTCTTTCCATGATGACTTCTAATATTGATTCTTCCCATCCTCTCCGACTTTTGATGAGCGGAGATATGTGTGCAAGAGTGATGGGAGACAGAAAATGAATGCATACTTCATAATTGCATGCTCTATTGGACTTTTGTTTTTTTGTAGGTTATTTTGTATGAATACTTTCATTTGATTCCTGTGCACGCACACAATATTGTACCGTCCATTTCAGACGATATGCCATAGTGACGCTGACAAGCATACCCACCACCTCTCACCCCCATGTCCAGCAAATTTCGTGACCCCGTATGCCTCAATCTGTCGTCAACCATTGATCTTCAAACCACATCATTCTTTCTGCAGCAACTCGAAATCCCAAAACTTGACTTCCAAACTCTCTCCATTGACAGCTTCCGCTTTAGCAGGCCTACAAGCCATTGCGCCAACCCCAACATTCCACTCCTCTTCATTGGCAAAAAACCACGCAACCTCTCTAATTGGTATTCTCTCTCCATCTTTAAGCCAATAAACCCACAATCCCTTCCCATTCTCATCACCTTCCTTCCTAACTTCGACCGTGACCTCAACATCCTTACTAGCATCAAGATCAGTTGGGTAGATGCTCCAATCCGCGAAGTTGTCACATCCAACAGTGCTAACAAAGGGTTTGCCATTGTAGAACTCAACGCCGGTTTTCAACCAGCGATCTTTAGAGCCGCTCTTGGTGAGGTGGAGAAGAAGTCCACCTTGGTCGTAACGGTATTTGCATGGGAGCGAGAAGGTGATCTTGGAGGAGAGGAATGAGGTGAGGGGAATAATGGGCGCCATGTTGGTGGGTGCATTGAAGTCATCGGTGGTAGGGGGTTTGCGCCAGATATCGGTGGATGGAGAGGCTGTTATGGTGAAGGGTTCTTTGGTTGGAGACATGTTGTTAGGTTATTGTTTAGGTTGTTAGAATATTCAATGAAGTGTTGGATGGAGATGATTTGTAGGAACACGACGACTTTTGCAATGGTTGGATTTGGATCGTTTTAGATGATAAAAGTATCTTTTCAGTCCTTTATAGCAGTCACGATGGAGGACGAGAAAAGAATCACAACACATGGCTAGATACCCCGCTTCTGCGGGCCGCATATCCGATTGTAAGCCATACGGAGGGGTCGGAAGGGTAATTGTAAGACCCTCTTTGGACCCACAGACCCTGGTAGAGTCGAAATCAGGGTCTTTTATTGGCTATATCACTTTGACTCTAGATTGTAAAAGGAAAATAAGACCAGAGTCGGTGGCACATCGGCTAAACTATCGGATTTCCTTGACCCCTCACTTCCTCTAATCACGCCGCGAGGAAGCAATCCGATGTCTTATCATACCGGTGTCAAATATTTATATGATGATTGAAGTTATACAGTTTGGGGTTGAATCGTTCTCATACTTTGAATAGATGCACAAGTTCAACTGGAGTTTTGGCAATATAGTAAGTACTAAGTGGAGCCAGGTATCTGTGCAGTAGGTATATAAATAGGTTATTTAATGACTTATGGGGTATAATAGAAGCGGCAAAGGGGGCCCCCTCGCATATCAGTAGGGTCGTTTGGTATCTATCTAGGGATGATGGAGAACCAGGAGAGGTCTAAACCTGACAAATGAGTGATCTCTGAATTCTCAGATATCAAAAAGATAATAGGAATTCAACTCTTAGATATACTAATATACTAATGGCAATAACCTATCAAAAAGATTCAGCTTGAAAAAATAGTGTCTAGCTACATAGTCAAATTAATGAACTTCAGGTAGGACCAAACTCCGCCTCCATTTCATCTTCTCCTTTCAGAACCAAACATCTCTCACATGATCACACACCCGCGCGCCCCTCCAATCTTCCCACTCTCCCCTCTTTTTTCAATTCCACCTGTGCTGTTCCTTCTCTTTCTCTTCTCTTCTTCCCGAGCGAGCTCTTCAGCTTCAATTACACTTCTCCTGATTTCCGCTGCCTGACTGAGTCTCTTTGCTCTCGCTTTTCGATTCAAAGATCTCTTGAAGGCGCGAAGTCCCTGCTTTTGCAAGCAACTTCCACAATCTCTGTCCAAGCGTCTCATTTCTGCTTTGTTGTAGGGACAACGGGCAGCGATGGCACCGGGCTGACAGGGATAGATCTTGTAGGAAATGTGAGGGCAGGTATGGATGTGACTGACAGAGAGACACATGGTTAGATGTGTTGGAGTAGGTTGTTGTTTGTGGGGATGGGGTTTGCTTGTTGGTTGATGTTAGAGTTGTGTTTGGGTGTTTCTGTGAGTATGTCAGCTGGTCTGTTGCTGATGATGGATAGAAACCATTCGAAAATAAAGAACGACTTATTTATAAGTAATATTCCAGTGAAGCTGTTCATCTATTGTTCTCCTTTCCACCGCCATAAATTCCGAGGATCGTTCGAGAATCGACATTCTTTTATATAGGCGTTGCAAGATATATCATTTATTAGCTAATCCGAAACTTTAAATGTTTAGATACTTTGTCTATTGACTGGGCTGATCCAGGGGTTTCTATGCGTAGGCAATCTCATCCTTATATCTTCAGGTCCTCTTCTATTATTACTGTACGAGTAATGACTACCAAGCTTATCGAAATTAAATAAATTTACCAAATATAAAAAGAAAATACATCACCAATATTTCCAGGAAGCTCCTACGGTCCATAAGATAAGATGTGTTATAAACGTAGAGTGAGGTATGTCCTGAGCAAGATAGAACACAGCGAGGAAGAAGTGATTACTAAATAATCAAGAAAAATAATCAAGAAACTTAAAATCCTTTGACTCCTCTCTGGTCAAAGCGACTTTCAAATCTTTTGGGCTTAGCGTCAATTAGGACAAAGACATTGAAACCCTTCCAGTTAGTCCAATATACGAACAAGTATTATTGTCATCAAGCAATATACATTCTTCGTATGTACAGGGTGTAAACAATTCGTATTGAATCTTATGTATAAGACTTAACCGTTCTTGACCATATTTGAAAACTCATCTATCACAATCTACGACCATGGATGCTGATACTAAATATTTCCAAACTCTTGCATTATTTGCTAGGACTAACAATCATGCAAGAAGACTACCCGCAGAACCCGCATTTATAGATAATGAGAATTATCTACAAATTCCTCTCCCTTCTTCTTCTCCTACCTCAAGTGAAAACTCAAGTGAGGATGGTCATTCAGACAATAACACTGTCTCGGAATGGCATAAGATGAGAGACACAGAATCAGAGTCAGAAATGGAGCCTCAGAGATCAGAACAAGAAGAAACTGATGACTGGGACCTTGTTTCAGAATGGAGTAGATTAGCGCAAGCACAAGTGAGCTTTCAGGACCCAAGACAAGAAAGGGTTCGAAAACCAGATAGTGATGTACACAAGCCCGCTTTAGCACAGCAGAAGTTACAGCTAGCAGAAGAGGCATTTCAGAGGCAAACACAAGAATCTAAAACGCTCCGGCGGTTAAGGAGAGAAAACGAAATGCTTCGGAAAGCACTTGTGATTACTTGTGGCATCATTTGCTTGGGTGTTTTGCTTTTTCTTTTTTAATGGTTCCTTTCACCGCGTCCGTTCTCCGGCGACTGTCAGTTAAGGATCTTGATGCCTTGGCTGAGTTGGCTCTTCATTTTTCGAGCCAGACGGCGGCTACATTGATGTTAGCTCATGATTATATAGCACGCTTTCTTTGAAAACTAAACTGAATCACCAATTCTTCTTTCTCAATTTTATTGACACAAACACATTAAACCCTTAACATATACTAATTCTCTTACTCCGCGACAACCGGTAATCTAAATTTATTGATACTCTATCAGTGATATTGTGTATTATAACGCACTCTGAGATTGATTGGTAATTCTTCAGAACATAACATCAGATATCTAACATGTGGATTGGTAGGATAGCTACTTTACTTACCCCGTTCATTATTTCGGCTGATTATCAAATGATGCGTGTCAACTAACTCATGGGCCATCTAAATGATTAATCGGAATGTCGTTCCAATACTATGAAATGTCACGGTACAGATAGATACTGGATTCAGTCGATATCAATTTCAGATTAACTAGCTATATGCCCGCTAATGTTCTCTTCTTTAAGGTTTCTTGGAATCAACAAGATTATGTTCATTCAAGCTAAAGTATTGATACTGAAATTCCTACGCGCGTAGTAGAGTAGTAGGCTCAAAAAGATCCTATCATGTTCCGAATCTCAGGCGCATTCGTCAAACCTTTGCCACGAGTATAGATGGATATAAGAGAGACCCGGTGAGCATTACCACGACTACTAGACTGATAGGAAAGTTAGCTATCAATTCTGCAGAACTTTCTTCGTGAACAACATGAGAATAAATACTATCTTGTTTTCCAAACTATATACAGAATCCAGATCATGAACAATCCATACCAACTAACAATAAAGCTCCCCTTTGGCTTCCCCTTTCCGGTAAAACTTTCTTCTCCACACTCTCGATGCATGCCTCCGCATTCATAAAAGTAACAAAAATCAGCTTGAGCACTCACGTCTCAAGCTAATTACTAAAGAACTCAATCGAATCCGAAAGTAACATACTCAGGCTTGCGAACATGGACAATCTCCCCGAAAACCATGATGAGGTTCCACCAGCGTACAACACAGACGAGCAATTGCCAGTACCAGAGGAACAAACCGCCCGAGTCCTTCCATTCCTTACGACAAGGTCTGGATCATGTTGTCTTTTACGACATGTGGCTAACAGCAGGGAGATCCTTAGATTGTCCAGGGACACGGAAATATTGACCTTGCAAAGGAATAATATGCAACATGATTTGGAGCAAATCCGTCGACTTGTTAATATTCTCTGCTGTTTGATAGGTGTAGTGATTGTTGGATGGATTCATTTCGGGTTAGTTTTACTTCATGTCTTTTGAGAGGATGGGTTAAGAGAAGAACAAAAAGTAGAAGGTTATTGAACAAAACAGTTTGAGAACAATTTGCACCTTTGTTATGCTGGATGGAGTCTTCAAATAAATTCAGGTCAAATCAATGATAATTTCCTATAGAAATGAATTCTGTGATGCACACGTAATAATAAATTTGAGAATGAGAATATGAAATAAATATATAAACCAACTCGGTTTCTATATATCCAAAAATTGTTTGTAGAAGAGCAAGAAAGGCATGAAACTTAATGTCCCAAATATTTTATCAAGCCGATCTCGACCAACTATTTCAACCACCCAATTACAACCAGTCTTATAGGCTATTATCACTACTAACCATTGTGATTGCAAGATACAGCTAACTGATTTATATAAAACAGCTATATAGTCTAAATCTTTTGAATCGCTTCTTGTTCTCTGAATAGCTTCGAAAGATCTTTTTCCGAGGCCCATGTTGCCCAGAATGAGAATATCATGCACTAGTATGATTGAGTCCCTAGGTTCTTGGACTTGAGACATTTGTTTTTCGTTGGTAAGATTGCATCCACCGTGACAGTATATAAGGGGGTAAAAGGGGTACTTGGATACTAAGCGAAAGTGGGAGAGAAAATCAATGATAGTGAATAAAGTGTATTCACTAGCATCATTTCAAAGATACTTTGTATATGCTGACAAAAAAGAGCTATCATCTACTGTAGGAGGATGAGACCTATACGGCAGAGCCGCATAGACCTAGCATATCATTTGGCCATATGTCGTACCTGTATAGTGTCAGTACTGTGACAAGCCCATGGATTGGGCTGAACTGGAAGATCCATCTAAACTTTCACTCAACAATGATAATGCTGTAGTGGGACTGTTCAGGTACAGTTGGTGTCCGTGAGATCACTGGTAGATTTAAGAACCTCCAGTCAACCTAGTCTAAACTCGAACACAATATTCTCAGTGAACAATCCATCCACAGTTCCTTAATAACACATTTAATAGAGTACAAAATCCCTCATTCCCATTTCCGCAATTTTCATTCTCCAGATTGGAATCCTCATCATTATCATCCAAAACCACAATCATGGATTCCAACAACTTTCCACAACCACCACCACTATACGCAGAAACCCCAGAAGAAGGAGAGCAAAAATCCAACAAGTCCAAGCCACCAGCGCCGAGCTCACGGAACTTGCATTGCGTCGAGAACAGATGCGAGAATTCCACGCTCCGGTAGCAGAACACACGAAACTCCTCGCGGAACAAGCCGAGCGAATTGCTCTACTCGAATTTCTTGTCAATGCAATGGATAAGGACATAGTGAATTTGCTCACCGTCGCCGAGATACTTTCTAGCAATGCAACTACTGCCAAAAGTGAGGGTAAATGGATGTCTGATGTTGGCAAGGCAATGTTTGTTATGTTGATCTGGATACCAACGTTCTTTCTGCTTATCATCAAGTTGCTTCAATTGACGAAAGGTTGGTCAGAGACATGACAAGACAATGAGGAAAGATTTCCTGAGAGAGATTCGAGAACAATTGACAAGTGGATTCTCTGGGTTGCTACGCTCGGCTTCTTTAGTTGCTTGATTTGTGCCATGATAAGTTCTCGAAACAGTTCTGTTTGATTTATAGAAACTGTAAATAACAAAACTATTCCAAAACAACACTGTTACTATGAATGACGTGCTTTCAGTTGTGTATTATCCTACGTGAATAACTCTAATGAATTAACTTAACTACTTACCTTAACATATATATACAATATGATGAGCATATTTGTGATCATCAAGATGATTTTATAACTAATCCTTATTAAAGTTATTTTCAAGCCATTCAATTCATGAAAATAGTAAAGAATTGCCATTCCATATTCATCACACTCGAGTATATAAATGAGTAATAATTTTAACTAAATTACAAGGCAAGAAAAAAAAACCCGTGACACAATACAGTACATACACATCACTTCACCTACCTCCCCACCCATCGTATCTTTTACTTGCAAATATTTTTATTTATGTGAGAGTCGAGACTACCGATACATTATTTTCATCCATGGAGTTTCTCAGCTATCTTCCTGCATACCGGTGCGTTCATTACATTTCCTTATGTTAATATTATACTCGAGTATATCCGTATTCTAAACCCCAGAATAGTGCATACTCGACGTCTTATACTCGAGTAGGCTGCGCAACGGGTACCCGCGGGGCGGATAGTAGAAAAATCTGAATGGGGACCCGTTGGGTATCCGCTGCAAATACTCCGCAAATACTCCGCAGATATAAATTTTATAATATTTATAATATTATAAATATTAATATAATATTAGTATAATTATAAAAATATATTAGTTTTTATATTAATCTTTATATTAATTATATTAATATTATAAAAATTAATAAATTTGCAGAGTATTTGCGGGGCGGATAATTTTGAAAGCTCAACGGGTCCCCACGGGTAGCGGAGTATTTCTGCGCAGCCTATACTCGAGTAATTAATTAGCTTCAATCCTTCAATCTAATCCATCATCGAGAACCCTTTAATTGTTTATTCGAGTAATTTCCACGCAATGCAATCGCCTCACATATATATAGCACCATACTGTAGATACCATACCAGCATCAGATCAATCCATACTGCTACGCATAACATAGTAACCAAACATCCTCCATCCTCCAACCATCCTCCAACCATAAACACTAGGCTTCACCATCACCATCAACTGTGCACAAAAAGTGTACCAGCAAAATCCACCCCCTATCCCCATCCTCACCCTAACATTGTCATTGTCAAAGTTTGGGTCATGGAATATATACTGCTGTAGTGTTTTTTATAGCGCGGTAGTGATTGATTGTTGATATTAATTATACAGCTACAGCCGTATTCAACTTAACTTGATCATATATATTTGCAAGAATGGAATCATATTGTTTTAATTTTCCACTATATCTTATATCTTATATCTCCTATCTCCTATATTTTTCCTTTTTCCTTTCTTCTACTCAGAAACAGAAACAGAAACAGAAACAGAATCAAAACTCAAAATCCAAAAAACTCAAAAATCAAAATCACCAAGCGCAAATCTCCAAAAATAAGCAAGCATATTACATCTATTAACTTACAGTTACACTACTCGAGTATTGAGAATTAGATCATAGATTACTCTAAAAGATAAAAGATAAAGATAGATACAGAATGCGCGAACGAAGTCTCAATTACAAATTACATAAGAGCTTATATATATACATACATACATACATACATACATACATACATACCATAATTCATGAAGATATCAAGCCATTTTATAAATTTTCATTCCAGTTTTACCAGAGATATTCGTGCGTGGTAGAGATATGGCATTTGGTATTTGATAATTATGGAGATGGGGAGATGTGGAGATGGAGAGATGGGGAGACGGGGATGTGGTATAGCGAGGATGTGACATACTGTAGAAACTTATTTAGGTGGGAAAATGAGAAAGAGAAAGAGAAAGAAAAACTTCAATACGAATACAGTCTACTCGAGTATAGCGCGAAACATAACTACTCCCCCAAGACTCTTACCCCACCCTCACCCCAGCCCACCACACCTCTCAAGGCCACAACCCCCTCTCCCACTCCTGCCCCCTCTCCACATCCCCAAAAACCACACTCAACCCATACTTACCCACCAGAATGACGCCCTTCCCCTCCTTCCCGACCCCCGCCGCACCATCCCTAAAACTCTGAAAACCGCCCCCTCCATACCCACCCACCGGACCCCCTTCCATCCCCGCATTCTTCGCATTCCGATCCCCTATCGACTCACCCCGATCAAAAGTAAAATCCTCCTCTTGCGGGATCCACGTTCCATTTCCCCACACCACATGTCTGCGCAATGCCACATTCCACGAATACGACGATTCGGTTGTGCCGCCGAAGATTGAGGATTTGAGGAGCACTTCGGAGTTTACGAGGGAGCGTTGGGGTAAGGAGAGTGAGTTGTAGGTTGTGAGGTCCTTTTGGTAGAGGGTGAGGAGGGCCGGGGCGGTGGCCACGTGGATATCGTATGTAGTGTAGTGATGGGCGAGAGCGGTGAAGTGTTGGATATCGTATTCGGATGTGCATACGAGATAGATGACTCGAAGTTTGTTGTGCTTGCATGCTTGAAGATAGTTTTGGGTTTGCTTTTCGAAGCTGGTCCAGTTGGCTGCTTTGGCGTCTTCACCTGTTCGGAGATGTGCGCCGTAGTACATGTCTTTTTGGATTCCTTCATTGGCGCTGTATCTGAGATTGTATTTTCGGGATAACGTGTAGAGAATTGTGGAGGCGAGAGTGCGAATTTCGAGATTGGGACGGATTGTTCTTCCGAATTGGGAAACGAAGTCGGAATTATCGTGATTCAATGGCCAATGTAAAAGTGATTCCTTGATTGTCACACGCATAGGTTTCTTTTCGGAGAACTCGGTTTTAGTCTCGTTGAGCCAAACTGTGAAATCGCTGGCCCACTCGGCGGGATGGGCGAGAAGTGATTCGAAGGGTTCATCTAGATTTTCCGAGGATAGTGAGCTCGGGTCAAGCGCGTGTTGGTTTTGAGTACTGGGGACCGTATACAAGTCATTGACGTGTGGGATAAATTTTATACGTGGACAAGCCCCACCCAAAGATTCTTTAAAGAATTCAAAGTCGAAGAGATGCGAGAATGGAACATGCGTAGTACTGTCTTTCTCCTTCCTGCTTTGCAATTCCGCATTGGGCTCAGGATTCGGTGTATTTGGTCTATCGTTCTGAGGTATCCAAAGTTTGAGTTCTGGGATGACAATTGATGTTGCTAAAAAGTTAGCAGGTGAAAGGAGGAAGGAGGAAGGAGGAAAGAATGAGTTAATATACCTCCAGCTTCAAGGGCATATCGAAAACAGTTCAGCAATACATTTCGAATGTTCGCGACTCCTCCGTATGGTGCTTCACATTGAAATATCAATCCTTCTCTCCACTCTATGTTTTCACAAACTTCAGTTAGAGTTGAATCATCGAAAGGTCCATCGATGTCGGTGCGAAGAGCTTTCTGAATGAAGACCCCCTTTTTCCCTGAGACTGCGACTTGAAGTGTCTCATGATAATCATGATCCGAGAAAAGATACCAACCAAAACCAATTATAGCAACAAAGATTAGAGTGAACTTGAATACTTGGACCGTTTGCTGTGACAAGACCATTTTGATCATTCGCCAGACTTCGAAGATAAAATGGTAGTGTAGAAAGTACAGAGCGGAATGGACAGAGTAATCGTTATACGTTACGGGAGTATTACCCCCTTGCAGTATGATAAGACCAAAAAGGAATTCCTCGGTTGAAGCAAATGTCTCAAACTGATCAAATAGTAGCTATCTATATGTGGCGCGTATAAAGTGCAATCAATCCAGTCAAGATTCTATTGCAACGCAATTTTTAACTACATTTTGCTCATCACTTGAAGCTCGCAGAGGATTCGAAGGAAAGCAAAAATATAGGAGTGTAGATTATTGAACATTTACGATGTCGGAGAAAAAATAAAAGTAACCATCAGAGGTACAGCATGTCACGTGGACATTGAGTTCTGAAATCTTTCCAATGATATGAATGCTTGACAAGACACATCGAGGGCTTCCATGGACTTGATGGGGTGCCTTAGATGCGATTAGCAAAGTTGACCTAAAGGATCCGAGTAGCACAAGCAATGCAGAGCAAACGTGCGAATGTGACCATGGAGGAGGCGGTTTAACAACATCACTGCAGTACCGCAATACACAACATTTCCACGATGCCATCCATTCTACTTTTAATTCATCTTGCGCTAAGAGTTTTCGTCATGACAGACCGGCTAGGATAGTATCAGAACCATGGAACCATGGGATATCAACTTTTGAATATCTTGTATCGTGGATTTCTCGCTCATCACGTGGTTCTTCTTCTTCGAGATGCTCGTCTACGGAGTATGGTTCATGCATGAATCTGAGTACAGCATTGTATAAACTTGAGGAGGAATTGCCGATACGAAAAGATATATTGAAGAAGTTGATATATCGCATTGGCGGTGTAGTTGGCTCATATTTTTCTTTTTATTACCTATATCGTCATGATAAGACAGATGGGAGTTCGCTCCAAAAATCGATGAAACCGAAAGCCGGAGAGCTAGAAAGCTGGAGTCTGGAGTCTGGAGCGTTGGAGAAGTTGGAGAGCTGGAGAAAAAAGAAGTTGGGCCGTAATTTTTATCTAAAATTAGAAGTACATACATATCTGCGCTACAATAGAAGCCACGCATGAGTATTTTATGCATAGCAGCATTTGTAGTAGAATGGTGTTGATGTACACTGGCACTCTCATCCAATGGCTTTTTGTCGAGAATCCCCAGATGGCCATAAACGCGAGATTGACGCGTGAGATATTAGCATTTGAATTAAGCGACGCGTCTTTTGATTCAGAGAACCATAAAAAGAGAAATAAAGAGAGAAGCGAAAGGACAATTCGAGGTTTACTCGAATCAATCCGATCATTAAATATTGATATTGACATTGATATATTCTTTTCTTATTGTCCAATCTTCAATCTTCATCTTCTGATGTGCATCTGATCTGATCAATTGAAGTCTCAGACTGAAAGGGATTTCCCTGTTTCCCCTGATTGATATCTGACCCCTCCATTTTACTATCTCTCTTTTTGTGGAGTTATCACAATGAACAAGCCCAGAGAAAGCTTGAAAGCTTGGAGAGAAAACACATCGGAACATTGGTCAACGTTATCTCACTACCTTCAAACCTGCAAGTCCAGAACATCCACTCGAGCTTTCATTTCTTACTGCATAACACGCACCACACCACACACCATATGTACATACATGAGTTCTACTGCAACTCGTTGGATCTCCTGCAATGTGCTGTGTGTACTGTACCTTGCTGTAACTAAGCTCCACTGTTGATGGACAACAGATGTGGGACAGGAACCTATCAATACAATAAATGTGCTTTGCAGATGTGCAACCATCCAATTTTATAATTCTAGACATTTTAGCCATTTCTATTACTGCAACATTGTGAAACAAGGGGCTTACCTACTCAATGACATTGGAAAAGCTAAACAAGTTTTAACCCTTATTCCTATTCCTTTTCATAATTCATTATGGATTCTGCTTGGCTTAATTGTTCATAAATATACTTAATCGCATTCATTAATCGAAATTGAGTTTGTTTGTTTGTTTGTTTTAGTTTGTTTTGTTATTATTGTTATTGTTATTGTTATTGTTGTTATGTTTTTCTTTTTGTTTTTTTATAAGGCGGCGAGCAGACCTTGAAAAACACAATCCGAGCGTAAACTGGCATCTGCATCTATATCGATCTGCGAATTTGGCGAAAGAAAGCTAAATTTTAATCAACCAATAGAATTAAAGATATCTCGACGCGCCAAGCCTCATTTAACCCACCGCCCACTTTCTTATATCCACTTCAACTCTCTTCGCTTCACTTTCGAATTCAATTCCTATTCCTAACTTCGTTCCCGCCTGCCGCTCTCGCCTTGCATAAAACTTTACTATCCCTTCCCCTTCCTCTCAACAACTTCCTCATTATTCTACCCACTTACCTACCTACCTACCTTTCTTCTTTCCTTCCTTCCACGCCCAACCCACATCAACAAAACCTTCCAACCCACAATCAACCCCCTTCCCTTCGTCTCGCCCTTTACCTCTCTCCTTAGCAAACGATAATCTTCCAAATACCGCATCGCAAGACATTACAAGGAAATCAGACATCCTAATCGAGATAACCTCTTATCGATTTTTTCGCTCTCTTGCGCCCTGAGTACAGTGGTTACAAGTGTCCCATTTGGTAGACGTGCGCCCTTTCACAGAATACAACATACAACAACACTACATTTGTCCTTCCTTACCATCTGCGAAACCGATCACACATTCTTTTATTTCACCACCATACTTCCATTCCCCCTTCGCTCGCATTTCTTTTCTTCGTTCTGCTGGTGGAGCAATTGATCATTCGATAATAATACCTTTGCGACGGAAATTCAATCGTACGAGCGCGACACAGATAATAATTTGGAGGGTGAATACGAGGAGGTCAATCGCAACGATACGCGCGCGCAAATAGTCAACAGTCAACAATCAACAATCAACAGAGAGCACGGCCGCAATCAATCTCCACAAATAATTAATCTCACGATCCGTCGGAATCCTCTTCAAATCAACTAGCTAAAGGCAATTGATTACCTGACCTGACAATACCGAGTCATATCTGGGGATTCAATTCTTGATTCGACTTTCAAGATCGCCAATCTCAAATTTTTTACGCAGGTCATTCATTATATTCACTTTGATCTTCCCAGAAACTCGAACGATTTCCATTTCCTTTTGATCGCGCACCAAAACCAAACGTTCGTTTCTGGATTTGATTTCTACAGCCCACTCTCTTCCTCGATTTCTCCAACATCCCAGTTTCTCTACCATACTGCCATAATCCATACCTTGTTTGATTCAACTTCGACAACTGCATTGCAACGAGTGAGATTTGCTTCCGTCGCACTGTATCCGATTCAATTATTTCAATTGAGCTTTAAGACGCGTCAAACAAAGTCAACACGATGTTACATCAACATCAACACCATCGTCCAAATGGGTCAACTACCCTTCCTCGAGGTTTCCGCTTTCATCACAGTGAAGGAGACGAAGACGGAAACCAACCACAGACACCCGAGCCATTTAACCCTGCTGGCTTAGAGGATCCACAATCTCCACCTCGCCCAAATCGTTTAAAGGTCAGACGACGAAATGTTTCCCCCGCTATCTTTCAAGCACCAACCGAACATTTTCTCGCTTCTGTTGCAGCTGCAGATGTCCCAATCCCTACAATTGAGGAGCCACGATTAGCTCCCCACGTATCGTCAGATTGCGATATGCCAGACCGAGACCCACTTTCATCTTTCTTGGCTCCGCATACATACAATGCAAGATTTGCATCCCCTCCCAGAACTCCAGTACCTTCGGTGGCCATGGAAGAAACAGACTCTGAACGTCTCGATTGGACAATGGGAACATCGTCGCCAAATGATCTGAAAATTGAACGACCAGCATCTGCCGCATCGCATAGCTCTGAAAATTCACTTTACAGCGAAGGCCATCTTTCAAGATACTCCGAAGATGGTAGCTGTACTAGTCCCGAGTCCGATTGCGCGGACCCATTCTCGTTTCCTTCATATTCAAAAGCAAAGGGCAAGAAGCTCAATGGTGTAGCCACCGAGTCTCACGACACCGTTCTCAATTCGAAGCTTCGTCGCAAGACTCGAAAGGATGCTCCTTGGACTTCAGCCATGACTACACATCTATGGTCAATCTATCTCCTCTACCTTCAAGATCCAGTTGTGACCCCTTTTCGGATTGGAGCTAGCGCCGTGCCTCCTGAGGGCGTTTGTCATCGTGTTGCTCGACAAGCAAAGAAGAGTTGGAAGGGTCCCAAGGGAATTCACAGTACCAAAACTTCCAATCATACATCATGTGCGGAATCATTTGAAAACGGCGATGTCGCAACCCCAACCGAAAGACGATCACGATCATACACACAATGGCCACACACAAGCTCAGCTACTAGGGCACATCTTCGTGAACTTTGCAAGACCAAGGATACTAGCGCCGTCCAGCGACACATGCATCTACAATCGCGAAATCCTACACCTTTCACACAACAAAATGCTCGTTCGCGATACCGAACTCCTGAGCCACAAGGATCTATGAGAATTCCACAAGTGGCTACCCCTGTGTCTTTCAGTACTCAAGATGTCGCACTATCGCTAACGATGAGCACATCTGAAACGATGCAACCAAATGGACCTCTAGCTCAGCTCGCGACCACAAAAGAATCTGCATTTGCTAGACCGCGAAAATCTGCTTGTCAACCTCGGGGCTGGACTAGATCGCGTGCTACGAATTTGAGCCTGGATGACTCGAAAACTCGCAGTCTCGGATCACCATTCGTGGCTCGGACTTATGGACCCAATTCAACCATGGATGGAGCATTTGATGAACCTCGTCCTTCCGCTTTTCACGTTTATTCTGATACGATATCAGGTCCGGTACCTGCTCCTCGTCTTCAATCACCTCTTCACTTTGAACGTCCCAGATCTATCCATAATAAGGAACATAAGAGACGAGTCCAGAATCATTTCGAGAATCTCAATTCTGGTGGTGCTATCCTCAAGCCTAATAGCATGAATGAGCAGATATACGGCATTCCTCTATCGGGCAACCAGCAACGACGAGTACGAACTAGAGCATTCACCATTGGTGATGATCTTCTTAGGAATCGTGTACCAGGGTTATTTCAACCTCTTCCGACAGGACCAGAAAAGACGGGTCTTGTTCCTGAAATCCGCCCTCCACCAGTAGCCCAGCCAAAGCTACTTCCATCGGCCACATTCGAACCTACACGCTTACGATCGCCTTTCATGGAGAAACCAAGCAACACATTTCCTCGAAGACTCTATCCAGATGAAAAGGCACCTGTTCGACACTCTGGAGTCGTAACTATGCATCAACCGCGTCGTTCGATCGATTCTTCTGACTTTGGCGAAAGACCTTCGCTTCAATCAAGACTCTCTCGACTGGATTCCAGGCTTGCTGAAATTAGGGAACGAGAGAACGGGAGTCAAATTCAAGACCGCCTATGAGATATTGTACAATCGACGATTGATCATTGTTCCAACGCCAATCCGCATACTTTTTTCTTTCCTTGTCTTGCATATTTGCGCTCTGGCGACACGATATCCACGAATTACGCGCTGTTGCATTTGGCGCGCAGTCTGGAGTTTCAGTATATCACATCACCAAGCCTTGGTCATGGCTACTACATTCTTCGTTGAGGCTATGTAGCTTCTCCCTTCTTAATCGAAATTATTTCCTTGTATTATGACTCGATTTGCTTTTCAGGCTGGGATTGAACGGCACACTGGGAAACAATTGTAATGATTTCACGAATTATGGATAGGGGGACAATTCTATTTCTTTTCACGACAACAGTGTCCAAAATGGGAGGGTTTTTTTTTCTTTTCTTTTTCTTTTCTTTTTGATTCTACATTTCTACTTATAGTAGATGGATGAATAGTACATACTGGATATGATATGATGCTGTGCATATGAGGAATGGGATGGGCAATGGGCAATGGGCAATGGGACAATTCAGGGGTGGGTTATGTAGATACGGGGAACAAAACAGATATGATAGTGAAATACTCGAGTAGCTCAATATCATGCGATATGATCATTATATTTTTTTGTTGATTTCTGATATATCTGATGTGATATTATTAGATACTAAACTTGATATCTCGTTTGTTTGAGTATCATTTCGATTTCGATTTCTTTTTGCCTTATTAAGATCCCGACTCAGAGTATTATGATTCGAGATAAATTCTTATGTTCGAATGGCAAAGTATAAACAATCCCCCAAAAACACCAGTACCCACGCCTCCACCCCTACCCTACCCCCACAACCCCTTCCCAGCCCCAATACTCGCCCTCAATTTCTCCAAACTTCCCGTCGTCAACCTCAACCACTCTATATCCCTTCCTCCCCCCATCCCCATCCCTCTTCCTCCCCCCCATCCTTTCCTCCCCTTCCCCCCATGCCCACCCCCATCCCCCTCCCCCTCCCCCTCCCATAAAACCCCAACGTCCCAATCTGCACACGCCAGGACTCGCGACAATTGACAAAACTATATTTGCCCCGCATCCCCTTGGATTCTTTAAATGTAATGTCTACTTTGGCGCTCGGAAGTTCTTGGGTGCGCACCCGGAAGAGTTGCGTGCGGTGGGGGAGCTTTTTGGTTTCGTGGAGGGTGCGGGAGCCGAGGGTTGTCATCTAGGTATAGGTATGAGTGTTAGGGGGTTGTTAGGGAGGGGTTGGGGTAAGGAGGGAAAGAGGGGGGGAGATAAGGGGGGAGATAGGGGGTTAGATGGGGGAGAGAAAGGTAAAAATAAAAAAATAAACATACAATAGCAATCTCCACCACAGAATAAATATTCAACGGATTCGGCATACTCACCACCACAGCCGGGTGATCAAAAGCATTCACATGCAACTTCGGATCCACATACGCATTATAAACAATGTCCACCTTGGACGGTAACCACACTACGGTGCCGGGTATGATATCCTGAATGTGCATGGGTTGGATGTAGTATTCGGGTGGCTGTGTCGCGTGCGCGATGTTATCGGGTGGAATTACTGCTGGTTTGGAGAGGGAGAGAGAGTGGGAGAGTGAGAGGGAGTGGGATAAGGGATGGGATAAGGGATGGGATAGGGATAGGGAGAGGGAGCGTGTGATGGGTGAGTGGATAGCGGGACTGGGGGAGCGTTCGCTGGGGGAGGAGGAGGGTGAGGAGGGTACGAGTGCTGGTACTGGTATGGTGAATTTCTTGGGGGGTGTGGCGGTGGTTCTTCTTGTCTTTGCTTTAGTCTTTGCCTTAGCGAGAGGAGATGAGGATGTCAAATCTATGAAGATAGGTTTTTTGGCTTGCTTCTTGATGGGTAGTGGAGGTGCAGGTACCGATTTTTGAACGCGATATTTGTGTTTATCCACGGGTCGTGTTGAGGTACCGGTAGATCGCAGTTTGGCTTTTTCTTTGGCTGTCTTGGGTTTGGGTTTGGACTTGGAGTTGGATTTTGTGACGGCTTTGAATTTGGACATTTTGGTGCTTGAGTAGAGGAGAGGAGAGGAGAGGAGAGGAGAGGAGAGGAGAGTAGAGTAGAGCGAAGGAAGCGTAGCTGGTGTAGCTGGTGTAGACAATGTAGACAATATAGATAAGTGTGTGTAGTGTAATGGAGTTTGGCCAAGGGCAATCAATCCTTGATCTTATTACTCGAGGACTTCGATACTCAAATCCCTAATCCCCTCGTACAATGCAACGATCCAATAATCCAATCTAACAATCCAATCCCAAAATGTGAACTCTGCACTTCAAATCCAGATCGAATGAAATGAAATAATTGTTGACAAATTTAAAACTTCAAACTTAAAATTTAAAACTTAAAACTTCAAATTTTTAATCATCAAATGATCCATCTATTTTGAATCACAAAACACCCAACACATAATTGTATCAACAAATAAACAAACAAAAGAAGATAAATCAAATGTTTCCGGTTCTCAATTCTTTGTTCATCAGACACTTATCGAACACTCCACTCCAATCCACTCCACTCCAATATATTTTCCAAATTTAGTAAAAGCAAAGTAAATTAGCATTATACATAATATAAGAGAAAAAGAGAAGAAGTGAAAAGACGTTGTTGCTGGTGGGTGGGTGGTAGGTAGATAGATAGTGAGTGAATGGAGTACGGGTTGTAAAGAATATTTATGTGATGTACTTGAGTTATATCTATTATAATGATTAGTCAGCTTGATAGTTCTCGAGTTATATCCACTTTGCACATGAGAAGTACCTACCTAGTACTCGTATACTCATCACAGCAGCAGACGTTCTCGATTCTCGATACACAGGACTTCATTCAGTACTCTAGTCATCCAGTAATCCAGTGCCCCCGTACTCAGGTATTTCTAACGGCCGAAGATTTCTAATCTATGCTCTTGTGGCGTTCATTCTTTACGAGAATTCATCAAAACATTATTTACATGAACATCAGAATCTTATTTATAATGAATTTATATTAAGTTTATTATTAAAACAATACCTCTGACCCTATCCTATTCCATTCTTCTGAATCCATTTCCCTTATGTATCTGAATGATGCAATATACACAATGTATCTATCTTTATCCAATTTACCATCCCATCCCCATCCCGTCCTATCCATCCCATCTATTCCCAAAAACCCGAATATTATTCCAATATGATATGATGTATACAAACCCCCCTTTCTCTTCTTATCAACCCTATCTTCCTATCATACAACTTCATATGTACAACAACATCCTGCCCATATCCATATCCCTCTTTCTCATCATTAAACACAGGATTAAACACCCCTTCCCTACACGATCTTATAGGCAGTCTTTGCAATATAGAAGCAAGCCATTCCAAAAGCCAATAATCCAGCTGTGATGGACCAAAACCACGTCAAACTTCCCTCAGATTCCTGACCTGGTACCCAAACGTTCATACCCCAAAGACCGGTAATAATGTTCATGGGCAAGACAATTGTTCCCAGGACCGTAAGTTTACCAAGGACGTCTGCGGTTTGTTCTTGACGTTCATTCATGCGAATGTTGATTTGAGCAAGGTAATTGCCGTGAGAGCGAGCTAGGATTCTATAAATGTGTTAGTTATGCGTTTATTCACTTATTTTACGGGGTCTGGGGAATGACTTACTTTTCGTAATGGGACAAGTTTCCAGTCATAGTTACGATATGATCCTGAATATCACCCAAATACAATCCAATTTCACTTCGTGGTGCAATCTCCCATTGCTCATTGCATCTTTTGGCAAAACCCTTGATGACATCTGCTTTGTTACCTAACAATCTGTAAAGACCCATAACTTTCTTTCGGCAGTCACCAACTCTTCGAAGCATATCTCCTCCACTTTCTCCCGAAGTACCATCCCCAGCTTCGGATTTCTTTTCGTTGTCCCGGTTAGACTTCTCATTCTCCGCGGGAGAGTGTAGTTTCAAGATAGCATCATCAATGTCATCTACTTCATCTTCGATAGTCTGAATCAAAGGTGCGAAAACATCAGTGATATCATCAATAATAGCATATGATATCCAATCAGCTGTGAGAATCAAGTAATCTTTCAATTGTCGAATTCTTCGTCGAACATTGGCTGGATGGGGCGTTTGAGAGAAGTGAAAACTGATAACCCCTTCACGGAAGACCACCACATACATATTGACGGGTTCTAAGAAATTCTCGTTGTTCATATCCTGCTCGAATGATCGATAATTGACAAAGTAGTAATGTCGGAATAGTTCTACCTTCTCGCGAGCTTCCTGCATGAGGATATCCTCAGCTGTCAAGGGATGTATTCCAAAGGCTTTTGAAAGGATCTTCATCTCCGCATCCGTTGGGGATAGGACATCAAGCCACCATGTAGGGCGATCACCGTATCTTTTTGGTTTCTCGTCATTCGGTGGAGGAGTCTTTGGTAGCGGTGATTTATTCGGGGATGCTTCATTGGAGGCTTCCCTAGAAAGCGACCCAGAAGTGCGCCCCATACGTCCAGGCTCCGAACGTTTTGATTCTTGATTTACCATGTCAATTATGGATGACTGACGAGTTTCTGATCTAGAATCTCCATTATTTTGTCCCATGGCATGATGTAGATACGCAGTTTCACGGCGAGCATCCACATCATCGGCCTCATCTTCGGTTTCAGAATCAGAACTATCATCAAGTACAGGACGATCGGGAACAAATAATTCTTTGAAACTTCCACCAGGTTGAATGAGCTCTGAAATTGTTTGACTGTGAATGGTGCTTGGAAATTCCTCATTGAAATAGGTAAATCGATATGGTGCGTCATCTTCTGCTCGATGCCAACCTTTGTGGATAGGTCGAAGTCGCCCGCCAATCAATTGAGGTTCTGTAATCTTCTTAGCCCTGCGTTCTTCACTTCTACCTTCTTTCTCAAATCTGCTCCAATCATCAAGGAAAGATAGGTCGGGAAATTTCCGTTTGTGGCGGCGCGGCCCATCATTCTGCCTATACGCTCCATCGTTTCGTTGAGGAGCATCTTCTTCTGCCATTTCAGACATGTCGACTGGAAAGCATACATCTTCCTCGGCTTGCAATGCTATAGTGTGTCTACGTTCTCCGAACATTGAGCCTTTGCGTGGAGAACCAGGAACTGAATTGTCCTCACATGCCTCCTCTGGGAGAGACCTGAAAGATCTCATCGATCCAACACGCATAGAATCTCGATCCGGTGAGTGATCGCGAACCATCACATCTCCAAAGCCCATGTCCCGATTTGTGGCACCGAGTGTTGGAGACCCCGGAACCGAGGGCGGATAGTTGACATTGTATTCGTCATTCTGTCTGGCCAACCCAGAGGTAGTCTTTTCGAAAATCGTTTTCCTTTTACTGTGACTAGATGACTTGCTCGAGCTTCGTCGACTGTGTTTTCCTTGCTGGAGGAGAGTATTAGAGCTTTTCGATTTCGAAGAGCTAGGTATAAGTGGGGTTCGCTCGTCGGTTTCCTCCACTATAGCTTCATCATCAGAATTGCTCTTCGATTTGCCGGTTACAGGTCTTCGAGCGACGTTGTCCGATGACTTAAATGGATTGCTATACGAAGGTCGACTGAAAGAAGGACTATCGTACGTCTGACCGAAAGCATTTTGCCCCATTGTCGAAGGTCTTCGAGGTCGCATACTTTGATGATCTCTATCGCAGAAGCGTATTAGCGCACGAAACATTTAATATACCATTGAAAGACTAACCTGTGATCTAGAAGTTCCTCGCTCTCAATACTAGTCGTACTTAGATTTCTTCTACTATAAAAACTCGACCTCGCAGCACTTTGCGGTGGAGCAACTCGCTGGGCGGTCGGCGTTTCCGCCATACCATCTCCATCCTCGGTTGATGCAGCAAAAGATTGTCTTCTTGGTCTCTTTTTCTTTCCACCCCGGTGATTGTTCCTCTTCTTCTTAGAGGCGTTCTTCACGTCTCCAATATTTGATAGTGACGTTGTATTGGAGTCTTGTGGTGGCTGTATGGCAGTAGGTTCCGGTCTCTGGAGTGGTAACTTTCGAGGGGTTGAGCTCATCAGCTCTGTCGCACGAGGGTGAAGTGGTGCAGACATTATGAGGAAAACGTGTGTCTCTGTCGAGGGTTACAGTTACAAGACTTTGACCGATTGACAACCCGATATAAGACACCGCGGGGCCAATTGAATAATGCTTCAATGATGAATCAACCTGCGATGAGATAGATAATGAAAAGAACCTCTTTTATCGCGATACAATACATTTGCAGTTGAACGAGGCAGAATGCAAGATTCGATGGACGAAATATGAAGTTGTGTGTATGAAGGAAAAAGTTGGTTTGACTGAAATCTCATGGCATGCGCTAGAGACCGACTACAAGTAGACTATGGGCCATCAATGACGATCGGAATTGATGGACCTTGTATACCAAGAGGAAGCTTATCAACTTGTACCTTTTCTTATCCCAGTGATAAGATTAAAAGACAAATGAAAATAAGAGGAAAATGTGAGACTCAAGATACTCAATTGATTTGATTTGATTTGAATTGCGAATGTAATTAACCAAAGAAAAGATGGAAAGCTATAGGGACTTGACTTTTTCCGTTATAATATGAGAATCAAGAACCGTTTTTGTGTTCATGATAGATAGACATGGCGCGGTCTTTTTGATAAGGAGTAACAGTTAAGTAGAGATTCTAGGGAATGATCTGGCTTATGTAATAATTGTTTTGATGTAAAAATCAACGATGTCCTATCTTCTATACAAAGGCTCAGCCAACTTCATCATGTTCTGATTAGTAAATGATTTGGCAGTAGTACTGCTATCAATCATGAATCAAAACACCAAAGACCTTCTCCAAATCTTCCATCGACCCCTTCCTTCCCACTCATTCATCCTCCCCACTCATCTATACTCAGTATCCCTCAATTTCCCAAAGTCCAAACCCCTTTAACCCTCTCCTTATCCTTCGGCAAGTTAACCCGCCCAGCAACAACCCAAGTTCTATCCCAATTAATCCACAGAGCCACCCTCTCACACCAAATCTTTTGAGATTTCTCCATCCTCACATCCCCTATCCAACCCACATCCCCCATGATCTCCACCAACCTATCCACATTATTGATTTTACCCAACCAATATACATCGGCCCTCGAAAAATTTCTTTCTCTCTTCTCAGCCGTGATGTTCGTTTCTCGGTATGCTTTGCCGGCGGCTCGACCCGCGGTGCCGGGCGCACATGCGATGTAGATCGTGGTGGATGTTTCGATGGGACCATTGCCCCATCGTGGACGGTAGCCGACTGGAAGATTGGGGAGTTAGTAATAAAGTACACCAAGAGAATCGTGCAGAGAGAGATGAGAATTTAAAACTTCATCAGCCTGGGCAGTTAAGATGACACGGAACACAGAAAATGGAATTGGAGGTTGGATTCAGAAAATGAAAGTCCAAATTAAACATGGTGCTCACGTGCGTAGGATGAAGGACCTTTCGAATTATTCGTGGGAGAATAAAAACGGACGTAGTAAAGTTGGTAGGCAGAGGATGCGGATGCTATGGATGACGCGACGTTGAAGTCTTGAGGACCAGTCTTGGTGGGTTGTGGTGGTGTGGTTGACATGATGACGGTCGATGTTGGCTCTTGATGCAACTGGGCGTTGATGCTTTCTTCGAGGCTTGCAGAGATTCTTTAGTGACTTCTCTTGTTTGTTAGTCCTTCTACAATGGATATATCATTAGATTGTAACATACGGGAGCTCCTGTATGGCAAATCTCGAATCTTGTCCTTGGGGATGTACTCGAGTGGGTAGGAGTTTATCAAGAAGTTAATCAAGGAGAAGCTAAAGTCCACCAGGAAACAGAGAAACGCCATCTCCTGATTCCAGGAATGGCCTCATCAAGTGAATCTTCAAAATTGAGCCACCAAGTCTTCCTGTTTCAAGCTAGAGTACTCGTCTCATCCATGAGAGCCTTACATAGGACAATATACCTTGATTATATATCCATACATGCACATATATACACACATCCAATCTTATCACCTCATAATCACATATAATCAAATAAACACAATCATTATTTCGGTTAGTAATTTGACTTTATTGACTAATGATTGAAGATGTGCTTTTCTGTCTCGCATGGCACACAAAAGTAGAAATAGAGTTTTGTTGCATATCTCATAATTCTTTATCTCTTGGTGGCTTGGTGGCTTGGTGGCTTGGTAGCTTGGTAGCTTGGTAGCTTGGTAGCTTGGTAGTTTTAAAGCATAGTAGCTCAATCCTAATCTCAATCTCAATCTAAGCTCCAAATATCCACCAAGTTCCAATTCTTTCCAAAAAATAAGGATATGCAACGAACCACATGCCTTTTATACCTGATGAGTTTCTACTGTTATTCACAAGCAAGCGCTTACTAGTATTCAACCGTATATTTCAAGTCAAGACCCTACAGGGTTTCTTACAGAATTTCCCCCTTAACCAAATTCATGTATCGGTCTTCATACTTTACGAAAATTTGCTGTGATCTCCAAGTGGAAAAGCTGACGATTACTTTACGGGTACACATATCATGAAGTCATGAAGGGTTACTCACGGAATAACAATTCCATTGATTCGGCAGGACATGCGTCTATAAATCTATAAAAAGCAAGTGTGAAAAGCGTACAGCTCAACAAGAAATACACGCACAAAAAAGCTTGCTGCTTGTGTATAAATTCTTTAAATCAATTTTTCTATATGGCAACATCAACAGATCTTCTTTATCAGCGTACGTATACTTATAAGTGGACAAGATTTTTTATAAGGCTAAAAATTTGGTATTTGCGATTGTATTTATTCAAGTGTAATTAGATTGATGTACCGGTATGTCTTTTGATGCCACTGGTTTTGGATATTGGAGACTTGAGAATTGGCATTATGACTCATATGTCTTTCAAGATTCGCTTACAGTATGATGTTTCATGACGCATTCGACCGATGGATGGGGTGTGAAACAAGTCCCGAGTGGATGGATACTGTACAGAGGAAAGGAAACCAAATAAATAACTCCCAGCCCAGTGTATCCAATAATCCGGACTACAGAACAGATTAGATCATTTGACTTAAACAGTCAAGCTTAAGTCCATTGAAATATTATGCAGTTTGTTTATATTATCAAAAAGTCTAGATTAGTTAGTTTAATAATTCGGATGACAGTCTATTCTACTAAATATAAGATCAGCTAAGCCAGACTTTTTACTTCAGATTCACCACAATAATCCATATAGTCTAATTGTATCAGAGGTTAGCCGTCTAGACTGCCGTCTGGACTTTAGACTTTAGACTTTAGACTATTGGATACTCTGTCCAGGGACCCAGCCTGCATCCAGATCAGCGTGGTTGGAAATATTTCTGCACGCCAAGTCCCGTAGCATGGGATGAAAATGCATATTCGAAAACTCAAAGAAGTTCAATCAGAAGATTAGACCACAGTTCCGAGATCCGCCGAGCATGGAAATTTCCAGAATCATGATGACCTTCTTAATTACTCTTCTTCAGCCCTTGAATGAACTTATCTTTCTTGCCAGGCAATTTTTTGACCCTCTTATCCATTCCATTCACCATCATTGACTTCGACCAGCGTACCAAGAGAGCGTTGGCATCTAGTCATCTTCCTCGAGCAACATATCAGTTCCACAAACCACCACCAAGCCCCTTTGTCTGGCAGCGAAATAAAATCAAAACAAGATATGGCGCCTGAACGTACACAATCTGCAGTTTCAAATGCTCAACTTCAGCGCTCGAGTTCAACTTCCATAGCTGATACGATTGGATTGTTAGAGAAGCTTAGTCTGTGCAGAGCACAAGATAATACTCCAGATTGCTGATTTGCTACGAGAGATATCGGATTGGCAAATAGCTGAGAGGAAAAAAGAACGAGAGATGGAGGAAAAGCGAGCACAATTACTTAGGGAGATAGAGGAAGTGGATGAGAGACTTAAGCAAATGGCTAGGCCTCACAAAGGGGAGTGGAATAGAATGACAAAGGCGTTAAAGCTTCTTGGGGGGAGCGATTATCATTCTTGGGATATACAGACGGTCCAGCAAACATAGGAGGAAGGGGGAGGAGAAGAGGAATCATCATGCGACAACTCGGAATCATCCATCATCCGACAACTCCTCGAAATCACCATGCGAGAACTCATCGCACAATGTTACGTGTCCATGTGCCAGGCGTGCTGTGTAGTTGGTGGGGAGCTTGTGGGGATTTAGATGTGCATTTCGGTATATGTTTCTCGGGGTTTTATTTTGGTTCTTGATTTGTTTCAGTTTGTGGGTGGAGGATGAGGGTAGGGAAATGTGCTGATTTTGTGGTGTTGTAGTCGTGCAGTGTGTGTGGAAACAGGGGTTGGAGTGGGAGTGGGAGTGGAAGTAAAGATAGAAAAAAGTTGGGAGGGAGGTTTTTGGATAGGGAAGCCTATGAAGGATATCCATCGGTATCTCTAGGCTATTCATTTCTTTCATAGAGTGGTTTCAGACAGTGCTCTACCTAGATCCTTGTTTCAAGAGCTTTCCCTTGGTTGTGGTTGGCTGGCTGGTTCCATGCCCATACCATTTCCCATTATAGCTAGAGGGTTATGGGTTTGATAGAGAAAATCGAGTTTAGTAACGGGATTTCAATTCGGTGTCTCTCCCTTCAAGAGAGATGTTCCCTCTGAGATATATGTCTTTTAGATTTCATTTTGGGATATTGATTTTCATATCAATTTTCTTCCTAATATTGATCGATACAAAATAGAATCTTTCCCTAAGAATTTTGAGCACCAAAATTGATCTTTTGGGAGTAGCGGATCTCTTGTAAGTAAGGAATGCTAGACCCCAAGTACTCAGTAGATGAATAGAAGGTCTTATTATTTTTCAGAAATTCGGCTTTCGAATCAATCAATGAGAATAGGTAGGTAGGTAGGTGCTGGTTATGGCTACGACCCATGTTTTTTGGACTTTATTGGAAGGATTATGTGTCTATGTCAATGAGAATTGGAATTAAAATTAAAAGTGTCACGGTCACGGTCACGGTCATGGCCACACTCAAGCATTATTATTACTTAAAGTCCAAACCTATGTCACACATCTCACATATCACATCTTTCATTTCACATCTCACATCTCATATATATCCCATTGTGACCAAAAGGGTATAAACAGGACTCCGATTGTGTACTTAGAATCTACAAGTGAAGAGCTATGTAGGGTGCTAAAAGGAGGACTATATATACAGGTATTTGGGAGCCATAAGGGCTAGGCCCAGAAGAGTGAAAGAGTCCTAGAGATAAGCATCGTACGATGCCTAGGTCTAGAGCTATAGAGCTAGGGCTCTAAGCTGTGAAAGGAAGGTCCAAGAGAGCCGTCGTATCATGCTACGTATGTAGTATGAGCCAGTGGGCGGAAGAGAGCCGTCTATTCCGTCACACCCATAAATATCATCCCAACAAAGCGCAGTGCAGCATCTTCTAGAACACTATTTCTAACTTCCAAGTCTAATATAATCAATCATTAATCACTCACTCACTCAAATACTCGTACAGGAAGGAGTACACAGTAAAAGAAAACTCCTAATACCGAAACCCGCTAATTTCTTTCCTGGCCTTGGCAGAGAAGAAGTCTATATAGTACAGAAATCGCCACTACTCGAGTATCATGAAAGCGACTATAGGCCTTACAGGGTAATATCCACTATAACAGCCCTGTAGTGTAGTGTTTACACTTAAGTTAAGTTAGGACTTAACAAGCGTATAAGAATAAGCTCTGTATATACTCGTATAAATTTCAATTTTAATTCTTGATATCTAATGAAACTACAGATATTCATAATCTGTTTAAGTACTTATTTATAGGGCCTCATTCGAATTGATTGATTTATAGTATATTACAATATATATACTCTATTAGGCTCTATAGTTATATTTATACTACTCGTAGTAGTGATCTCCGTAAAGTAAAGCTATATGCTTTTTGTTATATCTCGCCTTAAGCAAGTCTTTTTAGTATACTATTACGAGCTTGGCTCCGGCCCCTTCAGGGCCTATGAGCCCTAAAGAGGCCTCCATCTTCACTTGTACTATATAGCTGTCACACAGGGTCATGTGATACAGCCTACGTGATATCGTCTATATGCACGTGCCTCACGCACTTATACATATATCCAATACCACTAGAATACCTCTAAGGATACACACATACAATATTACTACTGTTATACCTATTATGATCTTAGTGATATTCCAACAGGATTATATGATTTATTAAATTCTATTTTAAATTTTAAAACTATTCGAAAAAGTAGATTCAAGTTCTGAATTTCGAATTCTGAATCTGAATATAATCAATATAATATATAGATAATATAATTTAATCTGTCTCTATTCTCGCTTTAGACTCGGGGGGCTGATATATCGTTAGCAATATATCCTTATTCTCTTGATAGTTGAAATATTGAAGCTATTCAAAGTTTTCAGGTGATCTATACATTAAGCTTTTTTTAATCCTGATTAGTAATGAAGAGATCCAATCAGAATCATGTTTACAAAAATTCCAATACTTTTCAACTTATAACTTTTCAGAATACTTCAATAATTGCTTACTCAACGAATATTAATCATATAAATACAAAAATTTTATTATTAAAAAGCTTTTAATCAAAAGAATAGAATATACTAATTTAATAATATCCTATTCGTGATAATGTTTAAGTATATTTACAAAACCTCGTTTCTTGAGTTTGATATTCCTATATAGACCTTACGTATTTTTTGAATAGCTAATCAAATAAAGGCGTGTTTTAAAATATATATATTAGTGATTATAATTCGACCAAGTAATGTAAACAAAATACTTTATACTCGAGTAAAGTTTAAACATATACAAATCTGAATTTAAGTACTAGTATCTAAATGAAGAAACCAAGTTTGTCGAGTCGTTATAAACACACTTATATACCTATTATACTATAGGCCTTCCTGCTGATGACGATGGCAATGAAGAATGTCCACTCTTATACTTCGAGTATTTATATTATCCCAGCAATCAGAGTGACTTGGAGAAATAAACACACTTGACAACCTAGCCCCCGCAAAGAACAACACACACATCCTCCCCTTTCAGTACCTGTCTTTTACTTATATCAAAAAGCCGATCTCGTTTTCAAATCCTAGCTTCTAGCTTTAAGGTCCTTCGCAGGCCAACCCGACTCGAAAACATCACCAGATCCCCATTTATCTCGACTTACCCAGTCCAAACAATATGCTCAAGCAAAATACCATTTAACCTACAAATCAACCTATTAATCAATATCTTCTAGAGTTATCCATTACAATAGTAAAATTATCCTTCGACATCTCCCTAGATCGAAGTATCGATATACCCTTTCGTCGAGACTTATCTCGTGTATTTATTTCGGGTGGCTTACTAGGCCTTGGATCCAAAATCTTTAACCGCTTCCGTTCACTTTCGCTAGGATCTCCTACTCCACGAACTCTCTTTGTCGACGCGCGATTGAGAATATCATTCAAGAGAGTGTGCTCAAACCCTCCATCCACATTCTGGAGCGGAATCCCACGGTTCCTCCAACAGAAAGGCTCGGATTGGCTATACTGAGTAAGTAACGCCTCGTAGCCCTTGAGGTCAAATCCGACGTATTGTAATACAGTCCAGCTGGTATACATGCTACCATCTGCGAATGCTGTTCGCACACGAGATCTGTGTACGGTGTCTTTGCTTTGTCGGTCACCGGTTCTTTCCTGGAAAAACTTCCTTCCTCTTTCATATCTGAAAAGGTAGTCTTTGAATACCCCCTAGAGTTTCTCGGAAAATTTATTCACGTGCTGTTTTATAACCTTGTATTGTCCGATATATACGGCATGCCTTTTGACTGTGTTGAGAAATGTCGGGTATTCCAAATCCGGAATACATTTATCGTCAAGATCGTTGATGAGTAGAAGAGCACCATGTTTCCCAATGCTCGGCCGTTGATAGCACTGGGGATGGGGTTTCCGGTCATCGTGTATTTTCAGGATTCGAGGCCAATTAGCATGGCTTCCTTTGATATTATTTGTCCCAATTTCCAGCGTCAGCTGCATATTATTCCAGAAACCATTACTACGGTTACCAAAGGTATCTTTGAGAAATGAATGATTGAAGAGGGACAATTTTGAAGGAATGATTTCAGGGCCGGGAGATGGAGTCAATAACCCTATCTCATAATTAACATTGAATTCGCCAGGTATTGTTGGAGCAGGAGTCGATGAAATTGAAGAATGTGCGAGTCCTTCAGATACAGTAAGTTTGTGATCTGCACAACTCTGGGTGCTTTGCTGGTGCAGATCCTGGGTTACAAACCGGTCGGATGGAATTAACTTGGCCGGAGATTCTTTCAACTCCATGATTGCAGCAGCGGCCAAGGACTGCAGCTTCTTCTCATTCGTTCCTGTACTCTGTCCATCCTTCAAGCCTCGCTTGTATTCAGTATCTCTGACCGATTGGATTTGATCGAAGTGAGCTCGCAGCATGGCTTCGAATTCCTTGAGGTCCTGCAGAATCTGTTCCCGACCGATACGTTCCCCTGAAGTCCGAGCAATCGCTACTTCAGCCTTATTTACCACGCGGAGTTTTAATATGTCGTCCTCCAAAGCTCTGTTTCCTTCTTCCAGTTCACGTTGCCGCTTGGTAGTCTCCATGACAAGTTGGCTCAACTCTTCACATTTCGCATTCAACTCAGATTTGACAGTTTTGAATTCCTCATTCCACTTAACCGCACTAGCTTCCGCTTGCTTCTTTTCTGTGTTTAACTTTTCAATTTGCCGCGACAAATTCGAGTTAGCGAGAATCATCTCATCCAGCTTTGAATTCCTCTCGTTAAGCTCCTTCTGCAACCCCGCTGCCTTTTCTCCGAGTGCCGAATTATCCTTTTTAACCCTCTTACTCTCCTCATAGACCTCTGTGAGCTCATAACGGAGGAAACAAATACGATTTTGTGCATCCTCACGTGTAATCTCAAGATCAGCCTTGAATTTATCAAGCTGATCTTCGAGCTTAGACTTGTTGGCGACAAGGACCGACTTTTCCCCCATAACTTGAGTCAATTGGGCATCAACGGTAGCCAGTTTATCATTGATGACAGCCATCTCAGATGCATGTCGTTCGTTGAGTGACTCGTTGACCTCCATGATGTGCCATTCTAGTAGTTTTCCGTAAAACTGATTCAAGATATTGCTCTGGAGATCATTGAATTCGTCGCGAATTTGTGGAATGGTCGGAGCCACTGTAGTTTCTAGCACATTCACCAGGTTATTGTGATTTGAGGCTAGAGGTTGGGATTTCGGTTCTATGGAAGACGAGGATGAAAGAGGTGGCGGCGTTTGTGTATGTGAACTGATTGGCGGACTGCCAGTACGTTTTGGCATTGGCGATTCTGGGTTAAATTTCCAGGACTCGCGCTGCTCCCCATGAGATTGGATTAGTATGGTGAACTGAGGACAGGTGATAGGGTCAACCTACATTCATCTCCAACCATTGTATATAATCTGCGTTGGATTTTCCATGCTTTTCAAGAAGCTGTACCCATGATGCATCTTCTGAGTCCGGTAGTCCTCGGCTCCCGTGTTCCCTTAATAGTCTTTCAATTGTGTAGCCATGGGAGTTAGATTGCTTATTGTTCGGTACTTCTACTTTCATTGATTTAGTCTTTTCAGATGGAGATGCCCCTTCAGCAACAGATGGTTTCTGAGCCTTTCCTTCTTTCTCACTCTTGTCGTCGCGTATCTCGGCATCTATTATCTCATGAGACGGTTTGAATGTCTCGATGTATAGGAGCGACCTACCTCTGCTATTACTGCTGATTGGCTCTAGAACTAGCCACCCTCGCTCAATTGCTTTGTCAAGTGCTTCCAACTCCGATTCCTCCCATTTATGCAACTTGACTTTGCCTATATCTTTCAGAGTATGATAGTAATTGGGACAATCACTGGTACGACGCAATATCCACCCAAGCACCTTGGGTCCCATCACGAACATTATCTCTGCATCATTTACGGACAAATATTTTGTCTTATAGAGATCTAATATCAAACATTAGCCGCGGCAGACACAGATCTCTCCATGCAGACATACCTGTTGTGCACGAAAGTTTGGAATAGATTGAATTTCGAAGGCATCGATGTTTCCAATCAGAATCTGGTATTAATTCGACTCGCAGATCTTGATCATTCAATGCCATATTGCAATCACGAATCTCAAGATCCGTCCACTCTTTGAAATCTGACCGCGGAAAACAGTAACGATTCCCGAATCTCCAACTAACTCCACTTTGCTTCGGTGGGTATCGGGGATCGAAACTACTTACTCCTTCCAATGACTTACCCAGAGTTCTCTCTGGGGTTATACTTAGTGGCTGTGTATAGAAAAAGGAATGCTGACTGAAATAATATGGCACGTTTCTGTACAGATTTGAGGAATGAGTGAGTAGATCTCTTACCTATCATCTTCGTCAATCGATATCGTACATCATGGTCATCACTAGGGCCGTCAAATCCCCACCCAACTTCGAAGAATCTCTGTTCAATGGGAGTAAGACATCGCACTCTTACTCGTTTATGCTGCAAGGACTTCCATAGTATCTCCAATGAGCGTTCTGACAATTCATTAAGAGACGGCAATCTTGGTGTCTGATTAATCGGAATCCAGATCAAATGATAATCATCGCCGCTTGGGGTCGGGAGTTTCCACAAACATCCTCTCATATTCTCGCGATACTCATCATAGAATTCGATGATAGCATCCACTAATAAGGTTGTGAAATTTAGATTGGGGGTGGTGAAGCATAAAGGGTGTGAAATTGGCACCTAATCTTGAGAGAATGAAGCTTCTCATAAAGCTTGTCTACCAACTTTTTCATTTTGAGGTTTTCATTTTCGTGTGCTGGCTGAATGTCTGGAAGTGATTGGGACATTACGATTGCATCAATCAATGTCGATGCCAGGAATGATGATTTCCTTTCCGAAAACAAACGATGCTGTTAATCAGTTCCCAAACCAAGTTCAAATATTTGGCTGGAAGAAATGACAAAGATAGTGTTTGTACTTGCGGCCACAATACACCCTAATGAACTTGATTAAGTATATCGGATTTACTTTTTCAAGTAATGGCATTAGCTCGATGCCGTCTTCCGTGGAGAGCGACATTCAATTCGTTGCCTCTATCCAACGCTCCCTCTAGTTCCTGTTAAGACCCTCTGTTCCGCTCCAGGAAGGGTCTTTTGCAGACTGAGATTTCCATAGCGAAGTAAAGCAAACATTCCGAGTTCGGATAACTAGGATATGGAAGTGTGATAGCTATACAAAGGTAATGTTATGATTCTGGGAAGGCTGTTATGAGCCAATAGAATCACACTGAGTGTGTAATTGAAATGGCGAAAGTAAGTAAGCCTCAGCCTCAATCTCGCTTGGTGATGCCTGTGCCTGTGCTATTGGTCGTGGAGATTTTCGGTGGTATACATTGCTGCAAAGCTGATTATGTTTGCACAATATTTAGTGATATGTTTGATTTTCAGATAAAGCTGCAGCAAACAAACAGTTTTGATTTCGGTTATGAAAAGCAGTAGTAAATACATATGAAAAGCTAGCAAGGGTGGAGCTATCCATAGATGCGGGGGATTCGCCAAGTGAAGATAATTCGGGTTTTCGGTAGAAATCATACCGGGGTTCAAGAGTAGAAATATCGTGAGCAGTTTGAGTAAGAACTATCTTTTCTACTAAACACAACTCTCAATATTTTGGCAGTCAAAACTTAGTCAATATGCCACAAGAAGTATACAGTGTTGCCGCAAAAGATGTTCGAAAAGCTATTGATTCCTTGATTGTTCAGATGGTTCATATCAAGGATGACTCTGGGAAATTCCTATTACGACTGGAGGACGGTAGAGTGATAGATACGAAAGGATGGCAGGGTTGGGAATGGACACATGGAATTGGACTTTATGGTCTTTGGAAAAACTATTGCCTCACTGGATCTCAGGAGTCTCTAGAAATTATCGAGAAGTGGTTTCAGAATCGCTTCGATGAAGGGGGGACTACAAAGAATATCAACACGATGGCTGCAATGTTGACGCTGGCATATGTATATGAGCAGGACAAAGTCAACAGTCATTTACCATGGTTGGAGAACTGGGCCGAGTGGGCCATGTATGAACTTCCACGAGCAAAATACGGCGGAATGTCACACATGACATACAACTCCACGAACGCTCAAGAATTATGGGACGATACACTAATGATGACGGTTCTTCCTCTAGCGAAGATTGGGAAAGTCTTAAACCGACCACATTATGTGGAAGAAGCGAAAAGACAGTTTCTCCTCCATATCAAATATCTTTTTGATACCAAAACCGGGTTATTCTTTCACGGATGGACCTTTGCAGACGGAGGACATAATTTTGCAAAGGCATTGTGGGCAAGAGGTAACTCCTGGTTAACAATTGCCATTCCCGAAATGCTGGAACTACTCGACTTACCGACAAACGACCCATTTCGTATCCATCTTATCGATACTCTAGAAGCGCAATGTCAAGCATTAATTCAATATCAAGAAACTGATGGTTTATGGCGCACACTGCTGGATCATACCGCAGACGAAGGATCATATGTAGAAAGTTCTGCCACGGCTGGGTTCGCATACGGCATGTTGAAAGCACTGAGAATGCGCTATATAGTAGGAGAGGAATATCGAAGCTGTGCGGTTAAAGCCGTAAAAGCTGTTTTGGGAAAGGTTAGCGATGAAGGGGAATTATTGGACGTTAGTTTTGGGACAGCAATGGGCCATACCTTGCAGCATTATATCGATATCGATAGAACAAGTATGCCATATGGTCAGGCCATGGCGATAATGGCATTGGGCGAGTTTTTGAGGGTGTTCATCTGATTTTTACTCATGATTGGAACTATATTACAGACTCATAAATTCATCTCATTATTATTGTAGAGAGAGATAGATAGTAGAAACCATGGGTAAGATGCGATCCGCGTTGAATCTTAGATGTGGATTAGCGCGTCTTAAACCGAACTGGCTGGTACTGTACCGGTAAATGTCAAAACCTGATGATCTCCACTTACAAGTCCCCATATATCTGCAATCTCAGCATTGTATGCTTTGCAAAAGCCCTGCATAGGTTCTTTTTCTAAGAAAGAGTGCATCCACCCTTCAAAGCGACTCCGATTCGACAATATATTCCTATCCTATCTATAGAGTAGAGTTACTTTTGATTACGGTACAGCACCCAATAAACTCTCTGTAGCCTTTAAAAAGCAAACATTCTTCAACAATACAATCTCCTAGAGGCTTTTCGCTAGACCATATTAGCAAGTGTGACGATAACAAAGCTAACTTCGAAAAATTTACCGTGAAGGAAGCGCTATCCGATATTATCAGTTTGGAGAATAATCGGGTGAAGAAATTTGAATGGGGGAGAAGAGAAGAAAAAAGAAGAGAAAAGAGAAGAGAAAACTTTTCGATAAAATTATATCGTTGAGGTACACTGTCTACTTGCTACCAGAAAATACAACGGCCTTTCAATTCTCATAGATCAAAAGAAAACTAGACTAGCACAAAACTAAAACCAAAGTCACAACCTCTCCCCTCTGCCCTATCCCCTCTCAAGCCCCAACCCCTAATACCTAGTCCTCCTCTTCCTCCTCTCCTGCATAATCCTCTCCAACCGTTCCCTCTCCCTCTCCTCCTCCTCCATCCTTTTCTCCTCCTCCATCCTCTCCTCCTCCTCACTCCTACTCCCAATATGTTCATACCACCTAATCCACGGCACAAACGTTAAATTCCAAGCCCCTGTACACCCTTCTTGCAATTTCTGCAACCACGGTATCATATCATCCACCGCTTTTTTTCTTTCTTTCCAATGCTGTCCCATAAAATTAGGCATCTCGATTTTCAAAAGATTGACGCAGAGAAAGCGACAATAGAATGATAAAGTCGAGGCGCCACGATGACTTTGTAGTCGAACTTTTGCCAAATTACGACATTCGTCCGGATGGGATTTGGTTGCGGCCATGCATAAGTCAGCGATGAAATTTAGCTCGTTTAGTTCTTCTCGAAAGAAGTCTTTGGGCCATTTTTTCAGTTCCTCTATTCCTTCGGCTGTATTTTCATGCTCCACTACCCATGTGGACGTCGGGGGAAATATCTGAAGGCGTACGTATTCTAGATTGCAGAGTAAACCCTTAAGCTCTTGAAAGGTTGCTTCCAAATCGCCTTGTCTGTTTGGTACATCCTCTACCACGGTAAATAAATCATTTAAAAGTCTCCGAGTTCCGGTGTTCCAGCGAAACAGAGTTGCGCGCCGATCTCGAAAGTTCTTCCCTCCCCTAAGCGTTTCGGATCTTTCGAGAAGTACGAAACTTTCTTTGTGATTAACTATTGCCTGTCTAAGCATTTTGATCAGGTCTCGAGCTAGTTTATTCGCCTGTACAGTATCATTCGTGTTTTGTGCTTCGCGCAGCGAAACGAAAGATTCCCGTACTTGCCATAGTTTGTCTTCTTGGGCTTGAGTGAAGTCGTAGAACTGTTCTTCTCTCAGTGCGCTCTCAATTACCTCTTCCAACATTTGGAAAGCTGATTTTCTCACAGGGGGAAGTTGCTTCCCGTTGTATACTGCTGCTGATGCTGCTACATCATCATACCAGTCAAGCTGAATGCCTTGAAGATAACCGATTCTGCTAAGGGGGCTCTTGCTGAAACTAGGACATCCTTGTAGATCAACGTTTTTCCAATCAGGTGAAAAGTCTACTTTCCATCCGTACTTGATTGCTCGAGCATGAATAGTGGATAAGCCGTACTTGAAGTTGACAATTGTTAGTGAAGTGTCGAATTTTTTAGGTAGCTAGCAAAACTTACTCGCCTAATAGCACGATCCCAAAAGGCCTGTTTCCTTATATCCTCGAAGGTCTGAATCGGAATAAAATATTGAATTGATTGATCATGATAAGGCATAGCTTTATCCATTACCAATGTTCCAGGGACACGCTGTTGCATGTTGCCATAAGCTGGATACGTGGAGTCCACTGCATATGCAAAAGGAGCTGCAGGTGTGGGAAATATTGGCTCGATGAGACCACCAAAAACCTAATCTTGGTCAGCAGTGTATCCCTAACATTTATCCGATTTTTCTATAAATCACACTATTCTCCATTTCAAATCCCAGCTCGCACTGAGGCGCATCTTCATAAAAAGGTTCGTAATTTCGATTGAGCGATTTATCCTGGATGATGTAACAGAGCACATGCGTTAACTCATGGCACATGACAATTGCTAGGGAATATTCAGCACCGGCTTTCTCTGCTGAGGTCAAGTCGTTCCTCAACAGTAGATCACATAGACGTTGGTCCAAAAAAATCCAAATAGTATTTGCGTCCTCCTTGTAGGTGACACCCAAACAATTCGACTGCTTAGGAAGCACATCCCACGGCATCTGTGTGCCTAAGGCGAAACCCCATTTTAACATTTTATGTAATCGACGTAAAGCTAAACCAAAAGACTTATTGCATTCTGCGAAATCATTGGCCCTGCTTGCTCCCAGATCTCTGCGCCAGAATGTAACAAGGCCGTTCGGAAGGGGGATGGTGGAGGAGGATTGCGGCATCGAATCTCGACGACCTAGAAATAATGCATCGAACTGAGAAAATAAAGCAAAAAGTTAGCTTCATCATGAGCACAGCCGTATGAAAAGGGTAGGAAGGGGATATACAAATGGTAGAGCATGCATTCTGGAAAGAAATGTGCTCGCTAATGTCAAAACGGGTATCATTGCTTTCAATATGGTAGGGTCGTCCATGATGTACCATACACCTTCAATTGTCATTTCGGGGATTGTGATATGCCAACTGAGTGGTCTTTGACCAGGTTTCTCCCATACATTTCTGGAGAATATAGGATGAATGGGGTTGGTGAGATTTCCTTCCTCAAGAATTCTACTACTGACTACATCAAAATCGACAAGTTCCCGTACAGTAAAATCGTATAACATGTCACGTTGGAAGTCTTCGATCCGCTTTTCCTCCTCGATCGTGGCTAATTTGGCACCAGGGGGGAGATGCCCGGTGGGCGACCAACCACTAGCGGTGGAGGTAGAACTAGCAGCAGGAGCAAAAACGCTGGCCGGCCCATATTTGTATTTACTAACATTGAAGATGGTGCTTGTCGCCGTTCCATGTATACTAGTTGACATCTTTGCCAAATCCTCATAAGAAAAAGTTATCAACACGAGTAAAAAATTATTGGTAGTTGTAGTCTGTGACTCTATTCGATGGATGTGAACTGGCATATCAAAGTATAGTCTTTGTAGTAAATTAGATAGAAGCACTACAGCGACAAAGGGAATCCATCAAGGAGAAAGATCTTCTTTGACAATCACGGCAATAAAAGAGAAATCTTCTTACTACGTGTTTTGACGACGAGTTTCACAGTGCTATACGTTCAGATTGAATACGACGTTTCTTCTCCTTCCAGTTACGATAAATCGAGAATCTTATGGGAACTTTACTAGGAGTACAGCATCCGCAATCATGGCTGAGTTGCTCTAGAATGTGATTCTTTCCTTTATCAATACAGAAATATTGTGAAGCTTCGTTACTGCATCTCTGTCTGGGCCAATATATTGTCTTAAGAAGCTGGAGATGATGAGGATATTTTGAATGAGCATACTGAAGGGAACTTCGAATTATTTGCAGTGAAAAACAGACCCAACTACTGGGTATGTCTCAACTAAGCCTTCCTTATTAGAAGCAGTCTCATTATGTTGAAGCTGTTGCGACAATAACTAACTGACGGTACTCATATGTCTTGAAGGCATGGTGATTGTTCCTACGGGCACCTCATGTAGGAAAATTCTCTATATGTAGAGAATTAATCATACTAAATCACGTAATAAGATATATTGAGATCTTGTATTGAGATTTGAAATCACGGTTTAAACCTAATATTAAATAATCAATACATGTTTTGAATCTCAATATAAGAACGCTAGCAAAAAATGGCCGATTTTTCTACATGAGGTGCCCATACTAGTAGGGTGGTGTGGAGGGGGTGCAATATTGCGAGCAAGTACAAAAGAGGTGAACAAGTGATTCAGGAAACTAATAAACTAATAAACTTGTCAGAAGTGTGTGTAGATTATATTCAGGTACAGAATCTAAGCTATGTTATTGAGCATATAAATAAACAAAATATATACTAATAATGAATACAGAAGAGGGATAATATCATAATATCTATAATACTTATGACTTTCTAATATCCCTCTTATGATCAAAACCTTGATTATTCTGAAATATATACTACAAAATAATCTTTTTATATAAAATTAATCAAATTAACCAAATTAACCAAATCCAAATTGATCAAATTGACCAAATTGACCACAACTTTTCAATCTAATTGTTAGAGCCTCATTAACTCCTGTAATAATCTATAGCCCTACTATTATTGTGATATCTAATCTCCTATAGAATTCGATTATCCTATAACTAAATTTATTATATTGCAGTATAAAAATACTTTTATTTCTTTTCAAAATCTAAATCTAACCCTAAACTATAAATACAAAATATTAATTAAATAAATTGTTTTTGTCACCGCGTAGAGACTAATCCCCTTCCGGGGACTAGCCGGAAAAGCGTGGATGTGAAAGGATACAGAGTATCCTTTCATATCCTTTGTTCTTTATTAGTTAGTTTGTACTGAAATCTATAAAGAACTACCCTTATACCACCATGGCAATAGTATGAGTTCAGTTCTGTACAAACTATACCCTAACTGTAGTACTGATACTATCCGGCCTATTCCCTGCTTGTGATCCCTCACAACTATATATGTAGTATGATATGAAGGCTCTTTTGGACCTTCCTTTCACAGCTTAGAGCCCTAGCTCTATAGCTCTAGACCTAGGCATCGTACG